AATAATGGCAAGGGAATGCAGGGATCTGAATCCCTGACCCACATTTAAATTTAAAATATTCAGGGTAATTCACATCCAGAATTAGTTGTTTCTTCAATTAGTCCTCATTAATAGCTGGTCTGAGTTTAAATCCTCTTTTGCTTTATAACAAAAGCTTCTCACACAAGCCAAATAAATTATAATGAATTGATTATTAATGGAATGTATATGTGGCAATGAGGTGAGGTGAAAAGGGGCTTGACGTTGTGTTCAAGAATATTGCACTAATATAGCGATGTGTGTGTGTGTGTGTGTGCGCGTGTGCGTGTGTGTGTGTGGCTGCTTGTACTAGTCCAGACTTAAGCCGATTTTATAGTGCAGGCCACTGAGATACCATGCCACAGTTTAACATGAATACCCCACTCAGACACAGTATACTGACTCCGAGCCGCCTAGTCCTTGTTTTATTTAGCCCCTTAATGCTGAGCGCCAGGCAGGGTAACAATAAGTCTTTTGGTATGATGCGGACGGGGATCGAACTCTGGATCTTCCGCTCTCTGGGCAGATGCTCTGCCACCAGACCATATGTAACAAGGTCAAGATACAGTTTAAATTACAGGCGATGTGTTTGAACAAATTTCATCAAATATCTCACATAACTGTACGTGGGGAAATTTGGCTCAAAATATGAGTGAGTGAGTGAGTGAGTGAGTGAGTGAGTGAGTGAGTGAGTGAGTAAGTTGAGTTTTACACAACAATATTACAGCTATATTACTGCTGTGCGCACCAAAAATGGGCTTCACACATTGTACCCATGGGAGGAATCAAACCTGTGTCTTCCACATGACAAGCAAACACTTTAACCACAAGGTTACCACACTGCCCTGGTTCAAAATATGGCAATGATTCTATGAATATCATGATGGTTAGCATCTCTGTGGATGTGGGATCAGCAACTAGGTGAAGATAAAATGAAGACCAAATCATTCAAAATAAAACACAAACAGTTTTGTTAAACAAGGCTTTAGTGTCAGTTGATCACATATTCACTAACATTCATGAACATGCTGTACAAGACATCCTCAACACGCTCGCTGAGACAACAGGGTTATAAAATAACTACACATCACACATCAGTAGGATATTATGCCATAGACAGATCAACAAACAATATTTCCATTATTAATGAAAAAAAATCTTTCAACATAACTCGTTAACTAATAACAATAATTGACTTACCACCAAGTCATGACTCAGAGACTACATATTACATTTTATATGAACTGTGTTTATACAAGAACTGTGTGAAGATCTCACAACCCTGTCATAGAAGGTCATGTATGTTGAGTGAACCTTGACAGCCCCGTGTAAATGAAGGATGCGAGGATTTCTGAAATTTCTAAAACAATTCAGCTTAATTTCTTTATCACCTCAATTCGGAAAATTCAATTGAAAAAAACTGACAATCAACACAGAAGCCAAATGTTCCTTCTATGGTACTTCCAGTTGGGTGTAGATGCCATAGTGCTCAGAAATGACCAGGTGTGTAAATACACACTATATTATTCATAGTCTTTATTACTTACATTCGGAACTGGCCGTTTAATTTCATTTTTGAGAAACAGAAATCAGAAATGTGATTGTAAATGAGATTGACTGGGTTTATAATAACACAAACAGCTTAATCACATTTTCAAATGTGTGTCAGTAGGGACAGGGATTCTCATGATGATTCATAGAAGGTAGTTTTAACATGTCCATAATGTTTCGGGGATATTTTCCCCAAACCATTCATTGTTGTACATGTTTATTTATTTATTTATTTATTGGTTTACATGCTGCCAAATACTGTTTCTGATGTTCAGAAGCGTAAGTCATATACTCGACTGCGCCCCATGCTGGGGTCAGTAATGACTGATGGTCAGTCAAGCAGCTTCTCATTCCGCTGATGCTCACTCACTATACATGCGGCACTATATGCGGGTAGTTGCTCCCAATGCTTGGGCATGTAATTTGTGTCTGGTTAAGGTTGATGCTCAACCACAGGTTTCATTGTTATAGTTATAGTAGTAGTTAGTATTAACATGAGAATCCCCTAACGCCAAAGAAACTAGTCTTGTATGCATGTGCTATGGTATGATGTTATTCTCATAAATAGTCAGTTATCATGTGTTTGTTAAATTTATTATAAACTTTGAAAGCTTCGTTTACAGTACTCCATCCGACAATTAAACAGCCTTGATGCTGATTGGCTGATTAGAATTTCACCTAACATGACCTCATATGGAGGGATCAGATCGAGCAAAGAAATATCTCATTAGAGTTAAGATATGAGATTGCTCAAAACCTTAAATGGAATGAATATTTTTCACACTTTTAGTGTAGTCATGAATATCAATACCTTGCAAGTTCACAGAAAACCATGACAACTGTATCCATGACAACAAGCATAACCGACTTCTCAGTCCAAATGACTTATGAAAACAATCTCCCTTTTTATTCTAATGTCGGGAATAAACTGCAAAGTAGTAAAAATACCCTGATTGCTATATTTTGGTCTGTTGAATACTTACTTGATGTTAAACAACAAGCTTAAAAATGGTGAACCTTTGGACAGATTCATATACATTGCATGTGTACATAGTATTATGCATTATACAAGCACACAAACATACAGTATCACAAACACCAAGTGTAAAATGATTGTTTATGACACCCAAAATAAAGAAAACATGTCAGTAAGTATTATACTCTTGTCTTGAAATGAAAAACACAATCATAAAAGTAAAATATACACACAACTTGATGAAAAATGTACACAACATGACACAGGGTCTTGATGGGGGGTGGTGGTGGTATGAGTCAATCGTCTTACAGAGGCAAAGGAGCTAACTGATTATAAAAGTCCTGTTCCCACACTTGCTGAACTAGGCTAGAATTCTGGAGTTACATTTTGGCTTGATTAACGAGTCTATGAATAGTCCAGTCAAAATTGTGTAAGGAACAACATGGATTTTGGCGTGCAGATTTCGGATTTGCAAAGCACGTGTACCGCCAACTGGGCGATGACATATATTTTAATTGGATTATTACATTTTTCATTGGGTAAGCAATATTTTTTCAGTCATCTATTCATCACTCTTTTGGGTATTTCCCCAAAAGAGTAGACATTTTAAGATTAAAAAAGAAAATGAAATAATGTTTCAGATGTACAAAACCATGATAACTGTTTTAAATATATAGGCTTGACTCAAAAAGTAAATTAGCTCGTTATTGTGTTTCGGCAATTAGCTCCATTGTACGCATGCTGAAAAAGCTTCATTTGGGTATATACGCATGCTGTTTTTATATATTTTTCATTTAATGCATGCGTTTCTGTAAGCAAGTTAATTGAAAGTAATTGGGGTTTGAATATTTTTTTTTTGGGGGGGGGGGGGGGGGGGGGTGTACTTTACGCAAATACGCTGCTTATCTGTCGCTCTGTATTATTTTATTGGTTTAATCAGTGAACAAACACACAAATAGTGGATATGTTGTGAAGTTGAATCTAAGATGTGAAATCATCTCCATGGTAACGCAGATCATCAGTCCGTCACTATGGAAACTTGGGGACAGCTGGTTGAGCTGTTTCATTCCTGCAATTTGTGTTTTGCAAATACCAAACACTGACTGGTTTAACTGAGTTGTTAGATCTAGTTTCATAAAACTTTTACGAGACTTGAGGGTGATAACAATAACCATTTTTATTTTACGCTAAGCAGTTTCTATGGACATCTTATGTAAATATGTTATGACGAAAAATTGTATGCATCATGCATTTACAAGTTTCTTTTAGTGGTTTAACAATGAACAGTATAACCTATTAAGATCATTTTGAAAGAAAAGTGGATGTGAGTATTATTGCTTATGATATGATCAACAAAAATGAAAATGAATCAACAAATGAATTACAGTATCAAGCAACGTAACTTGAAGTGCAAGGGGAACAACTCTGTAACACACGTCTATGTACTTCGCTACATAGAGCAGATCTGATGTGTCACACAACCACTGAACACAAGTACTAGTAAGATACAAAATACCCCAATTTCCACAAAACTTCTAATTTGCATCTAAAAATACAAAAAAAATAACAAAGTGAAATCAAAAGTCTTTTGAGGTTTCTATATATTTGATAAACATAGCTGAACCAAATAAAACCGGCAAAGACAGATAGACAATATCTTCATATCAAGGGGCTATACCATACATTGCAAAAAAATCATTATTTATCTGATAATTATGCAAATGGAAATATAAAATGTGTTATGAATTAATTGAAACTTTTACATGTATTTTAATGTTACTTGTCAAACGTGAAGCTAGAATATTGTCTGGAGGCTAGGTTGACATGCCGTTAATAGTTGTCTCTGAAGGATTAACTGACACATTGTATGTGGTATGAATGTGTGTGAGTGTGTGTGGTGGGTGCGTGTGTGTTGTGGTGTGTGCATGTGTGTTGTGATGTGTGAGTGTGTGGGGTTTTTGTGTGTTGTGCGATATGTGAGTATATGGTCTGATGTATGTTGTGTTGCGTTGCGTTGTGCTGCCTTTTCAAAGTAATGGTTGACATTGAAAAACTGGGTCTGCTTATATTTTCTGGATTGTAATGTGCAAATATATATAAATAATAATAAAAAACATACTATACACCAATAAATGAAAAACACAAAGAAATACAGGAACACACAAGCAATATTAGGCCCAAACAAACTTACTACTTGTTCTAAGGAGGGTGGTGGGTGGGGGGGCACGGGTGGCCCAGTCGTCTAAGGCGCCGCGATTCGCTGTGAGGAGTTGCGTCCCTTGGGCATGCCGGAAACCTATGATTGTGGGTTCGAATCCCGGTTCGCCCCGATTATGTTTCTAGGTTTGTCAGCACCATACCCGTGCTCGTGGGTTTCACCGAAGTGGTAAACGTCTGAGACCTGCATCACTTTGGGCTTTCCTCCCACATTAAGCTGACACGCCATGATATGACTGGACTACTGTTAAAAGCGGCGTTAAACCCAACTCACTCACTAAGGTGGCTGGTGGAGGATGGAGGATGGTGGTTGAATAGACTTTAAATTACTACTTCGTTCAACTACAAATGTGATACTCATTTTCTAATTACATTAAATATTTTGTCAATTAATAGATAAAAGGCAAAAATGCTAAATATATCATGATATATATTGTTGACAAAATTACAGAGCCTCAAGTCCTTAAATTGTTAAGGCTTATTATTGTAACATGTCAAGTCTCTATACATGGACGGTAAAGTATGGAACAGTATGCAATGCTATATTGTTACAATCTTCCAGATGCCAAGCACTGAGATAGAACATGCTAGAACACATATCCAGGATTTATGCATACATCATCTTACCATTGCCATACCAGTCTCTGAAACGTAACTGTTTCTCCCAAAGGCAAAAGAACCTGATTTATGAAAAACCTGACAAAAGGAGAATCACTATGATCTGATTCTGGGAAAGAAAATATGACAAGCATAAACTTAAAAACAGTTTGTGAAAAGAATTAGAAGGGAACAGGAACAGTAAAGAGCGCTTGCCATTTGGTACTTCTTTATCGTTGATGCATTTCAATCTCACTAAAATCAGACCTAAGTTCTTGCTGCCGCTAAACAAAGATCTGAGGACATCCCATTACGGGTCATGTCAGAACGACCTTTCGCAAACTTTGACCGACCACTGTAATTACTAACGAGAAGTCGACATCAGCCAATTAAAAAGCAGCTTTTTCGAGCTCGACGCTCATTTCAACCTGGCGACTTCCAAACAAACAAACATTCTGGAATGTCTAATATATGACTGAGGTTGCATGGCAGTGCTTCCAAAGTACTGTGCAACACCTCTTCTGTTCAAATGTTTATCCCACGGAAGCGAGAGAGAGAAGATGATTTTGACAGAATCCGTTGTACGGACCGTAACTGTCGTTCGGAATACCCCGTGTTAACGTTTTCGAGGATGCATGATTAGAAAACACATTCCGACTGTGTCACTTTCATGATCTGGTCAGCGACGCTTTGATTGGCCGGATGAAAGGTCGTTCTGACGTGACCTGTAATGGGATATCCTCAGATCTTTGTTTAGCGATAGAGAGAACTAAGATGTGACTTTAATGAGACTGGATACATTTGAACATTAAAATTACTGAAAATGTAAGACTTTCTAGAAGTTTTTCTTCTCGCTCTGATCTGTTCCTCTTTCCATAAGACAACAACTAATATTTGGTTACTGTGATAAAAAGAGGACAGTCATACTCGTCTGAATGATGCCTTTCACTCAGTCTGCTCCAGGCGAGCTCTATTCGATCTATTCAAGTAACGAAAAATAGAAAATAAACACATTAATGTCTTAGTCTCTAAAATTGTTGACCAATAAATATACCTTCTAATGTATTTTGTCAGACAACTGAGGTATGTTAATGCCATGATATTTCTAATAAAAGATCACACAAAACATTCACATGTGCTCGGCTCAGTTCTACAATTATTCCACAAGCAATCATATCTCTGTATGAAATGAGGTGAAGTGTTTTGATTATCCCTTCCTGTGATGGATACCCTCCTCCCTCTTCAGTCACTAACGGTGGGTATCTCCACATCATCAACAAACAGCTGGTGCACCAGACCACTCCGACGCTTGCCACTGCTGCAGATTTTGATGTAGGCAGAATGAGCACCAATCTCAAAGTGGGTTTCGGTCCCATCATCAACAAACTCGGCCTGGATTGAGAATTAGTTGGGTTTAACACAATCACATTCAAATCAGATACACAAAGATCAGACGACATCCAATTTGATGTCACGACCTTGGACCGACCAATAAAATGAATAACAGAAAGATGACATTCGCCAATCAGCAGTTTTCTTGAGCTTTACTGCACAAGTTTCAAACTGACAACTTCCATACCAGACAGCACTTTGAAAAACATTGATTCAAAATCTAAAAACTGAAAATTCTGTAATGTCTAATAGATGCCCGATATTGAATAGCAATACTTCCATGGGCTATGGAAAGTCTCTTCTGTTTCAAATGTTTATCCCATTGAAGCGGGAGATAGACGATTTTGACGGAATCAGCTATATAGGTCTTGCGGAATACCCTGTGTTAACCTTTTTGTTTAAAAGTACTTTCCAACTAACCCTTCCCTGATCAGGTAAGCAATGCTCTGAATGGTCGAAGAAAGGTCATCCTGCTGTTACCAGTAATGGAATGTCCTCGGATCTTTGTTTAGCGGTAAAGAGAATGAAGATCTGAGTTGAATTTAGATAGGGTTTAACAATGCTTTGAATGGTATTTCAGCTATATCATAATATTTCAGTTTAAGGTGTTAGGAAAGTCCGAATTGGTGCACATCTTAGCCTTTTACGACTTCAGTGACACCCACAAGCAAGAATATGGGAATGATGACCCAAGGTTCCTGATCAGGAAGAATCTAGGATCATAGAATCCTTGCACGCCTGGCCACCCTGCTGCTGGTGCGAGAACAAGTCAGCTGGTATCATGGATGCTACTGATTGATGGATGAGATTTAAGATTAAGTGTACTTACTGCTGTGTTGACTTTGTCTCCGTTCACCCATACATCAACTGTGTCCTTTTCTGGAACATAACACACAATATGTTCAAAACAGTTTGTTTGCTTCCAGCTACATTTTTTAGTTTAATTCTTTTTAAACCTATACTTTATGATTCCTTGGATCAAGTATCTTCCTGCTCCAATAGAATAACATAAAACGCCTCTGTGGTCTATTGAATAGAGTGTCTGCCCAGAGAGTGCAAGGTCTGTGGTTTGATGTCTGGACATGTCATACCAAAAGACGTTAAAAGATGGTACTTGCTGTTACCCTGCCTGGCCCTTGGCACTAAGGGGCTAAAACAAGAACTGGTCAGCTCGGAGTCAGTATACTGTGTCTGAGTGGGTTATCCCATTAAATCTGGTAATAGCTGCAGCATGGCATCCCAGTGGGCTAGCACTATAAAGCCAGCATTACCCAGGACTAATTAAAGCAGCCACACACACCCACACCCAAACCCACACATGTGCAATAATCTCACGACTTTAAACCTCATTTCACCTCATCCCCAATCTCATTAAAATCAGATCTTAGTTCTCGCTTCCGCTGAACAAAGATCTGAGGAGATCCCATTACGGGTCACATCAGACCGACCTTGCGTGAACTTTGACCGACAAATGGAATGACCAATCAGAACGCACCTTTCTCATGCTTTACGGCACTAATTTCAAATTGGCGACAATGCTTCGAAACATATTTGGACAAATTCTCGATTACAAATTTGAAACCTGAACAAAAAAACATTCTGGAATGGCTAATAGATGGTCTAGATTGTAAGGATTCAGTCGTTAAACCCGTAACTATCGTTCGCAATACCCCATGTTAAAGTTTTCGAGGTTGCATGATTAGGTTGCCACTTTCATAATCTGGTAAGCGACGCTCTGATTGGTCGGATGAAAGGTCGTTCTGACGTGACCCCTAATGGGCTGTCTTCAGATCTTTGTTTAGCGGTAGCAAGAACTAAGATCTGACTTTAATGAGACTGACCTCATCCCTACCTCACCAATACCTTGAAAAGTTTAAAACAATAACAGAAAGGAATTTTTATCTGCTGTTTGTTTTCTTGGTTGATGTTTGGAAATGGTATTTGTTTGTTTGTTTGTTTTTTAACACCGCACTCACCAATACTCTAGCTATATGACGGCGGCTGTTAATAATCGAGTCTGGGCCAGACAATCCAGTGATTGATATTGTGAGCAACGATCCCCATCATCAGGATACGAACACATGCAATCAACCAAGTCACTGAAGGACCTGCTTGCCATAAAAGGCGACTATGCTTGTAGTAAAAGGTGACTAACGGGATCGGGGGGGGGGGGGATGGGTGTGTGTGGTCAGTATCGCTGACTTCGTTGATGCTTGTCATCGTATCCCAATTGCGTGGATTGATGCTCATGATGTCAATCACTTGATTGTCTGGTCCAGACTCAATTATTTACAGAACATCATCATATAGCTGCAATATTGGTGAGTGCGGCGTTGAAGAACAAACAAACAAACAAATCTTAACTTACCCATGGTGACCCTGATTGGGTTGTCCCCTATGTGGAGTATCCAGGACTGCGTGATCTTCCTCTGGTTCTCACGGAACTTCTGCAAACTCTTGCCATTAACCTGCAAGGTGTACTCATAGGCAAATCCACTGACTGCTTCGATGGCGATTTCACACTTGGCCTTGCCAACTTGGAACGTTTCCTTGCCAACCAGTTTGAACATCCAGTCTTCTCGATGAATTTCCTGGAATTCAAAAGGCAAGGTTAGATGTCTTGATATGGGATCGCATCAACCAACCAAAGCTTCTATATAATTTACTGGAAGACATTAAATCAATCACAAATCCTTCATGTTACATGACATACTGCAACACATTTTTGGCAACTGGAACGCACACAGCATCTCTATACAGTAAACTATGGTAATAACGAACTAAAAGGGACCACTCATTTTTGTTTGTTATAACCATAGTTCATAACAAGCATACATACAGCAAATGGCCGGGAGCAAAAAATAAGTTTGCTGTGTTTATCAGTTTGGTATAAGCATGTTTGTAATAAACATGGTTTACTGTATATCCAGCACATCATTTATTTGGCATCCAAGTTAAGAACTCTAGAGTCATATCAGTGTACACAGCTAGTACAAGTAAATTAGATTGGAATTTCACATGGATTGCATGGCCATGCCTGCTCATAAGACATGTACGGTCAGAGCTAACTTTTTATTAATTTGTCAATCTTTGCAAGAAAAAAAAGATGCAATATAAATTTCAACATTGAAATATTGGCATTCGCTAACCAGATAAACATTTCGTGGCATCCGGCGTACTGCACTGTGGCATCCAGAATATGACATAACAGGGCGTACCATAAGGGGGGTGGCACCCTCTTACATTACACAAATGATAAACAGCTTCGTGCCAATGTACTCTATACATTGCTTCAATATGAGGCGGGGCGGTCGGGTAGCCTAGTGGTTAAAGTGTTCGCTCGTCACGCCGAAGACACGGGTTCGATTCCCGACATGGGTACAATGTGTGAAGCCCATTTCTGGTGTCCCCCGCCGTAATATTGCTGGGATATTGCTAAAAGCGGCGTAAAGCCAAAACTCACTCACTCACTCACTCAATATGAGGCAATGGCTGAGTTTGTACGAAGCTCCTGAACAGAGTTTGGCGCTTTCGATGGACTTCTTCCATGACACATGACACTACTACACTGGGATGTGGTTGTATGTGTTCATGGGCTATGTAGGTACGTAGGATACTACAGTCTGTGACTTTAGCCACTATTCCGAAGCCCCAGTCCAGTAACAATTCGTTTGGCCTGTAAGCTTTGCTAAAGAAGTCCATACATTAACACTGAGATCTAATGAAAATGATGTCAGGTTACATGCTCAGTCCAGAAGACTAAACATGTTTGTATCCTCAAGAGTTTATACAAAATGAGAAGTATTGACGATGAGTTAATAAAACACGGAAACAGCATCACCTTCCCATCAACGCGGATGACTCTCTTGCCCGTGGTAGTCCCATGTTCAAATTCAATCGAGTGCACCCCATCACTTAGAGCGACCTCCCAGGTGGCCACAAGGTCACTGGACATATTCCTGTTTAACCTATAAAAGAATGTAGAGAATTTTCACCATAATAATAATATTTAGAATAATAACAAATATGTATTTTTTAGAGTAAAAATATCATTTATACTTATCCTGACTCATACTTATTGCTCATTTGTATGAGTCAGGATAAGATAAAATAATAATAATAATCTGATTGTAATGCACATGACTCCATACGCAATGCTCGAAGCGCTACATTATTACTGCACTGATCAATGTATTGAGTACATATGAGGTGTCATGCTCAGATCCCCGAGGAGTATATAACACATCCTTGTACCTCAAGTCTTTTATGGTAAATGCCCTGGATCCATTTTCCAACATGACCCTGTTTCACAAGTGATGTCAGTCTTCATCCTTCTTGTCACAGAATTTCTCTCACTCATGAGCTTTAAATCAACAGCCAACTAAAAAAGACCCTTCTGAAGTGAGAGTTTGGCATTATTGTGATATGTTTGGTTTGGTTTGTTTGTTGTTTAACGACTCAATCAGCAATACTCCACGTATATGATGGCGGTGTGTAAATAATCAAGTCTGGACCAGACAATTCAGTGATTGATATCATGAGCATCGATCCACGCAAATGGTATTCGATGAGATGCATCAACCAAGTCAGCAAGCCTGACCACCCGATCCTGTTAGTTGCCTCTTACGACAAGCATAGTCACCTTTTATGGCAAGCATGGGTTGCTGGAGACCTATTCTACCCCGGATCTTTACGGGTCTATTGTGATATGTATGTGTAACTAATTTCAGCATTACGGGGGTTATTTGAGTGCTCCCTCGACACATTTAATTGAACAAGATGTGTGCATAAATGATCGTTCAGCCAGAAATATGTTTCCTGTTTCATGTTAAGATAGGGGAGGGGGTCCTCGTGCTATGAAGCACCCCCAGTTGTACTTGAGACAGTATGCTAACGAGAGTCGAAAACTTGTTCAGTTTAAACATATTTTATTCTCATGAAAGTCGAAATGGGTGATAACACCAATTGTTTCAATTATGAATAGTTGTTGTTGGTTTGTTGTTCAATGCCTCACTCAGCAATATTCCAGCTATATGACGGCGGTCTGTAAATAATCAAGTCTGGACCAGACAATCCAGTGATTGATATCATGAGCATCGATCCATGCAATTGGGATCGATGACATGCATCAACCAAGTCAGCAAGTCTGACCACACGATCCCATTAGTCGCCTCTTACGACAAGCATAGTCGACTTTTACGACAAGCATGGGTTGCTGAAATCATATTCTATCCCGGATCTTCACGGGTATCAATTAAGAATACATCATGTGTATTTGACAGATGTTTTTTTTAGCAATGTGTTATATGAACAGGGCCTTAAACATAGCTATGGTGGCAAATTGGTTCTGGGGAACTAACAACAATGGATAGAGATGTAATACATTGTTGAGAGTCACGAATGCATTTACACAAACTTAAAAATGTTATAAAAAAACAATGTTACATTGTCAAACCATCAGTAAGACTGACTAATATGTAATAGTTATCACACTTGTATCATTATTCTTCATGTTTAATCAGCAAATTATAATTATATGATATGAAATGAGCATCTAAAACAATAATGAACATAATAAGAGGTCAATATCTATTTTTATTGACTCGAAAAATGCAATACTGTAATCCAGTTTATGAATGAAGCAATCCAAAGAAGAATCAGAAAGGTCAAATTCTGTGCAGGTGTTTTGACATGTAAACAGTTTGTAATGATAGCTGTCCATGTAGTAAGTACCACGTGGGTAATAATGTAGGCTACCGGTATTTCACCATGACCATGCACGTGCTACACAACGGTACAGGAAACGACAGTCGCAATGATGGCTGTTATTAAGCATTTAAAAAAGCACAGTCATAACAGCTGCACACCATGTCCATACGACTGCCGTGTTTTTTTCCAAAGCAAAAATATTTACACGGGACCCCTTCTTTGCTTCAATCACTGGACCGTGTAACTTATAATAACAAAAAAAACCTCGAGTTTTTTTATTGTTATTATTATTAGTGACATGGTCCTGTGCTTCAATACTGGGCAATCACATGATATTATACATCATATTATAGATTATTGTTACTTTGGCATACTGGACTGTGTATCGCAAGCATTATAGGTCCTGCATATAAGTCAATATTGACTACTTTTGACAAGATTTTATTCGTTATGATCGTTGATTTTGAATAGACATAAGTAGAAGTTGAAAAGAAGAGAGTCACACAAACCCTAATATTTGCACGTACTCGCCGCTTCTTGCTGCTCGGCAACAACAGTTCAAAATCTACACACTTCCGGGTAACTTCGCAGCAAAATGTTTTCAACGATACCCTACGGTTGGGAGCAAACCTACTATTTTACAGATCCGATTACCCAATCTTACACAAAGTTCATTTTCTTTGTATTTTTAAATGTGTTCTATATTTTGACGATAGAGTTACTTTCCCCGTCCCCGAGTGCGCACCTGTCAAACAACAAACATGGCGTCTTTTGGCAAACAACGTTGGATTGTAAGTTAACTTTCAATTATTCAAACGATTACTGATCCACGAGTTAAATCTAAATGCCCAAACCAATTTTCCGAACGCTCACAAAGATAGAGAGTACAATGTACTGTCAGTTTTAAATTCTATTGTTCTGGCGGTAAATTTGAATACGACAGACTTGTCAAAACATGTTATGAACATTGGTAACATTTCGCACGGTGTTGACAGATATTTCTACCAAGTATACAGACTGATGTTCTGTTGATTTTACTGTAATCAGTGCATCTGGAAAAATGAAAAGTAAATACAGCATGAATAAGTATTAGACAGATCTTTATTCGTGAAGAATGTAGGCCTCCGGTCCATGTTCATACAGGTGGTCAGTCAGCGATTAATACTAGGCCAATATGTAACAATAATTATATTATCAGTCAACATGGATCGTTCTGAAGCAATTTGCATAATAAATATACACAGTCAGGTGTCGAATTTCATTTATATCCGTTGATGCCAAAAGCATAATGTATTTGTTAGTGTAGGGTATGATATAAATTTAGTAGGTATGCACTTCTCACGCAGTGTTTTATACCAGACACAAACCATCAAAAATGTATTCATCTTTGATGTAACCTTCATTACAAAGAGTTCACAGCCTTTTATCTCTAGGAATATTGAAATACCTGCCAGTTTCTATTTTGAGACCATGGGAACTGCTACAAAATTGTGCCATGGCCATGCAGAATTTTGCTATTATTACATGTTTAAGGTTTAATTCTGTTCCAAAAATACCTTTAAAGAAATTGTAATTTCTGGCTTTAGAATTGCTGAAAAGAAAGGCATGCCATTCCTGTTCAAACAGACATCTTAATCTTGTCATTAGTTCCCCGATAAAGGATTCTTATACTTACTGTTTGTGATTCGCATACATAGCCAAATCTAAGTCCAAACGACAAATACTTCAATTTGGAAACCCAGTTATTTTTGCCATAGTTTACTGCTTGTAAAAGTATATTGTAACACTTTTTTGGATATCTTTCATTTGGCATATGCAATAATCTAATCCAAAATTTAATAGAACTTTTAAATGCAAAAATGCAGATAAGATATCTGCCAAATTTACCCAATACTGTGTAATTTGGTGTTGAGAGTCAGACCCATGCTGTAAAATACGCATAATTTTAGTGTCAAATATCCTAAAAAATAATTCAAACAGAATTGGTTTAAGTTTATGTATTATCATTAAGATGCCCAACAAGACATTTCTAGCCTGAAAAGCTGCACTTTTGGTGTGCTTATCCCAATATAATGGTTTACTGAAAGTTATACCAAAATACTAATAGAATGGCACCCACTCAATAGACATTTCCCTCTCCAATTCTATTTTTCACTTTTCGAGAGAAGACTTGTTGTGTTATTGCGCATCCTGCCTGAATTTATTTTTAATGATTTCAATAAAATTCAGTCTAGAAAAACATTAAATTGTGAATCCAGATAAAAATTGTTAAACCTTGTGATCTTCAGTATGTTTAAACCACTTACACTCGTGTAGAGAATGGTCTCAATGACTGATTATCATTTACCATATCTACATTTGGCGACCATGACAAGACCAACTGTATGTCAGAACAGCATGCATGTTTCAAAGAAATTTCAAGATTTGATCATTAACAAGTCGATTAAAGTTTTGATTACTTGAAATGGTTTTCTGGGATGTGTCAAATTCATGTGATCACTAACAACTTGCCTACAGTAGATCAAATTTTTGTTTAATCTCAATTCACAAAAGTCCACTAAATACTGCAGTTGACAGTGTGCATGGTTTTATTAGAATACATGTACTGAACTTTCCCAATGCATGTTCCTGTAGTTTTGAAATACTTAAGATTTGAATAGCTAAAAGGTGTATGTCACTGTTCAGCGTTAGAAATTGCTTCAAATTGGCACTAGTCCTGTAGTCCTTACCAAGTTGCCTAATGGTAAAGGTATCCTAAGGAGTAGAGGACTAGTAGAAATTGGCCCATTTTAAGGGTTTTGCTCTTTGTTATCATTATAAGGACTAGTGGACAAAAACTGTAAGTTTCTAACCCTGCTGTTCAATGAAAGGTTTCTGTACTGAGAAATAAGCTTAGTAAGAGGTAATGCATGTCATTGTTATTGAACCCCATAATTTTTTTAAACAGCTTGCTAGCGTGTGGCATTACCACTAATAATTACAGATCATATTATGTCACATTTAATGCATATTTAATGATAAACTGAATATTCAGAGTCCTCGAATGACAGAGCCAGGAGTTGATGTGGAAGACAATATGGATATTACTGGCTATGACTATGAGGTGAGCATCATGAGGAAGGTGAGCTGAAATGGAGTTTAACGTCACGTCACGTCAAGATTATTGCACTTACAAATACATAGTGACATGCATAAATATGAGTATGTGTGGCTTCTTTACTAGTCCGGACAGATGCCGATTGATAGTGCTAGTCCACTGAGATACCATGCCACAATTTGACATGAATACCCCACTCCAGAGTTTCAGATGGTAGTTGGTCACTGGTCATAGACAGATACAATTTAAGTTTGACTTATTTTTTTTAAGTACGGTAGTTTAACTTTTGAGCTATAGAAATGCTAAGCAAGGTGTCACAGATTTTATAATTTCATAAATATAAAGTAAATTTTAAGGATTAGTCCTACAACATGTACACGTTTACAGTGTTGATGTAATAAACCAGTGCACAGCCATAAAAAATCATGATTGAAATTCTGAGTAGTGTGTCTTTGCATCATACTTTCTGTATTATAGGGAAAGGCTGTCAAAGCTCTAGTGACTTAGTCAAGCCCTTTTCTTATCGTGACATTCATTGGCCAGATCACCTGATCACATATATTCATCCAATCACAAATGGTATTGCATTGATGTGTTGTTATGGTTGTTCCACCATTTTTGTTTACTTGATGTATTGATTTTTACCATTGACTTATATTAAATTTCTTGGGTCCAAGTTATTGACGGATATACAGCTTTTTGTGTCAAAATCACTACTCTCAGACACAGTATACTGACTGAGCTGACCATTCCTGGAGTTCTTCCCTTAATGACGAGCCCCTGGCTCGGAAACAACAAGTACCATCTTTTAACATCTTTTGGTATGACGCGGATGGGGATCGAACCATAGGGCAGACACTCTATCCACTAGACCACTGAGGTGGTAGAGAGCACGGTGAGAGACAGAGGCCTGTAATCAATGCCTGTCTCCCTGTCATTACATATCTACTACATATGATCATGATGATAGATGAAGGGTATGTCCCAGCTGTTTTATGATAGACCAAATGCCTCTTCTTACCCCTTATTTCTAATTTTCTAAGCTTGTGAAAAACTGAAGTTAGATGAAAAGATAATCATTATGGTATTCCATGGATATATTGGTTTTCCAAAACAAAAAATATCAATATGACTGTTTGTATGGTCAGATTATTTTAAGATTCTTCCTTGTTTTATGCATGTTAATCTTGTTCTGTTTCTTTACAGGGTGAAGTGAAAGCATGGTGCAATGTGAATCATTTGTTGCGGTTGAATGGTTATGCAAAAGTTAAACTTCTGCATCCTGCAGATATTTCTCTTGCAACAGGTAAATAATTATGTTTCAGTCAAATTAACATGTCCACATTGAACATTGTTGAACGTAATCCGTTTTTTATAAAATCCCAAATTGAATTCCTTACAAGTTATTATGTTGTAGAAATATTTATAAATGTTTACATGAGCATGCTGAATAGGAGGTCGTTATCATGTTTCTGTCCTTTGATAATGAGATTGCAATATTCCAGTAACTATGCTGCTGTTGTATTTCAGATAATGTTGTCTGTATTGATCTTGCGACAAGTGAATCCTTGAGAGATACTTTGACATCTCTTCTGAGGTATGTGACATGTCAGGCTAATTTCAGCAAGATTCTGTGTCAAGGCTTCAAAAAGTTTTCAAATAAAACACTGCTGTATTGTAAAACACCTTTTTTGACTTCCAGAACTTCAAGTCACTCGCCATTCATGGATTTACCATTTTTTACTTCCCTGTTGTATTTTTGCAACTGAACGTCAGATCATTTCGTTGCCATGAACCGGTGAAACTCTTACTGTGGTAATTGGAGAAAAGAATTGGAATTATAAACATGATAAAAGCCTGAATGGATTCTTTGTTTCTAGAGATCCATTTTAGTACTGAGGCTGATACATCAACATTGATAAATAACCTTATTGCTCTTTCAACATGTTCAAGTTATTGGATGTTGTTAAATAAAATGAATCTTTATCAAAATGCAGGCAAATAGTCAGTACATTATGTAATGAGATAGACTAGCCCCCTTTCTGTATGTTAACATGTTGAGAGTGGCTACTTATGGGTGAATTTCTTTTCCTTTCAATTTTGAATCAGTTTATTCAGATAACACTTAAAAGGTAAATGATTAAATACTTATAAGGCTTATTTCTTACTAGCTATACTTTGTGAGATTTTCCTAATAAATGCTAAATGAATTATTTTTCTCTTTCAATGTGCATAGGTGTGATCGGTAGAAGTATTGCTTTTTTAGGAAAAAGAATGTCACATACACTTATGAATGTTATCTATGACTTTGACAATGGTGTTTGTTCTGCATCTTAGTGACCAGCCAGAGCAACAGAGTTCCATGATGGAGAAGTATCAGAACAAGGTGAAGGACCTCAAGGTCATGCTGGAGTGTTCCAGGGCCAGAGTGCAGGTAGGGCCTTCTACTTGCTTCACATGCACACTCACACACATACAGATCAGGCACATGTTCCTGTCCTCATGATCCAGTTCAACTTCACTCACTCACTCACTCACTCACTCACTCCATGAAGGGTTGTTCATGTTATGACTCTGCAGGTGAGTCGACAGTTGATAATTCCCACATAGATTTAGTGTCTGTGTAGGTCTTGAATTTTGCTGGTCACGGTCAAATGAATTTATGACAGCTCATGTTAACCTTTAACTTTAGGTAATGAAGATAGTGAAAATGATATATGTGTAGGAGAAACCATGTCTCCGAGGGATTACTAGGGATTGTAAACCCTCACATGAGGGAACGTCCCGAATGTGAGGGTTTACAATCTCTGGTAATCTCGAGGAGACATGGTTTGTCCAACTTATAAACTGACTCATCGCATAGACAACATTTTTAATTAAATAACTGTAATAAAAACTCTCAAATGTATAACCTGTATCGGAGATGAAATATCGCCTGCAGTCGTGAACTCGGTTCAATGAAACCGGCGACCTCAGCACGTGGGTTTCGCAACGGTGCGAAATCTGCACGTGCGTCTCGCAATGTCACGAAATCTGCACATGCGTCTCGTAGGCTGAGACTATTACACGTTTTGCTTTGACTGACGCTCATTCATTGTACAGCCTGTTGCTGGCGTACAGATCTTGAAAAGGACATTCTAAAAAGCAGTGCTGCTTATCAACACCTCTGTGGCCTTGTGGTACACTCACTGGGCTACAGATATGAAGGTTACGAGTTCGATCCTCGGGAATATAAAGAAAACATTTGTCATTTGATTTTACATTTCATTACCGTATTTTCTTGAGTATAGTGTGCACCCATGTATAATGCGCAACCCCCTCTAGTGGGTTCAATATTTTGGAAAAAAAGAAATTTGAATATTATGTGCAGAAAAAATTTTCACCGTACCCTTTCAGCGAAGTCCGGCAAACGAACGGGTGCTGAGAAACTTCGTCAATACAAATTCGAAATTTGAGATAAAAAATCACCAGACAAGTTTATTTAACGTTTAAATAGTATTTATTGTTCTGCTAGGCATTGTTTTATATCTAGGGATTAGGATTACCTTGTGTATTTTCTCGTAAACTAAGCCGGAAACAGCAATCAGCTGTACACACGTTTTCTTGGAATCGACCGGTGATTCGGTCAAGACACACCCAATGATATAACTTTATAGGATTTTTAATGCAAGGATCGGCAACAATTGTATCTGAAACTATTTTTTTTTATCAGGAATAATATATTCCATTATTTTCTTAATTATATGCAGCCTTTACTAAACATATTTAAAATAATAATAACCCTAAGTGAAGCAGCCGATCGCTATTCCCGGGTATTATTTTTTACATGGAACCAGTCTGACCAGTCAGACTTATTTTGCGTACTTCAGTATGGATTTGTTGACATGGTATTTCTGGTGTTTTCTGCTCACGGTAATGTCTTTCCATGGGGGAAAAAAACATCCAAACTCATAATTCGTGTATAATGCGCACCCCCTTCTACACAGCTGTGTTTTTTCGAAAAAAAGTGCGCACTATACTCAAGAAAATTAGGTACATGTTACAATCTGAACGGAAGTTATAATGATTGTAAGCCCTCCTGCGAGGTGTTACAATTGTTTCAAGCCCTCCTGCGAGGTGTTACAATCGTTGTAAGCCCTCCTGCGAGGTGTTACAATCGTTGTAATACCTCCTGCGAGGTGTTACCACAATTTCAAAAACTCCATATCGAGTTACACAAACAGCCAGTAGGTTTATAAATATATGTTGCCTGCAATATGCTATGGTTACAACAGTAGTGTCATGCTGTTCTTGATAATGCTGATGGTATTTATTGAAGTGTATGTACGACTTACAGGAGCTGGAGCAAGATGCACAGAGCAGGTTATCCTACCACAAAGACGAAGGAGAGATGCTGCGTAACACAAAGAATGTTATCGTGTCCAAACACCGCCAGCTGGAACAGCAGTCTCAGGAACAGGAGCTGGAGATTGACATGCTGAGGAGGAAACTGAAGCGGATGGTTGATGAGGCGAGTGACTGCAGGGTGGTCATCAAGACCTGTGTCCTGGAAGTCTTGGAGCCTTGAAACTTGCTGCTTCACCAATTGACAGTCTGTCCCCAAAACCGATGTGTACTCTGATATTAGCCCAAACTTTTCCCTTTGCAATATTTTCAGTATATTTTAGTCCGAACACATTGACTTTGATTAGCTTTTGTAGCAGGGTATGGCATCTTCCCACAGATGACATCCTTATCTTGTCAGCTTGCAGGTTTGAATCAGAAGGTCCGTTGTCTGAATCCCATCTCAGGCCTCGAAAATTTTAGGGCCACTACATTGGCACCCAATGGGGGGCTGGGCATGTTCATGTAAACTTTGAGCAAAATAAGTCTCAGTATCAACTATGTGGCCTGGGATGTGCCTTCTGTTGACAGTGGAGTATGTAGCAGGGCGTTGAGTCATCCGACAGATAACATCCTTACCTTGTCATCTTGCTGATGGGGTTAACATCTTTGGTCGTGTGGACAAGGCGTTCAACCTTGGATCAGTATGTCTCGGAAATTTTATGGCCACTACATTGGCAACTAGCTTTGAGCTGAGCATTTTCTTATCACCATCACCTTTATGAAGAATTTCTCTCCTGTTAACACAGTATATGTTTATTTAATGTATGTCTGTTATTTCTGGGTGTCAGCTTGATAGTTAGCATGGTTAGTCTGTCAGTAGATGTACAACACATTCCATTCATGACCATCCAGCTTCACATGTTTTTAACACACCCAGCACTAGATCAGTAGGATTTGTCTTGGAAAGGGTATAATATTGTCTTGTATTATTCTCTTTAAGGAGACGAGAAGAATCAACAGACAAAATCAGGTTTTCCAGGAATTCAAGAAGAGGACTTCAAGAGCACATAGTGTCATGGATGAAAAGTAATTAGCTCTTTGATCTATTTAACTCTAATTTCAACAGAATTTTAATTGCAAATTATTTTCAAATTATACTATTGGACCTATGACATGATTCAGTAAAATTTATACGCATGATGTTTTGTGTCAGAATTTTATGGTTCTTAAGAGGAATACTTTGCTCTAAAATAGGTCAAGCTTGGTAAAAATATGATGAATTAGAACTTCTGCACGTGGAAACGATGAAGTTAACTGATGAGATTGCCTGCATTTCAGACTACTTGACATCATTGATGCATATGAAGGGCAAGTGAACACATTGCAGAGGGAGCTGGATCATTCCAGGTAAATTCTATAGCTCCTTGAGGTCAGATCATGTACTTCTAGGGACCACCTCCTTGGTATAGTGCAAAGAGCATCTGCATGGGGAGCGGAAAGTCGGTGGTTCAATCCATGACCGCATCATACCAAAAGAAATTAAAAGATGGTACCTGTTGTTAACCTAGCTGGGGCTCAGCATTTGAGGACAAAACAAGGACTGTTGCTTCGGAGTCAGTATTCTGTGTCTGAGATGGGTATCCATGTTAAACTATGGCATGGTATCTCAGTGGACTGGCACTGTAAAACCGGAATTTTGTACAAGACTGGTACAAGCAGCCATACACATGCATGTACGTCATATAATTTAATAATCTGGATCCATTCCCATGGTTTTTGCAATCTCAAAGTACCTGCTCTTAATTTTCATTACTGATTTTACTGACCAATGAAACTTCAAGATAAGGAAAAAGGAAATGGGTAAGGGACTTACCACAAGGCAGTTTTGATGGATTGCATGTCCACAAGATTTTAAGTTTGTTGTTTATTCATGATCTCTGTTGTCATGGTGCCATTCTTGATACGATGCTGTATCCCTGAAGGCTTGCTAGCTTAGCCTTATTGGCTGTACTGAGGTATAAAGTCAGACACTGGATGTGATTAATACCTTGATTTTTGTCTTTTGGTCAAGACATTAGTATCGGAATTCTCTACCCCCTAGATCTGGTTTGCCATTCGGTGCTGAAGACAGTGAAGAGTCCTACCTTTCTCATCACCCAAACCCTTCACAGAATGTCAAGGGAATTGTGAAGGTTTGTCCAGATCTAATGATTCCACTTTACTATCAGTTGCATCAAGTAAAATTGTGTTTTTGCTGTTGTCGAATGTATATGTAAAGAGAGTTGTCTCCCCTAGTTAATGGAATCAAGTAGGAGCACTTCAAACATTGAATAACCTAAAAGTTACAACTCTGGCGACAAATGGTGTCTGTCATGACCTGGGATTTATCTAGACCTGTTCAGAGGCCTGTATTTGACCCCAGCTTTGCAGCAAATGTCAGTAAAAATTCCCAAATTGAAATTTCCTACTTCCTGCGGTTATGGTTAAAATTAAAGGGATGACTTCGTCAGAGTGACTTTTACTTCATTGGTAAATGGATCACTAAAGTAGAAGTAGATGTAATGCTTGGTCATACATTATTGCATTGAGTGCCATGTTACCATCCTTCAGAATTTAGTAAAATTATATTTTTAAGAAATAACGCAAATTTGAACAAAGTTACAATTATTTTCTCAATTTGCCTGCCAAGGGTACTTCATTTGGATTCATACAAAAATACCGCCCTGTGGTATATCATGAACTGTTATTCTTATATATTGCTTACTTTATTATTAAAAAAATGATGTACATGTTGAGTTTAAATATATTAACATGCATGTAACATGTTTTTCAGTCATACGAGAAGCGTACCCAGTCGCTGCAGAAGAGGGTGAAGCGGCTGGAGGAGGAGAAGGAGCTGATGCAGCTGGATATGGGCTCCAAGTATGTTACACTGGTTGCATCTACGTATAGACTAGTGACCCATGAAGATCTGACTAGAATAGGTCTTCAGCAACCCATGCTTGCTTGCTGACTTAGTTGATGCATGTCATCATATCGCAAATGCGTGAGTGGATGCTCATGATATCAATCACTGGATTGTCTGGTCCAAACCCAATTATTTACAGACCACACTCATACAGCTAGAATATTGCTGAGTGCAGCGTCATATATTAACTGTTGTTATAACACGTATGAATAGGACCTGCCAGATAGAGTCAGTTTCTTGAATGTAATAGGTAGTTTGTGGGTCAACTGGCGGAATTCATGAATGTCTCCCCACGATTATTGTATGCACATGCTACAAGGGGACCAGGGCCTCATTCCGCATTCCAATCTTAGCACTAAGTCCCAGTCTTTAGCATTGACTTACGGCAGTCGTAGCGCTGCAATTGCTTTTTGAATAAGGGCCCTGGTAGTAAAACTTAGACATGGCTGAGTGCGTGCCATGTTATCCTGATGATGCTGACCATTGCTGAGAATGTCGTCCACTGTTGTCTTAATAGACAATGATGCTGTAGCTGAAATGTTACTGTTGTAAAACAACATTCACTCTGTTGGCTAGTTTATTTTCACCATCAGGTCAATTCCCCAGTTACAGCTTGTGAATTACAGCTGAAGAAACTCTTTGTTACAATGAGGCTCGCTTGATATAATTAATGCAGTTGTTTGTTTCTCTACATATTTGAGGAAAACAGTTCTCAGTGATGGGTTCAGTTGATATATACATATATTGTTGTTATATTTATACAATATAAAAAAGACATTAGTTTGACAAAAAAAATAATTAAGTAGCGGAGGTAAAAATTGCATTTCCATCAAGTTCTGTAGTGTGTTGCCTTGTGTTTCAGGCCTGAAGTGAAGGACTACAGACTTGCTACACAGAGAGTTAAGAAGCTGGAGAAACTCCTGGCCACACATAACATCAGGTAGCATGGGATTGAGAGAGCATCCTTGATATTGAATATGATCATCTGGAATGTATAGTTTTCTGATATTGAAGTGATAATCTAGAATGTAAAGTTTTCTTACTCTTACAATTCTCTTTATCTTGTTTTTGCCTTTTGTTTGCCTACTTTTTAAACATTTATTGAAAAAGAAACTTACACCAGAATAATGAAAACTGGAATTGTTTTATGAAATATCACAATGGCATCTGTGAGTCCGTAAGACCCATAAACGTGTAACCAATCAAAGGTGTCTTCCTTAAACATGTATTTCAATGTTGTATACTCCCAAGGAAGTTGAGAATGTAATATAAATGTGCACTGATACAGTGACAGCATTCTGACAGCGCATGCTTCTGTGTCGAGTCAAGTGGTATCAAGGGTACTATTATTATTACATGCCAAACCCCATGACCAAGATGGAACTCAAAGGATAAGCTTACAAATGCTGACCGTAAATTTATGAAAAAACAAGCAGTTTGAACATAACCCTTGTGTTATCAATTCCATTGCTTGAGGGGCGGTGGGGCAGCCTAGTGCTTAAAACGTTCGCTCCTCACGCTGAAGAGCCAGGTTTGATTCTCCACATGGGTCCAACGTATGAAGCCCATTTCCGCTGTAATATTTCTGGAATATTACTAAACATGGCAAAAACTATAGTCAATCACTCACTCCATTGCTTGTGAAGTCAGATGTTTCCATTTTGACAGTTTCCACTAGTCTCCTAGGGGTATGGGTGTACTACATGGTTCATTATGAACCAGGTTTCAAGTCAATAATGTAGGTTATAGAGCCACAGTGACTTAACAATGCTCCATGTTGGCCTCTGTTATCTAGTGTCCCAGGAGAGAAGAGCAACAAAGATCCTTTTAGACTCAAAAGAAAATACAGCACAAGAGTTGAAGATTTAGATTATCTCCCCTTGGACTTCTGTCAACAATATCTCAGGGTAGGTGTGTCAGGGTAACCATAGTTTGTGAGACACTCATGCATTTTCTAATCCATCTATGACATGATGAGTGAGTACATACTGCTTAATGCTGCATCGGCAATGTTGCAGCCATTTGTGGCATGATGAATATCTCAGTCATAATTCCTTTTGCTTCCGATAGAAATGTATAAATGAATTATGTACGTTGAACATATGATTGATAATAAACATTTTTTAATTGCCACATATGTTTTATTAATCATAACAAGATGGAGATATCTCCTTTATAACATTGAAGGAAAAGCTCTAAATTTAGTTACTTCTTTTTGGACAAATTATATTATTAGGGCTGGTACGATACACCAACTGTGCAATCCAATATGTATCACAATACCGTGCTCATGATCCGATATGTATCAATATACATGCATGTGCTCTTATCTGTTGTGCCAATTACCTGGCAACCGACGATTTACAGTTGGCAGTGTCAAAGTATGGCGCAATGGATGAAAATATTTACATTTTCACAACTAATTTTCACTTCTAATTAGTGTATGGTGTAAAAGTTACTAAAGCAAACATTTTATATAAGAATCAATATTTTTCACTTAGCATGCTACTGTGATCGATACTTGTATCAAGAAGTAAAAAAAATGTGTTTAACCAAAGCATCAGTGTATCATCCCACTTCTAGTACATATCATAAGCTACCTCTTGCTAAACTGTTATCTTTGTTAATATTAATTAGGTGTTGTACCATGTTGACGATATGACGATATAAGTCTAATTCTCTTTCAGGACATATCAACTGAGCTTGGTATAGATGACATTGAAAGGATAAGCATGTGTATGCAAAGCATCAAGGAAGAACTTAGAGAATGCAAGAAATATGAAGGGGTAATTATGAATGCTTCTGTCCTGGGTTACGAACATGTATACATCATAAGTTAGTAAGCTCGACTACGTATTTAGATCAGATGTAACATGTTTACAAATGACTTACATTTCTGGCATTACCTTTCTTCAGCAAGTACCGACTGACGTTGTGGATGATTGTAACCATAAATAAATATTGGATATCTCCCGCATTTGTCACAACATTATTCAAGGTTGACAATTTAACACCAAGAAAATATTTACATGCCTGCATCTGTATTCTTTCAATAACACTATTGCAACTAACATCTAAAGCCCATATTCCTGCACCATACAAAAATATTAACACAATCTTAATATGAAATACTCTGAAAAAAACCATCGTATGGTAAGTGTCTGAATTTTGACAACAATTTTAATTTATCCGAATAGTGCCTTCTTTAATTGCAATGAGGTGTTTATTCCATGAAGAATAAAAAAACAAGATACTTATAAGAAGGAACAAGTTCTATAAGATCATCTCCAAAATACCACTTTTCACTTCTTGAAATAATTCCTCTTTTTTTAAAGTCAACAACTTTAGTTTTATCCATCTTTACACGTAATTAGTATTCTTTGTATACATTTAATCGCCTTTGTAGATCTATAAACCTACGAGAGATGAGAATCGCATCATCTGCAAACAGTGGCAAAATAGTCATGGATTTAACTGAATACCCAAGTAACCAGAACTTTCTACCTTATCGGTTGAATCATTTTTTAAACATGATAAATAATGAAAACAACATGGACTCAAATCACATCCCTGTCATGTACCCACATTGCAGTTACACATTTCTGTATGCAGGCATTCATGTATATCAGTATACCTTATTTGCCATATCAAGCACCTTCCTCGAATAAGGGACCTCAGACCAACCACTAGACCAATCTGTAGGTCATCTTTATACCAAGCGGTCCCTACTGAGACACCAAAACCTTATCTTCTTTTGTATATTGTTTTATCAGAAAAAACAGTATTTATGATGGGGTATATAATTGCCAAGTAACTATTATCATTTTTTAATAGTTTGATCGACATTTGAAATAAGATTGTTCACTATCGCTCTATCTCTGACAAAACTTGTTTTGAGTTATATATATTAATATACTTATATATTTATTAAATGAAAATCACATCAAAATTACTCATGCAACCTTGTGACACGATCAGGAAATAATAGGCAGACTTTCTCTTCCCTTGTTTTCTTTCTTCAGTCCAGAGTACATAGTTATGGCTACAGCACTGTCATAACATGCAGCTGTGATGTTCATGATGTCAGTCACTGGATTGTCTGGTCAAGTTCGATTATTTACTGACCACTGTCATATAGGTGGAATATTGCTGAGTGTTAAACAACAAACAAACAAACCGTCTTATAACTGTGAGAGAGTGAGGAATGGTTAACACCGCTTTTAACAGTATTCCAGTTATAGCAAGGCGTGTCGGCTTGATGTGGGAGGAAAGCCCGAAGTGATGATATCAATCACTGGATTGTCTGGTCCATGCTCAAATATTTACAGACCGCTGTCACATATCTGGAATATTGCTGAGGGTGGTGTTAAAGAACAATAAAACTTCAGTAATCATTATGACAATGTAATGAGTTTATGTATAATGTTAGTTAAACAATGTTTCCACTGTTATTGATTGGTATGTCTGCTACAGTGTTGCAGACGTATTCACAACATTGTACAAGCCGTGGACCGAGGAAACCAGGGAACTCGAGGTCAGAGATCCAGCCCCAAGAACCACATGATGCAGGTGTCAGACAAGAGTCTGCAACATGATATGTTTGTGGTAGAGAGCTGGAGCAAAGATATTGCTTCAATGCAGGTATGGGACAGGAGTTAGGTATGGATAATGTTATTATTTTGTTTTTCACTTTTTTGTTTTATTTTCTTTTCTAATTTACACAAATGTATTACATGTGTTAACATAAAATGATATGTAAGATTATTTTTATGACTGTAGGTTAGATACATCATGTACATAAACATGATACAGCTAATTATGGGAAATAACCCAGGATACAAATAGTACAGTTACAGGATACAGAGTATTTTGAATTTCTGCTCACCCACAAGTCAGGTGCCAACTTACTTGGTAAGGTGATGGTTTATTATCCCCCGCCACGAAGTGGAAGAGGGATATAGGAATGGGTGCCGTCCATCTGTCCTTCCATCCTTCCGTCCATCACATTTCGTTTCCGGAGCAGAACACAAAAACCATGAGAGATATCCTAACCAAACTTGGCACATAGGTAGGCCTAGTGGTGAACTGGTGCCTTTTGATAGTCTGGGATTTAAAAAAAATATTTTTTTTCTAGTTTCCATGACAACAACTTTGACTTTGACTGAAAATGGCGGTAGTCCTCGTTTCCGGGGCAGATCTTGAAAACCCTACAATATTTCTTCACCAAACTTGGCACATAGATAGGTCTAGTGGTGAACTGGTGCCTGGTGGACATGTCATACTGGCGGGGGATATGAGTATTTCATGTTTGTTAAGTTTAAATAAAGTATTCGCCTGACACTACCACTACCACGTCATACCACCACACCACACCACACCACACCACACCACACCACACCACACCACACCACACCACACCACACCACACCACACCACACCACCACTTCACAAAGGTGAACAAGTCACAATGACGTACAGAAAGATGTAGACTGACACAAGGTTTCTCTCTAACAGGAGCTCCAGTTGACCATCAACTCATTGCTAGACAGACTTGCTCCATGGGCAAGGATTCATCTGACTGGAGGTCACAGTGTTGAGGAAATAATTGACACGCTCGAGAACGTAGCAGAACAGGAGGGCTCTAATGTTAAGAGGGTACGTATCTGTATTTGACAACTTCAGTTGAGTTTTCTGAAGCACTCTTAAAGACATTATAAAATGCAGAATATATTCAATAACTGTAAACAAATTGAATCTACTTGCCTGAACTTGTCTTTTGCTATCTATTTTGGTAGATTATAGTATTGATATGTTAACTGTTATTAGACGAGTTTCAGATGATTTTTGTACTAGACTACAGCTTCACAACCAATAATAAATGGCTAGTGTCTCAAACCGATGCAGACATTTTCCAGGGGCCTATTCCACAAAGTAATCTTGTTGTAACAGCTATTATAAGTCTGTGTTTAACTGTTAAAATTCTGATATTCATGGCACTAAGATCCCTTTGTGGAAAGATACCCTGTACTGTTAATTTAGCTTGTAAGTTTTATGTTGCTTTTTTTCAGGATGGCCAAGAACACACTTCAAGAGCTGACATGGAAAATATTGTTGAACACTTTATGACCCTGTTTGATGTCCCCTCAGTTGCTGGCGTCTTCCCCCGAATGACGGAACTCTACACAAAGCTAGGCGAGGTCTATAATGTCATGAACACCCTCAGGAACATCCTATCTCTTGGTGAGAAACTCTTGCTTTTAAACATCCGATAGCTCTGTTTTCAGGTTTCAGTTTGCAAGAGTGGTACAAGTTTTTTATCCTGTTTTATGACCAATATTTGGCCAATTTGGCAAGTGCCAAGAGGCAGAAAAGGAAAATCTAATAATATCTAAGATTAGTTTACAAACAAAAAGCTTTGAAAGTAAATGGTTTAACTAAATACAGAGAAGAACATCTTAAAAAAAATATTTTCAAAGCTGTTTTTTTAATGTTTTTTTTAAAATTTGCCTTATGCTCAATTTTAGGGTAGCGATGGTTGTTGAAGAAGAAAATAATAGCTGTTTATATTTGGCACAATTTCAGCATGTTGAACAAACGGTGTATGACCTGATAACATCGTAACAAAATGCAGGTTTCCTTGACAAGGGCAACAGATCAGTGCTTTTGAACAATACAACTTCAGAATATGCAGTCTGTCAAGTACCCAAGACATGGTATCTTTGTGTTGAGAGTGGTGTTTTTGGTCATCAATCTATCTCATTTTACTAGGTTGTCTTTGTGTAAGGCATTGTTTAGCATGCTGTAAAGACTCATAACAAAGGTAAAATTAACTAGAACTGCAACTGATGTAACTTTGAAAATTTATGATCACGATGATTAGAAGGCACTCCCTGGTTTTCTCTGCATCGGTGGGGGGCGGATCGGGTAGCCTAGTGGTTAAAGCATTTGCTCGTCACGCCGAAGACCCGGGTTCGATTCACGACATGGGTACGATGTGTGAAGCCCATTTCTGGTGTCCCCCGCTGTGATATTGCTGGAATATTGCATAAAACCAAACTCACTCACTCACTCTGCATCGGTGGATCATGATTTTTTACTTCTTGATACAAGTATCGATCAAAGTCGCGCACAAAGTAAAGAGTATCGATTCTTACCTTTAATGTTTGCTTTAATAAATGTAACACTGAAGTTTATAGTGAAAACATCAATATTTTCATTCTTTGTGCCATACTTCACACTGCTGAATGTAAATCAGGTATTTAGCCATCCTGTCTATGAAAAAGATGGCTTAGCGACCACAGATAAGAGCACATGCAAGTATCGTGATAGGTATCGTGATACGTATTGGATTGCACAGTTGGTGGATGGTCCCAGCCCTACAGGGCAGAGGGCTGGCTGCCTTATGTAATAGCACGTGCTCCTCATGCCAATGTCATCGCCTCCGTGGTCTAGTGGTAGAGCGTCCGCGCGGAGAGCGGAAGGTTCGGGGTTCCATCCCCGGCCACGTCATACCAAAAGACGTTAAAAGATGGTACTTGTTGTTACCCTGTCTGGCGCTCAGCATTAAGGGGCTAAAACAAGGACTGGTCGGCTTGGAGTCAGTATACTGTGTCTGAGTGGGGTATTCATGTTCAACTGCGCCATGGTATCTCAGTGAGCTAGCACTATAAATCGGCATCAGTCCGGACTAGTACAAGCAGCCACACAAACACACACGTACATGCACATCGCTATATAAGTGCAATAATCTTGGACGCGACGTTAAACCCCATTTCCCCCCCCCCCCCCCCTTACCTCTAGTCAGTGGGTTCAATGTGAAACCTATTCCTGGTGTCACCAGCCGTGGTAATGCTCTGGAAATTTGCTAAAAGCAGCATAAAACCATACTCATATTGAGTGTATTTGTTTGTTTTTGTTGAAGGTGATGATAGTAAATCATCGGCAGTGGTGGACTCTGTAGGGCGGCTGTGTCAGGCACACAACTCCACCACAGCCAAACAGCTGAAGCAACTGCTGCAGACCGATGACCTGGATGGGTGAGTAGACCTGTAGTTCACTGAGCCTCACACCACCTTCAACAGTATCTCAGTTATATCACGTGAGCATTGGTGGCCCAGTCGTGTAAGGCACCATAATTCGCTTTGCAAAGTTGTGTCCCTTGGCTACACCAGAAACCAATGATTGTGGGTTTGAATTCCTGGTCGCTCAGATTATGTTTCTAGGTTTGTCATCACCATACCAGTTGATACATTGAAATTTGAATAGGCAATGACATGTTCAAGATCTGATATCTGCTATTCATCATACCCCTGAGGACAACATCTGCGGTCTAGTGGATAGAGTATCTGCCTGTAGACCGGAACTTCAGTGGTTTGATCCCAGACCGCATCAAACCAAAACACAGAAAAAAATGGTACTTATTGTTGCCCTCCCTGGCACTCAGCATTAAGGGGATGAAACAAGAACCGAAGTCAGCATAATGTGTCTAAGTGGCATATCCATGTGAAACTGGGCATGGTATCTCAGTAGGCCAGGACAAGATTTGTAAAACGTCTAAAGTCCAGACTAAATAATACAAACAGCCTAGAACACACATGCATGCACAATCACCATATAAGTGCAGTAATCTATAACCCTATTTCGACTCACTGCCTCATACCCCTGAAGGACATGAAGACTCATGGTTGTGTCCCTTAGTTGTGCCAGGATCTGCTGAGCCTAGCCTCAAATCCAACAACATCACCTCAGCGCTCAGACGATCATTTCTCCCATATTTTAACATTGATTTCAGACAGTCATAGCCCTGAGATCACTTTGTTGAACAAGGCCCTAGTCTTTCTGAACCAAATCCATTCTGTCAATGGGGTTCCTTTCCTTTAAGCTGATGCTCTAATGTTGATAGTGGCATTAAACCCAACTCACTCATAACTCCATTTTTCATTTGTCTTGTAGTATATCTGTTAGTCATCATCATGGGGTAGATGCACCTTTATGGTTGCGGAATATTATTATACTTATTATCATGATTGATGTTGATTTAAGTAGTAAGATAATGTATGCATGGTACAAGCGCCGATGTCACTTTGCTTCCCCTTGTTTTCCTACATTGCCTGATGTATCCATTCACAGAGTAATACGAAGACTAGATGAGCACAGGAAGTTCTTCCCTCCATTTCAGGAACTCACCAAGAAGCTGTTGCAGATATTAGGTATATATGTTTTCATCAGTTTGCTCATAGACATCTTCCCGAGGCAAGGAACTTAACCAACTATAAAAGTCCAGTTTTTCCATCCTTGCTGTACTAGGCTGGAATTTCGGAATTATGTTTTGGCTGGACTATCGAGTCTATGCATAGTCCAATCAAAATCGCATAATGAAATCAAATCTGGTTCGTAAACTGCTGTGCAGATTTAGCACGATTACAGGATTTGGAAAGCAATTGTACCTTCGACTGGACGTCTACAGATATTTTCCAAATCTCTTCATGTTTTAAATCAAGGTTCTCAAGTAACTTGATGCATTTTGTAGGGTTAGACCTATTTTATATCAATATAGATCTTTATTATCGACGAGACCGCCTTGACAATTAGTTAGAAGTTAGTTCAAGTAATATGGTAGGTTGAATCTGATTGGTCAATTGGAGGGTCATAGAAGGGACATACCTAGTAATAGCCACTTGTGGCGCTACAATCAAGCCACAGAATTCCAGCCTAGTTTGGCAAGGGTTAGAGCTGGACTATTAAAGTCAGTTAACCCCTTGCCTTGGGAAGATGGCTCACAGATACACTTAGAGAGCTTGTTTTCATGTAAATCAATTTGTACAGTCATGATGTGTACTGTTTGAAGGTGTCCACACCAACATATGCAGGAGAAACGGGGCGGTGGGGTTCCCAGAGGTTAGAGCTTTCACTTGTCATGCTGCAGGCCTGACTTTGACTCCCAACATGGCTACAAGGTTACAATGTCTGGAGCCCATTAGATCTGGTGTCCCATGATATTGCTGAAAGTGGCATAAAATCCACCTCACTCACTCCAGGTGAAAAGGATATCAGTGGATCAACACTGACAGGTATCATAATACATGCTGACACATGTGATACAGAAACACTGACATCTTGGTTAGTTAAAGACGTTATAATCAATATGCTCAAAACATTAAGTTCATATAGAATTTTTCTGATTCAGGTATAGAGAGGCTGGATCAGATCGTCCCTGCAGTCCGAGCACTCAAGATGTTATCTCACTGATCTCGGCATCACCCCCCCCCATTCCGTCCTCTATGCACAAACTACGGACATATGGTGCTGGATATCTTTTGCAGAAAATGAAAAGGAGACTCCTTTGTAGCATGTTAAGTCATGTTCTGTCAATTCTTCCCTTTCAGATTAATACATATCCATGATTTTCCAGTGTAGTATGTCTCCATTCTGTTATGATATTCACCCTGGAATATCATAGTTTCTCCCTGATGGTGCACTTGGCACTGAATTCCTTTGGCCATGAGCTTGTTATCATCAAGCAGGCCGTCATTATAAATGATCTGTTTCACAGAAAAAAAGTTGTCCTTGTGCTGTCAAGCTTTCTCATTTGTATCATGTGTACAGGAGATGGCACAAGGCAAATTTAGTATTTGCAGTACCACAGCTTGTTTCAACACTGTAATTTGAGTCATTTAATACAAAAGCTATACCATCAAATACGAAAGCTATACCAGCAAATACGAAAGCTATACCAGCAAATGGTTCCAGTTTATTTATCATAATAGAACGGAGATATGTACAGGTGATTTTTATGTTAAGGTTATTTAAAAACTACTGATTGCCTCATATGGAAGATTCTCCAGTGTAATGGTAAATACAATTACAGTTCTAAAGTACCGACAATCTCATGTTTGCTCCAGCCCAAACTTCATGTCACTGAATAATTGTGGATGATTGATCCAGTGCTGTGGACAATGCACATCCGCCACTAGGACAGTCACAAGACATGACTCAGGATATGATACATGCCCCTGGATACAATCTGTATCATGGTACATGTTTCAACATAATCACTTTAATGTATCATATCTGAAGGTGAAAGTCTAACATTCAATTCTATAATGAATGATTATGAGATCTATATAAGTCAGGAGATAGGAAAATATTCGATAGACTTAATAAGTTAGCTTCATGAGTAGCAGCAATATGTATTTTTTTTTGGATACAAATAGATCTTTTTCATATTTTTGTGTAATGATGAGAAATGAAGTATCGTGTGCTTCACCATGCATTGATATTACAATGAATCGTTACTCCACTCTCAGAATCTTTTGTAGATAATGGTCAGTGATACCAAAATATCCAAAGGCAGCACTTTAACAGTCTAGTTCTTGAATTATGAAGGCTGTTGCTTGTAGAACACTTGTCCACTAACTATGCAGCTGAACCTTACATAATTCATATGTGTAGTGACGACAAGAACACATCAGACAAGGATGCAACACATGGACGCTAAATGTTCTACTCAGCCTTGATAGGGATTATCAGATAGGTCATTCTATTTAAGTATACACTTGACATATAATGACAAACAGTTTTTGGGTATCATGGAAAGATAAAAAAACATCCCTGTCAAAAGTGGAGTAGGATATGTTGTTTACTTATTGTAGATTTGATTCAGAAAAGATGCTTATTATTTTGCAATGGCCTTGTCATGCTCACATCTTTATGTGTTTTAAGAAACATATGACATTCTTATGAACCTTGGGATGGACAAGCTCACATGAAGAATCCAGCTTTTTATTACTTTGACTCTAGATCAGTAATCATGCTAGGCTTATTTGTATTTTTTTAGTTGGTTAACAGATTATTTTCTCACACCTTGGGTTGGTGGCCAATATAGAAATATAATTGGTCCCTTTGTAATAAAAAGAAGCATGGTCTTAAGGATGATAATTTTCTTTACAATTTTAAATTCTCTCTTTTTCATTAGCCAATTTTGTTAAATGTTGCAGGCATGTTTTAAGATCAGACAGAAAATAATGTGTGATTTTTAGTTTTTGTAAGAGTGATTATGAAGCTGGTGGTAAGAAAAGCTTAAGCCCCAATTAAATTTTTCGTTCTTTCTCAGCTTGAATATTGCTGAGTGCAGCATTAAACAACAAACAAACAAACAAACATTCCTATAATAAGGTTCAGCTGCATATTATTATGTATTGTAGTCGTATTTTGTTTGTAAATTCATGTGTTGAATTTATGTCTTCTATTTGTACATATTTCCCATATTAAATTATTACTTTTATTTAGAATTGTTATTTTTATGTTGTGTTGTGTATTGTCATCTTATTAAGGTGCTTCAGGGGATGTATCTAGGATTCTCAACTCAATGCCTGTGGTGGGCTTATTGTGACAAATATGTGTTTGTCCAAAATTAGGAATTTGAAAGGTTCTTCTGATCTTAGTTTAAGAGGTATTCTAACATTGTATTCAATGTAATCACGTAAACTTATAGAGTTACATATATGCAAAGCTATTACCAGTTAAAATATCTGATAACCGACTAGGTCATCTTTACGTTTAGCTTGTCATTTTTTATTAATATTTGCTGCAGATTTAGGGCTTGATATCGGCCGAAGAGAAGGCCTAGATAAATCCATGGCTGATGTACATGCTCTTGTCAATCTCGCTGTTGACAAAGCCATAGCTTTTTTTTAATTATGATCAGTTCATCAGTTGACTGCTCCCTATGAGGGCTTTTGTTTCATTAGCTACAGTGTATGAAACTTTAACAAATATGAGGGCAGTGGGGTAGCCTAGTGGTTAAAGTGTGCGCTTGTGATGCCAAAGACCAGGTTCAATTCCTCACATGAGTACAATGTGTGAAACCCATTTCTGATGTCCGCCGCCATGATATTGCTGGAATATTGCTAAAAGAGGCATAAAATACAACTCACTCAAACAAATATATAAGATGAGAAAAAAATAATTTAACATGAAATGTCCATGGTGAATCTTTCAAGATAAACATATAATAGATAATATTATACATTTATCCTTTAAATTGTGTATTTTGATTTAAGCATTTATTGCTGACAGTGTTATACATGTTTTTGTTTTGTTAGCTACAGTGTATGAAACTTCAAGCATATAGATCAGAAACTAAAATGTCTCACAAAATGCTCATACTGAACCTGTCAAGATGACAAGCATGTGATATAAACTAGACACGTGCTCCGTACAATGTGCATTTTGATTGAAGCATTAGGTGCACTATTTATTCGTACCTTAGTTTATTTTGAGCATATAGAGCATTCAGTTCTCAACTTTTGTCCCTTTCTTTCAACAGCTGAAATTGTCAACACCTAGGTCAAAGCGATCTGACACAAGTTGGTAGATTAAGTAAGTTGTGTGCAGCTGTTGCTTATAAATGGGCTGTATTATCAGAGAATGAGATATATTATTAATAATATATACAGAAATGTTTTCGAAACTTTTTTCTTGGCGTTAAATACATGCTATTTGATTGTGTTTGTGTTACAAAGGACGTCACAACATTCTTCCATGAGCTCAGCCTGAATTCAGTAAGCGTTGCATTACAGAGGAGGTTATTCCAACATATTGAATTACATTCAGGGATATCCCTCATTGTGCAGTCTTCCCTGCAATGGCCTCCTTTCACAGACACAGCAGTGCCTGCCAGCCAGCATGTAATTATTTATCAACAATACATGTACCTGCATCTTAACATGCATTGAAATATTCATGTTTCAATTAACTAGCTGAGGTAGATCAAAATTGCGTTTTTTTTTTATCAAAGTAGGGCACTTGAATCTCTGTGGTGAATGTTGTGTTAGATTACAATAGATGACTGTACCTTGACATTTCAAACGGAAGAGAATGTCAGTTTTAAACTACTCCCTGGCTGAAAGACAGAGCAGAATGATTGTCCAGTTGCATGAAGCCTATGACCCTTTTATTGAAATGATTACCACCAAGGGTTGATCCAGCATGTTTAAAAGGGAGGGGTCCAGACTATCGAAATCCTTTCTCCGTCCTCCTCCCCCCCCAACAACACCCCCTCCCCCCGTCCTCCTCCCCCTCCCCTCCCCCCGAATCTGCCTATGACCACCATGACATGACACTTAGGTATATTCAGCCACTTATCTATGTGACAAAGTAAGAGTTGCACTCATTGACGTATTGGTAGGATTGTATCTAATTAAGTGACACTCAGGTCTGTCAACACTATAAATATGCTAAGAATGCAGCTGTGTGCATGTGTTGGTATATGAGCTGTGCTGTGGCCTTACATTAGCTGTAGTTATGGCTGTGAGAATGTTCCTGAACTGTATAACTTGAACTGAACAGAATGCATTGGGCCTTCAATGGACTCACTTTAAATATGATATCTTTGTGTATGCTTGCAATTTATAAGATGAATATGGAATAAACTTGTTAGCTCTTTAGTTTGTTTGTTCTTTTATCCAGGGTTTCTTCCACTAAAGGTGAGGTAAGGTAAGGTGTGTCCAAGATTATTACACTTACATAGCGACGAGTGTGCATGCATGCGTGTACTAGTCTGGATTTATGCTGACTTATTGTGCTAGCCCCCTGAGATACAATGACGTTAACATAAATACCCCACTCAGACACAGAAAACTGACTCCAAGTCGACCAGTCCTTATTTTAGCCCTTTTGATGCCGAGCACCAGACAGGGTAACAACAAGTACCATCTTTTGACGTCTTTTGGTATGACGCGGGCGGTGATCGAACCCCGGACCTGCCACTCTCCGGGCGGACGCTCAACCACTAGACCACAGAGGCAGCCTCTTCCACAAAATTATCTTAGCAATTAATCTTTTTTCCTTTCAATGTTATGTCTGGTTTAGCTGCATGTGACTGCCTACCATTTATTGTGGATAGAGTGTAAACCCCCAGAGGGGAAAGTCGATGTTCGAGGTTCGATGGCTGTGTCATACCAACAGATGTTAAAAGATGGTTCTTGTTGTTACCCTGCCTGACGATTGGCATTATGGGGACAGAACAAGGACTGGTCTGCATGGAGTCAGTATACTGTGTTTGAGTTGGGTACCCATGTCTAAACCGAAGCATGGTATCTTTCTGGGCTTGTACAATTAAACAGGCATAAGCAGAATCATACACATACGCATACACATACGTATCAAACTCCGTTTTAGTTAAACTCATGGGGATCCCGGGGTGGAATAGACCAGGAACCTAGTATGCTTGTCGCATGAGGCGACTAAATGGATCGGTCAGGCTCGGTTACCTGTTATGACGTCAACGTTTACATGTTAACTCGTCATCGTACCGGAATGTCTCCAATATTTTACAGGCTGGAATATTGCCGAGTGCTGCATTAAACAACAAACGAAACAGTACAGTTTAGGTATAGGTTTGCTAAGTAAAGTTCTGAATAATCACCATAATAGAACCATTGATACCAGTAGCTGAAGGAACATTGACGTACAACCTACTCATTTAAAGCCCTTGTACCCGAGCGCTGTTTGTCATTTACCATGCCATGTCTGGGTATAATGAGGATCTTATATAAATATAACCATCCTAACTCGGATAGTAAATCTGACCCCTAAAGGTCGATAAGGGCTCCGATGGTCATGGGCGAGCCACAAGAATAACGGTTGGCATTTTCGATGACATAATAAGTGCATATATACAAGCGGATATAACATCGGTTAACAAGGTTTTAGATTTTACAATAAGCCACTGAAAGCAGGCAGCTTTAGTTGTCGTATACTACGGAAATCGTCCGCGAAATAAGATATTTTGTCGTGTACATAATAGTACTAAGTTCACCTCTGAGTATGCTGGATTCTTCCAGACAGCCTACTCGAGACTCGAGCTCATAATAAGGACTGCCATTCGGAGAATCGGACGATGGGAACCTTCCGAATGGTGAACTCGACAGATTAGACCGGAGAGATAAAGGACGCGAAACATGACTCGCAGAGCAGGTTGACCATGCTATACAGATAAGAGTTATGTCCTGTTTCACCTTTAACGTTCTTCTAGTTTATTGACGTAGTACCTGCTGGAACCACATGTTAAACTTACTACAAATTTTCGTCCATAGTAGGTGCGTTTTGGATACGTGTTCTATATTTCTAGTTGAAGTGTGAGAAATATTTTAGTGAACAGTGAGGGCTATATATCAGTTAACGGTGATGGCTATATATCAGTTAACAGTGAGGGCAATATTTCAGTTACCTGTAGGGACAACATCAGTTAACAGTGTGGACTATATATCAGTTAACAGTGAGTGCAATATATCAGTTAACAATAAGGGCAATATATCAGTTAACAGTAGGGCAATATATCACTTAAAAGTGGGGAAATATATCAGTTAACAGGGTGGGACATATATCAGTTAACAGGGTGGGCAATATATCAGTTATGAGTAGGGCAATATATCAGTTACCTGTAGAGCAATGTATCGGTTAACAGTCATGAAATATATCAGTTAACAGTTTTGGCTATATATCAGTTAACAGTAGGGCAATGTATCGGTTAACAGTTGTGAAATATATCAGTAAACAGTGGGGAAATATATCAGTTAACAGGGTTGGCAATATATCAGTTAACAGCGGGGGCAATGTATCGGTTAACAGTAGGGAAATATATCAGTTAACAGTGTGGACAATACATCAGCTACCGCTGGGGGCAATATATCAGTTACCGGTAGGGACAACGTATCAGTTAAGAGTATTGGCTATATATCAGTTAACAGTGAGGGCAATATTTCAGTTACCTATAAGGACATCAGTTAACAGTGTGGGCTATATATCAGTTAACATTGAGGGCAATATATCAGTTAACAATGAGGGCAATATATCACTTAACAGTAGGGCAATATATCACTTAACAGTGTGGACAATATATCAGTTACCGATGGGGACAATATATCAGTTAACAGTGTGGACAACACATCAGTTACCGGTGGGTGCAATATATCAGTTGACAGTAGGGCAATATATCAGTTAACAGTAGGGCAATATGTCAGTGAACATTTTGGGGCAATATATCAGAGAACAGTGTATATATCAGGTATACTAGTATATAACTCATGGTGTCATTTGTATGTGAACCGCTTGACGATAAGTCACCAGATATGTGTTCGTATAACCCATGCCCCAGCTAACGTTTGCCCAATACGATCAGTATGTATATTTACACATCTTGAACATGGTTCTTGTCTTCAGAACGTATCGCACAAACGCTTGACATTATTTTCTTCAGTCTTGAGTTCCAGGATGAACAAGCCAAAGTACCGACAGTTATTCTTTATTTCCTGTATTCTGGTTGTAGATCAAATTTGCTGTCTGAAACCTAGGAGGTAGGTTGAATTAAATTTGGTGCTTTAGTGTCTTCGGGAAGACTGTGTCGCTGTAGGCTTGCCAAGGACTGTCTCTCAAGTGATCTACTATATTAGAGAATGCTCCAATATTGTTTTCATGGGTATTCTGTAACTTTGTTTGTACCGGCATATGTTATTCCTGACCGTACTCAACACTTGAATGTCCCAGCTCCAATTAGGGCCCCCATATGTATTGGGAATTTAATTTAAATATTACTTTATCGAGCAGGCCCGTGAAGATCTGGGATAGAATAGGTCTTCAGCAACCCATGCTTGCCGTAAAATGTGACTATGCTTGTCGTAAGAGGCGACTAACATCATCGGGTGGTCAGGCTCGCTGACTTGGTTGATGCATGTCATCGTATCCCAATTGCGTGGATCCATGCTCATGATGTCAATCACTGGATTGTCTGGTCCAGACTCAATTATAGATGGAATATTGTTGAGTGCGGCATTAAACAATAAACAAACAAACAAACTTTATTGTGTAATATGAATATCTATCGTTTACATAGTTATAATGCATTGCATTTATCGCAATTTAATATTGAAAAGCTTAACCTATTTCAAACGACGCGTAGATCCGTGAGGATCTGGGTTAGAACTAATCTTCAGCAACCCATGATTGTCGTAAGAGGCGACTAATCGGATCGGGTGGTCAGACTCGCTGGCTTGCTTGATGCATGTCATCATATCCCAGTTTCGTAGACCGATGCTTATGATGTCAATCAGTGGATTGTCTGGTCCAGTCTCAATTATTTACAGACCGACGTCATAAAGCTGGAATATTGCTGAGTGCGGCGTTGAACAACAAACTAACTTCAAACGACGTGGAATTTGAATTTTTTAAATACTCGAGTGCTGAATACGTCGGGTGCTATAGTTTTATTTCTCGTTACCGCGTCGTTATTGTATTCAGAGTTCTCATGGTAAACCTTTCCTCCAGCTGTACTTCAAAGAATGCCTACGTTACCATGGCAGTGGATGACGTCACAGCTATTGGTGCCATGGTACTTCAACAATCTTTAACCAATACACAGACCAATAACTGCATTGTTGCCATGGTTACAGACACAGTATCTTGGTTGATAAGGTGAAGTAGATGTCGTTGTATCCTTACAAAATAAATTTTTACTCTGTCTTTATTAACATGTTTGAGAGGTTCGTGACGTTTCAACAATATTGCAAACCTTGTTTTAAATGTTCATGCGTGTACTTGGAAATAACGAAATTGGATAGAACGAACAATCGGGCCACTGTTGGTCAAGTTCTCTAAAGAGGCGCCAATCAGCGATAATCCAACTTGTTTGCTAGCTCACTCGTTTATGAGTGAGTGAGTGAGTTGGGTTGAACGCCGCTTTTAACAGTATTCCAGTTATCAAACAGCGTGTCAGCTTAATGTGGGAGGAAAGCACGAGGTGATGCAGGTCTCAGACGTTTACCACTTCGGTGACACCCACGAGCATGGGTATGGCGTGACAAACCTAGAAACATAATCGGGGCGAACCGGGATTCGAACCCACAATCATAGGTTTCTGGCCTGCCCAAGGGACGTTACTCTGCACAGCCAATCACGGCGCCTTAGACGACTCGTTTATGAATTTATCAGTCATTCTATGGCGTATCACTTTAATAGTGTTATACTTCCTCAACAGAGAAATGTTGGACGTCCGTTTTGATAAAGTCGTTGATATAAAGCCAGTCAAAGTGAAGAAAGGCGACCAGCCTCCTTCGCCACTGTTCGGCAAACTCCGGGCCTGGTCGTTCAAAGAATACGACAAAATTGTCTACCTTCATTCTGACACTATTGTGAGTATTGAAATGTATTTGTAATGTCGTGTGTATTCCAATCAGAATGCAGTATTTTAAAATGTCATGGTAGAGTTATGTTTATTCCAATCAGAATAAACCCGAAGTTGGAATAAACAGAATTATACCATGACATATAAGAATTCTGCATTTTGATTGGAATAAACATAATTCTACCATGACATTTCAGAATCCCTCATTCTGATTGGAGGCTCGGTTTCCTAGTGGACGGCGGTGTGTGTCGTTGCTCATAATATCAATCACTGGATTGCCTGTTTCATATTTTATTATTTACATGCCGTCGTCATATAGCTGGGATATTGCTGAGTGCGGCGTTAAACAACAAACAACCAATGTAACAAATAACAATATACGTGTTTATGTGACAGAGGGTAACGATGGTTGTCGTTTGCATTTATAAGTATACTGCTCAGGATAAGCTAAGGGCCAACAGTCATCTTTAGTTACAGGCGTAGTCCTTAGCAAATGTTGAGTAGTATGTAATTTGAGTAGATAGATGTCTTGATATATGTTAATGCTTGGCTTGTTTCTTTGACTATCTATGGATTCCTCCAGACATTTGTTGCACTCCAATCATTGCTCGTGATAAAAGATAGTTATATGAGAAATATACTTCAAAATATAAACCATCTATATGTTAATTTTAGAACAAACTTACTATGCTTTCATACCAGATGTTGCTTTAGTGACCATCAAACAGTTGGCATATGGAGTTATTAATGCTCTTTATGTAAATTCGCTACTCTGATATGTGTGCAGACGGAGTTTTACGTTTATACCACCAAAGACAATAATAAAGTCAATTCCTAATCATATGATGCTTAATTCTATATATAATCCGCCTGTTTGTACCCACATACGTGCAGTGTACATGTTATTGTTCCAGGTGTTGAGAAACGTGGACGAGTTGTTTCAGCACCCAGAGTTATCGGCCGTGCCGGAAGCTACTTGGACTGACGTCTTCAACTCTGGCGTCATGGTGATCAAACCTTCCACTAAAACATTCAAGGCGCTTAAGAACATGGCCAAAGCAGAACAAAGTTACGATGGTAAATGTGCCATTGTTTTATTTAGGGTAGCAGTTTTACCCCTATGTCTATCAGTAATGTAAGGGTCACAGCAGACAATTGACGTGACAATTTCTGGAAAGTTTCGTTCTATGTCTGATCGAAATGTGGTCAAGGTTAGAAGGCCCTTTACCGTGTGCTTAAGTTAACGTGGGGAAGAATATGAAAACTGCAACGCACACATTATTCACTCTAAACTTGACATTTAATTGTAATAAGATCAGATTTTATAAATGAATTGTTTAGCATCATGAAGACATTAATTTGGGTTTCTTAACGTACACACGTGGTCTCATGGAAATAATCTACTGTCCATCTGTAGTTACCAGTGTGTCTCTTAAACTACAATGTGACACCATTTGAGCAATCAGACATTTTAATGACCATGTTTCTTTCAGCCCGCCTTGAAGGTATTATTTACCAACTAACTACGTCTTACTGCATGCGCTAGGTGGCACGTGAAAGGAATACAGATATTATAACTTTCTGTAGTCGATCATCCCCGAGTAATATTATCTTTTCTAATCGATCTGCCCAATGTTACTTTTAAATACGTTTGTAATTATTTCAAGACAAAGATGGAACGGGGGCCATTTATTTATCTATAGATCATGAGATAATATATGGAGAACACTAGCCAATACCTGAAGACCTGGAGGCTATGAGATAATATCTGGAGAACCACGAGATAATCCAGATACATGAGATCATATCTGGAGGTCACGAAAGAATACACGAATAATGTGAGGTAATATCGGGAAGCTGTGTGGTAATATCTGGAGGCCACGAGATAACACCTGGAGGCTATGATATATTACATGGAGGCTATAGGGTCATACCTGGAAGCTATGAGATAATACCTGGAGGCTATGAGATATTACATGGAGGCTATAGGGTCATACCTGGAAGCTATGAGATAATACCTGGAGGCTATGAGATATTACATGGAGGCTATAGGGTCATACCTGGAAGCTATGAGATAATACCTGGAGGCTAAAAGAAAATACCCGGAGTCTATAAGATTATATCTGGAGGCTATGAATGATACCTGGATACGATCAGATAATGCGTGGAGGCCATGAGATACTATCTGTAGGCTATGAGACTACCTAGAGGCTATGATTAGATAATACCTGGAAGCCTTGATTTTATACTTTCCCCATATCCGTTCCACGCTTCCGTCACACGTACACGAAGCATGATATGAGAAACATTTATTTACTATTTTGCCTAATATTAAATTTACATATGCACACAAATCCACACGTCCACTGTTGTCAGACACGGATCAAGGCACGCTGAATATGTACTTCTCGGAATGGCATCGTCTGTCCTGTATTTACAACGCTGCAGGCGACTCCCCAGAGACAGCTGTTGGAGCCTACCATAGGTAACGGCGCAGTGCAACGTCTACGACAACAGTTAATGTAACGATGTGTGGTTGAAAAGTTCTGTGCCTAACTACGAGGGGTGCATAGTGCACCCTTAACTGTGTGCATGTATTAAGTGCAATACCTTCCATGATTACGACCCGTGAAGATCCGGGATAGAATAGGTCTTCAGCAACCCATGCTTGCCGTAAAAGGCGACTATGCTTATCGTAAAAGGCGACTAACGGGATCGGGTGGTCAGGGTCGCTGACTTGGTTGATGCATGTCATCGATCCCAATTGCGTGGATCGATGTTCATGATGTCTGCTCGAGACTCGATTATTTGCAGACCGCCTTCATATAGCTGAGTGCGGCGTAAAACAACCAACCAACCAACAACCTTCCTTGCTTACAGGCTGCAGTGGAATCAAATCCACAACCAGGCAGCATATGTCTGCAGGCATCAAGTGACTAGGTATAGTTTCTTGATGACAATGGTCACAGTTGGTTACAGCACTGTCATCAAGTATCTCCAAATTAAAGAGGTAACTCCAACAGCTGTCCATGCCATCAACTTTAGTTGATGGTGGGAAGAGAACTCCTCGAAGATGATCCAACATCAGGAAGACCTTTAGCAGCCACCTCTAAGGAAAATGTTGATAAAATTCATGATATGGTTATGAGTGAGTGAGTTTGGTTTAACGCCACTTTTAGCAGTATTCCTGTTATATCACGGCTTGTCAGTTTGATGGGGGAAGGAAAAGCCTGAAGTGATGCAGGTGTTAGTCATTTACCACTTTGGTGAAACCCGTGAGTACACGTATGGTGCGGTCCTGCCTAGAATTATGATCCAGGCGATACGGGGTTTCGAACCCAGGATCATAGGTTTCCGGCGTGCCCAAGTGATATGGATAGGTGATCGACGACTCACCATACGTGAAATACAATACAGAAGGCATGTCCGATGAGAGAGTTTAGAAGATACTGGGGAATGAACTGGGAATGACACAGGTTTCAGGACGCTGGGTTCCGAAGCTTCTGACTCTTTGACTGATCACACACGCTTCAGCTTCATCATCTCCTAGCTGGCTTTGATGAGCCAATTGTAACAAGGGAAGAGTCTTGGGTTCTCCACTATCAGCCAGACTAAACACAACACAAAGCAGTGGAAACATCTGACGTCTCTCTTCCTCCGAAGAAGACGGCAAAGTCTGTTCAATAAGCAGGCAAGGTGATGGCTTCGGTTTTCTGTGATTCCAAAGGAATCCTACTGTTAGACTGTCCCCCGAAAGGTCAGACCATTTATGACCAATATTACTCTAATCTGCTGAGGCAACTGCGTGAGAATATCAAGGCTGCACGTCGTGGAAGGTGTGTTATTCCGTCAGTGTTGCAATGCGTGAGTCTGCTTCATGGAACATCCTCCGTATTCACCAGATTTGGCACCGTAAGAGTTCCTCATCTTCAAAAACTTGGGATCCAGGCACTCCAATATCGTTGGCAGAAGTGTGGGTCTCGGAGGGATTATGTTAAAACAATTAGCAGCCATCAACGCAGTCCATCATAGTTAGGCTCAGAACTTTTATGTCACATCTCGTACTTAATGCAACATTAGATTTATTTATTAAGTGATCGCCATATTTCAACACTTGTCTAATTTTCAGCTTTGTGTTCACGGTGTGTTTCTGGTTAATTTGATTCGATTTAACTTATCAAATATTTTGGCTACAAACTTATAGCATGAATTCTTATTTCTTATCATTCCAATATGGATATAAACATCAAATATTGTATTAAAATGTAATGTGGACTATGTTAGATTCGGCCACAGAGTGAAGATTGTACGCTTCAACACTGACATGAAGCCATGGCTGGTGTCCTTCAACCTGGAGGCAGAACAGACCGAGATGTACGCTGGGGAGCTAGGTCTTATCCCCGTACCCAGGCCCTTCTATGAGAGATGGTGGCAGGTGTTCATGACATCAATCAGGCCTCATCTTGACGTAAGTAACCACAGGCAAAGATGAGACTCAACCCTGGCTTCAGTCAGACCCACATTGACGTAAGTAACCGCAGACCGAGAAGAGACTCAACCCTGGCTTCAGTCAGACCCACCTTGACGTAAGTAACCACAGACCGAGATAAGACTCAACCCTGGCATCAATCAGACCAACCTTGACGTAAGTAACCACAGACCGAGATAAGACTCAACCCTGACATTAATCAGAAACACCTTGACGTAAGTAACCACAGACAAAGATGAGACTCAACCCTGGCTTCAAACAGACCCACCTTGACGTAAGTAACCACAGGCAAAGATGAGACTCAACCCTGGCTTCAGTCAGACCCCACCTTGACGTAAGTAACCACAGGCAAAGATAAGACTAAACCCTGGCTTTAATCAGACCCACCTTGACGTAAGTAACGACAAACAAAGATGAGACTCAACCCTGGCTTCAATCAGACCCCACCTTGACGTAAGTAACGACAAACAAAGATGAGACTCAACCCTGGCTTCAAACAGACCCACCTTGACGTAAGTAACCACGGACAAAGATGAGACTCAACCCTGGCTTCAATCAGACCCCACCTTGACGTAAGCAACCACAGATAAAGATGAGACTCAACCATGGCTTCAGTAAGACCCCACCTTGACGTAAGTAACCACAGACAAAGATGAGACTCAACCCTGGCTTCAATTAGACCCCATCTTGACGTAAGTAGCCGCAAGCAGAGATGAGACTCAACCGTGGCTTCAGTCAGACCCCACCTTGACGTAAGTAGCCACAGGCAAAGATGAGACTCAACCCCGTCTTCAATCAGACCCAACCTTGACGTAAGTAACCACAGACCGAGATAAGACTCAGCCCTTGCTTCAGTAAGACCCCACCTTGACGTCAGTAACCACAGACCGAGACGAGACTCAACCCTGGCTCCAGTCAGACCCCACCTTGACGTAAGTAACCACAGACCGAGACGAGACTCAACCCCAGCTTCAATCAGACCCAACCTTGACGTAAGTAACCACAGACCGAGATAAGACTCAACCCCAGCTTCAATCAGACCCACCTTGACGTACGTAACCACAGACCGAGACGAGACTCAACCTCGGCTTCAATCAGACCCATCTTTACGTAAGTAACCACGGACAAAGATGAGACTCAACCCTGGCTTCAATTAGACCCACCTTGACGTAAGTAACCACAGACCGAGATGAGACTCAACCCTGGCTTCAATCAGACCCCATCTTGACGTAAGTAACCACAGACAAAGATGAGACTCAACCCTGGCTCAAGTAAGACCCTACCTTGACGTAAGTAACCACAGACCGAGATAAGACTCAACCCTGGCTTCAATCAGACCCACCTTAACGTAAGTAACCACAGACCGAGACGAGACTCAACCCTGGCTTCAATCAGACCCCACCTTGACGTAAGTAACCACAGACAAAGATGAGACTCAACCCTGGCTTCAATAAGACCCCACCTTGACGTAAGTAACCACAGACCGAGACGAGACTCAACCCCAGCTTCAATCAGACCCACCTTGACGTAAGTAACCACAGACCGAGATAAGACTCAACCCTGGCATCAATCAGACCCAACCTTGACGTAAGTAACCACAGACCGAGATAAGACTCAACCCCAGCTTCAATCAGACCCACCTTGACGTACGTAACCACAGACCGAGATCAGACTCAACCTCGGCTTCAATCAGACCCACCTTTACGTAAGTAACCACGGACAAAGATGAGACTCAACCCTGGCTTCAATTAGACCCACCTTGACGTAAGTAACCACAGACCGAGATAAGATTCAACCCTGGCTTCAATCAGACCCCATCTTGACGTAAGTAACCACAGACAAAGATGAGACTCAACCCTGGCTCAAGTAAGACCCTACCTTGACGTAAGTAACCACAGACCGAGATAAGACTAAACCCTGGCTTCAATCAGACCCCATCTTGACGTAAGTAACCACAGACCGAGACGAGACTCAACCCTGGCTTCAATCAGACCCACCTTGACGTAAGTAACCACAGACCGAGATAAGACTCAACCCTGGCTTCAATCAGACCCACCTTAACGTAAGTAACCACAGACCGAGACGAGACTCAACCCTGGCTTCAATCAGACCCCACCTTGACGTAAGTAACCACAGACAAAGATGAGACTCAACCCTGGCTTCAATCAGACCCCACCTTGACGTAAGTAACCACAGACAAAGATGAGACTCAACCCTGGCTTCAATCAGACCAACCTTGACGTAAGTAACCACAGACCGAGATAAGACTAAACCCTGGCTTCAATCAGACCCACCTTGACGTAAGTAACCACAGACCGAGACGAGATTCAACCCCAGCTTCAATCAGACCCACCTTGACGTAAGTAACCACAGACCGAGAAAAGACTCAACCCTGGCTTCAATCAGACCCCATCTTGACGTAAGTAACCACAGACAAAGATGAGACTCAACCCTGGCTTCAATCAGACCCCACCTTGACGCAAGTAACCACAGACCGAGATCAGACTCAACCCTGGCTTCAGTCAGACCCCATCTTGACGTAAGTAACCACAGACCGAGACGAGACTCAACCCCGGCTTCAATCAGACCCACCTTGACGTAAGTAACCACAGACAAAGATGAGACTCAGCCCTGGCTTCAATCAGACCGACCTTGACGTAAGTAACCACAGACCGAGATAAGACTCAACCCTGGCTTCAATCAGACCCACCTTGACGTAAGTAACCACAGACCGAGATTAAACTCAACACTGGTTTCAGTGAGAGATGTTCTGCTCTGTTTTCACATTTTATCTGCACTATATATAGTATAGTCCCAAGTATGATAATGTCGCAGTTGTGAAATACATTTACAGAACAAGTTTTTGGTTCACAGAATACAAAAAGTTAATTAAGTATCCCCTAACAGACAATACGTCTGTACATATCGTATTTCTCCACACGTTGTCCTTAGAGTTTTTGTCCTTCTGTTTACGTTGGTGAAATTACACGGTAAAACTACCTCAGAGACGGGCAATGAGCGGCCTGGAATGTTCAGTGAATGACTATTTGTGAATGTAGTTTATGAGACTGTCCCCTTTATCCAGTGACAGCCCTAACGGTGTAAGTTACGTCGAGAACAAAACTGAATAAAAGGCTCGAAAAGTCAGTGAGGCGCGGAGGCTGGATAAGGGTTAAGCTAAAAAGTGAGATGAGGTGAAATTGGGTTTAACGTCGCGTCCAAGATTATTGCACTTGTATAGCGACGTGCATGTGCGTGTGTGTGTTTGTGTGGTTGCTTGAACTACTCCGGACTGATGCCGATTTATAGTGCTAGCCCACTGAGATACCATGCCGCAGTGTAACATGAATACCCCACTCAGACACAGTATACTGACTCAGAGCCGACCAGTCCTTGTTTTAGCCCCTTAATGCCGAGCGCCAGACAGGGTAACAACAAGTACCATCTTTTAACGTCTTTTGGTAGGACGCGGCCGGGGATCGAACCCCGGACCTTCCGCTCTCCGGGCGGACGCTCTACCACTAGGCCACGGAGGCGGTGCTAACGTATGTAATTTAGTTTGACATATATCATCAAACTTCGTAGATGAAAATGTATTGCTCGTGGGTTTCACCGAAGTGGTAAACGTCTGAGACCTGCCACACTTCGGGCTTTCCTCCCACATTGAGCTGACACGCCGCGATATAACTGGAATACTGTTAAAAGCGGCGTTAAACCCAACTCACTCACTCACTCATGAAGCACACAGGCCCGTAGGAGCGCATCTCAGACTCAGAGTGGAGTGGTGGTGTGTGTCTGGTGGTGTGTGTCTGGTGGTGTGTGTATGGTGGTGTGTCTGGTGGTGATGGTGGTGGGGGAGTAAGTAAGCCCGAAATACATAATCAAAACTGAAAAGCATATTATTAAATCTAAAGTATATTGATTCTAAATTAGGTCTTTCACCCAAACTCTCAATGTATGTAGATATTAATCGATGGGTTGAGGTTTGAGCGAATTATCCTTGTGGAATTTGTTGATGAAAACATCTGAGGGAAAATGCGACCCCTGTCTCTCCCCTGCTCCTACTGGCTTTACAAAGTGACGGTGATATATAACTAATGGTATATCACTCGGACTGATTAGTTATGGGGGTATACCAGTGGCCCAGCAGAGAAGGGTTACAATTACCCGAGCAGTGTTCATGGATAGTACACCATGTTATTCAACAGGCCACTTTTACCTTAAGACATGCATTAGTCTCTCGTGTCGATCACGGAAACAAAAATATCTTAAATCATAAGTCTAAAATACTTAGCAAGTCTAGATTTATTCAGTTTCTCAGTTTAACAAATTTCAGGATTAACTGATCATGGTTATGTTGTAATATCCAAATAATTATCTATGGGCGTGCTCTCTGAACATGGAGATATTCAGGTCAGTGATGCATGTTAAAGTATACAAGTTGAGATCGTCTTAGCGCTGAGATAGCTTTGTGTAAATGAGTATTCATACAACAAAGTAACATATTTAAATAATTTGTCATCTGGAACGGAGACACTGTTTAAAGCAATGTGACTGAACGGTTATGGCATAATTATTACATACACAATGATATGACTACTAACACTTCGTTTGTTTCGGAATAAGCATAATTTTTGTTTCTTAATGGTCCGCGGATAAGGAGTTATATTCGCCCATACAAATAAATGTGCATTGTCCTGAGCAGGAACAAATGGCTGGAAACGCCCTGCCTACATATTTTACACGGGACTAAAATGTGTGAGAATAAATTAAGTTTTAACGCGATCACGGCCTGCTTCTAAATATACATGTGTGTATATGATAGTGTGACTCCAGAAACAGCCCAAGGTCTGTCAGACCATTTGATTTTGTCCATTATGTGTTCATTACAACGGTTCTCTTGGTTCGAACTCGATTTTTGTATTTAATAATCAGATATAAACCATATTGACATGAACAATACACTTGTTGAAATACACATGTAATTGCTAGTTAAAATTTAGTATTTTATAATCGAATATGGACCATATTGACATGAACAATACACTTGTTGAAATACACATGTAATAGCTAGTTAAAATTTAGTATTTTATAATCGAATATGGACCATATTGACATGAACAATACACTTGTTGAAATACACATGTAATAGCTAGTTAAATTTCAGTATTTTATAATCGAATATGGACCATATTGACATGAACAATACACTTGTTGAAATACACATGTAATAGCTAGTTACATTTTAGTATTTTATAATCGAATATGGACCATATTGACATGAACAATACACTTGTTGAAATACACATGTAATAGCTAGTTACATTTTAGTATTTTATAATCGAATATGGACCATATTGACATGAACAATACACTTGTTGAAATACACATGTAATAGCTAGTTAAAATTTAGTATTTTATAATCGAATATGGACCATATTGACGTGAACAAAACACTTGTTGAAATACACATGTAATAGCTAGTTAAATTTCAGTATTTTATAATCGAATATGGACCATATTGACATGAACAATACACTTGTTGAAATACACATGTAATAGCTAGTTAAAATTTAGTATTTTATAATCGAATATGGACCATATTGACATGAACAATACACTTGTTGAAATACACATGTAATTGCTAGTTAAATTTTAGTATTTTATAATCGAATATTGACCATATTGACATGAACAATACACTTGTTGAAATACACATTTAATAGCTAGTTAAATTTTAGTATTTTATAATCGAATATTGACCATATTGACATGAACAATACACTTGTTGAAATACACATGTAATAGCTAGTTACATTTTAGTATTTTAAAATCGGATATGGACCATATTGACATGAACAATACACTTGTTGAAATACACATGTAATAGCTAGTTAAATTTCAGTATTTTATAATCGGATAGGGACCACATTGACATGAACAATACACTTGTTGAAATACACATGTAATAGCTTGTTAAATTTTCTTGTTGACCTCTACCCCCTAACCTACCCCAACTTCTAATTTTAATCCTGAGGAATTGATTAAAGACAGTGAGGGGACATATTTGGGTCGTGGCAGCTGTGGTAACAATTGCTATTGTTAACCTACTGTATACGTTATTCAGTAAACCAAACCGTCAGTAAATACGCACAGAAGAATATGAGTCAGCGAGAACTATTTCTCATGGTGAAAAGGTGTAGCCATGCAATAACAATATTCTCCCCACCCGTAATAACATAATAGTCCCTCTACATTTGAATAGTTATATATGTGGCCCTACTAGCTTACATTCAGCAGCACCCAATACACCTTTACCAGTTGCCGCATACAAAAGATTCCCAATCCAGATGTTTATACGTTATCGATTAATCGATCTTATCGTATCACTGCGTTTATGTGTACCGTTAAGTCTCAGTGAGATGCTAATGCCGCGGGTAGGTTTAGTTCCTCATGACCACCCACGTGTGATGGAGACAAAGGTTTGCTTCATCCGTGTTCATGGTCTCCAGTTTCAGGGACGTGGAATCCAGGAAGTAACCTCAACCTTTTTGTTGATGTCAGCCAATCACCGGCCAGTATTTGGTTGTCTGTCGTGATAATGGCATGTCGAGTGAATGACGTACATCATGGCCGACTTATAATCTATGTTTGACAGGCACCCGCATGACAAGTCAAGTGTTATAAGTTGGCGCGACCTTTTCCGCTACTATTGCTACCGTCTTATACAAAGTTTCAGACCGTGAAGTAGTCCTGCACCATGACTGTGGAATATATTTATTTTATGAAAACGTATACAAAAGCAAGTCTAGCCAGCTCTAGCTAGCTCTATTCCATATGAAATCAGCAGAGGGAATTTTTATTTTTTATTTTAACAGTCAAGAAGTGTATTGTATAATATAAGATTTCATAGACTAAATATTAGTCTAGCCGTGAAGATCCGAGGTAGAATAGGTCGCCAGCAACTCATGTTTGCCGTAAAAGGTGGCTATGCTTGTCATAAGAGGAGACTAACGGGATCGGGTGGTCAGGCTCGCTGACTTGGTTGATGCATGTCATAAATCTCAATTGCGTGGATCGATGTTCATGATGTCAGTCACTGGATTGTCTGGTCAAGTTCGATTATTTACTTACTACTGTCATATAGGTGGAATATTGCTGAGTGTTAAACAACAAACAAACAAACAAACCGTCTTATAACTGTGAGAGAGTGAGGTATGTCTAACGCCGCTTTGAACAGTATTCCAGTTATATGATGTGGGAGGAAAGCCCGAGGTGATGCAGGTGTTAACCACTTTAGTGAAACCCACGAGCACGGGTATGGCGCTGATATACCTGGAAACAATGGGGCGAACCGCAATTCGAACCCACGATCATAGGTTTCTGGCGTGTCCAAGGGACGCAACTCTGCAAAGCAATTTACGTCGTCTTAGACCACGTCTTGTAATTGTAACAATATTATAATAACAATACTGTTTTGTAGAATGTATGTGTTATTGTCATTATTGTTTTATAGTATTTACATTTTATTAGCTGGAAAAAAGTGTGCTATAAAGAGTATTTTAAAGATTGGTAATGAATAACACTTGACGTATTCTTTTATTCCCGGGCATTTTATTCCCACTGACCGCAGTCAACATGTCAACTGACAAGTACATGACATCATGCCAATGACGATGCGGGTCCGTTATGGACCCATACAATTAGCTACTCTTATAGTTTATGAATCAATTAAAAAAATGTAATGACAAATTGACTTGCTCTCCATTACTGCTACGATTTGTTCTTTCAAAACAGCAAGTATAAAGATCGGAGTTAAAAGATCTAAATGTAATTAAACTATGCCTCTACCCATTACCCAATCGGGGCCACGGGTTGCCCAGTCGTCTAAGGCGCCGCGATTTGCTGTGCAGAGTTACGTCCCCTGGACACGCCAGAAACTTATGATTGTGGGTTTGAATCCCGGTTCGCGCCGATTATGTTTCTAGGTTTGTCAGAACCATACCCGTGCTCGTGGGTTTCACCGAAGTGGTAAACGTCTGAGACCTGCATCACTTAGTGCTTTCCTCCCACATTAAGCTGACACGCCGTGATATAACTTGAATACTGTTAAAAGCGGCGTAAAACCCAACTCACTCACTCACTCACTACCCAATCTGCAAGCTTAACAATATACCCATGTTGTCGCTCATCAGTTACCCTCTATGAAACAATTATGATGACGTCATGCTTTTGTTTATGCAGTTCATTCTAAACCAGGAATTCACTAGCCTTTCTGAGACTGCATTTAGAACAAATAAAACGGACAAAACTATAGGTCATTATGCAAAATTATAGATAAATTATATATGAACCATAACATGATTTAAATTAGTGAGTGAGTGATTGAGTGAGTATGGTGAGTCGCCTTTAGCATTATCACAGCGGGGGACACCAGAAATGGGCTTCACACATGACTTAAGTTAGAGAAATCACTAGATTCTGTTGATTCCGAAAATAGAATGAACAGATTTTCACGATTTCTACTTCACGCATTGCTGATGTTAGACGGTAGAGTGTGTGAGTGAGTGAGTTTGATCTTACGCCGCTTTTTGCAATATTCCAGCAATATCACAGCGTGGGACACCAGAAATGGGCTCCTCGCATTGTACCCATGTCGGGATTCGAACCCGGGTCTTCGGCTTGACGAGCGAACGCGTTGACCACTAGGCTACCCGACCGCCCCGTTAGACGGTAGAAGAAATCATTTCCAGCTCCTTCCTGTTTGAGAAAATGCCTCGGTTATATTACTGACGAAGTAAAAACTTTTAAGTGTTGAAAAGAAATAATGCCATACAAGCACGCTTTAGTGCTTTCCGGATTGTTTGTCTTTGGCAACCCCCACCACCCCTGGTCCTGTCTGTGCAGACTAGAGTGTTATCATTATGATTGTCGGTGAGGTCTGCTTGAACAAGCACGTGATGTTTGTGAAACCATATCCGTTTATATTCAACATGCGCATGACATATTTTTCAGAATATTCTAAAGAAACACAACATGGCGATTGTTCAGGATGGGCCTCGGATATTTTTAGGTAAGTGTGTCCGACAAACCGGTTTGGGTCAAATACAAAAAAAAGGTGTTGTTGACTTTGTTTTGATTACGTGTCATCGAAGCCCGTCGGCGTGGATCCTGGCGTACAATATCGATCAGTTGATGGTCTGGTTCAGACTCAATTATTTACAGGCAGCCTACAGCTTGAATAGTGCTGCGTGTGGCGTCATACACCAAACAAACAAACAAACGAGCAAAATCATCAAAATCGTTTTGGTGTGCCAATCCGACCATAAGTACCGTAGTCAGGAAAGCCTGTTAACATAGTCGTGAAGATCCGGGGTAGAACAGGTCATCAGCAACCAATGTTTGTCGTAAGAGGCGACTAACGGGATCGGGTGGTCAGGCTCGCTGATTTGGTTGATGCATGTCATCGTATCCCAATTGCGTGGATCGATGTTCATGGTGTCAATCACTGGATTGTCTGTTCCAGACTCGATTATTTACAGACCGGCTTCATACAGCTGGAATATTGCTGAGTGCGGCGTTAAACAACAAACAACAACAAGCAACAGCAACTAGAAGACCCCTATTACTGCAGTCATGGTTCATGTTTTTAATCTTATTGATGGTCTTATGAATAAATCGTGCTTTGTAATCCCCGGCCGGGTCATACCAAAAGACGTTAAAAGATGGTACTTGTTGTTACCCTGTCTGGCTCTCGGCATAAAGTGGCTAAAACAAGGACTGGTCGGCTCGGAGTCAGTATACTGTGTCTGAGTGGGGTATTCATGTTAAACTGCTGCATGGTATCTCGATCAGTGGGCTAGCACTAAAAATTGGCATCACACACACACACACACACGCACGCACGCACGCACGCACGCACGCACGCACACACACACGTGCATGCACGTCGCTATATAAGGGCAATAATCTTGAACGCGACGTTAAACCCCATTTCACCTCACCTCGTGCTTTATAATTTAGTTTGGACAGTGTAAGGTTTGTCCTTCAGTGTTTTGTTCACTGCCTCAATCATATCCTTTAAACGTCTATTTATATTTATATTTTTAAGAATTGCATCATTTCGGTATTGTCTCCCACATGAAAATGACACCTCATGACATAATTGTAAATTTAAACTGTTTACATCAGTTTTGAATCAAACTCACACATCTCTTACAAGAGCTGATCCTTGTTTGTCTCGGATGCCTACACTTATTTTGATTGAATGGCTTTCTCAGTCCCGATCCGAAGTCTTTCATGTTCAGTTATGATGTCTTTTTTATTTGTAGGTGATCCCTACACGGGACTTCATGTTCAGGCGAACTTCTTCGTCCTGAACAACAGGTCGTACCCCAAGTTTCTCAATGTCAAGGGGAAGGCGACCAACAACCAGTACTGTACCCAGTTAGACGTTTTCCTCTTGGACCAAAGCGCTCTCGATGTCCGAGGATAGTCGCAATAAATTTGTATTTCGTTTCGTACACAAGGCTCAAATTCATGTATATAGTCAACATCTCAGGAGCGAAGCCGCGTAAAGGAACCTTCATCCGTTCGTTCGTTCGTTCGTTCGTTCACAGTTTCAAACACGTCCAATTCTTTGTATTACTTTAGTATAGAGAAAGTGGAGGTATGTCTGACCACACTGAGTAGTATTGCGATGTATATTCGTCAAGAAGAATCCTTATATCTTAACCCAAAATGAACAAAAGAAAACGTCGATTTTACTCCTAAAGAATCGAGAATAAATGTGCTTGTGGCCTCGTATCTCCTGAGCTCATTGGTGTTGAATGTACTGCTTCTCGTGTGTGCCCGTCCCCAGAACACAAGGTGAACTGTGGGGTGACCACAGGAAACATCCAGGACATAGTAATCTCAAGTAATCTGTGGATAAAGATATACACAAAGTGTGGTAACAAAAAGGGCGTATCAGTTTTTGAGCCGACATAACTAGGCAGCTGTTAAGCTTATATGTAACATCAGTGTTCATCTGTGTTTGTTGAGACATCTTTCACAGTTTGAAGTGGTTCAGTGATAAAATCAGACTTGCTGATAATTTGGCTTCGATTCTGAGGTACTTTACTCCTTCGCATTGAAACGGATAAAACAGTATAGAGCAATCATCGCATGTGAGTGAGTGAGTGAGTTGGGTTTTAACGCCGCTTTTAACACTATTCCAGTTAATCGAGGCGTGTCAGCTTAATGTGAGAGGAAAGCCCGAAGTGATTCAGGTCTCAGACGTTTACCACTTTGGTGAAACCCACGAGCACGGGTATGGTGCTGACAAACCTAGAAACATAATCGGGGCGAACCGGGATTCGAACCCACAATCATAGGTTTCTGGCGTGCCAAAGGGACGCAACTCTGCACAGCAAAACGCGGCGCCTTAGATGACTGGGCCACCCGTGCCTTATCACATGTTTTATCCTAGTGAGTCAATCACCAAAGCACATTGATGAAAGGCTTGCATGCTCTATACGGATGGTCTGCCCCATCGTATACCACAATTAAACGTTTGGTGAAGGAATTTCAGCGTGGTGGGATGACCTCGACTCTGGTCGACCCACAAAAGAAAACATCGATGCCGTCCATAACCTGTTAACATAGTCGTGGCATATAGTGAGTTAGTGAGTATGGTTTTACGCCGCTTTTAGAAATATTCCAGCAATATCACGGCGGCTGACACCAGAAATGGGCTTCACACATTGTACCCATGTCGGGAATCGAACCCGGGTCTACGGCGTGACGAGCGAACGCTTTAACCACTAGATTACCCGACTGCCCCCTATTCTTAAGATGATTTGGGTAATCCTTCAATTAATCAGAAGTGTTTGATAATTCACAGTTACAAACAAAATATACAACAGTCATGTTACTCAATTCTTGGTTATGGGTATTGTATTATAGCATCAAAAACGATTTTGACAATGATCATCTATTTTACATATATTTCCTACTCTATGTAAAAGTGGATAATCAGTCTCGAATATTTGCTGAAACACATTACCCGACTGCCCCCTATTCTTAAGATGATTTGGGTAATCCTTCAATTAATCAGAAGAGTTTGATAATTCACAGCTATAAACAAAATATACAACAGTCATGTTACTCAATTCTTGGCTTTGGGTATTGTATTATAGCAACGATTTTGACAATAATCATCTATTTTACATATATTTCCTACTCTATGTAAAAGTTGATAATCAGTCTCGAATATTTGCTGAAACACATTCTATAGATCATCATGAAAATTATTAGAATAGATCACTGAAAATCAGTTGTGGCACCAGGTGTTCGCGAAAAGAGTAAGCAGGCCCTGCTCTACAGGTAGCACCCGCCACTCAATTGTCAGTTCAAAGGCAATATCGAGTGGAAAGGGAGGCTTGAAAACTCCATGTCAAGGACATAGCATGAGACAGCATCGGATATCATGTTGAGAAGCCACGTGTCACATTTTGTAAATTCTCCTGAATGACATGCCTTCCATTATATAATATTCTAGATTGACAACCAAGCCTTTGATGGTGAAAATTTCATTGTAAAGTTTAGTCGAAACTTTTGAAGCAAATGGTTATTTCCCTAAAATATGAACAATACTAAAATGTCAAGTCTCAAAGAACCTGACCAACTGAGGAATGAAGACGCCACAAACTGGAGGTGATGGTAAGACGGGAAATTTACAATTGGGAAATCAAAATCATTTCTTTTGTCATACGACCGCCTCCGTGGTCTAGTGGTAGCGCGTCCGCCCAGAGGCCGCGTCATACCAAAAGACGTTAAAAGATGGTACTTGTTGCTACCCTATCCGGCGCTCGGCATTAAAGAGCTAAAACGAGGACTTGTCTCGGAGTCAGTATAATAATATATCGGCATCAGTCCGGACTAGTACAAGGAGTCACAGCCACAACCACAGTCACACGCACGCACGCACGCACGCACGCACGCACGCACGCACGCACGCACGCACGCACGCACGGACGCACGCACGCACGCACGCACGCACGCACGCGTGCGTGCATGCACATCGCAATGTAAGTGCAATAATCTTGGACGCGACGTTAAAACACATTTCACCTCACTTTTTGCCATCCACAGGCTGTCATCATTTTGATTTTCTGTGTGCTGATACAGATAAGATATTGAATATTTTGTCTATTGTAGCCAAACCAGGTGGATAGATGCGATGAAGACACTCTTTTATCTTGGCATTGCTGTAAAAAGAGGTCGTCTATATATCTCAAACTGAGGTTGCACTTTTTTGCAACGTGTCTTTTCTTTGATTTGAACCAAAGAAAACATCCGATCTGTTCGCAAAGAGAAACAGATCAGGGACGAGATGGGCACAGTAAGTACCCATGGGGATAGATACTAGCTGTCTAAATAATCAAAACCAGATTTGACAAAGATATTGCGAAGCATGTTTGAGCATGTAAAGATAACAATTTCTTATATTGCCTTTTTTAATATGTATGTCAGTGTAGAGCGCCTTACCTTGCATTACGCAGTGGATTCACGACGGGAGACCTAGAAGGGATTCAAGTGCCTACACTTGCAGTCAATATGTTGTTATTGTTTGTTTTCAAAATTGAGCATGTCAGGATGTCTAGGTCATGTTGTTTAAACTGTAATACTACACGAGAGTAAAAACGATGCTGATTTTACGACACGGATGTCGAGCAAGAGCGATGAAGACGGATCCAGACATGAATGATTGACAAGAGACTTAAATTTTCCAAACGTCAGCTTTACCGTTATGTCGCGCAATTTTCTAACAATTCCAGCCTTTGGTGTCTACATTTCACAGCTCCTTCTACGAGGATTTCAAAGAACGCCGACATACGACTCTTGCCCAAACGTTGTTCATCAAGGTCACAACATTCAAAACCCCAGCAAAGTTTTCCAAAGGTTTGACGGGAGACATGATCCCGTGTGTTTAAAGGCTAACAATTGCCTTTCCTTTGAATGTGTTTGTAACCGGTGCCAACGGTGGGGCAGGATACGCTCACTTTTTGGCAAACGCCTGGTATTATCTCTATTTGATAGTGATTCCTAAACACATGCTCATGGTATAGTTGGAATCGTGCAATGGATTTCTAATGATTAAGGAAATGTTTTCGTCCCTTGCATTTACAAATACGCGCGTATAAATTACATACTGCATACGTGCATGTTATAATCTCACCAATACGTTTATAATCTCACCAACGTTTCGAGGAGAAGCTATTTGTTTATTGAAAATCCTGTAAACGAAGCTAATAGTGTCGACACGTAAAGGCTGTCAGAATGGATCGGGTGGTCAGGCTTGGTGACTTGGTGACTTGGTTGATAGCGAGACTTTGTGGATTGTTGCTCACAATATCAATAACTGTGTTGTCTCGATGGGCACAGACTGTCTTGGCCCAGACTCGTTTATTTATAAGCCGCCATCATATAGCTAGAATACGACTTAGGGAAGAGTACAACTATCCCACATTTCAATACCACAGTAGAGTTGAGTTCCGACATGAGTACAATGTGTGAAGCCCATTTCTGGTGTCCCCCGCCGTGATATTGCTGGAATATTGCTAAAAGCGGCGTAAAACCACTCTCACTTACTCAGAGAGAGGGAGACATAAACGGTGGCAAATGGAACACCGTGAAATGTGTGCCAATAAGAAAGGGAAAGAAACATAGAGAAAGTCATTTTTCAACTATAAGAAATCGTCTTGTCATGTAAGTCATATGTCATAACTAATACATCTTGATCTCTCTCCATGCATTACAATACATAGAAGACTGGAACGGACATCGTCGCATTGTCGCGTTTGGTTAATTTTGACAATTTGTGCTTTTTAGAAAGCGCGACAACGCGACAATGTTCCTTCTAGTATTCCATACAAAACACGACCCAAGGTGGTTTATATATGTATATGATTCATAACGTTAAGTGTTGCTGTAAATGTACGAATCAACCAAGCATCAATCATTCCAAGACATGCTCGTTCACCAAAGGCTCAAAGCATGCTGGGATCAATCAACCACTTAGTCATGTCACAAAGTAAATATGCCATCGATCATTGATTTGTGAAACCCTACTTTTATTTTTATATTATTATGTACAGATTAAAATAAAACATGCATCAAAGATGGTTTGGGTGATCCTGGCAAAGTCAGGCTGGTAAGGCTCATCATCAGATCAGTGCCCTTGCCCCCTCTACACGCAGCCCAGACAGCGATTGGGAGTGAAGACTCCCCAACACTTCAGCCTCCTGCATTACCCAGTTTGCCAGAAGGGCTGTATTCCTGGTAGCAAACCCGGGTACCCTCCCAATGTCTGTCAACAGATTTGAGGTACCAAACCTAAGGCACCGAGAACAATGGGGAGTCGGACAACTTGGTACTTTGGATGGCCCCGTTCTTATATTACCAGCTCCTGGGCCCTGTTGTGGCAATTCAGTTTTAGAGTAAAGGAGTAAAGTCTTAGCGCTAAGATCGCTTTGAGGAACGGGGCCTTGGTTGTCACTGTTTCCTCAAGTGTATAAGTTGTAACAGGTAGAAATCAAGTTGAATTACTTTCTGGCCTGAGTAACGCACAAACCCTATTTTTTATTGGTCTCAGTAACACGTAAACCCTGTTTCCTATTGGTCTCAATAACGCCTACACTGTTTCCTATTGGTCTCAGTAACACGCAAACCCTGTTTCCTATTGGCCTTAGTAACTCACAAACCCTGTTTCCTATTGGTCTCAGTAACATTAGATCCTGCTTCATGCTGGCCCCAATAACGATTAAGCCCTGTTTCATTCTGACCCCAACAACGCTTAAACCCTGTTTCATACTGGCCTCAATGACGCTTAAACCCTGTTTCATACTGGCCTCAGCAACGCGTAAACCCTGTGACATACCGGCCCCAATAACGCTTAAACTCTGTTTCATACGGGCCTCACAAACGCTTAAACCATGTCTCATACTGGCCCAAATAACGCTTAAACTATGTTTCATACTGGCCTCACAAACGCTTAAACCATGTTTCATACTGGCCGCAGTGACGCAACAACCATGTTTCATACTGGCTTAAGCAACACTTAAACTCTGTTTCATACTGGCATCAGTAACACTAAAATACTGTTTCATACTTGCCTCAGCAACGCTTAAACCCTGTTTCATACTATCCTTAATAACGCTTTAACCCTGTTTCATACTGGCCCCAATAATGCTTAAACCCTGTTTCATACTGGCATCAGTAACACTAAAATACTGTTTCATACTTGCCTCAGCAACGCTTAAACCCTGTTTCATACTGGCCTTAATAACGCTTAAACCCTGTTTCATACTGGCCCTAATAACGCTTAAACCCTGTTTCATACTGGCCTCAATAACGCTTAAACCCTGTTTCATACTGGCCTCAATAACGCTTAAACCCTGTTTCATACTGGCCCCAATAATGCTTAAACTCTGTTTCATACCGGCCTCACAATCGTTTAAACCATGTTTGATCCTGGCCTCAGTGACGCACCATCCCTGTTTCATACTGGCCGCAGTAACGCTTAAACCCTGATTCAAACTGACCCCAGTCACGTAGTTTACAGAGGTAGTTAATATTATCATCTGATCAGTAACGTCATCTCAAACTTGTTCCCTAAAATATAGCATTCCATCTGCCTGCACAACCTCTATGTTATGAATACACCGTGACTACCATTTTACATTTAAATTGGTTTACCCTTAAGAAATACGCATTTCTTCTTTCCGCGCTAGTTAGCTTCAAAACAACTTCTTGGAGCAGGTTAATCTGTTCGTCACATTCCTTGAGACATCAACTGTCTGATACAGGTAATCAGAGTCTATTGTTGGAGAGCTGGGGCTGAAGCCCGTCACCGCAACTTCCTGGTAGAGCAGGTGATCATGAGCCTCAGTCCACAGCATGCATAGCTTCTAGTGGTCGGTCACTATAGAGGAACAGTAACCCAATACCTTCACATTCAGGGTGTATATACTTAGGCTACGCGTTGTTGACAGGAGGGGGGAGAGGAAGGGGGCGGGAGAGGAAGAGGGTGGGAGAGGCGGGGAGAGGAGGGGAGAAAGAGGGAGATATTATTTAGGCGTCATGCGTTACAAATGCATCAGTTCTTAAAACTACTGTTTGATATAAGTACAAAAGATGTGTACTGAGACTAGGCGTTTGTGTCAGGAGAGGAAGAGGAAGGGGAGAGACAGAGGGAGCAAGGAGGAGAGGCAGAGGGAGGGGGGGGAGAGGGAGAATTGGAGAAAGAGGTAGAGGGGCAGAGGAGGGAGAGGCAGAGGGAGAAAGAGGGAGAAAGAGGAGGAGATTATTTAGGCGTCATGCGTCATGTAATATGACATAATTATACAATATCCTATACACATTATATAAAGTTGTATAACGATAGTTAATGCATAAAGAGATCCACGATCGAAAATTAGAAGTAAACGCTTATCCTTAAGAAGATAAATATTCAGTTTTATATTACACCACTAAAGAGTTACTTTGAACTTGTTTAAGGGGTGTCAGGTAAACTATTTTCGAGCATGCTACTAGCATTTTAAAGAGTTGCATACACGACGGCTTCAGAGAATGTCGTATACAAACTATTCCTATACCTAATATCATGACAATACCCATACGCTGCGTGTGACACCACTCCCTTGAAGAAAGTATGGCATGTCAGCGGCTATGTTACTCATTGTCATTGAAACCTTCTTAACGGATTTGAACTTTAACATCAACGAATATAGGCCTCCTGTTCCTGAACGTGTATGGCTGAGCAATGATTAAAACCTGACCTTCGGAGACGTGTTATAAAGCGTCTATCCGTGATACCCGTTGTGCATCATATCGAGAAGATATATGATAAAACCTTCCAGCATGCATGTACAGATCGTCCTTGCAAGATTGTCTAATGAAGTAGAATTCTCGTACTGCTGCTAATACGTATTACGTTCATAATGGCTATTGGTGACCAGTGTTTGTATCAGTGTCGTTATTTTTAAGATTCCTTGGCACTTTTATGTGAAACAGTAGATTCTTCTCAGGAATCACACACCTGGATCAAAAGCTGGCTATCATCTTCCAACCAGGTACATTGTTCCGGAGAGACTTAATGCTGTCAAGCTTCGCTGCACCAACATTGTCGTCTGCTGGGGACGTCACGTGACTTGGGATCGTCTGCTCACATTTCGTCAGTGCATAATCCGTCAGCGGGTTGTGATGGGGTTTGTGTATATTTCTAGTGTGGTCTGACTAGGGAACTCTTGTGCTTATCGACAAAGGTGGCCGATGTTGTTCTAAAAGGTGGTAAGTGATCATCATGATCAATTTCTTTTTAAATGTTTGTCATTCATGTACTGTCGTATTGGTTAAAAAATACGTGCTTGAATATTGGCAAGAATGGTTATATCTCAAAGTTAAACAGGGTAAAACATTTACACTTGGTTGAAACAACACATTATGTTTGCCCATTGTCGAAATGAAAGGGCCCGTGAGCATAGCTTCAAAACATATTTTACAACAATGATATCATACACGGATTTCGTAACATATAGAGAAGCAAAGCCTCGTGCCTCTTGATATCAAATAGACCCGTGAAGATCCGGGGTAGAATAGGTCTTCAGCATCCCATGTTTGCCGTAAAAGGAGACTATGCTTGTCGTAAGAGGCCACTAACGGGATCGGGTGGTCAGACTCGCTGACGTGGTTGATGCATGTCATCGTATCCCAATTGCGATGCTCATAATGTAAATTACTGGATTGTCTGGTCCAGACTCGATTATTTACAGACCGCCGCCACATAGCTGGAATAGTGCGGAGTGCGGCGTCAAACAACAAACAAAAAGAAACAAATGATATCAAATATATCAACACGAATCTTTAAAGTATACAACTTGTCTCGACGAATGTTGATATATTTGCTTTCAAACGACACGAGGGTGAGATTGTATATATTACCAATATCATTCCTTCACATTCTCCATTTTAAAAACAGTAGTAACCAGTGTCTCGAATGTAAAACGTACAGCAAACCAGTTTCAGCAGCGGAGTGAGTGAGTGAGTATGGTTTTACGCCGCTTTTAGCAATAGTCCAGCAATATCACGGCGGGGGACACCAGAAATGGGCTTCACACATTGTACCCATGTCGGGAATCGGCATGACGAGCGAACGCGTTAATCACTAGGCTACCCGACCGACCCTCACTGGCAGATCTAGAGAGTGGTGTGATCTTGGTAATCGATAACGTCAATATGGTTCATTGATCCCACACAAGCCATTGCTCCTGTGGAAACCAGTTTTTGATGACAAAAAAGTTTGTTAAAATGAGCTTTTTAACAACGTCATATTTATCTTAACGTATACACCCAGATTCGTAGATGTACGTGACAATTTAAATAATCAATTTTAGTTGTACGTGATTATGTGTACCGTCATGTACAGCGTATTTGTATGTAATGGCATGTGCGTTCGTTTTCTTCAATTTTGTTGAAGCTGGACATTACTGGACTATAACACAGCTTTCACAGCAGTGCTCAAAAGATATGTGTACTTCTCGATGCAAGAATATATATTTTTGTGTGTCAAATAATATAATTTTGATCTTTGCAGAACGGACTATAGGAATATAAGTACTTCACTTCAACAATAGCCCACTGACTTACAGCAGGATATGATACACCGTGTAGAGGTTTAACTTTCCTGTGAAGGATTGAAGCTTGTGTGGATTAAAGGATACAGCCCCCATGATGCCTGCCCGCGGTAGTATACGGTGGAAGGACGAGACGTCCGTCAGTGACCTGACCCAACTGAGCAAACTTACAGAAGACACTGTTTTGAAGGTTCTGAAGGAGAGATACGAGAATGACAAGATATACGTAAGACGCTTTCCATTGATCCGCCTCAATTGTAACTATATATCTAGCCATCGATAGTTGTAATATGTGGTACAAGGCTGTTAATGTATTTTGTTCTCATTTAAACTGTCGGAAAAGAAAGTAGACACACGTGTTTGATTGTGGTTAAATATGAAACAAAGATAATGGTTATTCGATGGACATGCATCTCATAGGGTATGCTATTTGTGTTTTGGGCCTCGCATTTGCAGTGTTTAGAGGAACTGTCAGCCTAGTAACGTTAACGTTTTGATAACGTCTGTAATTTATGTTTTGGTCAAATCCATGTGTATACTTTCTTTTGCCCGGTATATCTACTGCAAGTATTCCCTTAGAGATTTTATATAAATATCTTTGCTGTATCTGAGTCCCGTGATCGGCGTCTTCATGACCCGGTGGGAATTGCAGGTTGGAATTGATCCCAGCGACCTATGGTGGTCGTTAGATGCGACTTAATGGTTCGAGTGTCAGGCTCCATGGTTAGGTTAATTGCGTGTCACCGTACCGCTGGTGTGGGTTGTTGTTCATGATATCAATCACTGGATTGTCTAGTCTAGACTCGATTATGTACAGATTGCCGTCTTATAGGTTGAATATTCCTCAGTGCGGTGTTAACCAACAACAAACCAAACCTCTTGGGAGTCGGATGTTTCATTGTTACGTAGGTACTGAATCCGTTCTTGTCATATGAGTCGACGAAATTGGTTCACAGGTTGTCTCAACTTCAGATTAGAATGAAAAATTAAAACTCTTTGATTGTGTGACAGTATGGCATGACAGTATCATACAACCAACTACTGGTTGTGTTAGGTTGTTGATTGAATTCATTACAGGACGCAGTGACGTAACTCTAGCGTTACCGACCTGGGCCCACTTGCACAAAGCGATCTTAGCGCTAAGGTGATTGTAACCCCCATACCTTAACATAGACAGTCGTAGCGCTAAGGTTTTTGTACAACGGCACCCTGGTCGTAACTTCACTGAATTAATATTTCACGTCAAATCGACAATGCTTCAGTAAAAAAAAAATACTTCTAGACAAAGACAAATATTTGCCGTAATTACCATTTGAAGATAATGTATTTACGTTTTCCATATTTTATATGCGACGTTCAACGTTAGCACTATTCATAAAAATGAAAGGGCATAACCATGTACGTGATTTATTTGGCAACATACCAGAGACTGTCACGTTCTCGTTATCGCATTACAAATATATGATCCCTGTCTATTCGGAAGATGAACTGGGATCGTATCAGGCATTCAGCAAAAGTCACCTTTCAACTTCCTGGTACAGAGCCAAGAACGAGATGGCAGGCGTATAATGTCACCACATTGCGCTTCTGGAATACAGAACATCCGCCCCAGTAGACCGTATCCTAAAGACGTTATTCAGCGATGAATTTTTGACGTATAATGGACCTGCTATTAATTCAGGCACAATGTCGTGGATGGGCTAATTATATAACAACAATATGTCATCTGTTAAAGCATCAATATCACGATACAGTCATTAGAGAAGGATAATAGTTTTATCCTTCAAACATAAATCCTTGAAATAAAGATGCATGTTTTGAGTGTGATTATTTCTTAGGGTAATTCGAATTCAATAACTGATATTAAACCATTTGAATGAGCTCAGTAAAAGTAAAATGAAGAGTAAAACCATCCAATGAAACTTCACCTTATATCGCGAAGGGAGTTGTGAGAACATCTTAGCTATTTAGTAAATAATAGGGACAAAACCCTTTCCATAGCAACAAGAAATTGTACGATTGCAACCGTATCATGAGCACGTGTTTATGAATCACTATCAAAAAGTGATGATACCAGGTGTTCGCGATAAGGTGAGCGTGTCCTGACCCACCTATGCCACCCGTCACAAACACATGCAAAGGCAAGTCAATTGTGCATCTGAAAAAAATCATATGGCACAGGTGAATATAGGCAATTGCATCGGACATAGTATTTGTCACTGATGCGTCAAATTTGGAAATGTCCTCCCCATGTCTTCCATAAAACTTTGTGAAAGCTTAAATGAGGCCTTGAATGTTTTAACTTTGATCAAACAACTACAACAAATGGCGCGGGATGGGGATTTGGATGGGTTTTTTCAACATACACATATTCTCTTTTGTATATCAGTTTCCTTACTGTCATAGTGATTTAGCAATAACTGGGGAATCGATATAATCGTGCAAGACACTCAGGGCACACAATACAATACATATCAGGACAGTGACATGAAGATGGGGACATTCAGTAAAATCCTGTTAATTTGTACGGCAGCGGTAAATAGTCCGGATTATGAAATTTTCTAATTAACGAATCATGTTTACGGAGTTAAAAAAAATACGTTCTTAACAGTAATCATTCGAAAAGGTGCGTTCCCGGATTAACAAGGCATGCCTCAATACCCTGAATATGTGTTCAAGGCACATATGAATACATTAACTGTCAACAGAGGTAATAGATAGATAGATAGATAGATGTGTGAGGCTAAGTTGGGTGTACACGTCTTGTGGTACGTCTTGGCATGCCTTAATACCCAAAAGGCCACAATACATTAATTTTGAGATTATGCGTTCAAGGAACATTTGTATACATTAACTGTCAACAGAGGTGATTCATATGGAGAATAGATGTTTGGTAGAACAACGCGTATGGGTTATTTGATTAAGTAAAGAAAAAATGGACCCGTAAGGATCCGGGTAGAGAATAAATTCTTTGATAGGCATTTAGAAGCTGGAGTAGTAAATAAGGATAGAATTTATGGATGAACAACTTCTTGATTACAATTAAGAGCGACGTTTCGGTGTAGGTTCTAACAATGTTATCAAGCAAGTTTATCACTTGTTTGATAACGGTGTTGTAATAAAGAAGTTGTGTATCCATAAATCCTATCGTTACTTAGAGAATAGGTCTTCAGCAAGCCATGTTTGCCGTCCAAGGCGACTGTGCTTGTCGTAAGAGGCGACTAACGGGATCCGGGTGGTCAGGTTCGCTGACGTGGTTGATGCATGTCATCATATCCCATTTGCGTGGATCGATGCTCATGAGGTCAATCACTGGATTGTCTGGTCCAGACTCGAATTTTTACCGACCGCCGTCATATAGCTGGAACATTGCTGAGTGCGGCGTTAAACAACAAACAAAACAAAACAAAATTGGTCACGCATTCCTCTGTTGGTACAATGGGCGCGGAGGGGTGCTTTGTAGAGAGACAGTGGAATGAAAATCTTATAATTATATATCAAGGCCTAAACATAGTGACATAGAGACAGGCGAAACACATAAATAATGTTTTCTAACCGGGTATTCAAGCATGACACGATCTAAATATCACACAATGCATGTGATCCCAGTCTAGTCACCCGCTTAACATTACATTGTACACAATACATTTCCCGGAATAGGCAGGGGAGCTACCAAGCACTAGTTATAGGCGAGTGTACTCGAGTGGCGTTAAACTTTAATGAATCTTCCGGGTAGGATAAATACCCTCTGAATTGTCGCTGGTGGTACTTATGTAGTACCAACTTCATGGTATTCAACGACGCAAAATCAATACAGATGTGCGTTGATCGATATATCTGTGTAAATATATGATTATGCACACAAAGACAAGTACAGTTCACGAAAGTATAGGCATGTATTTAACAATAAAGTAAATGCGCTGCTGTTTTGTGAAATCGATTATATTTCAACAGCTCAGTCAACATGTTGTTTTACCTTATCATGAGTGTGAGTAGATGTTTGAATATTGTTTAAATTACGGTCTGAGGGGAGTGTGTGATGTATGTGTGTGTGAGAGAGAGAGAGAGAGAGAGAGAGAGAGAGAGAGAGAGAGAGAGAGAGAGAGAGAGAGAGAGAGAGAGAGAGAGAATGTGACGCTAATGTAGTGAGTGTGTGTGTATATTAGTGGAGCCGATAACATACTTTGAAGATTGTAGTAAGAGCAACTCTGTATTTGGAACCGATAATTGTACATTTCTATAAATACTAGCTTCCGTGGATTCAGTCAGGGGTAGTTATTGTGATTTTGATACCTCTGGCTGACCAATCAGAATCGAATATTCACGACAACATGAGATTTTGTTTTTGAAAATACGGGTATCGAATCGAAGTTCCAAACGTTTTCATTGAACACATACAATATTTACCTCCATTCACCATGACGTAATGACACAAGAAACGCGAACTCTTTTGTTACAGCGGAAATTATAAGTGACGTATCGTCGCTTTAATCTATAATTGCAGGACAAAAGGGGAAATCAGGGTTGACTGAAGATATATAGGCCACACCTTACTTTCACCATAGTACTTGAACAACTTCAATGAGACACAATAACATCACACAGGCAGATGTCTTGTAAACATTTTCCGAACTGAAATCCCGAGAGTAATTGAAGCAAAAGTACATACCACTATTAGGACGTCATAAAACGCTACAGGTGGAACGTCAAAGCATGGCGACGTGGTAGACACGACGTCACAGTGCGTGATAGAGAAGCGTGTTGATGTTACTGAAGTTTACAATACATTCTCTAAGTATTTGTTCCAGTTTTCCACTTGACATATATTGCAACATGTACACTTGCTATATATAATGTAGGAACCGCACCACATTAATTAGCAACATTAAAGAAGTGAGCATGATCACTGTTTGAAATTGCAAAACTAGCGAAAGAAGTGCTCCTGAAAAAAAAAATGGTCTAACGTAGACAAGATACCTGTGTCGGACCAATGCAGGATTCTGAAATGACATGGTAGAATATATGTTGGAATCTATGAAAATTTGATTCGTTACCGATGATTTTCTGCATTTTTCTCAAAACAACAGTTCTTGGCCCATGCTTGAGTGAGTAGCTTAATGGCACTTTCAAAGGAATTTCAGTAGTAAAATGCGTCAGCTTTATAAGGGAGAAGAGCCCCATGGGCATGGGCCAAGGTTACACATCAAGAAGTACTGAGTAATAAGGTGTACATTGAAGCACGTCTCACAAACATTGCTTGATATTTATAAACTAATGCATGTTTTAAGATGGTTGCATTTGATGATAGCATAAGCATATTAAATTCGTGGATTGTTGGATATTCATAAAAGTTTAAAGGGATGGACAAACGTCTCACTGCTTGATATTGAGTAATGAGTAAGCGATGACATTCATCTTCTATTTAGGGGAGAAAACCCTCATAGATTTTACATCATCTCTCATTTATGGCTTCTTCAATATGATGTTATATCGGTGTGGTAGAGGTAGTTTCCCAATCTGGTGTTATATCGGGATGTTAGAGGTAGTTCCCCACTCTGGTGTTATATCCGGATGGTAGAGATAGTTCCCCCCTCTGGTGTTATATACGGATGGTAGAGATAGTTCCCCACTCTGGTGTTATATCGGGATGGTAGAGGTAGTTTCTCACTCTGGTGTTATATCGGGATGGTAGAGGTAGTTTCCCACTCTGGTGTTATATCAGAATGGTAGAGGTAGTTCCCCCCTCTGGTGTTATATCGGGATGGTAGTGGTAGTTCCCCACTCTGGTGTTATATCGGGATTGTAGTGGTAGTTCCCCACTCTGATGTAATATCGGGAAGGTAGGGGAATTTCCCCTCTCTGGTATTATTTCAGGATGTTAGTGGTAGTTCCCCACTCTAATGTTATATCGGGATGGTAGTGGTACTTCCCAAATCTGGTGTCATATCGGGAATGGTTAAGATAGTTCCCCACTTTGGTTTATATCGGGATGGTAGTGGTTATTCCCCACTCTGGTGTTATATCGGGATGGTAGTGGCAGTTCCCCACTCTGGTGTTATATCGGGATGGTATGGGTAGTTCCCCACTCTGGTGTTATATCGGGGTGTTAGTGGTAGTTCCCCACTCTGGTGTTATATCGGGATGGTAGTGGTAGTTCCCCGCTCTGGTGTTATATCGGGATGGTAGGGGTAGATCCCCGCTCTGGTGTTATATCGGGATGTTAGAGGTAGTTCCCCACTCTGGCATTATATCGGGGTGGTAGGGGTAGTTCCCCACTCTGGTGTTATATCGGGATGGTAGTGATAGTTCCCCACTCTGGTGTATATCAGGATGGTAGTGGTAGTTTCCCAATCTGGTGTTATATCGGGATGGTAGGGGTAGTTCCCCATTCTGGTGTTATATCGGAATGGTAGTGGTAGTTCCCCACTCTGGTGTAATATCAGAATGGTAGAGGTAGCTACCCCCTCTGGTGTTATATCGGGATGGTAGAGGTAGTTCCCCGCTCTGGTGTTATATCGGGATTTTAGTGGTAGTTCCCCACTCTGGTGTTATATCGGGATGGTAGTGGTAGTTCCCCTCTCTGGCATTATATCCGAATGGTAGTGGTAGTTCCCCGCTTTGGTCTTATATCAGGATGGCAGTGATAGTTCCCCACACTGGTGACATATTGGGGTGGTAGGGGTAGTTCCCCTCTCTGGTATTTTTTCAGGATTGTAGTGGTAGTTCCCAACTCTAGTGTTATATCGGGATGGTAGGGGTAGCTCCCCCTCTAGTGTTATATCGGGGTGGTAGAGGTAGTTCCCCAGTCTAATGTTATATCGGGATGGTAGTGGTAGTTCCCAAATCTGGTGTCATATCGGGAATGGTAGAGGTAGTTCCCAACTTTGGTGTTATATCGGGGTGGTAGTGGTTGCTCCCCACTCTCGTGTTATATCGGGATGGTAGTGGTTGTTTCCCAATCTAATGTTATATCAGAATGGTAGGGGTAGTTCCCCACTCTGGTGTTATATCGGAATGGTAGGGGTAGTTCCCCACTCTGGTGTTATATCGGGATGGTAGTGGTAGTCCCCCTCTCTGTCTTTATATCGGAATGGTAGTGGTAGTTCCCCACTCTGGTGAAATATCGGGGTGGTAGGGGTAGTTCCCCACTCTGGTGTTATATCGAGATTGTAGGGGTAGTTTCCCACTCTGGTGTTATATCGGAATGGTAGTGGTAGTTCCCCACTCTGGTGTTATATTGGGATGGTAGCGGTAGTTCCCCGCTCTGGCATTATATCGGGATGGTAGGGGTAGTTCCCCACTCTGGTGTTATATCGGAATGGTATTGGTAGTTCCCTGCTCCGGTCTTATATCAGGATGGCAGTGGTAGTTCCCCACTGTGGTGTTATATCAGGATGGTAGTGGTAGTTCCCAACTCTGATGTTATATCGGGATGGTAGTGGTAGTTCCCCGCTCTGGTGTTATATTGAGTCATATTAGAATTATCCGTGGTTGACATGGTAGATGTAAGTTCACATAAATAAAATTGTTATGCAAAGACATACATACAGTAAACATAAATGTTCATGTATCCCATTTCAGACACGCTGCGGAGATGTGCTTCTGTCTATCAACCCTTTCAAAACGTTGCCAATATATAGCGAGGAGGTATGTATTGCACAGAAACACGAGCTCATCTTGTATAAGTGTTACTATGAGCTGTGATCTTAAAGGAATTTTAAAGCATAATGAATATCTATAAATATGTGTTAAGTTGATGTAACTGTGTTCATCGAAAAATTCCTGAAGGGTAAAAGACGTTTTTTCATACCAATTAAGGCTGAGCAAAACCTAAATGCTCTGATATCCACACGAGGATACCGTCGCCATAAATTCAATGACTACTTAACCCCCCCCCCCCCCCCCCCCCCCTCTCTCTCTCTCTCTCTCTAAAGATGAAACAAACAAGCAATGGTCAGACGATGTATTTGGTACGAGTAGCTTAGTTATGTTTTGAACCTTAAGTTTGCAGTGTTTTGGCGACTGTTTTCAGCCTAGTAACGTTTTGATAACGTTTGGAATTTGTTCGTCACGTCCGACTTTCAAGTGTATGCTTTCTTTTACCCGGCAGTTATTTGAATTGGTGTGTTTACAGCACCACGATGAGTACGGCTTGCAGGGTCTTAACCACGACATGGAGCCCCATATATTCCACACAGCCGCCATGGCCTTCAAGAGACTCCACGAGACCCAGACCAACCAGGTGACTAGAAATTGTCCATGCAAGAGAATAACCAGCCTAGATTATCTGCCGAAACAGATTCCACTTGACGTAAAGGGCAAATAGCTGTGGAAATTATATTAAAATGAAAATCAGTGATGACATAGGGTGTTCGCGAAAAGGGTAAGCATGTCCTGCTCGACCGGTAGAACCCGCCATTCATACAATTTGCATAAAAAGTAAGTATTTATTGCCTGACGCAGCACAGCAGTACTGCTGCCATGCGACGTAAGCCTATAAACAAACCAGACAATCGATGAACCAGAAAGTCAATTAACACGAGAGTACCATTACTGAATTTGTTGACACTCATAAAAACGGTATGTTACTTTTGTACTGCGGCTGCTGTGTACATGTGCAGAGTTTTGCACCTTATACGTAAAGACAAACGTTAAGAAATATATTCATTTTGCAACAACGAAGTCCATGATACACTTGGCTGTCTTTAGTTTTGTCTACAGATAGCTTGACTTTCTGGAATGTATTCCTTCTGAACGCTGATTTTGTGAAAAATTAATGAGTACAATGCATAAAATCATTTTACCGTATTTGGTCATACTAAGAGCATGGTGAAAGGAAATGTCAGTTTTGATAAGTTTTTACATATTTAATATATTCATTTTCTCTTGGAATTTGCGTATGTCTCCCTGGTTCGAAAGCAGATCATGTGATTAAGATCTAAATCAAGAGAGTGCTCATTGGAATTTATCAAAAACATAAATAAGTAGATATTCTTCTTTTTTTACCGTATAAGACAATCTACAATATCTAGTAGGATACTGTCAGTAGAATAGTTGACATTATATATCCCCTGCTAAGACCTGGGCAAGTTAAAGAACTAAACCAAAAGCACTAACACCGATACTGGGTACTTACTGTCAGTGTGTGTAATGAATGAATATAATTTCGTCTGAAGAATATGCTAGAGGTAATGTAATATTCCCAACAGGTTGTATTGGTGTCTGGTGAGTCTGGCTCAGGAAAGACTGAGAACACAAAATACATGGTGAAGCATCTGATGACGATTTGTGGCCGCTCTCTTGAAGGTCTGGAAGACAAGATACTGGAGGTGAGTCTACAGACACATTTAACAATGCATTCACCTATCAAGTACTTTGTCGGCAGTGTGTAAATAATCCAGTCTGGACCAGACAATCCGGTGATTGACATCATGGGCATCGATGCCATGCAACAAGTCTGACAACCCGTTCCTGTTAGTCGCCTCTGACGACAAACATGGATTGATGAAGATAAATTTTAACAGTGATCTTCACGAGTCACACGGGGGTCAATATTGAGTATATATGATATTAAAAGAGGTAGACTACGACCATGTTTCTATTTCAGGGACGATGATTTCCATGATAAAAACCCAGGATGTTTATGAACACGATCTTACAAAGAAAAGCAATCCCCAGAGTTGAAAAATGTTAAAGAACTTCTTTCTTCATTGTAACAAAAGCGACACAAATTAATGCCATAATCATAAAAAAAATATCTGCTAAAAGCAGAGTCGACTGTACGTGTCCGACTATATCATAACCTTATGTTTATGAATCACCATCAAATTAATAGTGATGATACCACGTGTTCGCGAAATCTTGCCTCTCCGGTAGCACCCTCACAAACACATGCAAAGGCAAGACAAATGTTCACCTGAAAAACATAATTACGAGATTCGCTCTATTATTGTGATACTTGATTAATAATAACATATATTTTAAGGTAAACCCTGTGATTGAAGCATTTGGTAATGCACAGACAGTTCTCAATGACAACTCGAGTAGATTTGCCAAGTACTTACAACTTGACTTTGGCAAAGATGGAAGCATTCGGGGAGGTAAGTAACCTGTCATGTTTCCGTGATGTACAACCCTCCTTCTATCAGCCTTTCTTCGTGAACATATACGAGTTGTGTAACTACCCTTAACTGATATTTCTTAACTGCTGAAAATGGCCTTAACATTGTACCAAAGTGAGAAATCGCTCCTGGACCTTCGTCGCTTTACGCCCCAGGCTATCCACTCTCCCCTCATCACGTAAGACGTGGAATAACTTAAGTGAGTGAGTGATGCTTTACGCAATATTGCAGCAATATCACGGCGGGGAACACCAGACATGGGCTTTACACATGTATGGGGAATCGAACTCGGGTCTCAGGCGTGACGAGCGAACGCTTTAACCACTAGGCTACCCCACCGCCCCGGAGTAATTTAAATCAAGCAGGACAGTTGTGAAGCGAGCATGACGATATCATGACGATAAATTGAGCATGACGATGAATTGAAGTGTTACTGCTTATGAATATTCAATTTATAACAATCACAGTTCTATTTTATGGGTTAGACAGTGTCATAATATATTAGTGACTAAGTGTCATTTTGTAATTTGTTAAACGTGACCGTATATGGAATACTGCTGAAAGCGGTGCGCTGGTGATGATAATGATACTAGACTATGTTTTGAGCGTACAGAGGTATTGACAGTGGGTTTGATGTCACTATGGAACATATGGGAAGGGATACTAATGTGGGTAACGAACCTGGGACTTTAGTTGGACGAACCAACGATGTAACCACCAGACTACCCCACGGCCCCAAGCCGGTTTAGGACTCATGGCGTGTGTGTGTGTCTCAAGTCTCCAATATTTCCTCACAGCTTCAATAAAGGACTACATGCTGGAGAAGAGCCGGGTGGTTCACCAGGGAAGCGGTGAAAGCAACTTCCATATCTTCTACAAGTTACTGGCAGGGCTAACGGAAGAAGATCGCATCTTCTTGTCCATTAACAAAGATAAGAAATACAGGTTAGTTCCTTTGGCGGTACTTTCCAAAAATAGACATGTTTCCAGTGAGTGAGTGATTGTTGGAGTGGGTGAAGTGGATTTACCACCGCTTTTAACGGTATTTAAGTGCCGTTATTGTTATCAAGCTTTAAGGCATATCGAATTAGTGTGGAAGGATATTCCCGAGGGAAGTATTAGGTGGGCGTTTACAACCTTGGTGAAATATACGACCACAGGGCTGGTGTTGACAACTAAGGGGCACAACTCTGGAAACGGGAGATGCGGCGCATTAGACCAGTGGGATAAATGTTATAGAAGTGACATCGCAAAATCAGTTCGTATGACAGTTATAAGCAGTTGTGGACCTGTTCTCCGGGGGATTGCAACTGGATCTGATAGAGTTGTCTTATGTTCTAGAATCGCAAAAAGCAGAGACAAAAAGAGGACTTCCGAAGATGCTGATGATTACCGCAGATATTTTGAGGTTCTGAAGAAAATTGGTATTCCGGAAGAGGTTGGTAAACTATTCGCAACATTAAGTCCCTAGAAATACCCCAAAACGATAGCCCTAAACCAACATACCATTCGGTTGCATCCGTCAAGTGCAAAAAGAAATATTTATCGTCGAACCTATTTTCAATGATTCTATGAAACGTGTAAGTTTAACAAGAATGAGTGCAGTGTGATCTTGGAGGGTACACATCTGCATTAAACTCAGTTCAGTGATGAGTTGATTTAACGCCGCTTTGAACAGTATTTCAGTTGTATCACTTGGTGTCGGTTTGATGCGGAAGGAAAGCCTCAAGTGATGAAGGTCTCAGACGTTTACCACTTTGATGAAACCCCGAACAACCAAGAAACATAATCAGTGCAAATCATAGGATAATGACACTCAACTCTGCACAGCGAATATAATGTGGGAACCACCTGACTTAATGGTCCAAACCAATTGATCTCACTGTTATAAATATCGATTGACCGATATTTCGTTTGCAGGAAAGAGATAATATACAGAGAATCCTGGCAGCCATCATACACCTGACAGAGATACAATTCCTGGAGGACCCCAAAAGTGATACGTCTGAAATATGGGATGAGGAGCCCTTGAATGTTGGTGAGTGTATCCAGGCGCTCTTGTAGAGGAGTATTATCTTCAAGCTGCTCTTGGGTATAGGTATCAACGTCGAGCTGCTCTTGGGTGTAGGTGTCAACGTCGAGCTGCTCTTGGGTATAGGTGTCAACGTCGAGCTGCTCTTGGGTATAGGTGTCAACGTCGAGCTGCTCTTGGGTATAGATATCAAAGCCGAGGTGCTCTTGTAGAGGAGTATTATCTTCAAGGTGCTCTTGGGTATAGGTATCAACGTCGAGCTGCTCTTTGGTAAAGGTGTCAACGTCGAGCTGCTCTTGGGTATAGATATCAAAGCCGAGGTGCTCTTGTAGAGGAGTATTATCTTCAAGGTGCTCTTGGGTATAGGTATCAACGTCGAGGTGCTCTTCGATGTGGGTGTCAACGTCGAGGCGTTCTTCGGTGTAGGTGTCAACGACGAGGTGCTCTTGGGTGTAGGTGTCAACGTCCAGGCGCTCTTGGGTGTAGGTGTCAACGTCGAGGCGCTCTTGGGTGTAGGTGTAAACGTCGAGGCGCTCTTGGGTGTAGGTGTCAACGTCGAGGCGCTCTTGGGTGTAGGTGTCAACGTCGAGGCGCTCTTGGGTGTAGGTGTCAACGTCGAGGTGCTCTTGTAGAGGAGTATTATCTTCAAGGTGCTCTTGGGTGTAGGTGTCAACGTCGAGGTACTCTTGGATAGAGGTATCAACGTCGAGGTGCTCTTGTGTGTAGGTGTCAACGTCGAGCTGCTCTTGGGTGTAGGTGTCAACGTCGAGGCGCTCTTGGGTGTAGGTGTCAACGTCGAGGCGCTCTTGGGTAAAGGTGTCAACGTCGAGGCGCTCTTGGGTGTAGGTGTAAACGTCGAGGTGCTCTTGGGTGTAGGTGTCAACGTCGAGGTGCTCTTGGGTGTAGGTGTCAACGTCGAGGTGCTCTTGGGTGTAGGTGTAAACGTCGAGGCGCTCTTGGGTGTAGGTGTCAACGTCGAGGCGCTCTTGGGTGTAGGTGTCAACGTCGAGGCGCTCTTGGGTGTAGGTGTCAACGTCGAGGTGCTCTTGGGTGTAGGTGTCAACGTCGAGGTGCTCTTGGGTGTAGGTGTCAACGTCGAGGTGCTCTTGGGTGTAGGTGTCAACGTCGAGGTGCTCTTCGGTGTAGGTGTAAACGTCGAGGCGCTCTTGGGTGTAGGTGTCAACGTCGAGGCGCTCTTGGGTGTAGGTGTCAACGTCGAGGCGCTCTTGGGTGTAGGTGTAAACGTCGAGGCGCTCTTGGGTGTAGGTGTCAACGTCGAGGCGCTCTTGGGTGTAGGTGTCAACGTCGAGGCGCTCTTGGGTGTAGGTGTCAACGTCGAGGCGCTCTTGGGTGTAGGTGTCAACGTCGAGGTGCTCTTCGGTGTAGGTATCAACGTCGAGGTGCTCTTCGGTGTGGGTGTCAACGTCGAGGTGCTCTTGGGTGTAGGTGTCAACGTCGAGGTGCTCTTGGGTATAGGTGTCAACGTCGAGCTGCTCATGGGTATAGGTGTCAACGTCGAGGTGCTCTTGGGTGTAGGTGTCAACGTCGAGGTTGTCATGGGTGTAGGTGTCAACGTCGAGCTGCTCTTGGGTGTAGGTGTCAACGTCGAGGTGCTCTTCGGTGTAGGTGTCAACGTCGAGGCGCTCTTGGGTGTAGGTGTAAACGTCGAGGTGCTCTTGGGTGTAGGTGTCAACGTCGAGGTGCTCTTGGGTATAGGTGTCAACGTCGAGGTGCTCTTGTAGAGGAGTATTATCTTCAAGGTGCTCTTGGGTGTAGGTGTCAACGTCGAGGTACTCTTGGATAGAGGTATCAACGTCGAGGTGCTCTTGTGTGTAGGTGTCAACGTCGAGCTGCTCTTGGGTGTAGGTGTCAACGTCGAGGTGCTCTTGGGTGTAGGTGTAAACGTCGAGGCGCTCTTGGGTGTAGGTGTAAACGTCGAGGTGCTCTTGGGTGTAGGTGTCAACGTCGAGGTGCTCTTGGGTATAGGTGTCAACGTCGAGGTGCTCTTGGGTATAGGTGTCAACGTCGAGGTGCTCTTGTAGAGGAGTATTATCTTCAAGGTGCTCTTGGGTATAGGTGTCAACGTCGAGGTACTCTTGGATATAGGTATCAACGTCGAGCTGCTCTTGGGTGTATGTGTCAACGTCGAGGTACTCTTGGGTGTAGGTGTCAACGTCGAGGTGCTCTTGTAGAGGAGTATTATCTTCAAGGTGCTCTTGGGTGTAGGTGTCAACGTCGAGGTACTCTTGGATAGAGGTATCAACGTCGAGGTGCTCTTGTGTGTAGGTGTCAACGTCGAGGTGCTCTTGGGTGTAGTTGTCAACGTCGAGGTGCTCTTGGGTGTAGGTGTCAACGTCGAGGCGCTCTTGGGTGTAGGTGTCAACGTCGAGGCGCTCTTGGGTGTAGGTGTAAACGTCGAGGTGCTCTTGGGTGTAGGTGTCAACGTCGAGGTGCTCTTGGGTATAGGTGTCAACGTCGAGGTGCTCTTGGGTATAGGTGTCAACGTCGAGGTGCTCTTGTAGAGGAGTATTATCTTCAAGGTGCTCTTCGGTATAGGTGTCAACGTCGAGGTACTCTTGGATATAGGTATCAACGTCGAGCTGCTCTTGGGTGTATGTGTCAACGTCGAGGTACTCTTGGGTGTAGGTGTCAACGTCGAGCTAGTCTTGAGTGTATGTGTCAACGTCGAGGTGCTCATGGGTATGGGTGTCAACGTCGAGGCGCTCTTGGTGTAGGTGTAAACGTCGAGGTGCTCTTGGGTGTAGGTGTCAACGTCGAGGTGCTCTTGGGTTTAGGTGTCAACGTCGAGGTGCTCTTGGTATAGGTGTCAACGTCGAGTAGCTCTTGGGTGTAGGTGTCAACGTCGAGGTGCTCTTGGGTGTAGGTGTCAACGTCGATGTTCTCTTGTAGAGGAGTATTATCTTCAAGGTGCTCTTGGGAATAGGTGTCAACGTCGAGGTACTCTTGGGTATAGGAATCAACGTCGAGGTGCTCTTGGGTGTATGTGTCAACGTCGAGGTGCTCTTGGGTGTAGGTTTCAACGTCGAGCTACTCTTGGGTGTAGGTGTTAACGTCGAGGCGCTCTTGGGTGTAGGTGTAAACGTCGAGGTGCTCTTGGGTGTAGGTGTCAACGTCGAGGTGCTCTTGGGTGTAGGTGTTAACGTCGAGGCCCTCTTGGGTGTAGGTGTCAACGTCGAGGTGCTCTTTGGTGTAGGTGTCAACGTCGATGTTCTCTTGTAGAGGAGTATTATCTTCAAGGTGCTCTTGGGTATAGGTGTCAACGTCGAGGTACTCTTGGGTATAGGAATCAACGTCGAGGTGCTTTTGGGTGTAGGTGTTAACGTCGAGGCGCTCTTGGGTGTAGGTGTCAACGTCGAGGTACTCTTGGGTATAGGAATCAACGTCGAGGTGCTCTTGGGTGTAGATGTTAACGTCGAGGCGCTCTTGGGTGTAGGTGTAAACGTCGAGGTGCTCTTGGGTATAGGTGTCAACGTCGAGGTGCTCTTGGGTGTAGGTGTTAACGTCGAGGTGCTCTTGGGTGTAGGTGTAAACGTCGAGGTGCTCTTGGGTGTAGGTGTCAACGTCGAGGTGCTCTTGGGTGTAGGTGTTAACGTCGAGGCGCTCTTGGGTGTAGGTGTAAACGTCGAGGTGCTCTTTGGTGTAGGTGTCAACGTCGAGGTGCTCTTGGGTGTAGGTGTAAACGTCGAGGTGCTCTTGGGTATAGGTGTCAACGTCGAGCTGCTCTTGGGTGTAGGTGTCAACGTCGAGGCACTCTTGGGTGTGGGTGTTAACGTCGAGATGCTCTTGGGTGTAGGTGTCAACGTCGAGGTGCTCTTTGACATGGGTATGTCGAGGGAATCTTTGTTCGCGAACACCTTGTTTCATGAGTATTGCATATTGATTCATAAACACATCCTCATGGTAAAGTCGGAATCGTACAATGGACACTGCTTTGGGCCGAGATTTCTTATCAATATGGAAAGGGTTTTGTCACTTTTATTTTTGAATTAAGTGTGTCTTTGGGTCAAGTCATGGATATTGTTTAATGCGTCGTAGTAAATCAGGAATCACAGCTTCTTAAATATGATGACATGATCATTATAACTCCACTATTCTTAATGTTATCGATGTGATCCTATACATGTAGGTGCCACGTGGCCGTTCAAGCTGGTGGACAGAGGTACATGTAAAATAATTGCCTGTGTATTTTTACAGTGACTCTGCTGTTGGACACTGACCCGAATGCTGTCACAGAAGCCCTTGTTTCAAAGAAAATACATATCCCAGGACAAGGTATCTAATATAATATTTTGGAGATTCATATTAAGGGTGGAGGCATGGGACATTTCTGGGGTAAATATCCGTAGTTGTTTTTTTCCTTCATATGTATCCGTAAATCAACCTAACGGATACCTTATTTTATCCAATGGCATTATCCTGTCAACCTACCCATTATGTGATAATAACCTGTCTGTGACCCGTGAAGATCCGGGATAGAAAGGGTCTTCAGCAACCCATGCTTGTCATAAGAGGCGACTGACGGGATCTGGTGGTCAGGCTCGCTCACCTGGTTTATGTATGTCAACGTATCCCATGTAGATCGGTGAATATGCATGTCAATCACTGGATTGTCTGGTCCAGACTCGATTATTTACATACCGCAGTCATAAAGCCTGGATATTGCCGAGTGCGGCGTTAAGGAACAAACAAACAAACTTTCCGTGTCTTTGCCAGGGGACATTCAAACAGTGAGAAGGAAGCGAGAATCCGAGGGGGCCCGAGACGCACTAGCCAAAGCGCTGTATGAACGCCTGTTCGGTTGGATCATCCGAAAGATCAACGAGTCGCTTCATCCGTGCTACGACACGTCAGTATTGCAACCCATTCTGATGTATAGGATGAAGTTAGTCTGCAGAGTTTAAGTACCACAGGCATCGAAATAAGTTCTGTATAATTAGACAATGCCTTTAAGAAAGTGGTAAAAATGTAGTAGAATTTGTACTTTACTAAGAAACTGTGATCCGAAAAACGACACGTGTTACCCGTCCTGTATCATTCGTCACCACTCGCCCCTTTCCGTAACCTGCAAGAAGACGGCTTCTCCCGGAATAACACGAGTTGGTCAAATGGTCCTGTTTGGTACTAAATAAAGCAAACAATCAGGTGAGGTGAGGTGAAATGGGGTTTAACGTCGCGTCCAAGATTATTGCACTTATATAGCGACGTGCATGTACGTATGTGTGTTTGTGTGGCTGCTTGTACTAGTCCGGACTGATGCCAATTAATAGTGCTAGCTCACTGAGATACCCTGCCGCAGTTTAACACGAATACCCCACTCAGACACAGTATACTGACTCAGAGCCGACCAGTCCTTGTTTTAGCCCCTTAATGCCGAGCGCCAGACAGGGTAACAACAAGTACCATCTTTTAACGTCTTTTGGTATGATGCGGCCGGGGATCGAGCCCCGGACATTCCGCTCTCCGGGCGGACGCTCTACCACTAGACCACGGAGGCTGTCGCAAACAATCAGAGCGATGTGCCCGTGCAACAATCCAATCTAGCCAACATACAAACACACTCGTTTGTATGGACAAAACGTCTAGTTGTGTGTAGTGGGTATTCTTGATCGAGTCTTCTTAGGCGCTCTAATTCGTTGTGCAGAGTTGCGTCCCCTTGGCGTGCCAGAAACCTATGATCGTTGGTTCGAATGACGGTTTGTACTGATTATATCTCGGAGTTTGTCATGATCAGCACCATGCACATGCTAGTGGGTTTCACCACCGCAGTAAACATCTTAGATCCGCATCACTTCAAGCTTTCTTCCCACATCCAAACTGTTCAAAGCGGCGCTAAACCCATCACACTCACTCACTCACTCACTCACTCACTCACTCACTCACCCACCCACCCACTCACTCACTCACTCACTCACTCACTCACTCACTCACTCACTCACTCACTCACTCACTCACTATTTCTGTGTACGTTTGTAGTGCCGAGAACGCTGGCAGTATTGGAATGGTGGACATCTGTGGCTTCGAGTGCCTGAGGGAGAACAGCTTTGAACAGATGTGTATCAATCTCGTCAATGAGAGGATGCAGGGCTTCATGAATGAGCAGATCTTCAGGGAAGAGCAGGCGATCTATCGGAATGAGGGCGTGGCCGGAGACTGTTTGGGCATACAGTACACAAACAATGACCACATCGTTTCTCTCTTTATGGTAGGTATGACGGCATGAATTACCGTATTTCTTCATCACGGCGGATTCAGGAGTAACGAGTTTCTCTGTCATTATATAATATTACCCATGTAGATCCGAGTTAGAACTGATCTTCAGCGACCTGAGCTTGCCGAAGAGGCGACTAGCTGGATCGCGTGGTCAGGCTCTCTGCCTCTGTTGATGCATGTTGTCGTATCCCAATTGAGAAGATCGATAACCAAAATGTCAATCAGTGGATTGTCTGGTAAAAAATTCGATTATTTACAGACCGACGTCATATAGCTGAACTAATGATGAATAATAAACAGACAAACAAACAAACAAACAAACATTATATAATATATGCTCTCAAGATCCATATATTTCAGACAATATGTATATTTCTCTTCAGTCGAAAGGCATACTCGACCAAATAGATGAATATACCATCAAACTGAAGCAAGGCACAGACTCATCGCTTGTACACACCCTCAAGGACAGATTTGCCAACAATGAAGTCTTTCGAACACCGCCAGGAGCTAACCTTACTTTTGGGATCAAACATTTTGCAAGAGAGGTATGCTTTATGTCAAAGTGTCATAATTAGAGTTGAACAAATTTTAACTTAAAACAAGATCTTAAATTCACAAGATGTAACTGATCAACGTATATACATACACGTAACTTTCAGATTAAATTCAGTTCGAAAGAAACGCATTTCTATATAACAAATTGGCATGGCCAGCCACGGCTATTTTGACAGGTTTAGTTAATGTCCAATATGTGTAAATCATGCGAATCCTAGTTTGACAGGACCCGTTCACAAAGCGATCTTGGCGCGACGACTAGTATAAATCTGTGCTCAAGTCTTGGAGATAAGACTGTCTTAATGAAAAGATTGCTTTGCGGAACGGTCCCTAGGTCTGTTTGTGATGTATATTATATTGCCAGAATATACACTGCTTGTCAAAACCAAGTCTCCACGATCACAACCAGGACAGGGTCGAGGGGACGTTTGATAAATGCATTGTACATAGTTACTTAAGATTTACCAAAAATTACTCAATTTACTAAAAAGACCATGTTCGTAGGTTGATGAACTCGCAACGTCAACGAATTAAATGTTAAGTTTAGTCAAGATTATAATTGTATTAAAATCGGAGGGTAAATCCAATATGCAATGCTTTCAATCAAGCATCATAGCATAGCCACACCCGCATGTTAATGTTTCAATGCATGTGTTCAGGTGAGCTATGACGCTAAAGGTTTCCTGGAGAAGAACCGTGACACCCTAAGTCCGGAGATGATTAAGTGTATGAAAGACAGCCAAAACGAGATGGTGTCTGACCTCTTCACTGTGGAGAAGGGCGATACCGGAACTATATCTGTGTAAGTACCATGTCACCAAAGAAGTGGGCGACATCCAAAAGAAAATACAATTTATTTCTATTACGCCCTACTCTATATCATAGAGGGTAAGATAACCGAACCCTACACAGTCAACCAGGAATCAAGCTACCTGATAGTGATTCAAAAACACATGCTTATGATGCATTCGGGATCCTGCTTTTGGCGGTGATTTCTTAGAATATGAAAAGGATTTTGACGCTTTTATCTCTTATTGATGACCATGATCAACATACCACGTCGCCGGTACGAGCACACACCACTCGAATTTGCAGGGTTTGGTTCGGTTTGTTTGTTCTCAGCTACATGATGGCGGTTTGTGAATAATCGCGTCTGGACCAGACAATCAAGTGATTGACACCATGAGCATCCGTCAACGCAATTGAGTTACGATGACATGCATCAGCCAGGCTTTAGTCGCTGCTTAGGTCCTGTGTGCGTACCCAGACGCTGTGTCAATTAATAACATATATTGTCCTTGTATATCATGCTACAAATACCAATCAGCTTCACGTGAATGTCCAGTATGTGTGTCTCCTCTGCAGAACCCAGTTCAACTACCGGAAGTCAACTCGTCACGGTATGTCGCAGACCAGAAGAACGCGTGGTGAACATCTTTCTCGAAGCGTCATCAAGGACATCAGGCAGAGCCATAACCAGTTCATGGCCAGTAGGAGGTAATCTTCACACAAATATAGCATTTCAATTGAATATATTCCTCTCCGAGGGGTCTGCCGCGATTCTCTTTGTTGTTAATCACGCGACAGAACACACTATCTTGGCAGGTTTATTCCCAATGTGGCCCTTCCCTGTGTGACCACTGTGTTTTAATTAGTTACAGTGAAAGATCCTACTGTGACCACTCTTCATTTTACTATTCCCATTATAACCACTCATGGTTGATTGAGATCTTTAACTAAAAAAATAAACCAAAACAAAGTATTCATATGATACATTTATTTACCGTTTGCATTGAAAACGTTTTGTGTGTTTATTGTTCAGTGTCACTATTCATTTCACTTGTGTAACTGCTTACATAAAGATGCTTATAAGCATCTCTGGTCAGGACAGATTTCTTTCTTTATCAGTACAGAATTAGTTGCTAATTCCTTCTTACTCAATTACTTGACACTGTCACTTCATCCAATTCCAGCTGGACTTTGTGTTCAATGAGGCGTAGGCAGGTCGGTGGCCACACTGGGAGGTTACCTCCTGACAAAATGGCCTTTTTCTGTAGCTTAAGTATCTCAAGTATCTTTAAGTTTCTCAAGTTTTCTAGTCTCCTTGATTGCAAGACAAGGAAACCGTCTTTATAGAGACCAAGTACATATAGATTTCAATTACTTTGGATATTTGAACATCATGGCCAGCTGTTACAAAGTAAAACGTAAGGCACAAAACAAACAACATTGTGAAACTCTGGGTAAAACAGAACGACTAGAAAGGTCTTACTACGTAATATACAGAGGAATAGCCATGCAGATGGTGGAATGTTTGAACAAAATAAGTATTTGGTGAAGCCCGGCTGGTTTAGCGCCTTACTCTTACATGGCCTACTGTATTTTCAGGAAACACCATATAGAAATGTTTAAACAAACAATCATTAGTGTAGTACTGATGTAGGTTAGAATGTAGCCCTTACCGCATATTGTTAAACATTAGAGCTAGAACAACTTGTGGAAAACATGAGAAATAATTAAGTTTGATGTCATTATATTAAAGTAAATATAAATGTACGAACGTTTCCAGGAATTGAATAAGGTTGATTTTATTTGGAATAAAATGATGAACGGCAGTAAGGTTTTCCGTTTATCACTCATCTTGTCTCGATATAGGTTATCTTGATATTTTTGTGATTGTCCCCAGGACGTCGGGTTAAGAAGGGATCATTGTATGTATAATAACTATTTGGCGTATTTATTGTCTTCAAGGGGTGCCTCAACGATAGCTGGAGAAGAAGTGACACACGTTCAAACACAAACAGTCACCCAATACTTCAAAGTAAGTCAAAGACTTAGTATAATTTAGATTTTAGGTTTTCAAATTTAATATTGATGTTTATTTTTGTTCATGTTATTGCCGACCAATTAAAGTACATATACCAACTATCGTCTCTTTGATTATCTAACATGGTACATTTGATGCATATTGGCTTTTCACACAGCTGAACGTGTTTAGAGGCATTGAACAATTATTTGAAATATATATTTACATTGTAGAATTCTTTGGATGATCTTGTGGATAAGTTGAGAAATTCCGGGTCAAGTTTTGTCAGGTAAGACATGTTTTTCACTCTTATTCCAAATTTCAATGTTGTTAAATTTCAAATGAACTCAATGTCAGATACACATTGCCAAGTACATGTTTATGAAACGTATGCCATTATACTTAGAAGTATAATGCCGAAGTTTACAAAGTGACACCACGAAACTCTACTGACGTCCTGACCCTATGTCTGCATCCCTCATGTCAGGTTAACTTCACATTTTGTATTAAACTCAGATGCATCAAACCCAACACGAAGCTTGCCCCAGATACGTTCCTGGATGCCGAAGTGGTTGTACAGCTGAAATACAACGGGATCGCGGAGGTGGCCCGCATTAGGAAGGAAGGCTGGTCCATCAGGAAGACATTCAAGGATGTCCTCAAAAGGTTTGACACGAATACTTTTAGCAATTTTCTGAGAATCTGTATATTAAATATTTGTTCTTGCATGTTGTGTGTTTCACGGGTCTTCTGGGATATAGTATGGGGATTTGGGGTTTTATTATCATGGTGCATGCCAATATTACCATCATTGTCGAATGACAATATTGTAATGACTGTTGCATTATAATATTAATATGACGGTAGATGAATGTCACCATGACAATAACAGTTGTAACCAAGTTACAGAATGGTCAGTTAGATACGTTCTTTTGAACACTATTCCAATTATGTGATATGCTTGTTGATAACTTGAGTGCATCTAGAACCTGGGAGACGAGAGCATGTTGGCACGATCAAGGGACGCAACTCTGCACAGTGCGCTTCTTGAGGCTGCGTGATCCATACCCTATGTGTTTATGAAATGGCAGATGGTACTTTGTATCAGGAATTAAAGTCATGGATCTTTTCAGATTTGGGATCTTGTCAACCTCTTCAGAGGGAACTGACGTTACCAGGTGTGAAGACATCCTTAAAGTTACTGGTGTGCAGGCAGACCAATTCACTTTGGGAAAGAAAATGGTAAGACGGCTTCCCTCATTAAATAGGTCTCTTACAGATTCTGGATCTTGTTAAACTATAAATAAATAAATATATATATATCTCAATGTCTTTTTTCCAGACTGAACATACCAAATCCCAGGTTATAAAGCCTATTTTGTTTAATTTTGACAGAAAAAGGCAATGTAGTACTTCACTTGGAGGTACGGCCCCCTTCCAAATCAACAAATAAATTGCATTGATCAGTTTCTTTCGCAGCTAATCCTCCCCCAGTGTGTTTAATACCTGAGTAGTTGCTAAGATTAAGATTCATTTCCTGTCACCTACTATACCTACGGCATGGTGGGGTAGCCTAGTGGTTCAAGCGTTCGCTCGTCACGCCGAAAGACCTCTTCGATTCCCTACTTGCTACAATGTGAGAAGCCCATTCTGGTGTCCCCCGACGTGATAATCCTGGAATAGAGCTTAAAGTGCGTAAAACCATATTCACTCACTCACTACTATAGCAACAAGATACCAACATTCCTTAATGCTGTTATCACCAAATTATCAAGTCCAAAAACCATTATCCAAACTTTATCATCTGATAGTCTGTACTGACAATATACTGCCCCAAATGAAGATGATGATAATCTGCCCCCACCATCAACGTCTACCTGCAAACACTACACCATGGAGGTGGCTACCCCAATGTTATGTCAAACCGGCCATCTCGCATTTGTCAGACCCCCCATTTGCCAGACAGCTTACAACAACTTTTATGGTTGAGGGCACACCAGGTGTGTGATATAGCCTCTTAAATCCTAATGGACTAGTCCTGTCGTCAACAACTGTGTGACAACTGGTACACAATTTATACCAGTCAGTGTTTATTCTTGAATTATTATTGGTTTCTACTTAGGACATACTGTGTTTTCAATGTAGAGCTAAGTGACCTGGAAATTTTACCTCCCTTAATTGAATTTGGAACCGACCGCGCACTCTAATATATTGAGTGAAGCGGCATGGCAAGCGTTCTTCACCGCACGTCATCATTATGACGTCATATCGCTCATTGTGACGCAAAAGATATGACGTCACAGTCGTAAATAGAGAAGCGCCAAATTCAAAGCTCTCTGTTGTCCCCGAAACTTAAAAATACATTCTCTTTATAGATTTCTATCAAGTTTTCTGCACGAAAAGTACTGCAACACAATCTTTAAATATTGTAGTAACCGCAACTTTACATTTTGTAACCTGTAATTGTGGGTATAATTATTTATATACGCCTTCCGACAATGACTAAAAAAGTACTATTCTATGAATATTAGCTTCCGCGGTGATGCGAACGTCAAACCAGCTGTTTCAATCAGAGGGGGTTTATTGTCATTTAATAGCCCCTGATTGACCAATCATAATCGAGTAATTTCCAAATTCATTGTTGAATTTGGAATATTTTGCTCAGGTAAAGGAATTCTGGGGAATGCTGGTAGATACGGAATCGGATTCTTTGTAGAGTAACTGCATATGGGTTCTCTCTCTGGCCCTTTTGATAAGGCTGCTGACAAACTTGATCTTCTCAGACAGGCTGTTCTGGAGGATGACTGTGGTCTGAAGTTGTCCTGACGTAATTACCAACAGTGCTGTCGCCAATGTGCACAGGTCTGCCTAAAGGGGTGTGTGGCAGTTAAACAATATTCCACAGTCTGACAACTGGGTGTCTGACAACTGAGTGTCTGACAACTTGATGTCTGACAACTTGGTGTCTGACAATTGGGTGTCTGATCATGACAACTGGGTGTCTGACAATTGGGTGTCTGACAACTGGGTGTCTGACAACTTGGTGTCTGACAATTGGGAGGACCCCGTCAAACCATGCCCGGGCATCAATACCGAGGAAAGATCTGTTCATTGGGTCGTGAAGCAATTGAAGCAGGGTCTCTTGTAAACATCGGATCATTATCACGTCCAACAGAAACAGACACCGGGGGCGTCTCTAAATAGGAAACGTGGCAAAAGAATATCATATGAATAACTGCCTTTTTTGTTGGCCGGATTCTTAACCCAATCGATCTTTTATATAGGAGACTATATGTAGCCGTAACAGTTTCATTTACTAATTTACAGCTATTCATGACGGATTTGGCTTTGGTGAAATTGGAGGCAGAGTTGAGACGAAAAGAATTGGAACTGGAAGAGAAAGAGAAACTAGAACGCGAAAGAAAAGAACGAGAGGAACTAGAACGCGAAAGAAAAGAACGAGAGGAACTAGAACGCGAAAGAAAAGAACGAGAGGAACTAGAACGCGAAAGAAAAGAACGAGAGGAAGGAGAACGCAAACGAAGAAATCGAGAGGAAGAAGAACGCACGCGAAAAGAGGTACAGATAGAAGCACCAGACAAAAGGGGGGCAAGTAGTCTTCTGGTAGTATCTACAGGCCGTAGAATAATTTTTTTTAAACTGTTACATGAATGCGTGATGGTAAAATAGACATAATCAAATATAACAACAGTTCTATCAATTTTATCAATTTCATAAAAAATCTCGGAATACTTTCTCTTTCTACTCGGTGTATATAATGAATCTAGGGGTTTGTTGATGTATAGGGCGAAGTGTACAGCCCGTTGTCAGATATCCCGGAGGATTGGGAATCGTCATCTTCCGGAATGTCCTCGGCGGCAGGAACATCTGGAGGCTCAGGGAGCTCCTCTTCATCAACACACAGACATGAAAGGGTGAAAACTGCAGCTCCAAAAAGAAGCCCGACCCCACCCCCACCCCCAACCCCACCCCCACCCCCACATCCTTCCGAAGAATCCGCTTCGCCCCGAAGAACACCACCAGCCGCAGATGACAAACAATCCCAGTAAGTTCTTAAATAGTCTCAAAATCGAGCATAAAGAGACAACCTGGTATTTGTTATCTCTCTGTCCATTATTAATTAACAGCAATGTAATGTATCACATATAACACTGCGACTTGATATCCTCCTCGTGTTTCCCCGGCCGCGTCATTACAAAAGAAGATAACTGTTGTTACCCTGCCTGACGTTCGGCATTACGGGGATAAAACAAGGACTGGTCAGCTCGGAGTCAGTATGCCGTGTCTGAGTTGGCTATCCATTTTAAACTGTGGCATGGTATCTCAGTGGACTGACGTTACACAATCGGCATTAGTCCGGACTAGTATCAGCAGACACACGCACGCACGCACACACGAGAGCGAGAGAGTGAGCGAGTGTGAGAATGAGAATGAGAGACAGTGTTCAAAAATATATCCCTAGTATCCAAGACAGAGCAGACCAATAAGGCTCACTTGGTTTATTGTTTAAAGATGTGGGTGTTTATTATTATTGTTGTTGTTGTTGTTGTTATTGTTATTATTATTATTGTTATTATTATTATTATTATTATTATTATTATTATTATTGTTATTATTATTATTATTATTATACAACAGTCTGCCTGACTACCCGATACATTTGGTCGCATTTTTGAACCAGGTTGTTTGGTACCTCTAATCTCATCCGAATTTCCACGGTAGACCCATACTTGACACTTTGCATGCTGACATACTCGATACTCACTGTGAACATGTGTCTTACAGCTTCTGGGACATATTCCGCGTTGTCGACACGGAGGTGATTCGGAAAGAAACGTTCGACCAGATGACCTTCAAGGTGTTAAAAGTGTTGGTCTACATCTTCCTCTTCCTAATCATCCTTTGCGCATGCGTGGCACAGAGGCTTGGGCTCATGGTCATAATCTCAAACATTGCCACCAACAGCTCTAACAAACTGGTGAGACATGAAACAGAATTCTATTTTAAAGTCACCGCTTTTCAACTCCTGTTCAAGGGGACGTTCAGGCCCAGCGTTGATATACATCTAAAAACGTAAGGCCAATCCGATTCTTTCATATTACTACAATTAACATTGACAGGGCAAGCGATGATGGTTCTACGCCGCTTAGCAATATTCCAGCAATACCACGGCGGGGGACTCCAGAAATGGGCTTCACATATTGTAACCATATGGGGAATCTAACCCCGGGCCTTCGGCGTGACCAGCGAACGCTTTAACCACTGATCTACCCAAGAGCCCCCCATGCCATGACGCATTAACTGTAGTAATATGGCAGAATCGGATGGTCCTTAACTTCTTTTGAGAGTAAATATAGAAATCGCCTGCAGTATCTGCATGTTTGTGTATGGGATTCACACAATGCAATTGTGTCCATCGAACCCCTGTCATATTGAATGCATAGATTTATTTGTCTCATTTCAGGTGGTATCCAGAGGGCATGATCACTATCACATCCACCTGTTGCATTACGTCTACCTGATTATAGCGATGTGCATACCCTATGCGTTGAGCTCACTCGGCTCCTTATTTAAATGGCTGTTTGGAGTGTTTCCGACTCCCGGAGTCCTCACGTGGCTTGTGGTAAGAAATATTCAGAGAAACAATCGTTACATCTTGGGATCTTTTTTTTTGCGGAATCTGTTCGTACATATATTGGTTGTATACTTATCAAAAAGAGTTTATGATCACCCGATTCTTTCATATTACTATAGTTAATGTCTTGGCATGACAGATTAATTATGGTCATTAAAAAAATCGGGTGGTCCTTAACGTTTTTAGCACTATATTTGCCACAGAACTTTGAGTTGCCATTCGATATCATTATGTCTTTCTCAAGTTACCCCCTTGTGCGCAGAGCGTACACAACCGCAACCCAGTGTATTCAAGGGCAATGGATATCGGTTGGATACAAATCGCTGCATTCCCCGTCAATGTATCTTTGTGGGTTATCACCCTTGTCTCTGTGTTCAAACACGGGTCATGTTCAGCGGCCCGTTTGTTGTAAGAGACAACACGGGATCGGGGATCAGGCTCGCTGACTTGGTAGATGCATGTCATCGTATCCCAACTGCGTTGATCGATGCTCTTGATATCAATCACTGGATTGTCTGGTCCAAACTCAATTATTTACAGAACGCCGACATATAGCTGGAATATTGCTGAGTGCGGCGTTAAACAACAATAAAACAAATACTCGGTTTGACCACGGCTGCTGTGCATCGACAGAACTTGGACGGTTAGTCACAAAGGAGATCAACGTTCGTTTCTGACCTGGCTGATGGTTCGAATCGATTCTAAGATTTCCAACCATTGGCCTGCCGCAGGCTGAAGAGGTATATTAAGCTGCTGTGCCAAATTAAAGTAGACACCGAGGCTTGATGGTGGCTAAAATGAAACAAACAAACAAACAAACAAGAAATTGTTATTCGATGGCGATGTATTTGGTATCATAGTTGTGTTTTGAACCTTAAGTTTCGGCGACTGTTTCCAGCCTTTTGATAACGTCTGTAGTTGGTCACAGACAAGTGTATACTTTCTTTTGCCCGGCTGTTCACCCTTATGTAATTCTGTACAAGCTGTGTCTCTTCTAAAGGTGTTGCTGTTTGAGGCCCTTCATTCGGTGGGACTGTGTGCTCTTGTCTTCTGGGTACTACCCAGGTATGACTTCATATCGGGATCCCTTCTGCTCAGTGCCACCAACCTCATACCTGCACTTCTCCTACTTACCTGTTCATCACAGACCATACAAGGGGAATCCAAAAGCCGAGGAGGCATGAAGGCCTTTCTGGATGCAATTGCGCTCCTTTGTCAATTATCAGTCATCCCAATGATGCTTCTGTACAATTTTAGCCAACGGAAGAAAGTCGATATTACCAAGATAGATGTCGAAAATGAAAGTCTTGACTACCCTGGAGTGATTTGTGCCTTCCTATTGACGTCACTAAAATCCTGGGAAAATTTTGTCGATGGTCGTGTCCATACGCTGGGCGGCAAACGCGACGAGAAGCATTTCAACAACCTCGTCATCAACAAATTATTGCAAATCCGTTATCAACTAAGTGAAGGGAGATACGCTGTGTCTATGATAGTTGGCATTCTGAAGATCATCATCACATGCTCCTTTGCATACGGAGTAGCGTATTTACACATGGGCGAGAAGATTGAGAGACTTAACGGTGAACTTCTTACCACTTTCAAACTCTTTGACAATTTGTACTCAGATCCTACCAGATTTTCAAGTCTCCTATCAGTGACGATCAGCGGATTTGTTCTGTACTATGGAAGTTTCTTGGCATGCAAGCTGCAGATGCAGAGAATATCGTTGGCGCTTCCCGCGACCCTTTCCATCTTCGTGATTCAGGGGCTTTTTACAATACATTGCGAGAAAGTGTGGGATCCTTTCAAGGACATTGCATTCTACCCAGAACACCCGGAAACCTGTAAAGGAGCTTCTGATGTCGCGTACATGTACTACCTAAGCATAGCCTGGATCCTGTCGCTGCTGTGGATAACGAGACACATTTGGTTCCCTAGGCAGGGACGTCTGGAGGAATATGACAGGTTGTATATTTATTCCTTGTATTCCTTCACAATATTTGTTAACTATCCTCCCCTATTTGATCCAGCGCCGTTCGATACGCTAAGTGATTAACACGTTCGCACGTCACCCCGAAGATCTTCGTTTGATTCCCCTGTGGGTAGAATGTGAAACTACCCGTGAAGATCCAGGTCCCAACAGCGAATCGCGGCGCCTCAGACGACTGAGCCATCCGTGCCTACCACCCCTCCCCCCATTTAAGAAGTAAAAATGAAATTGATTCGTTTAAAATGTGAAACATAGAACATGTATCTACGTTTTTTCCTGAATTCTATTCACGAAAAACTTTCTTTCTAGATTGTTCATGAACCCGTTTTACTGTGGGATACTAACATTCGAGAATATTTTGCTGAACCGACGTCGCCACAATGAAGATATCTATGGATTGGAAGATGATGATGAGAAGATGCAGTATTTTATTGCACAACCAAAACCATCTCAGTCGGATGCAGAGACGGATACAGATTCACTGGATGTCCCCTCTGTGTTTGCATGTGCAACCATGTGGCACGAGACTCAGACGGAAATGACGCAACTACTGAAGTCCTTATTCAGGTAATCTTCAGTCGCTTCATACATTATGTTTCCATAATCATAACAAATCTCTACTAAAAGCAGAGTTTATTTGATTGTTTGTTGTTTAACGCCGCATCAGCAATATGACGGCGGTCTTTAAATAATCGAGTCTGGACCAGACAATCCAGTGGTTGACATCATGAGCATCGATCTGCGAAATTGGAATATAATGACATGCACCAACTAAGTCACCGAGCGTCACCAACCGATCTCATTGGTCACTGCTTACTACAAGCATAGTCGCCTCTTCATAGGTTGCTGAAGACCTATTCTAGCCCGGATCTTCACGGGTAAAAAGCATTTTAGATTCCGAATAGTGAGTGAGTGAGTGAGTGAGTGAGTGAGTGAGTGAGTGAGGGAGGGAGTATGGTTTCACGCCGCTTTTAGTAATATTCCAGCAATATCACGGCGGGACACCAGAAATGGGCTTCACACATTGTACCCATGTCGGGAATCGAACCCGGGTCTTCGGCGTGACGAGCGAACGCTTTAACCACTAGGCTACCCGACCGCCCAGATTCCGAATATATCATAATTGTTCGTTGGTACTTGTTATAGATGACCTGTAAGGAACTGTGGTATTCTGGGCATCGAATCCTAGCACTAAATATTTAAACACCCGCAAATCTAAATACACATCTTCAGAAATATCGTGTTAATGTAAAGTTTTACTGTACAACAAAAGATGAAATGAATGTCAATTGTTTCAGATTGGACAAAGCGCAGGCCGAAAGGGAACAGTACGCATATTTACACCCAGGGAAAACTGTTGCAGACAGATTCAACTTTCAAGGTTCATTTCCTCTCACAGTTTTGCATCATGATTGCTCTCTATCTCCAGTATAGACTGATTTGTTGTAACCCACCAGATGTTATTCTGGTGATCATCAGTATGGCGCTCCAGAATGCCTCTCTTGCGTTGATTCTTACTATGATTTTCGTTGATTTAAAAAAAACCGTAAGGCGCACCTGTTGCGTAAAAGATTAAGATTATAAACATTGTTACTTTGGTTCAACAACCTTTTTCGAAGGTAAAGATTGAAACACGTATGTGAGTGAGTGAGTGTGAGAGTATGGTTTTACGCCGCTTTTAGCAATATTCCAGCAATATCACGACGGGGGACACCAGAAATGGGCTTCACACATGGTACCCATGTCGGGATTCGAACCCGGGTCTTCGGCGTGACGAGCGAACGCTTTAACCACGAGGCTACCCGGCCGCCTCGAAACACGGATGTTGTGCGGAGAGCCGCTTCCATTCCCAATCAGTCTAAAACCTTGTGAAAAATATTTATGCGACTATTAGTATGAAAAACACTGTCAATGACGTACACCATGATTGTGAGGTTAAAACCATTGATGATATTGTCTTCCTGATACGCATGGACAAGTCCGCGTTTCAACATTTAAAAGTGATGCCACATCATGACTCCCCGAGGGGTTAATTGTTTTACAGACGTGCATTCCATTTGGTATAGATCATTAATGATATCGTTTCAGATAAACAATAATACGTTTCATTGTTATGCTGTAGGCCACATTTTCTTTGACGATGCACTTGAGCTGAACGAGGATGAAAAATGGCAAGTAAACCCGTTCGTAAGGATGTTGGTGAACGTCATGGATGATGCAAGCTGGTAAGTTTCCAGAACAGTCATCATTGTAAACTCTTGAAGGGTTCACGAGTCTGCAGCATGTGTTGTGATGTATTGTGTACTTTATGGTTCTGAGGTGTGTGGTTGACTTGTTAGTTCTTCAGTGTAATGGGCACATGTATGTTCCTAAAAGGGGCCGTATTGTCAACGATTTAAGTCACCTGAACATTTCCCTTTCGTAAATGATAACAACAACAACAACAATAATAAAATAATGATAATGATAATAATAATAATAATAATAATTTATAGAGGAGGAGTTATTGACCATCTCATGGAAGGTCAGGCCTTCACGTACTTATGGATGCAGATTAGGGACAAACTCCAGAGTGCCCATATCCAGGACAAACTTCGGGAAGAGCACAAATGTAGACTTACGAAAATCTGGAGTTCAGAGCTGAACGCTCGCAATAAAGTCAAAGCCACAAATACTTATGCTGTGCCCGTCCTTTCGTATTCTATTGGCGTTGTTGATTGGACGAAACAAGAAATTCAGGGTATTGATGCCCTCACACGAAGATTCATGTCAGGCAACAGATCCAACCACCCTCGCTCTTCCCCCAATCGCTTATATTTACCAATCATAATGTGGGGACGTGGCTTGATTAACGTTGAGACTCTTCATAATAGAATTTTTTTGTGCACTTTTGCACACATTTATTTGTCTGATGATCCTCGTTTGAAGCATGCCAAGACTCATGATGAAAACAAGGCATTCCACAGTTTTCGTAAGCGAGCCAAGGATGTGGGACATGATCTCAGTTTTGTTGATGGTTATGTACTGCTGGAGACGCAGTGTCAACCAAGCGAAGTGCCATATCAAATCGGCCCAGACTCAGTTTTTCAAGGAGAGGCTTTTTGAACGACCACTGCATCGAGTTTTATGTGCAGTGTGTTTAGATCAGCAACCCTACAGAGTCCTTCCCTTGGATGAAGTCGGCTGGTCTGAAAAGTGAAACATAAGGCTTTCTGTTTGCTGCTCAGGACCAGTCACTTCCCACTCGAAACCGTCAATGTGTGATTTTGCATCAAAATATAAATATGAAATGTAGACTATGTAATGAATTTAATGAGACTGTCCATTATCAGTGGATGCCCAGCTTTGGCACAAACACAGTATCTTAAGCGACATGATGGATCGATCATTTTATTACCGTCTTTGCAATGCTTGTGGTTTTGACGCAGAGGTCAATCCATGGTACGACCCAGAATATGTAGAGGGCGTCATGGAAAATGATAAATACAAAATTACTTGGAATAGGCCCATATACAGCCTCCCACGTATCCAGGCCAACAAAAATGATCTTGTCCTTTTTGATAAATCTAATGCAATCATTTATATTATTGAACTTTCTGTCCCTTTTGACACCAATGTGATTGACAAGATTCAGAAAAAACACGGCAAACATGCAGACCTCGCTTTCGAAATCAATCCCAAGTACCAAGTTGAACTGAGATAAAAATGATATGTTACGCCGCATTGAGAATTGTTAGACTAATCAGTAGTGTAATAAAGTCTGGACCCGAAAAAACAGGCGTTGAAAGCATGAGCAGCAATCATCGCCATCGGGTCATGATGACACATTATCAACCAGGGCTCGTTCCACAAAGCTACGGGTCGGGTAGCCTCGTGGTTTAAGCGTTCGCTCGTCACGCCGAAGACCCCGGTACGATTCCAGACATGGGTACAATGTGTGAAGCCCATTTCTGGTGTCCCCTGCCGTGATATTGCTGGAATATTGCTAAAAGCGGCGTAAAACCCTACTTACTCACTCACTCCCATCACAGCGCTACGACTGTCGTAAGTCTATGTTAAAGTATGGGAGTTATGAGCACCTTAGCGCCAAGATCACTTTGCGGAACGGGGATCAGGTGGCAAATCGCACGATCAGCCTTGTTTGTAAACGGGTAAATATTTGGAACTAAAAATGTTTCATAGTTTTTATATTTACTACCTGGAAATCATCACTGGGAGGCGAGTAAATGTAGACATGTGTTACATTAGTTTCCTTCTCTTCATCTTCAGTGCTGTTCATCAGAAGTATATGAAGACGCACGATCCCTACAAGGTAGTCACTCCGTACGGGGCCCAGCTGATCTGGGAGATGCCTGGCGGGAATCTGTTGTATGTCCACATCAAGGATAAAAACAAGATCCGGCACCGAAAGAGATGGTCACAGGTAATTACTAGCCATTGATTAAAGTTAACGGTGAAGGCCGCGGCCTAGCTGTGAAAAGCGCAAAACTGATGCAAAGAGTTGCGTCCCTTAGACGCGCCAGGATCCCAGATTCGTCCGATTATGACCCTTGGTTTTCTCAGCACTATAGTAATGCTCGTGGGACACTCAACGACTACATGTCGTTGACGTTCCCCATGATGCGTTTTCCTTCATCACTCATTGCATGAATTAAGTGAGGTTTATTAGTATTGAGTCTAAAATGTACCAAGTCCATATTAGGAGAGGAAATACTGAGGTGACGCAGTTCACTGATGTTTATCTGAGTAAGTGGTTTTGGTTTAACGCCGCTTTGAATAGTATTCTAGTTATATCACGGCAAGTTGCACGTCTCACGTGTTTACCACTTTGGTGAAATCCACGAGCTCGGTATAAAACTCGAAACATAATAGGAGCGAACCGGGATCAGAACCCACAATCATAGGTTTCTGGCGTGCCCAAGGGACGCAACTCTGCACAGCTTATCGCGGCGCCTCGGACGACTGAGCCACCAGTTCCCATTATGTTTATCGCTTTGGTGAAACTCACAGGCACTTGAATAGTCTTTGCTTTCGGATGACATCCTTGCATTGCGGATAAGTGATGCATTAAAGCCTTATGTAGTGAATGAGTGATGATTTTTACGCCGTTTTAACCAATACTCCAACCATATCACTGCACGGAACTCCAGAAATGGGTTTCACACATTGTACCCATGTGAAGGATCGAACCTGGGTGGTAAGCTAACACTTCAGCCACAAGGCTACACAAACGTTTTTGGCGGTACAAACTGATGGCAAGGTGCTTGGTTGCAGGTGATGTACATGTATTACTTACTGGGCTATCAACTATTGAAGGAGTCTGAGGACGACATCATACAGAAGGCGAGGGACAGAGATGTAATGAACAAAGATGGTGTGGCAGAACTCTTCAGCTTAGATGTCCAGAAGAAGGTGAGTAAAGGCTCAGTCACACATTCAGGACTTTAACTGCCGTCCTTGATAGGACCATTCCCGATTAAAATTTGTCAAAAGTCTGATCAAGCTCCTGTAATTCGTGACAATGAACAATAGTATTCATTCCCGTTCATCACGACAACGTCCTGATCCACAGGACATCGTCCAGACAACACAGGACATTATTACGATTTTGATCCGATACAGCAGAATCTGTCGTGACATAGTCACGATTGTAATCCGACAAGACAAAATCGGCTGAGTTTTCCGAATGTTTCGGGACGCGCCATACTGTCGGGAGTGCTTGGCCGACCTCTCTGGACCTTTGCCGATCCGTGGGACTCTGTTACGAACGTATACGACTGCGTTCAGACAATGATAAGACATTCCAGATCATTGAGGATAGTAATCCGACTTTTTCACTTTTCGTGTCGTAGCGCTGTCTGACCTCAAACGGGAGCCATAATCGGCACTGTGTGAACCTGGCCTAAGGGATTGATAGTTTGTTTGTAGTTTCACGCCGCAATCAGCAATATTTCTTTTCTATGGCGGCGGTCTGTGAACATCTGAGCCAGACAATCTTGTGATTGTCATTATGAACATCGATCAACGCAATTGGGATACAGTAACATGCAGTCAGATAAGACGCCTAGTCTGACCACAAGACACATTTAATCGACTCTTACGACAAGCATAATTATGTTAGTGGAGAGATACATGTATGGCGTCATCGGAATACCCACTGGTAGAATTAATAGTAAATGCAGGTCTATTTTGTGATCACTCATTAATGACATGATTATATGTGGATGACCGGATCATTGTTGATCGTGTCATAGTCCATACAAGCATTTGTTTGTTCGTTTGTTCTTTAATGCCACACTCAGCAATATTCCAACTACATGTATTATGCGGCGGTTTGTAAATAATCGAGTCTGGACCACCCACTTCGGATACGATGACATGCATCAAGCAAGTCAGCGAGTCTTACCACACGATCCAGTTAGTGGCTTATTGCGACAAGCTAAGATCGCTTTGTGAAAGTGGGCCCTGGATCGTCACTGGTATACGCGTCAAATACTTACCACATGGCAACACATATTATCATTATTATCATACACAAGTAAATATATTGTTTGTGTTGTTATATCCTCACTATGACACTGACTTTTATAATATTTCTCTTTAGCATTCGTCAAAGAATTGTGGTTTAGAACATTTCAAAATTCTCTTAACCTTGGATGTGAAGCGCGAGTAAAGTACTTCAATACAAATCCTCCAAATAACATGGCTTGCGGATTTGTACATATAATCGAACATGCCTGATATGTCAACTTAGTAATGAATTATGAAATGTCTTCAATAAATCATTTTGCAATCATACTGAAATACACTACTGGGCAAAAGAAACTTATCATTTTAAAATAAAGTTTCATCTGAATTCAAGACGGTGATGGTGCGATAAGGTAGAACGTTAACACATTAACCAAAACACACGCTGTGCACACATGAAAGTCACTTTTTGCAAGATTCAGTAAATTTCGTGCAGTCATGAAAAATAGGAAAAACAGGATGTTTGGGAACTGATAAAAATGTTGGTGCATGATTGTTGCATAAATACCGACGTTGGGCAGAGCAAGGATGCAGCATAAAAAAGAACATCGACATTCACACAAGAGGAACGTGACAGAGCTATTGGTATTTCCGATATGGGGGCCTCTCAAGGGCACATTGCAAAAACCTTTAACTGCAGTCAAACCAGTATCAGCAACTTGTTATCAGCAAGCAGGCCAGACGCAGGACCGTCCAAGATCGGAAAGACCAAGGGCCATAACGCCATATGGTGACCGCTACATCCGGACAATCAGCCTGCGCAACCGATACGTGACGGCGGCGTCAATGGCGGCGCGACGGCACCGGGACTGCCCATCAGCAGACGAACACTGTTACGACGCATTGCTGGTATCAGAGCCTACCGCCCCTTCCGTGGAATGGCCTTGACCCCTACACCGTCAACGCAGATTACAATGGGCAAGAACTGTACGTCGGTGGCAGCGGCGTGATTGGGAAAGGGTTCTGTTCACAGATGAAAGTCGCTTTAACTTGTTCCGAAATGTTGGCCGAGTCCGTGTTTATCGACGTAGGGGAGAGCGACTGGCACCTAACTGCATCCAAGATGTGCACCCTTATGGTGGAGGCGTCGTCATGGAATGGGGCGGATTTGCGGTCAGTGGACAACAAGGCTGGTCATCATCCGTGGTAATCTGACTGGCCAAAGATACAGAGATGAAGTGCTGCGACCTGTTGTAATGCCATTCTTACGTGGACAGTCAAGGGGTATCCTTTCGCACCAGTATAATGCACGACCTCATGCCAGCATGTTCTCCAGACATGAATCCCATATAGCATCTCTGGGATCATCTTGATCGACAGCTGAGACAACGCGTACCTCCCTCAGCAGGGCGGTAGGGTGCAGTGGGTGATCACACACGCTACTAAGGACATGTCTTGTCACATGATTCCACTTCATGAGCACCCTTTGAGTTGACTCTGTTTGACTCGTGTTAACGTAATGTTTTGTTTTGACCTAATGTCTCTTTCGCTCGACATAATAGCAAGTGCACTATCGATAGGGCATTATTGTTTTGTACGGATTTCTTTCACTAAAATAATCATCATATTGTTAACACCTGTCTTTGTTTCTTTGTATGGAGCTACAGAACAAGGTGATAAGTTTCTCTTGCCCGGTAGTTTAGCCCGAAATAAAGGCAAGGCATTCGAAATAACAGTCACGTTTATTTAAGGTATATCAAATTATTCAAATCATGCAATGGTTATGTGAAACGATCGGTGATGTTATCAGGAATGTTACTATGCAAAGGAGATTGCCCTTCTGTTTCAGTCGTAGCCATTCCCTTACAAACCAGAGAAACAATATAATTCCTGTATGCTTATAATTTACCGGACATTTCAAAATCGAATTTTCTTACAGACAAAGAACACGTACGTATTGGCTCTTGACGGAGACACTGACTTCAGCCCCAGCTCTGTGAGAATCCTGCTTGACAAGATGCACAACGAAAAGGTGGCAGCAGTGTGTGGCAGAATCCACCCGATAGGTTCAGGTAGGACTTCAGTACTGAGTTGAAGTGTGTGGTAGAATCCACCCAATAAGTTCAGTTAGGACTTCAGTACTAGGTTAAAGTGTGTGGTAGAATCCACCCAATAAGTTCAGGAAGGACTTCAGTATTGAGTTGAAGTGTGTGGAAGAATTCACCCAATAAGTTCAGTTAGGACTTCAGTACTAGGTTAAAGTGTGTGGTAGAATCCACCCAATAAGTTCAGGAAGGACTTCAGTATTGAGTTGAAGTGTGTGGAAGAATCCACCCAATAAGTTCAGGTAGGACTTCAGTACTAGGTTGAAGTGTTTGGTAGAATCCACCTAATAAGTTCAGGGAGGACTTCAGTACTCGGTTGAAGTGTGTGGAAGAATCCACCCAATAAGTTCAGGTAGGACTTTAGTACTAGGTTGAAGTGTTTGGTAGAATTCACCTAATAAGTTCAGGGAGGACTTCAGTACTCGGTTGAAGTGTGTGACAGAATCCGCGCGATAGGTTCAGGTAGGACATCAGTACTAGGTTGAAGTGTTTGGCAGAATCCACCCAATAAGTTCAGGGAGGACTTTAGTACTAGGTTGAAGTGTGTGGCAGAATCCACCTAATAAGTTCAGGTAGCACTTCAGTACTAGGTTGAAGTTGGTGGTAGAATCCACTCGATAGGTTCAAGTAGGACTTCAGTACTGAGTTGAAGTGTGTGGTAGAATCCACATTATAGGTTCAGATTGGACTTCAGTACTGAGTTGAAGTGTGTGACAGAATCCACCCGATAGGTTCAGATAGCACTTCAGTATTGAGTTGAAGTGTGTGACAGAATCCACCCGATAGGTTCAGATAGCACTTCAGTATTGAGTTGAAGTGTGTGACAGAATCCACCCGATAGGTTCAGATAGCACTTCAGTATTGAGTTGAAGTGTGTGACAGAATCCACATTATAGGTTCAGATGGGACTTCAGTACTGAGTTGAAGTGTGTGACAGAATCCATCCGATAGGTTCAGATGGGACTTCAGTAGTGAGTTGAAATGTGTGACAGAATTCACCCGATAGGTTCAGATGGGACTTCAGTACTGAGTTGAAGTGTGTGACAGAATCCGCCCGATAGGTTCAGGTAGGACTTCAGTACTGAGTTGAAGTGTGTGGTAGAATCCACCCAATAAGTTCAGTTAGGACTTCAGTACTAGGTTAAAGTGTGTGGTAGAATCCACCCAATAAGTTCAGTTAGGACTTCAGTACTAGGTTAAAGTGTGTGGTAGAATCCACCCAATAAGTTCAGGAAGGACTTCAGTATTGAGTTGAAGTGTGTGGAAGAATCCACCCAATAAGTTCAGGTAGGACTTCAGTACTAGGTTGAAGTGTTTGGTAGAATCCACCTAATAAGTTCAGGGAGGACTTCAGTACTCGGTTGAAGTGTGTGACAGAATCCGCGCGATAGGTTCAGGTAGGACTTCAGTACTAGGTTAAAGATGGTGGTAGAATCCGCCCGATAAGTTTAGGTAGGACATCAGTACTAGGTTGAAGTGTGTGACAGAATCCACCCAATAAGTTCAGGGAGGACTTTAGTACTAGGTTGAAGTGTGTGGCAGAATCCGACCAATAAATTCAGGGAGGACTTCAGTACTAGGTTGAAGTGTGTGGCAGAATCCACCCAATAAGTTCAGGTAGCACTTCAGTACTAGGTTGAAGTTGGTGGTAGAATCCACTCGATAGGTTCAAGTAGGACTTCAGTACTGAGTTGAAGTGTGTGGTAGAATCCACATTATAGGTTCAGATTGGACTTCAGTACTGAGTTGAAGTGTGTGACAGAATCCACCCGATAGGTTCAGATAGCACTTCAGTATTGAGTTGAAGTGTGTGACAGAATCCACCCGATAGGTTCAGATAGCACTTCAGTATTGAGTTGAAGTGTGTGACAGAATCCACCCAATAGGTTCAGATTGGACTTCAGTATTGAGTTGAAGTGTGTGACAGAATCCATCCGATAGGTTCAGATGGGACTTCAGTAGTGAGTTGAAGTGTGTGACAGAATTCACCCGATAGGTTCAGATGGGACTTCAGTACTGAGTTGAAGTGTGTGACAGAATCCACCCAATAGGTTCAGATGGGACTTCAGTATTGAGTTGAAGTGTGTGGAAGAATCCACCCAATAAGTTCAGGTAGGACTTCAATATTGAGTTGAAGTGTGTGGTAGAATCCACCCAATAAGTTCAGGTAGGACTTCATTAATAGGTTGAAGTGTGTAGTAGAATCAACATTATAGGTTCAGGTAGGACTTCAGTACTTGGTTTAAGTGTGGTAGAATCCACCCAATAAGTTCAGGAAGGACTTCAGTACTTGGTTGAAGTGTGTGGTAGAATCCACCCAATAAGTTCAGGAAGGACTTCAGTACATGGTTGAAGTGTGTGGTAGAATCCACCCAATAAGTTCAGGAAGGACTTCAGTACTAGGTTGAAGTGTGTGGCAGAACTCGCCCGATAAGTTCAGGTAGCACTTCAGTACTAGGTTGAAGTTGGTGGTAGAATCCACTCGATAGGTTCAAGTAGGACTTCAGTACTGAGTTGAAGTTTGTGGCAGAATCCACGACCAGGATCAGGTATGGCTTCAGTACCTAGCTGCACTGTGTTGCAGAATCCACCCAATAGGTTGAAGTTGGGCTTCACTTATACTAACCTGCTGATTACCAATGTTTTGACTTTTACCTATTGTCCCGTATGTTTACGTGAACTGACTTGGCTTTGCATGTTTGTGATGGGTGCCAACAGTAAGGTCAGGATAAGCTCACTTCTTTCGTCACTATTTGATAGTGATTCATAAACAATTTCTCAGGAAATGGTGGGAAGCGTACAATCGTACGATTTATTATGGAAAAAAAATTGTATTGTGTCTTTTGTTTGCATTCCCCAGATGCTGGAAGTATACACTCAAGAGATACAAGGAAAAAATATTGTTTTGAGGGGAACAGTATATTACAAAAGGAACTGATTCTTGGGCATCAGCTCATCAGTTGAAATCCTGCTCGTCAGTCATTCTTGTTGGCAATAAAAACAAAATTCCTGCTCCTACGAAACAGACTGTGTTATCCATGCTGACATTTTATTAAAGAGCCGAAATCAATGTGTGCCCAGTTATGTTTGTTGGATATTTATATTAAAATAAAAAGTGTTCCTCACACATCACTTTTAGTTTCAATAATTGTTTTTGAAAATTGTGCCCTACAAACATATATTTTTAGGTATTTTGTTATGATAACCCATGTTGTCTTTTCTTGTTTCTCAGGGCCCCTTGTCTGGTACCAGATGTTTGAGTATGCGGTTGGTCATTGGCTACAGAAATCTGCTGAGCATGTCCTTGGATGTGTCCTCTGCAGTCCTGGGTGCTTCTCCCTCTTCAGAGCCTCGGCTCTAATGGACAACAACATCATGAGGAAGTACACAACAATGCCGACTGAACCGGGGCATTACTTACAATACGATCAAGGTAATGCTGCAGAAACACCTTCAGTCCTGCAGTCCATAGGGCCAAAAGACATGAGAAACTGTAAATCTCCCAAATTACGAATGTATTTTTGAACCCATCTTTTCCGCATCGAAAGAGTTTATGATCATTCATACTGAAACTTTCAAAGAAGCATTATAATGAATGAATATGGTTTTACGCCGCTTTAAGTACTATTCCAGCAATATCACGGAGGGGGACACCAGAGCTTCACACATTGCATCCATGTGGGGAATCGAACTCTGGTCTTTGTCATGACGAGCGAACGCTTTAACCACTAGGCTACCCCACCGCCTCATAAACATAAAATATACAACCGTTTGAGACTTCTGTCTGATACCTAAAATTCTCTTAAGACCTTTTGATGTATATATGAAATCATATATGACTATGTGTAGAACGTATTTGAAAACATACGGTTTTGCACAGCCAATTATTCATGATCAATTAGAGCCACAAACCCTTTTCGTAATCATAACAAATCGCTGCTAAAGGCACAGGCTATTGTGCGCTTTCCACAATGTCAACATCAGCATGTGTTTATGAATCTATATGAAATAGAACAAACGTTCAGAATATGTAATGTTGGTTTTCTTGTACCAGGTGAAGACCGATGGTTGTGCACGCTGCTGCTTCAGCAGGGGTACCGAGTGGACTATGCCGCTGCCGCTGATGCCTACACGTACGCCCCAGAAGGATTCAATGAGTTCTTCAACCAGAGGAGACGCTGGACTCCTTCCACCATGGCCAACATCATGGACCTATTGTCATCATCTGAAGCAACTGTCGCTCGCAACTCCAACATCAGCTACCTGTACATGGTATACCAGATGGCGATGATGGCAGGGACCGTCTTGGGACCAGGCACTGTCATCATGATGATTGCAGGGTCCATCCAGTCAGTGTTCACTCTGGACATTTTCGTGTGCTATGCAATATCCATATCTATTCCAAGTGTGTATATTGTCATCTGTTTTACAACTCCAGCAAAAGTACAACTACTCGTGGCGGCTGTGTTGAGTGCTGCGTATTCGTTCGTCATGATGGCCGTCATTGCTGGTACTGTAATCATAGCCTACAAAGAGAGCCCTCTGCACCCGAGTGTCATCTTCTCTGTGCTCCTTTTCTCCATGTTTTTTATAGGAGGAGTGCTACATTGGAAGGAGTTGAACTGCCTTCCTCATTGTTTTATGTACTTTCTCTGCATACCGACTGGCTACCTACTGCTATTTATCTACTCACTGTGCAACCTCAACAATGTCTCCTGGGGAACGCGGGAAATAGCCAAGAGAAAGACTAAGAAAGAACTCGCAGCCGAGAAAAAAGCATTGAAGGAAAAGGAGGAGCAGGCAAAGAAAAAGGATGGCTTTTTTGCCCGACTCTTTTTTAGTTCCACCTACATTAAGGAATTAAAACAACTTCTCGATGGACTGAAGCCAAAGTTGACCAGTTCAAACGATGCAATTGTAGAACAGTTGAAGCTGATAAATGAAACTATTGTTAAGATCGCAGAGCAGTCTGGTCGCGGCAACATTGGTATCACTCGACCCGAAGATGACATCACGAACGACACGCCCACAAGTGTGACACCCGATGTGTCCCCAGATTCAGATTCAGAAGAGGAAGAAGAAGAGGAGGACGACGATGAACCTGAAGAAGTTGATCCTTACTCTGGAAAACACTGGGTAGAAGACACATTGTTGGGAGAAGGTCCTGTCATGCAGCTGTGTGAGACTGAAGAGGGTTTCTGGGAAAGCTTCATTGCAAAATATCTGAAACCAATAGATAAAGATGAGCAAAAGGAAAAGCAAGTAAAAGTGGGTTTAATTGAATTGCGAGACAGCATCTGCTTTGCAATGATAATGCTAAACAGCTTATGGATTGCTGTCAACTTCATGTTCCAGTGGAAAAAAGTTCTCAGAGTTACAATCCCATATAAGGACGAAACTGGCAAGGAGCAGAACCTTGTATTTGGTGTCCTTGGGCTCTTGTTTATTGCATTCTTCTCTATACTGATAGTTATCCAATTTTTGGGAATGTTGCTACATCGCTGGGAAACGTTTCTTCATCTCATATCGATGACCAATCTTAGGACGGATCAAACAGATTCAACCAAGTTCAGTTCAGACACAGAGCAGATCATGGAAACACTGAAACATGAATTGGAACCTCTTCCTGATTATGAAGATGATGGAAAAGAAGAAGATGGACGAAAGGAGAGAATGCGCTCTGTCATACAACGAGGAGAAACCATGAGAGACTTAGCACGGTCCAGACGAGTAAACCTTGCCAAATCTACAAAGAGGCCTATTTCCGTTTCGAGAACAACAAGAAACTTAAACAGAGATCGTGATTTAAATGTACCACGTCCTTCCAGGCGGTATCAGCAGTTTGATGGAGGGCTGAGAAACCGATTCTATACACCAGCCATCAATAAAGTATGGTCACAGGTAGAAGTACCCAATGAAGGGGCGATACCATGGAGTGGAGGAGATGATCCAATATATTCTGAAATACGTGACGTCATGCCAGGGACGATGGGAAGGGACTTTGCAAGAAAGGTCAAACGGTTGAAGGATCGAGAAAGGGATGCGAGGTTTACAGATCAAGGAGGCTCGGGAAATGAACCAACGGATAGGAATGGTGCAACATTTGTGTCAATGTTTGAGCAGCATGGCGCACAAACTACACAATTCTGAAATGGACTTGTATGTCAGTAGACACTTTGACTACACTGGCTATGTATTCAGTGAAAAGGTTTTTTTGTGCGGCTGCCAGTGCAGAGTAGAGATTGTTGTGTGGTGGGTTAAATATGATTCCATTGAGTCAATACACTCATGCAACGCATTTAACGAGCGGACATAGGTTGCCGAAGTGTCTGCTACCGCAAGTCGCAATGCAGAGTTGCGCCCCTAATTTTACAAGTAACCATTGACTAAACCTTGAATCAAAAACTCACCGTGATTGCGATCCTGTTTGTCAGCACATCCATCCTCGGTGGTCTAATCAGCAATGTGAACGTCTGTGCCCTACGTGAGTTAGAGCGTTCAGACCATAATAAACTGGCATACCGTGTTCGCACTGAAAAGTTGTTCCATGTGTCATATTTCATGGCTATGGATTCTTGTTCATTAATCATTGTAATATGTCTTTGGATAACTAACGATATAACTACTTTGCATTCTACATTTTCTAACTTTCAACTATGTTTGGTGTCCTTTTTTGTGTTTGTCCGGCCATAGTATATGGTAAACAAGTAAAGGCGAGTGGGAGAGTTAACCTCATATTTTTAATTTGCGTGCGTGCGTGCGTTTGTGCGTGCGTGCGTGCGTGCGTTTTTACCATGCCGCAGTTTATCTTGAATACCTCCGCTCAGACACCGAGTCGGTCACTCCTTGATTTATCCCCAGATGCCAAATAGAAGCTGTGGCAATCGACATTATGTTTCGAGGTTGTTTTTTTTGTCGGTATTGAATGTTTAGCGTTGCAAACAGCAACACTCCAGAATGTGACGGCGGCCTGTAAATAATCACTAAACTAGTTATTGATATTATGAACAACGATCCACACCGCCAACCATGTCACCGAGCCTGCCTACCCAATATATTTAGTACGACCAGTATTTAAACTCACTTATGCGGATTTGTGCCAACAAAAATGTTAACATCAGAACACTGCTTACATTTTAGATAAGACATTAACCGTTTTATATAAGCTCATGACATCATGTCGGTATATCAAGGAAAGGGGCGGTGAGATAGCCTAGTGGTGAAAGCATTCGCTCGTCACGCCGAAGACCCGGGTTCGATTCCCCATATGGTACCAACTGTTAAAAGCGGCGTAAAACTCACTCACTCACTCCAAAGATCAACGACCAACGTGTACAGGGTTTGGTGTGGTGATTTAGGTAGTAGATAATACTCTTTCTGCAATGCAATTATTCCCTATCAGAATGTTCATGAAATGTACTTAGCATCAAAACTATATTTAACAAGTTTTTATAGAGACCAGGCTCGGGCTAATTGGTAGTGCTAGCACAATTCATTCAAGTCCTTGAAAATACCTAAGTCTCCTGATTCACATTTGATGATACTTTTTTATGTAAGATAATGATTTCCTTAATTCCACAGAGAGAATGTATCGTTCACACCGGGCGGTGGGATAGCTTCGTGATTAAAGCGTTAGCCCGTCACGGCCTGGGTTCGAATTCCTACATGGGTACAATGTGTTCATTTCTGCTGTCCCCGCCGTGGTTATGAAGGAATATTACTAAAAGCGGAGTAAAACCACACTCACACACTCACACACTCACACATACACAGCTCTAATTACCGCCGTGTGATATACTGTGACACATACCGCCTAACGGCATTCCATTAGGAACATATATATACATATATATCTCCGGAAATTATATACATATATATGCATATACCATCGCCCAAACTGTATATGCTCGACGTTTTCAATAGATAATGGTGAACATGTATGAGATTTTAAATGCGTTGTACATATGGTTTGTATATTTGAAATTGTAATTTGACTTCAGTTAATGTAAATATTGCATTTTGACACAATAAGTATGACATTAAAATGTAAAACGTGTATGTGTTGTTATTTTCGATAGATTTTTTTTTAGGTTTAACGCCATACTTTTTAGTTCGAGTCTGGACCAGACAACCCATTTATTGACATCATGAGCATCGATCTACGCAACTGAGATGCGATGACATGCATCGACCAAGTCAGTAAAGTAAGCCTAACCACCCGATCCAGTTAGTCGTTTCTATCAACAAGCACGGGTTGCTGAAGACCAATTCTAACACAGATCACAGAGAAGGCTGGGAGTTTTGTTGGGGGCAGAATATGTTTGTTGCGAATGACTTCTATTATTATGCGTGTCAGACATCTATGATTATGCGTGTCAGACATCTATGATTATGCATGTCAGACATCTATGATTATGCTTGTCAGACATCTATGATTATGCGTGTCAGACATCTATGATTATGCTTGTCAGACATCTATGATTATGCTTGTCAGATATCTATGATTATGCGTGTCAGACATCTATTATTATGCATTTCAGACATCTATGATTTTGCTTGTCAGACATCTATGATTATGCGTGTCAGGCATCTCTGATTATGCGTGTCAGACATCTACTATTATGTGTGTCAGACATCTATGATTATGCTTGTCAGACATCTATGATTATGCGTTTCAGACATCTATGATTATGCGTGTCAGACATATATGATTATGCGTGTCAGACATCTATGATTATACGTGTCAGACATCTATGATTATACGTGTCAGGCATCTATTATTATACGTGTCAGGCATCTATTATTATGCGTGTCAGACATCTATGATTATGCATGTGAAAATCTATTATTATGCATGTCAGACATCTATGATTATGCATGTCAGACATCTATGATTATGCATGTGAGACATCTATGATTATGCATGTGAGACATCTATGATTATACGTGTCAGACATCTATGATTATGCGTGTCAGACATCTATGATTATGCGTGTCAGACATCTATGATTATGCATGTGAGACATCTATGATTATGCATGTGAGACGTCTATGATTATGCATGTGAGACGTCTATGATTATGCATGTGAGACATCTATGATTATGCATGTCAGACATCTATGATTATGCGTGTCAGACATCTATGATTATGCGTGTCAGACATCTATGATTATGGGTGTCAGACATCTATGATTATTTAAATAGGAGATTAAGCCTGATTTGTCAGCATCACCAATTCTCATCGGTTTCATCAAACAGTTCAGCACCAAGATCTGCATCACTTAGGGCTTTCTTCCAACATCAAAATCACTCTAATTGATATAACAATCTCCACAAGACTATGTGACAAGAGGGATGACTTCAACTTTCCAATTGTCAACTTTCCCTTTATGTCGAGGAATATTCCGGAAGTCCCGATCTTGGTTTCTCAACTTAAGAGACATAATCGTATAGGCTTTCTCTACCACGATATCAAAGAGCGTCACACGGCTCTTGCTCAGAAGTTACAGTCAATGTTACGACATTGAGTAAAGCTTTAAAAAAGCTTTATGGTAAAAATATGGAGGACATTATTAAATTTGAAGCATCACTGAAAAGAATGATGTCCGATGCAGTTCCCTATTTTGACTTGTACCATAAGTTCCCGTGTTTTTTAGGTGAACAATTTACTTGCCTATGCATGTATGTGTTCGTGACGGGTGTTTCTGGTGGAACAGGATGCGCTCACCTTTTCGCGAACACGTGGTATCATCACTTTTTGATAATGATTCATAAACACAGACTCATCATACACTCGGAATCGTAGAATCGACTCTGCTTTTGGCAAAGAAAATTAATTTTCCCAGAAAATTTGTTAAGAAAATTCAGACAACATTGAAAAAAGGAAATTGCGTGCCACAAAAATTACATTGCTGCAAGGTGTCCTTTATTCCTAATAAGTATTTAGTTCGTAGTTTTAATGGAAAAACCCCTGATTTTGCAGCTGTAGCTGAAGAAATATACAGACTCTGTGCAACTTTGTCCTACAAATTGTTCTCATCCATGTATTGATGACATATTTCTCATGCAGGGTTAATGTTCACTCACATACTCTCTCAAACAAATTAAGAAAGCACCACAGCCCAAGTTACCACTTTGGAACTTATTTAACGTACCGTATTCGACGTAATAAGCGCCCCGCTCTAATAAGTGCCCACGGCGATATTTACTGATATATTGGCTAGTAAAAAATCCCAATAAGCACTCCTTCCGATTGATCAATGTACACAAGACTATTTATTCGCGTATAATACGCACTCGTGTGTTATATGCATTCTTAATTATGGGCAAATAAATTCTGGAAAGATTTATCTGTCGCATATAAACATTTCAGTGTGTCAGCATAAACCACGAAATTTATCTTTCAAATCTCTTTTTTCCACCAAAATAACATTCTAATAAGAGCCCCCTATTTCTAATTTTGAGAGCGCCCTGGGCGCTTAATACGTCGAATACGGTAATTCAGATTTGTGACTGAATGCATTGGAGTGTGTTGCTTACGTTAGGGAACGTATAATTCTATACAGTAAACTACGTTTATAACAAACACGCTTGTAACGAACTAACGGATATAACGAACATATGTTTTGGTCAAGGCAAGTTGCTGTATATATGCTGTATGTATGCTTATAACGATCTACGGTTTATAACAAACTAAAATTACTGATCCCTTTGAGTTCGTTATAACCGTAGTTTACGGTACTCGTACAAGGCAATAGCACCGTAACAATATTAATACCATCCATATATACGGGATTTTCCTGTGTGTTTATTGGGGCGGTCGGGTAGCCTAGTGGTTAAAGCGTTTGCTCGTCACGCCGAAGACCCGGGTTCTATTCCCGACATGGGTACAATGTGTGAAGCCCATTTTCTGGTGTCCCCCGCCGTTATATTGCTGGAATATTGCTAAAAGCGGCGTAAAACCACACTCTCTCACTCACTGTGTGTTTATTATATATTCAGTATGGTAATATAACATCTTTAGTAGGCGTATCCCAGGTCAATATCAAAATGACAACAAAGATTATCAATCAGAATTATCCATTTTTGTACCTTAAAAAAATCATCCACAAATCTCTTCGCAATAACTAAGTGACGAATTCAAGGATATCGGTTCTTTCAAATAGTGTAAGTCTTTCATGTCGTGTGATTTAGTTACACGTCCTTACGTGACAACAGTAAGTAAAGAATAAATTACCCCTCCTACCTATATTTCTAAAGCGGGGCATTGTACCCCATGCAGTGTCCTACCGCATGTGTATACGTTAACTGTACACTTGTACTTGTCACCAGAGGGGGTGGATTAACTTCAGTTGAAGACGTTAACAGTGAAGAGGGTTCGGGTATTAACGCATTGAAGACTAACGTTGGCTTTAAGTGTTCAGCCTAGGGAGACAAGCGTGTGTTATAATCAACAAATGGCAAATAATCTTGTGTTATATGAACATTGCTTCCAACATTCTTTACGAATTAACCTGCAGTCAAGTTCTGGGCGAATTTGGTGGTTGCTGATGAATTGAAGATGCTGGGCACAGACAGACAGTGAGGAGGTAGACGATGTAAAGAGTATATATCTATACACCATCTTCTTTAAAGAGGGGTCATGCTCCACGGTTGATTTAAATGTTCAGTAACGGTATACACGTGTATTTTGGCTTTGGTGAAACTGATTATGCTGTGTTTGTGTAATTAGAGCATAAACATAGCTGGTATTATTATATATATATATGTCATATGTTCTGAATTGTCTGTCAGGTGTTTGAATGACTTGAGCGAGTGAATGAGAACATGTATTTGTATAATGCCGCTTTTAGAAATATTTAAGTATTATCACTGCGGGCTTCAGACACTGTGCTCATGTGAGTATCGAACTCCGGCCTTCTGCATGACTAGCGAAAACTTTAACCTCTAGGCTACCCTGAACTCTGTGAATCAAATTTGTTGCTACTGCTTGTGATTCTCTCTCTTTCAAAAACGATGTTAAACTTAATTGTAGCTTATTTGAGGTATGGGGCAGTCGGATAGCCTAGTGGTTAAAGCGTTCGCTCGTCACGCCGAAGACCCGGGTTCGATTTCCGACATAGGTACAATGTGTGAAGCCCATTTCTGGTGTCCCCCGCCGTGATATTGCTGGAATATTGCTAAAAGCAGCGTAAAACCATACTCACTTACTCACTTATTTGAGTTATAATGAGCATTAAACATGACTTTGGTGTTTATAAAAGTATTTTATCTTCTTTGCAGGTTGCTTTAAGTGTTGTTGACAAATAAATACAAGGCGTTGGTGAAGCCATCTCCTATTGAAGGCTCTTTTATCTCGGAATAGTGACCGGTGGTCAAGGTGACCCTTCTATATACGAGATGACCTCGAAGAGTGACCTGACCTTGCTAGGTGACCTAAGTGAGAAGAAAATTCTCGAGGTTTTGAGACAAAGATACAAAAACGACGTTATATACGTAAGTAGAGGGTACTTTTGAATGATATTACATCTAACACCATATTGATCAGTGAGTGAGTGAGTGAGTGAGTGAGTGAGTGAGTGAGTGAGTGAGTGAGTTGCCCCACCGAATTACCGAATCCTGGGACGTCAATAGTGGTTTTAGAAGTTTTGTTTTGACGCTGAAAGTGTTCCTGAGATTGAGGGTTTATTGGAGTCTGGAGAAAAAAATTATTTGGTGATAAACGAAGTACCACTTGTGTGATCGTATAGGAATAAATGTACTAAAGTTTTGAAATAAACCCACATGCATCATATCGATAATAAAAAAATCAAATTTTGACATATTTTACGTCATATTAAAGTTAGTTTTTCAAATATAAAGTGCGACAATGAGTCCTTATGTGTGTGTTTCCTCCTATCACAAAATAAATTGCACGTGTTGAAGCAGTACCCGAAAATATATAGAAGTCTCCCGCAGAAACTCAAGGACTTCTCTTGAGTATTAAATGGTGGGCGGTAATTCGGTGTATGGTCCATGGCTTGAATATGTCAATCCATATATCTAAATGTAGACGTACGGCTTTATAAGACTTGCTCAGAGAGTATAGGTAGGTATTCACAACAATTCAGTAATGTAGCCAATAAACGTCTCCTTCTTTTGACACCGATATCTTCCTGGTTGCGAATCGGGAAGCACTATATTAAATGAGTCATGTACATTCGATACCATGCTGCACTGTAGCCGGCGTTTTACATTACTGTTAAGATTAGCCGAGTGTCGTCCTGGTGTATGTGGAATGTAATATGCTACAGTATTGCGAGCAACAATGAATGCGAATGGGGTGTTACCTTTTACATGTTTAATGTATAGGTGCCGCAAATGCGTAGAATGAGTGGACGGGGTTATCCCTTCAAAGTCTCTTCGCAATCGCTTTTCACGTCTTGTCACGTCTGCATTGTAAAAGATTGTAACGAGTGTCACGATTGATCTGTAAATGGGATCTGTAAATGTGAAACCTACCAGGTGACCTCTTTGCATATTTTTCAGATCGTGATACAATACTTATTGTATTGATAAACGCTATCCATTGTATAATAAAATAATAATAATAATAATAATATTATTAATAATAATAATAATAGTGTGAAGGTGGAGGTTCTTCATGAGAAAATAGTATTGTGCACTTTTGCATACATTAATTTGTCTGATGATCCTCTTGTGAAGCGGGGGCCACGGGTGGCCCAGTCGTCTAAGGCGCCGCGATTCGCTGTGCAGAGTTACTTCCCTTGGGCACGCCAGAAACCTATGATTGTGGGTTCGAATCCCGGTTCGCCCCGATTATGTTTCTAGGTTTGTCAGCACCATACCCGTTCTCTTGGGTTTCACCGAAGTGGTAAACGTCTGAGACCTGCATCACTTCTAGCTTTCCTCCCACATTAAGCTGACATGCCGTGATATAACTGGAATACTGTTAAAAGCGGCGTTAAACCAAACTCACTCATTCACTCTTGTGAAGCATGTCAAGACTCGTGATAAAAACAAGGCATTCCACAGTTTTCTTAAACGAGCCATAATGGCAATGTCAGTTTTGATTTTGTTGATGGTTCTGTACTGCAGGACGGTACATGAGTGTCAACCACGCGAAGTGTCATATCAATTCGGCCCAGACTCAGTTTCATTAGGAGAGGCTTTCTGAACGACCACTGCATTGACTTCATGTGCAACCTTGCAGAGTCCTTTGCTTGGATTAAGTCGACTGTTCTGAAAAGTGAAACAGAAGGTTTACTGCTTGCTGCTCAGGACCAGTCACTTCCCACTCAAAACCGTCAGTGTGTGATTTTGCATCAAAATGTAAATATGAAATGTAGAATATGCAATGAATTTAAAGAGAATGTCTATCACATTGTCATTTGATGCCCAGCCTTGGCACAAACACAGTATCTTAAGCGACATGAAGGAGTGGCTCGATCATTGTATTACCATCTTCGCCATGCATATGGTTTTGACACAGAGGTTAATCCATGGTACGACCCGGAATATGTAGAGGGCGTCATGGAAAATGATAAATACAAAATTCTTTGGAATATGCCGTACACAGCCACAGACATATCCAGATAAACAAACCTGATCTTGTCCTTTTTTTAATAAATCCATTGAAATCAATCATTTATATCATTGAATTGTTTGTCCCTTTTGACACTAATGTGATTTACAAAATACAGTAAAAACACTGCGGACCCTGCTTTCGAAATGCACGCTTGCATCCTAAGTACGAAGTGGTCCGACTAATGTAGCATATTTTATCAACGTCATAGCACAAGGAATCAAAAAGGATTTGATTATTCACTTAACACAGAATATGACTTGAATGTTGTAATAGCCAGAGAATCACGACGATTAGTATCCCAATAAAGGGCATCTGAACATCTTTTAAAAAACCATTACAATACGATGGGAACGGCCACCGTATGAAGCAGCAATATGTCTACCATGTGACTTACAAGCAATTGAAACTGAATACAACTTCCTCCTGCTGTGTCCTGCCTACAACAATTCAAGAATTAGATACGATTTTCCGGTATACTCTTGCTGCAATGTTTTACAGTAAACTACGGTTATAACGAACTCATAGGGATCACTTATTTTAGTTCGTAATAACCGTAGTTCGTTATAAACATATATACAGCATATATACAACAAATGGCCGGGACTACAACATAAGTTCGTTATATCGGTTAATTTGTTATGAGCGTGTTCGTTAAAAACGTAGTTTGCAGTATTAAGCAATATAAATTGCTTGTAACTAATAATTTCCTTCTACTAAACAACTGTGTTAAATTAATAAAGACGTCATTATATCACAGACGAATATTACTTAATGGCCAAATATTATTTCACAATTTTCGTCATGTTAATTATATACTTCGTACGTGTGTCGCCCTTTTATAGAAACCGAGATCTTTGTAAATTAAAATCGTGGCTTGTACTGTATTGGTTTTTGTTTAATCTGTTTACAGACTCGGTGTGGAGATGTTCTTCTGTCTATCAATCCCTTCAAAGAGCTGCCCATATATGATAAAAAGGTATGTATAAAAACTTAAAGCTGTATTTTGAATATGATATCGTCATCGAAACATGATAACATTCCCCTATCAACCAAAGTGCTTGAAAACACAGGTGATACACGCATGGACTTACGGACGTTTCTGACTTGTTTCAACAAATGTATGTCACTGTGAACTAATTAACCATAACAAACAACTTGACATATTCTCACATCTTCACTCCGCCTCTCACATCAACCATTAAAAAGCATATTCATGACTAACACGTAACTCAAGTAACTCAATACTTGGTGCCATGCCGCTATTCGTGGTACCCCCTTAACGTCTTTGATATATCTCAGCATCACTCACTCACTCTGTGGTTTCAGCACCACGACCAGTACGCCTGGCAGACGCTGAAACATGACCAGCATCCCCATGTATTCCACGTGGCAGCCGCCGTTTTCTGCAGACTGAAGGAGTCACACACCAACCAGGTCGGTTTCTTACTGTAGCAGCGTCAAACGACTCTTGCTCAAATATTAGTTGATGAAGGTTACAACATTCAAAGCATCAGTAAAGCTTTTAAAACGTTTTATTGCATACACCTGCAGCACATTTCCCACGTGACGCATCGGCGAAAAAAATATATCCGATGCAATTCCCTATTTTGACTTTAATCATAATAAATTATGTAACCGTGTTTCTTCATGTAAATAATTGACTTACCTCTGCATGTGTTTGTAACGGTGCACCGCTGGGACAGGAAACGCTCACCCTTTCGCGAACACCAGTTATCTTCTCTATTTGATTGTGATTCATAAACACATGTTGGTGATATAGTCGGAAGCAGACAATGGTTTCTGCTTTCAGCCGAGAAATATTACGATCATGGAGATGGTCATCTTTCCGAGGCAAGAGAGTTAACTAACTTTAAAAGTCCAGTTTCCACCCTTGCCGTACAGTGGCTATTACGAGTTATGTCCCTTCTGTGCCTCTCCTATGAACTAATCAGATTCTACCTCTCGTATCACTTGCATTTGCTTAATACTAAATGGCGGCGCCCAGTCAAGACGATCTGATCGATAATCAAGATCCTATATTGTGATAAAATGGGTCTTACATCGCGAAGTGCATCAAATCACGTGAGCACGTCCACATGACCAAAGAGGTTAACCCCGTCAGCAAGCTGACAAGGTAAGGATGTCATCTGTGGGATGACCCCATGCCCTGCTACATACTACCCCGTCAACAGAAGGCCCGTCCCGGGCCGCATAGTAGGGTACTGAGGCTTACTTTGTTCAAATTTAATATGAACGTGCTCAGCCCCACGTTGGGCGCCAATGTAGCGGCCATAAAATTTCCGAGTCCCGTGATGGGATACGAACCACTGACCTTCTGATCCGAGGTCGGACGCCTTGTTCACATGACCAAAGAGGTTAACCCCGTCAGCAAGCTGACAAGGTAAGGATGTCACAAATTGATTCACATTTACTCTATATTTACATTCTACCTGATGTGTGCCTTCAGATTGTGTTGGTGTCTGGCGAGTCTGGGTCAGGCAAGACAGAGAACACCAAATACATGGTGAAACATTTGATGCAGATAAGTGGCCACTCCCAAAATGGTTTACATGAAAGAATATTGGAGGTGAGTGTAATTGTGGTTACATGTGTCCCTTTCTAGCAAAATTGACAGAATAATAATTAAACATATCTTGTTGGTTATAGTAAAAACACCAGCGGCAGTATTTGTTTAAGGTTGGTTGGTTTGTTGTTTAACGCCGCACTCAGCAATATTCCAGCTATATGACGGCGGTCTGTAAATAATCGAGTCTGGACCAGACAATCAAGTGATTGATATCATGAGCATCGATCCGCGCAATTGGGATCGATGACATGCATCACCCAAGTCATCGAGCCTGACCACCCGATCCCGTTAGTCGCCTTTTACGACAAGCATAGCCACCTTTTACGGCAAGCATGGGTTGCTGAAGACCTATTCTACCAGGGAATCTTCACGGGTCATTTGTTTAAGGAACAAGACATGCATTGGCTTTGACATAGTTTTTAGTTATATCCAACCGCACTTCATATATTTACGATCAGAAATAGCTTTTGCAAAACTGTGAAACATATTTTTACTTGTTTTGAAGTTTTATTTATTTTATCCTAAGGTCAGCCCTCTACTGACGGCATTCGGCAATGCAAAAACAACCCTCAACGACAACTCAAGTAGATTCGCCAAATATATTCAGTTTAACGTCTCCGAGGATGGCGGTATTCAAGGAGGTACATAACATCACCACACCTTGGATTGATGAACAAATGATTAGGAATTGAAACAGTGAATTTGTATATTAAAGCCGCTTTGAACAGTTATATTACTCACCAGCATTTGTATCGTGCTGACAAACCCAATAAAATTACTATCTGGGATTCGAACCCTCGATTTCGGGCACGAATGAGGGACTCAACTCTTAGTGAGCGGCAGGTCGGGTTGAGTGAGTGAGTGAGTGGCAGGTCGGGTTGTGTGAGTGAGTGAGTGAGCGGCAGGTCGGGTTGTGTGAGTGAGTGAGTGGCAGGTCGGGTTGAGTGAGTGAGTGAGTGGCAGGTCGGGTTGTGTGAGTGAGTGAGTGGCAGGTCGGGTTGAGTGAGTGAGTGAGTGAGTGAGTGAGTGCAACATCACGGCAGAGCACCCAAGGAATGGGCATCACCATTGAACCTTTGTGTGAAATCGTCCCTACCTTCGTAAAAACGAGGCGAGTTATTACTCTAATATTCTGATATTATTTTTTCCCTTACCGCAGCCACCATCAAGGACTACATGTTGGAGAAGACGCGCGTGGTTCACCAGGCACAGGGAGAGGGCAACTTCCACATCTTCTACAGCTTCCTTGCTGGAATGGCTGATGATGAGAGGACAGCCTGGTCGATGAGGGAAGATGCTACTTTCAGGTACAATGACACTAAACTGACACACTTTACTGCGAGATAGCTGATGATTCATTATAGTCATGATGATATGGATTTAGTGGCTGAATATTTTTACATCGATTTCAACTTCTGTTTCTTTCAATACGACGTTTCGGTACAAATGCGGGTAAGTTTACCAACCACGTTATAAAAACTGGGTAGGACATGATCAAATTGTGCAGTCAGACAAACAGGCAAGCAGGCAGAACCAGATGGAATTACTTAAAAAAAAACCTTTGAAAGCTTAATGAAGCCCACGAGGTCCAACATGATCCCAATTTAACGTTAAATAATATAAAAAGGTGGAATTTTAACATAACTCTATACACTCATATTTTAGAAATAAACAACTGGGATTTGTTTATCGTACAATAAAACACTGCAGGTAGAATAAACCATAAGGCGAGTAGCCCCGATTGGTTTATTATCCCTACAGTGTTTTACTGTACGATAAACAACGACCACGAGTAGTTTATTATATATATATATATATATATATATATATATATATATATATATATATATATATATATATATCAACATTATGTACATGTTGATAAAATGTACAAGCTTTAAAAAATATTCTACCCAAATTTTGATAATGATGAATAAAATCCAACCTCGGAAATGTCGGACAGGTCCATTTTAAGATCCGGTGGGCTAAGTTTGTTATTTCCCGCATATTTTCACAATGCTCACGTCGATTATCTGTACCTTTTCTCCATTACCATATCTCTCCAACTTCTGATGCGATTGTTCAGCCACTGCGTAGCCCAGCTACAAACATGTATATGGGGAAAACTTACCAGACACCTCTTTATAAATATAGTCGTCTAGTATATGAGGTCATCAAGTTGCCAGCGCATATTCGAATCTCAAGAAATGACGTCATGATGGAACAATGCTTTATGGATACATAAACCACGCTTCCTTCTTCAATGTTCTTTGCGAACTGTCGCGAAGCTATCTTATATACAGGTCTTTAGGGTAGAACTCATCACGCCTCTGCAAGTCTTTCAACTCTGAGGCAGTGTCCTGAAGAGGCTTCAAGATCTAAGAGGCTTAACTCTTCATTTGTTCGTTTGTATGGTCATGCCTTAACACCAGCGTGTGGTAGTCTCACATCATGCCACCACTGCTGCTTGGAAATTCAAGGGCTATAACTCTTTCATCCTTGTGCGATTCATGTTAATGTTAAAGTCAGTCCAACTGATCAGTGGTGGGTGAGTGGAGTTGTATGCCGCTGTTTGGCAATATGTCTGCCATATCAGGTTGGGGGATTGGACACCACATGGTACCCATTTGGCCATTGAACGCTGGTCATCGGCGGGACCAGCCAACTGGGCCCTCCTCCGTCCCGCTTGGTGATAGGCTTAATGCGTGAGTGAGTGAGTATGGTTTAACGCCGCTTTTAGCAGTATTCAAGCAATATCACGGCGGGGGACACCAGAAATGGGCTTCACACATTGTACCCATGTCGGGAATCGAACCCGGATCTTCGGCGTGACGAGCGAACGCTTTAACCACTAGGCCCGATAAGCTAAATGATCGAACACTACGGTGTTTGTTAATATGACAAGGTCATTTAAGTTTATATCGAGTTATGCTTAGTAAAGGACAGGGATAATTAAGTTCATATTGAGTTATGCTTGGTTCGTGAAGTGCGCGCTGGTTTCAAACTGAACCGTCAAAAGAAAGTACATGTATAAACTTGAAAATTGGATTTGACCAAACAAATACAAACGTCATCAAAACGTTGGGGGGAAAAACGTTCCAAAACACAACTATGATACCCGTTTCAACTACATAACCATCGAATAACCATTTCTTGTTACTTTCATTTTTAGCCACAATCAAACATGGATGCATAATTTGTTTTGTCCAGCAGTTTATGTGACGATTTTTCCAGTGCATTGGTAATACAACAGTAATGACGTCATCATGGATGCCATAATGGCAAGGATATGGCGTCCCTAATGTCATTGCCATAACTATCTCTTTAAGATCTATGTCATGTCATAGACAAGTATAAATTGTGTATGAACGATGGATTGTAAAACAAGAAACAAGAAATAGTTATTATAATATGTCGACTAGGACATCAAGACATCATTGATAGAAGCACTGACATTGGTGTAAATAATTGTTTTTATATTTGCCAAATGATATTACCACTATGGCACTGGTATGACATCATGATTTGCATTGATAGAAGCACTGACATTGGTGTAAATAATTGTTATTATATAAGCCAAATGATATTACCACTATGGCACTGGTATGACATCCTGATTTGCATTGATAGAAGCACTGACATTGGTGTAAATAATTGTTTTTATATAAGCCAAATGATATTGCCACTATGGCACTGGTATGACATCCTGATTTGCATTGATAGAAGCACTAACATTGGTGTAAATAATTGTTTTTATATTAGCCAAATGATATTACCACTATGGCACTGGTATGACATCAAGACATCATTGATAGAAGCACTGACATTGGTGTAAATAATTGTTTTTATATTAGCCAGATGATATTACCACTATGGCACTGGTATGACATCCTGATTTGCATTGATAGAAGCACTAACATTGGTGTAAATAATTGTTTTTATATTAGCCAAATGATATTACCACTATGGCACTGGTATGACATCAAGACATCATTGATAGAAGCACTGACATTGGTGTAAATAATTGTTTTTATATTAGCCAAATGATATTACCACTATGGCACTGGTATGACATCATGATTTGCATTGATAGAAGCACTGACATTGGTGTAAATAATTGTTATTATATAAGCCAAATGATATTACCACTATGGCACTGGTATGACATCCTGATTTGCATTGATAGAAGCACTAACATTGGTGTAAATAATTGTTTTTATATTAGCCAAATGATATTACCTCTATGGCACTGGTATGACATCATGATTTGCATTGATAGAAGCACTGACATTGGTGTAAATAATTGTTTTTATATAAGCCAAATGATATTACCACTATGGCACTGGTATGACATCAAGACATCATTGATAGAAGCACTAACATTGGTGTAAATAATTGTTTTTATATTAGCCAAATGATATTACCACTATGGCACTGGTATGACATCATGATTTGCATTGATAGAAGCACTGACATTGGTGTAAATAATTGTTTTTATATTAGCCAAATGATATTACCACTATGGCACTGGTATGACATCAAGACATCATTGATAGAAGCACTGACATTGGTGTAAATAATTGTTTTTATATTAGCCAAATGATATTACCACTATGGCACTGGTATGACATCATGATTTGCATTGATAGAAGCACTGACATTGGTGTAAATAATTGTTTTTATATTAGCCAAATGATATTACCACTATGGCACTAGATGACATCATTCTATTTTAGTAGCATTGTGCTCGGTAGTTTCTCAGAGAAACATGTGCATGTCAACATCCGAGAAACTCATTTGCCATTGTAGCAAACTTCTCTGTGTAACTATCCTGTCATATTCGTTCTTCTCTCAGAATCGCTGACGTCAGTCGTAGGAACTCTAAGATCAACGACGCCAAGACGTACAAAGAATGCATGCGGATCATGGAGAATGTCGGGCTCACAGGAGAGGTAACTGCTAGAAACGATAGGTTGAGAACGGAATAGTTCTCTGAAAATGTACCTCTGTAGATTCAAAACTGAAAGAGAGATATTGCAGAAAGAGGCCTACCATAAACGCCTGAATGATGTGGTCATTGTTTGTGTACTGTATGTCCAAACAGTCTCCGGCCACGCCCTCATTCCGATAGATCTCTTGCTCTCGCCTGAATTCGCAACGTCCATAAGATATCAATGGAGGCAGGAGGATGTCGAAAAGAGAAATCAGACAAAAATGGCTTTTTTTAAAGAAATGGTTTCTTAATGCAATAGCACATAATCATTTTTGAAATCATGTCTTTGGGGTCCTATTTACATAACCCATGATTTGTCTTCTACAATTCACAGTCATCATGAAGAAGTTATATCATTGATATTTGCCATCCGTGATACAAGCGTGTTTAGCATTATATTGTATCTACTTTCCTGTATCCTAGGAGAGGGAAAACGTGAAAGTGCTACTGGCTGCAATCCTTCACTTAACTAATATAGAATTCCTTGAAGATGAGGATAAAGCCACCTATGTAGAAGAGGAACATCATCTTGGTATAGGTAGGTGTACAGTTTATTCTAGTACAGATCATGATAGACAACAGTTGGTGATGTCTTGATGTCCTAATCGACATAATATAATAACTATTTCTTGTTTCTTGTTTTACTATACATCGTCCCCCAAGTTTAAAAATGATGCATAACCATTTGGAGTATCCAATGATTTGGAACTTAATTTAAAACAAAAATATATGTGGAATAAATGTCTGAATAGCAATTGACACAAAATGAGAAAATTCTAGTTTGATTATGGAAACTGTTTATGTTTTTTTTAATGTCAAACAGATTATAAAAGTTCTCTGTCTGACTGAGAATAGGTGGACTTTAATTCAAATATGCCCACATTTTGTTTGTGAAATGTCATACTAAAATTATGTTCGTCAAACCATGCATCGCCACTTTATGAAATTCATTTAAGTAAAACATCGTGTGTGGTTGATTGGTATTAATTTACACATTTGTACTTCCAGTGTGCAGTCTCTTGGACACCAACTCTGAAGATGTTGCCAAAGCCCTTGTTACCAAGAAAATATGCATACCAGGAGAAGGTACCAATGAATGATGGAATTGAATGCTTTTGAATCTCAGTATTGCTTGAAATAGGGGGACGGTCGGGTAGCCTAGTGGTTAAAGCGTTCGATCGTCACGCCGAAGACCCGGGTTTGAATCCCGACATGGGTACAATGTGTGAAGCCCATTTCTGGTGTCCCCCGCCGTAATATTGCTGGAATATTGCTAAAAGCGGCGGAAAAACAAACTCACTCACTCACTCACTTGAAATAGAATGCCCTGCGTATGAAACAGTAAATAGCACATGTTAATTTGTTTGTTTGTTGCTTAACGCCGCACTGAGAAAAATTCCAGCTATATGATGGCGGTCTATAAATAATCGAGTCTGTACCAGACAATCAAGTGATTATATCGTGAGCATCTATCCACGCAGTTGGGATACGATGACATGCATCAGCAAAGTCAGCGAGTCTGACCACCCGATCACGTTTGTCGCTCCTTACGACAAGCATGAGTTACTGAAGACCTATTCTAACCCGGATCTTCACTGATTTATTTCTTAAAAACGATATTGACTTTCTCTATTTTAGTCAGTATTATTAGAATCCGGGTTAGAATATGTCTTCAGTCACCCATGATTGTCGTACAAGGCGACTAACAATTATTAACAGACCGTCGTCATATAGCTGGAATATTACAAAGTGCGGAGTTTAACAAAAAACAAATCTAATAAAGAAAACATCAGGGCTTATATGAAGAGTTGAAACACTGCAGACCTGACTTTCTGTTGTCGACGTTGGTGTTGCTGCAGGTGACGGAGGTGATATCGAGACATTGAGGACAAAGCGTGACGCTGAAGGAACTCGAGACTCCCTGGCCAAGACTCTGTATGAGCGACTGTTTGGATGGATCATTCGCAAGATCAACCAGTCCCTCCACGCCAGCTATAGCACGTAAAATATATATACTTAATATTCCTTACGTTGTATGCATGCCAATCTTGATCAACCAGTGACCATGTCAATACTGTTACAGTACATGTAAAGACTGCCTCCGTGGAAGAGCGTCCGCCCGGAGCGCGGAAGATCGGGGGTTAATCTCCCCCGCGTGATGCCAAAAGACGTTAAAAGATGGTACTTGTTGTTACCCTGTCTGGCGCTCGGGGCTAAAACAAGGACTGGTCGGCTCGGAGTCAGTGTACTGTGTCTGGGTGGGGTATTCGTGTCAATCTGTGGCATTGTATCTCAGTGGGCTAGCACTATAAAATCGGCATTAGTCTGGACTAGTACAAACACACACACGCGCGCGCACACACACACACACACATGCACGTCCATATATAATCTTGAACGCGACGTTAAACTCCATTTCATCTCAACTCACCAAGTACGTGTAACTCTCCTCTACAGTAGTAAAATATTAATGTATTGAAAGCAAGGCGTTTATAATATTCGCATTCAGTTTTTGCATTAGAACTATGTATAAGACATATTATGTTGCTTATATCGATGTTAAGATTTCGTTCATCAATAAATGTTATCAGTGTACATCAGTTACAATAAAAGAACAGTTTCTAATTACCCACAAATGAGTCCGAAAAGTGTGCAGCCTTTAACGACCAACGATATACATGTCAAGGATAGGTAATGTATTTATCATCAAGGTATTTGTATTTGCCTCTGAAGAAGCAAGATGTTATCTGCATCTTCAATGACGACTGGATACTGTTTCGATGAGTGACAGATCAACTATTCTGTATCTTCAGTGACAACAGGGCAGGGAGCATTGGTATCCTGGACATTTGTGGCTTCGAGTGTCTGAAGGAGAACAGCTTTGAACAGATGTGTATCAATCTCGTCAATGAGAAGATGCAGGGCTTCATGAATGAGCAGATCTTCAGGCGAGAGCAAGAGATCTATCGGAATGAGGGCGTGGCCGGAGACTGTTTGGACATACCGTACACAAACAATGACCACATCATTCAGGCGTTTATGGTAGGCCTCTTTCTGCAATATCTCTCTTCCAGTTTTGAATCCACAGTTTCACATTTTCAGAAAACTATTCCGGATAACACATTTTCAGATAAACGTATCCTGGGTATGGATGAATGTCTCCTTGGAGATACATTGACGTCCACACAATAATCGTCCAATGATTCCAAGTTTAGAAGGTTTGACTGGGTGTCACCACTGTGTATTGTCCACTGATGCCATAAATCGTAGCTTTAGGGCCACATACAGGAATACCAATTTAGGAATTTGACTGCAGTCCAACCCGAATAAGAAGCCCCAGTTTCAAAAACAATACATTTGTACAATCATAGCATTGAGAAAATGGCATAAATTATTCACCGTTGCATCCGTTGTATATCATGATAGTCGTCTCCTTCAAATAATTACGAAATAACTGCCAATCTAAGAAATAGTGTTTTGTGTCGGGTTTCAATACAACAAACGGGCAATACAGGGGCAGATAACGCAGATTGGTCACCACTTGATTTTCTCTGACTATCAAGCAGTATACGTTCTTACCATACTGCCTTATGGTACATATTCATGTCCACCTTATGGTTTACAGGAGAAAGGGATACTGCATCTGATTGATGAGGACACGCAATTGAAGCAGGCTACAGACGAAACGCTGCTCCTCAAACTGACGCAGAAATTTAAAGGAAGCACTGTTTTCAGAAAACCTCCTGGAAACGATCTCACGTTCATCATCAAGCATTTTGCAAGAGAGGTAGAATTTGTTTCTTGGCTTAAGAGACGTCTGTTTATCATTGTGCCTCCCTTCATGTATGTCTCAATGTCTGTATTGGCATTGATATTGTACATTGGTGCCTCTAGTCCTGGCGTCAGAACCTCATGGGGTACCATTACTATGTACAGAGCGTGGTACCAATTCATATGGTTCAACCAAATGGAAGCAATGATTTCAAGTATATACGAGTAATTGGACATGTAAACATGGCACCATCTTTCATATGTTTTGCTCTGAAAAAGTATATTTCCAAATTTGACGCATCGCCAAAAATGTTGTCCAATGTAATTACCGTATTCGACAAAATAAGCGCTCTTAAAATTAGAAATAGGGGGCTCTTATAAGATTATTATTTTGGTGAAAAACAAAAGAGTTGAGAGGATCGTAAATTTCGTGGTATATGCTGACAGCCTGAAATGTTTATATACGACAGATATATTTTTACAGAATTTAATTTCCCCTGATTAAGGATGCATATAACACACGTATTATACACGAATAAATAAGTCTTGATCAATCTGAAGGGGTGCTAATTGGGATTGTTAACTAACCAATATATTAACAAATATCGCCGTGGGCGTTTATTAACGCGGGGTGCTTATTACGTCGAATACGGTAGTTGTCAACTGAACAATTGCCCTGATTTTGTATGACTGTGTGTGTGTGTGACGGGTGCCACCGATGGAGCAGGTTACGCTTATCTTTTCGCGAACACCTTGCATCATCACCATTTGATAGGGATTCATAAACACATGCTCATGATATGGTCGGAATTGTACAATCGGCTCTGCTTTTGGCCGAAATTTCTTATGAATATGGAAATTTACAGTTGCAATAGTTATGAACAGGCCATTTGATATTGGGGAGTTGGGGTGGTGAAGTGAGGTGCTGCGATTTGAGAATAAGTATTGTTCCTTCACTATGGGCTTACATATATGCATGTGATTACAATGGCCAGGTGAGCTATGGCGTGAGGGGTTTTCTGGAGAAGAACCGAGACGCCCTGAGTCAGGAGATGGTTGACTGTATGGCGAACAGTTCCAATGACATGGTGTCGGATCTCTTCAGGGTGAAGAAAGGAGACACAGGAACCATATCAGAGTATGTGTGTCATCTTAAACTCCGGTGTCCATGGAATTACTGACATTATGTCATTATGGTAATCCTTGATTGCGAGATCGATATGCATAAATATATCTGGGTTTACATTCAAACAACAAGAACAAAGTGGGTAGAATTGACGAATCAATTATGCTAGGCCTGCCAATATGCCTGGGTCTTGGTCTCATATAACCTCAGACCTTACCCTTGGGGATTCGGGTAAGTAGATAGTCATATAGCTGGAATTTTGCTGAGTGCGGCGGTAAACAAGAAACAAGCAAACAAATTAAACTTGTACGGATGTCAGATAAATCCTTTGTCGAACATCGTATTGTATATATGTTATTAGGGCTATGGAATTGTATACAAGTTATTATGGCTATGTTACTGTATACAGATTATTATGGCAATGTTATTGTAAACACGTTATTAGGGCTATGTTATTGTGTACAAGTTATAAGGGCTATGTTATTGAATACATGTTATTAAAGCTATGTTATTGAATACATGTTATTAGGGCTATGTTATTTTATAAATGTTATTATGGCTATGTTATTGTATACATGTTATTAGGGATATGTTATTGTGTACATGTTTTTAGGGCTATGATATTGTATACAGGTTAACGTTATTATTGCTATGTTATTGTTTTTAAGCTCGCAGTACAACTTCCGGACAACAGGTCGGCCAAAGATGAGGAAACCGACACAGCACAGAGAAAGTTTCACTCGCAGTGTCGTCAGGGAGCTCAGAAGAACTCACACCCAAAGGTAATTATAATAATAAGGCTATTTGTATAGCGCAAAATCCACATCACCGAGGGACATGCTCACTGCGCAAATTCAGCATATGTACATATATAACAGAGAGGGGATAGTAGGATAATAAAAACATAGCGTTCCAAAAGGTACGTGTTGAATCCAGACGTAAACGCAGTGATACTAGGTGCACTTTGGGGCTGAAGGGAAGGGAGTTCCATAGAGAGGCACCAGCATGAGAGAAGGATCAAGCACCGAGGGACTTTAATCTGTATTTTGGTACAGACGGGAGAAGTTGGTCTTTGGATCAGAGATTTCTGGTAGATCTGTATTGGAGAAACATTTCTTGAAGATAGACAGGGCCAGTGTTATGAAGAGACCGGCAGACAAGAGAGAGGATTTTAAAATCAATCCCCTCGCGGATTCGCAGCCAGTGTAATGACGGGGGAGATATGTGACCGAATGTAGTGAAATGAATGCCACAACACAAACACCTACATGTATATAGGCCCCAGTCCTTCGTAAATACCACATCTATCGTTGACCTTGGGGAAGTATTACTAACAGTTTTCGTTCTATCATACGTTTGTATTAAGTTCAGATGTATGCCTTTTACCCAACATATAAGGCCAATCAGGATTCAATTGGCATAGCGCCTTGCATATATATCCTTAAATTATGGTTAGCTTGCACCTGACTATACAAGCAAACAAGTTGTAGTCTAATGAATGATGCAAGGACTTTATGTTTGTGAATATGACTTTCTGAGTTTGGTTTTCATTTTAAGATTCGGGAAACTAATGGTTGGTGACGAGCGTTACCGACACCAGGACACGCGCACTGTTATTGGATATGTGAAGGTATTACTCTAACTTTCCTGATAGTGGATACTGGTTATATAGAGAATACATAGTCTTAGTTGACAAACTTAGAATCATAATCAGAGCGAAGCCGGAATTCGAACCAGTGATCATGATCACAGGTTCCTGGCACGCCTAAGGGACGCTACTCCGCAAAGCGAATTGTGGCGCCTTAGACATCTGGCCCACCCTTGGATCCATAGGACTAACAGTGAGCATACAGTGAACGTGTCATGTTCATAGTGGTGGAACTTTATATGTATTTTAATATGACGCGCATATATTTACTGTACTGATGCTTCTGTCAAAGAATATTAACAATAAAGCTTTTCAGTTGTTCTTTTAAATATTAGAATGCTACATGATCAGATTTGTTTATGTGTGATATTCTAAATTACCGTCTCCATTTATTGTCCACTCTCAACAGAATTCCATGAAGGAGTTGATTGAGCTGATGAAAATATCCCAAACAACATTTGTCAGGTACGTTCAATATAAGACATACAGTGAAACTCCGTTAAGGCCCCGTTTACACAGTGCCGATTATGCCTCCCGTTTGAGCATTCTGTTATTCCGGGACAAGCCTCGGGTTACGGAAAGGGGCGAATGCCGTTTGAGATCAGACAGGGCTACGACACGAAAAGTGAAAAAGTCGGATTACTATCCTCAATGATCTGGAATGTCCAGTCATTGTCTGAACGCAGTCATATACGTCCGTAACAGAGTCCTACGGATCGGGAAAGGTGCAGAGAGGTCGGCCAAGCACTCCCGACAGTATGGTGCGTCCCCATATTTTGTCTAGTCGGATTACAATCGTGACTATGTCATGACAGATTCTGATGTATCGGATCAAAATCGTAACAATGTCCTGTGTTGTCTGGACGGTGTCCTGTGAATCGGGACGCTGTCGTGACGAACGGGCATGAATTGTTCATTGCCGTCTCTTGTCGATTGAGTCCAGATTGCGTCCAGATCTTGCCGAATGCGAATCGTCTTTGTCGGTTCACTGTCCGGTCACTGTCTGATTTCTGACGGATCGCATTCGGTAGAATCGAGACGCTGTCGGGACAGATTCGGTCGTTTTTTACCATGCGGAAGATACAAATCGGATCAGATTCGGATTGAGAACGGGACATTCGGGACGAATTCGGCTGGAAACGGCTGAATCGGGACGCTTCAGGAACAATATCTGATTGTTTGTGAATTTCCCGCCACGAATCGCAGGATCTTGAACTGTCTTTAGGCAATAATTTATCGGGAATGGTCCTATCAAGGACGGCAGTAAAAATCCTGAATGTGTGACTGAGCTCTAAGCCGGAAGGTAGCGTTCCCCTTGAAATCTAACGGATTAACCCATTTCAAGATAACGATGGATACAAAGTAATGATAAAATGCATGTACTTACAATAACGTACGGCAAAACGTAATGTGTGTGTGTTTTTGTGTGTGTTTTTGTGTGTGTGTTTCATTCAAGGTTTGCTCATTCCTAAAACAAGAAGGCTAAAACAAGAAGGCAATCGGTGTGTCATAAATATCTTTTGGGGGCAGTGTTATGCAACCTTTCTAATACTTATATGAAAAACAACATGTATAAATACACAGTTAAATAGGGTATAATAATCAACATGGTCTTAAACAGCGAATGTATGAACCCACACAAAAACGGATTGATAATGATATATATTTTTCTCTTTTCAATACGTCCTTTCAGATGCATCAAACCGAACACGCAACGTGTCCCGGGCGAATTTGAGGAGGCGTCGGTTCTGGAACAGTTAAAATACAATGGTATAGCAGAGGTGGCTCGCATCAGGAAGCAAGGCTGGCCCGTCAGAAGATCCTTTAAAGAACTCGCAGAAAGGTAAAGCATGTTAACAAGACACAAACACAATTATTCATTTTGAAGGCGGCCTGTAAATAATTGACCCTTGACCAGACAAACCAGTGATTAACATCATGAGCATCCATCTACGCAATTGAGATACAATGACATGCACTCGACCACGTCACCGAACCTGACCACCTGAAACATTTACAACCGCCGGAGGTCTTTAAGAACCTAATTCTTAACCGGATGCAACATTCATTATGAGCAGATAGAGAAAATGATACTGTTCTTCGTGTTAAGCTGCAATGTATTTGTTAAAAATCAGTCAGCAATTGATTCAACTATTATTAAGCGGTCTATATAAAATAGAATCTGGCACTATGAACATCGTCCCACAACCTCGAGGTCAAGCCAAGTTACGAACTAAACCATCCGATCTATTTAGTCTCATTTGACTAAAATCTTTGGTTCGAGATCTGGATACGGATATTTTGGCACGCCGTGCGTTGTTCTTGTATCCAAAGGTTCAATGCTTTATTGATTTGATTTCTAAGATGAAACGCGAATGTTAACCCAAGAATCGGTTCGTACAGACTTAAGTTGTGAATCCGTCAATTACTTCACAAGGTCAATGAGTAATCACAATGCAATGGGTAAAGTATGTGGCAGCAGCAACACGTCCGCACACAAAGGAACAGAACCTTTCACTCGAATGTCTTGTAAGAGGCACATGGTCCATTCGCAAACAGTGTGATCATGAGAAGCTGGCAGTAAGTTGGTGTACCAACGCACTTTTCAAGCCCTTGTCTCTCTCTTATATTGGTACTGTCAGCCTTCTAGAAACTGTCACATCACGAAACTTCTCAAAGGGGTAGCCTGTCCTGTTTATTTACAACCAATGGAGGTAACTCTAACTTACTACCTGCCGAGATTACCACTACAAAAATATCTAGAAACACGAGCACTCGACATTTAATGAGGCTCAGCCATCCGCTGGCAGGACCATTACCACTCCTAAACTTAGAATAATCCCTACTGTCACAGAACAATTTATAAAGTGGATTATTTTGTAAAATATGGTGTATCTCGATTGCGATACAAAAGACACCCATTACCGTATTTGTCTTTCAGATTTTCAACTAAATCTGGAAAAGCCGACAGCGCCATGAGCCCGAAGGCAACATCACAGGCCATATTGAAAGCCGCTCGAATACCCTCCTGTGACTATGCCTGTGGAAGGGACACGGTAAGACATCGAATACATTAAGGGGCTACATCAAGTCGATCTGTAAACGTGCTGGTTATACATCCTCGAGAATACATATTTAATCATATTTTAATTAATGAAATGATTGTGTCTAGGTGTTCATGAAGACCGATGTTTTGGACAAACTCAAAAAGAGCCTAAAACAGAGAGAAGAAGAAGAGGAACGAAAGTCTCAGGAGGGGTTTACAAAATTGGTAAGAATTAATGTTAAGTCTATTTAACCTCTGAATACTTTAGAGGAGAACCTGCAAATGATTTAGAGTGAGGGGCGGTCCAGGCGTTTAGGCGGTATGTACATAATCGAATCTTGGCCAGACCTACTAGTGGTTGAATTCACACACACTCGGGGACTTTAGCAAGGACGTACATTGTAACCATCCGATTTTCACTTCATTTCATGGTGAGGTGAGGTAAGGCGAGGCGAGGTGAGGTGAGGTGAGGTGAGGTGAGGTGAGGTGAGGTGAAATGGGCTTTAACGTTTCAGTCAAGATTGGCGCCCTTATTTAGCGACGTGAATGTGTGTGTGTGTGTGTGTGTGTGTGTGTGTGTGGTAATGTCGAGTGGCTGACAGAGTATCAACAAGTACTATCTTTTAACGCCTTTGGGTATGATGCTACCGGGGATCGAACCCACGACCTTCCGCTCTCCGGGCAGACACTCTTTCCACTAGACCACGGAGGCGGTCCTCATTTCCCTGTATGGAGTGCTGGGGACATAATCCACACAGGGTTAAAACGTCACAGAACTTGAAATTTTTTAAGTCTAATAAACGATTGTGTATGTGAATATTTATTGTCGATTCACACACTGCTTGGAGCTGTTCATGTTGGTAATGGCAATTGACGTTATTACTGTGATATAGCAGCTATAGATAAATAAGTGAGTGAGTATGGTTTTACGCCTTTTTAGCAATATTCCAGCAATATCAAGGCGGGGAAAACCAGAAATTGGCTTCACACATTGTACTTATGTCGGGAATCGAACCCGGGTCTTCGGCGTGACGAGCGAACACTTAAACCACTAGGCTACCCGACCGCCCCTGTTCATAAATGAAAATTATTGGTAATGATTAACTTGATAAAATATGTCTTTTACCAGATCTCCGATCATTTAAGTCCGTCTTTGTCTACCATTGGGGAGGCTGAAGATCGAAGTGACACCCCTCGGTCTGACAGTACACAGTCCACGTTTGTACTGGTTGGGTCTGAGGCTGGGTCTCCGCCTTCTACCCCCGCGCCCACAACGTGTCCCCAGGGTGGAACCAGCAGACCGACCACACCGAACCATAAAGGTGCTACAGCCCAAGGTGGTACTCAGAGACCCCCACAGTCTGCAGCTGCTTCAGGTAACACACAACAAGGCACCAAGAGGCCTCCAAAACCCGCAGCTTCTTCAAGTACCACCCAACATGGTACTGAGAGACCTTCAACGTCTTCAGCTCGAGACACGAAATCTGAAACTTCAGCCTCGGACGCCAAGCAATTTGGGGCATCTCGGGCTAATGCATCAGCTGGGAAAACAAATGACAAAGACGAAGTGGAGTGAGTTTGCTGTACTAGAACCTATGTTTACTTATTACATGTCTATGGAATACTAGCAGAGACAATGTCACGTTGTCGCCCTTACGAAAACGCAACAATGTCCCTCCTAGGATTCCTTGTTTTCTGGACAATAATCTGGTCATTGACATTGAAATTTCGTTTCGTGGAGGAAACTTAGGTTTTAACATCTGCAAACAAAATCGTGTCGGTTTTGGGAAAGCACCATGGCTCATGTTACAAAATAATCTCTTTTTATACATCTTTCATAGCGTGAACACCCTAAGATGTATTCTGCCACCGATTCACACCATGCCTCAAATGCGAGTGCAGGACTGTGATTATATGGATTTTTGTAAAGGCGCACGAATGTATTCTCACTCTGACAGACAGAATTGTAATTTTATAAATAAATGGAACCACCTGAATCACGAGCTGGCTTAAAGTAAGTCATTGTTAGTCATAACATTTGATATATTTTCTTTCTGTTTTTCAGTTTTTGGGACGTATTTCGGACTGTTGACACGGAAGTAGTTCGAAAGGATGCTTACGACGAGATGACTTTAAAGGTCATCAAATGCACAGTATACATTCTGCTGTTCCTGATCCTTCTTTGCGCATGCGTGGCACAGAGAGTTGGTCTGATGGTCCTGCTCTCCAACATTCCAGCAGCTTCCTCCACAGCAAGCACCACCAGGCAGGCAAGGAGTGGACTTTCACGTTTTAAAAATAAAAGCCTCTTGTTACATTTTCGCTATATATACGAGTATAATTCAGTTTGAAAAGAACCCTTGTTTTCCATACCAAAACGATTACCTTAAAATGGAAACAAACTACTTTTTACTCGTCACACTTCTGAGGCTATTTAGAGAGTGAGTACGTAGGATTTCACACTATCTTAGCAACTTTCTATCTTCATCAAAGGTGGTGGCGGAGAGACAAAAAGGCATCACACATTGTGACCATGTTAGGGTGTTGGGCGTGTCGAGCTAACGCTTCAACCACTGCGTTATTCATCCACTTCAATGGTTAATTAAACGAGTTGCCCGCCCTTGCACACTGAAAAACACGACGGAAAATTACAGCTTGTGTAGACTAAACTTAACAAATATTTTGCATATATATTGTTGTCATGAAACCTTGCCAATAAGTAAGCTTTGAAGATGATTGCGCATAGGCACGTCCTAGCAAACCATTAAATTTAACCATATACCTTCATTTTATGAACGTATTTTTATTCACGTACTAGATGTAAATATAGTTTACCTTATTGAAGTTAAGTTCGTTCGTAAGTTACTTAACCTATTCAACTACAATCACATTCATACCGCTTAACCAAGATCTGAGGACATCCTATTACAGGTCACGTCAGAACGAACTTTCACGGACTTTGACCGACAAATGAAATGACTGACAAGAAATCGACATTAGCCAATCAGTAAGCAGCTTTCTCGAGCTTTACGACACCAGTTTCAAACTGGTGACTACGCTTCGAAACATATTTTGACGTATTCTCGATTAACATTTTTAAAACTGATCAAAGGAACATTCTGGAATGGCTTATAGGTGGCCTAGAGTGTATGGATATAATCATAAAACCCATGACTATCGTTCGGAATGGCCTCTGTGAATATTTCGAGGTTTCATGATTAGAAAACACATTCCGACTGTCACTTTCATGATCTGGTAAGCGACGCTCTGTTTGGTTCGATGAAAGGTCGTTCTGACGTGACCCGTAATGGGATGTCCTCAGATCTTTGTTTAGCGATAGCGAGAACTGAGATCTGATTTTAATGAGCTTGATTCTACAATATACTACAAGGACATTGTCAACATGTTGACGTCTTAATGTCACCCACAGGTCCACATACAGTAAACTACGATTATAACCAACTCTAAGGAACCCCTAATTTAATTCTTCACAACCGAACTTCGTTGTATGCATATATACAGCATATAAACAGCAAATGGACGGGACCGAAAAATAGTTCCATATAAGCGTGTTCGTTATAAATGTGGTTTACTGTACTTGTATTGATTAGTTTCCTAAAGTAGAAGTATGTTGTCATTTGTGTTTTCAGGGTGGATATAGTATGAAGTCGACCTACATTCAGACAGCCCACTACTTCCTCCTGACCATAGCAATGTGTATTCCTTACATGCTAACCTCCTTTGTGTCGTTCCTCAAATGGCTTTTTGGATCCTCCCCAACTCCTGGCCTCCTAACGTGGATCACGGTAGGAACATGTCCTTTACAAATTAAACAAACACGTTGATTGTTTCAGTTTAGTACTAGATTATATAAAGTTATTTCAAATAGTTCTTAACATTATCACACTTATATGTCAGTCGATAGCCATGCCAGAGAAAAGATTTATATTTCAGGATTTCAACCAGGATACATTTTTATCTTCATATTTACCCTTTGCAAATATTGAAGTATTGATGCGATATTTAGTGTTTATTGATAATTTAGACCTCACTGTTTCAGATTCTGCTTTTTGAGACCATTCACTCCCTAGGACTGTGTGCCCTTGTCTTCTGGATCCTACCCAAGTATGACGTTATATCTGGCGCACTTCTCCTCAGCGCAACCAACATTCTGCCGTCCCTTCTACTGATTACCTGCTCCGGCAACGTGTACGGGGATTCCAAAGTAAAGGTTGTCTTGAAGAAGAGCTTGGATGTCTTTGCGTTGATCTGTCAAGCTTCAGTGGTCCTGCTACTCTTCCCCTTCATAGATCCAGCACAGCGCCTGGCAAATCCAGAAGACAAAGCTGTTTTGGTGATCGGGGTTTTGTTCACCTCCATCAAATGCTGGGAGACATTTGTAGATGGTCATATCGGCCATCTGAATTCCCAAGGTTTGCCAGACAGCGGCAACTACAACAACCGCTTCATGAACAAAATACTGAAGGTCCGCTTTGAACTGCAAGAAGGAAGGTGCAGCGTGTCGATGGTGGCAGGAGTGTGGAAGGTCATCATCACTGTTGCGGCAGTTTACTTGGTGATGTATTTGAAGGGGGTTGATCTCAAGAACACTGACAAGGTATTTTTTGTGTTCACGGAATTACACGAAGATACCACCATGCTGTCTTCCTTGTTAGCAGTGTCTATCGGTGGTTTTGTAGCGTACTATGCAGCGTACATAGCCTGTAAGTTGCAGATGCAGATAACGTCCTTCGCTGTACCAATCGTCGTGTCCATCCTCGTTACACTGGGGATTTTAGCTGGTGACTGTCATCACAATGATACTGGTTTCATCCAACACATATCCATATACAGAGAAAAGTGTGACGTCTCACAAAATGTCTACTATGTAGGAATATTATGGTTTATGTCACTGCTGTGGATCTCTCGACATATTTGGCTTCCAATGCAAGGTCGTCTGGAGGATTTTGAAAGGTAACGCTATTGTTTGTTGTTTTTGTAAAGAAAAAGTACGGTTCGGGCAGAGTATGCCGTTAGAGACGACTAACTGGTCGGAATGTCAGGCGCGTTGACCTGACTAATTGGTGTTATCCTGTTCCGATGAAGTAGATCGCTGCTCATGCTATCAGTCACTTGATTGTCAGGCCCAGACAGGCCGCCATAATGTTACCGACTGCGGTGGCGTTAGACATCATGCTCTGATTCAGCATGAGTTAACTCCTTGATTGATCTAACACTCCCGGAGTGCCCATACACTCCTGTATATCTCTCCGTATACATCAATAACAGCGAGTATAAATAGTTTCTATATTTCTTTCCAGACTGTTCATCAACCCATTTTATTGTGGGATACTGACGTGTGAAAACCTTGTCCTGAACCGTCGTCGTCACAACGAAACTGTCACCTATTCCTGCGATGGACCTACCGATCAGCAAGAGCACTTCTTCATAGTCAAGCCTAGAGGTGTCAAGCAATCTAATTCTTCAACCCAACAAGATGCAACCAGTGCAGAGATTCCCTTCATATATGCATGCGCAACTATGTGGCACGAGACCAAGATAGAAATGACCCAGCTACTGAAATCTTTGTTCAGGTAGTTGCATATATTAAGAGTGCGTGAGTTGGGGTTAAGCCACTTTGACCATTATTACAGTCACATCGTTGCATGTTAGAAAGGGAGATAACCCCATACCATACCCTAACACGAGCATGTGTAGGGTGCTGACAGAATTAGGATCATAATCGGTGCGAATCAGGAATTCGAACTCACGATCATCGAATTCTCGAAATTGCGAATTTTGAAGAATAACATTTTCCTTCTAATTTATATTTGTACTGAAGGTATAGTTGCATATACGTGAGTATATTTAGAACCTGATTTCAGTCTAGGGGGGATGGTGGTCGCTGATACTATTCCACGTTTATTGTATCCCCAGGCTGGACAAAGAACAGGCGTTGAGAGAGCAATGTGCAGTTCTTCGTAATACAGTAGACGTGAGAGATAGGTTCAACTATCAGGGTAAGCGTCATCAGTCCTGACATCCCTCCACCCAGAAGATAAAAAAGTTGACAATGTCATAAGAAACGAAACGACAAAGAATGAAATCCGACGCCATCATTGCGATGTCATATATATGCCGCGCGATCAATTCCAAATTCAATCTAGCGTAATAAAATCTCTAGGTAACGTAGCTCTTAATTGAAAACACAGTATATTTAGTTTTGATTTAAATTATGTCCATTCAATCCATTAGACTCTGAAACGCGAACTCTTTCTCTAATGCACTTTGTGTGACAGAACAAGAGACTACAAACATGCAAATCTGTCGGCCCAATCGTCATTGTATGAAGACCAACCCGTGGGGATTCCGGGTAATATTATAAGGGTAACGCTATTTTACAGGGCATTATCATTTGTAGAAGCCCGAGGTCTTCCATTAACTGCCCGACGAAGGAGAGCTGTTGAAAAGACCGAGGGCTACTGCAAATGATAATGCCCTTAAAAATAGCGTTACCATGAGTATAGATAAAATGTACAAAATTTGTTATCAAATAAAAAGGAACACCAATATCAGTATAGAAACATTTTCTGCAATCAACACGAATGTCACTGACCCACTTTTACAATTATGGAAACGTCATAGAACCAGATGATGTCACTATTGAACGTGACGTCACCGATCCCTATCCCTATGATGTCACCTAACAACGAACGTGATAATGGCCCATCGTCAAGCAATATGAGGGTATATTTAAAGTTACAGTGGGCCGTTTATTTCTGATAACATCAGGGCGGTTTAGTGATAATTCTATCCATTTTAACTATAATATAGATCCCCGTCAATCTATAATTATCACAGGAGGCGACTAAATGGATCGGGTGGCCAAGCACGGTGACCTGGTTGATATCATGTCATCGTATACCAATTGCATGGCTCGATGCTCATGATGTCAACCATTGCTTTGTCTGGCCTAGGCTCGATTATTTACAGACCGCTGTTATACAGACCGCCGTCATAGAGCTGGAATATTGCTGAGTGCGGCGTTAAACAACAACAACAACAACAACAAAAGAATAAGGGAATCATACCCTATCGATATGGATTATTGTCACAACCATAAGTAGCTTAGTGGCGTGGTGAATTTGAAGTATTGGTGAAGTTCCACTGCGTGAATCAATCTCCCGCCCATATACTCGTTAGTGTTACGACTTAAATTACTGTCTCTTTCGAGACATCATTTGAGAAACGATATATATCTTGTTTTTACATTTTTGTTCCAGCTCACATATTTTTTGATGATTCTCTGGAAATTAACGACGATGACAAATGGCAGGCTAACGTGTTTGTAAGAACGTTGATCAAGGTCATGAGTCAGGCGTGCAGGTATGACATTTAATCATATGTAGAAGTAAGACGAGAATGATGTTGCTTCTGTCTTAGGTTTGACCCAAACAATGTTGACGTGTGTCAGTCACTGGATTGTCTGGTCCAAACTCGATTATTAACAGGCCGACGTCATAAGCTGGAATATTGCGGCGGCGTTAAACGACAGTGAGTGAGTGAATTTGGTTTTACGCCGCTTTTAGCAATATTCCAGCAATATCACAGCGGGGGACACCGGAAATAGACTTCACACATTGTACCCATGTCGGGAATCGAACCCAGGTCTTCAGCGTAACGAGCGAACGTTGTAACCACAAGGCCGCCCGACCGCCCCCGTTAAACAACAAGCACAATAATACGTGGAAGTGGTGTGTGAGTGTGATAAATGCGTACCTTTACGAAGTTGGAGGTTTGTTACATCTGTGGCATATTAGTTTGATTTAATAGCATAATCATTTTTTATTTCATTTTTTTAAATTTGAGAACACATGTTTGTCATAATTCCTTTTTACTTGAACATTGCGACCAAGTTTTCCATTATGTCCCAGCTTTAGTGTTCACCCAGGAATTAATGGATACCCGGTAGGATGTTTAACAATGTGACTGTCAACCTTCCAGAGCCTCAAATGCAGCTTGGGTTTGTATATTGCACAGGGAGCTGAGAATGAAATTCGAGTGCACACCGATCAATTAAATGGAGTGCTAATGGTTTTGCATTTTAAGCATACACGAGTATTGACTTTAGTGCCAAATGAAAAGGAGTGCTATTATTATTATTATTATTATTATTATTATTATTATTATTATTATTATTATCATGCCATTACTATTGAATTATGACATTGTTGTCCCCTAGCGCTGTTCACCAGAGGTACATGCATCTGCATGCTCCCTACAAAGTCATCACTCCGTACGGGGCCCAGCTGATCTGGGAGATGCCTGGCGGGAATCTGTTGTATGTCCACATCAAGGATAAAAACAAGATCCGGCACCGGAAGCGATGGTCACAGGTAATTACTAGCCATTGGTTATTGTTAACGGTGAAGGCCGCGGCCTAGCTGTGAACAGCGCCAAAACTGGTGCAGAGAGTTGCGTCCCTTAGACTTGTCAGGATCCTACGATCCTAGATTCGCCCGATTATGACCCTTGATTTCAGAGCACCCTAGTCATGCTCGTGGGACACTCGACAACTATACATGTCGCTGATGCCACTTATCTAAAGGGATATATACATTGACGCTGAACGATCAAGTGTCATAATCGAGTGTACCTAAGCGTGCACATTAGCAAAGGGTCATGAAAACTGTGAGAGATCTCTTCTCAGCGCCCGAGATTACTTGACAAAACTTGCCAAAAAGAAAACAGGGTATTTTCCATGTTTAACAATTATTTGAACAAAAATGATCAGCTACATTCTAAGGGCTACATTTTTACATGTACGAGAAGACGTTTTGTACGATGATTGTATCTATTTGTATGTCTTACCATAAGCAAAATGTTGCTGATTTACGGAATCAACATATAAAAACTGGAGTCAGACATCTGGCACATGGGTAACCTTAAGATGTTGATCACACGGAGATGCTGATCATTGTTGTAGGTGATGTACATGTACTACTTGCTGGGGTATCAAATACTGAAAGATTCTGCTCAAGACATCGTTAAACAAATCAACCCTGAAACACCAGTGGACAAGAAGCACGTCAGCGAAATGATTGACTTAGACACGAAAAGAAAGGTAAATACTATTAACTCATAAATTCAGGATTCAGTTATGCTTAAGAAATATGCCAGAGCCTTGTGTAATATTTGACAGCGCAGTCTTGATATATATGTTTTTCATTTCGCACACAGTTCCTCAGGTTTATATCCTTGTATGTATATGTAGTGGATTTGCTAACGGAATTCTAAACGACAGCGCCACAAAGTACTCAGAAAGTAAATTAGTGGTGAAACCTATATGAATGGATCATTGAATGCCGGTGCGTAGGTAGGTAAGTCTACAGGTAGTACTCGCCATCAACACCATTGTCATAAAAGAAATAAAAGCCGTGTGAATACTCACTGTAAAGGTCGTAGTATTGAATAGCAATCGGGATCATGTTGACATATTCAGTAAATTCCTCTGAATCTCTTCCGTAGTGTTAACCAGGCCTTTCGTGGTGGAACCTTGATTTTAAGCATAACTAACACGTGTGTGCTAGATTTGATCAATATTGTTATCATTTTCAGAGCAAAAACACGTATGTCCTGGCTCTAGATGGCGATACTGACTTCAGCCCTGGGTCGGTCAGAGTTCTGCTAGACAAGATGTCGAACGAGAAAGTTGGAGCAGTTTGTGGCAGAATCCATCCTATCGGTTCAGGTGTGCCAACTAATAAAGTATAACGTGTTTCAGATTATAAATCTAAAGATGTATCACGTCGCTATTTTATCTCAAAGATCATACATGACTCGAGATCATTCACAGAATCAGTACATAGTAATCTTATCTTTTCTCTGCAGGGCCTCTTGTTTGGTACCAGAAATTTGAATATGCTATTGGTCACTGGCTACAGAAATCGACTGAGCATGTCCTAGGCTGCGTCCTCTGTAGTCCTGGTTGCTTCTCCCTCTTCAGAGCCTCGGCTTTAATGGATGACAACATCATGAGGACATACACAACACTACCAACCAAACCTGGACACTTCCTGCAATATGATCAAGGTATCCATAGGTTAAACATAGACCCATTTCACAAAGAACGTATTCATGATCATCTTGAAAGCATCATTTTTCAGAATATGTAATGTTGGTTTCCTTGTCCCAGGTGAAGACCGATGGTTGTGCACGCTGCTGCTTCAGCAAGGGTACCGAGTGGACTATGCCGCTGCCGCTGATGCCTACACGTACGCCCCAGAAGGATTCAATGAGTTCTTCAACCAGAGAAGACGCTGGACTCCGTCCACCCTGGCCAATATCATGGACCTATTGTCATCATCTGAAGTAACTGTCGCTCACAACTCCAACATCAGCTACCTGTACATAGTATACCAGATGGCGATGATGGCAGGGACCGTCTTGGGACCAGGCACTGTCATCATGATGATTGCCGGGGCCATTGAAGCAGTTTTCGCGCCTGGATTGATATATGCTTATTTGATGTCCTTGCTCATTCCAACCATCTTCACAATCGCTTGCTTTACCACCTCTACCAAGATTCAGCTTACTCTTGCAGCAGTATTTAGTGCAATCTATGCCTTCATTATGATGGCTGTAATTGCTGGCACTGTCGTGATTGCCTTCCAGAAAAGCTTTCTCCACCCAAGTGTCCTCTTTACCACCATTCTCTCTGTCTTGTACATCTTGTCTGGGCTGCTCCATTGGAAAGAAATAAGTTGTTTACCTCATGGTTTTCTGTACTTCCTGTGTATCCCCTCCGGGTATCTTTTACTGTTTATATATTCACTTTGCAACCTGAACATTGTATCCTGGGGCACTCGTGAACTACCCAGGAGGAAAACAAAGCAAGAATTGGCGGCTGAAAAAGAAACCGAAGAGAAGAAAAAGAAAGAAAAGAAGAAAGATGGTTTGTTTGCACATCTTTTCTTTAGTTCAACCTATATCCAAGAACTCAAACAACTATTCGAGGGGCTAAAACCTAACCTACTATCATCTAACACAGACAAGCAGGACGATGTTGTGACACTTCTGAGACAAATGAATGATAATATCGCTAAACTGTTAGATCAGTCAACAGGAAAACAACCTCAAAGTCAATCGCCGCATGCGAGTATTGCCAGCAGCTTAAAGGAACCTGATACAGAAATACCCACCTCTACCGAAGAGCCGGTACCAACAGAAGACGAACCTGAGACAGACTATTACAGGGGTAATCACTGGGCTCATGATCCGGCACTTGGAAATGGACCAGTTCGGACACTTATCGGCAAAGAAAAGGACTTCTGGAATGTCTTAATTGAGAAGTATTTAAAACCAATAGAAAAGGATCCTCAAAAAGAAACCCAGAACAAGGCTGACTTAATCGAGCTGAGAAATGACGTGTGTTTTCTGATGGTGATGATGAATGCTCTCTGGATGGCTATCAACTTTATGTTCCAGCTTCGTGAGGCTGCCACTTTTACAATTGAGTACAACCTGAATGGGGAAGTCGTTCCATTAAAGATTGATATCCTTGGACTTCTCTTCATCATCTTCTTCACTGTTCTCATCTTGATCCAGTTCTGCGGGATGTTGTTCCATCGCTGGGAAACGTTCCTACATATCATATCAATGGCGTCCCTTAAGGGTACAGTTGATGAAGCTGTCAAATTTGATGAACAAACCCATCAACTAATGGAGAAATTGGAAGAAACAACAGAACTCACTACTGAGTACGACGAGGATCAGGAACACATCTACATCAGACTGAGAGATGTAGTTACAGGTGGTATAACTGCCAGGACGTTGGCCACCACAAGAAGACGCAATTTGTCAATGACTGCAACACGTCTCAACGGCAATCTTGATCTCACATCGACGGTTCTGGAAGATTTAGGAACATCCCAACATACACGCCCCCGAAAATATACGGCAGGACAGAATGCGTACAGAAGGAATACTGGCAAAAATATGTTGCGACATCGGTACTCTTGTAAGATGTACGATTATGTAGTAGCAGAGGCAAAAAGAGGTAATCGTATTGCTGGGGTTTATGTTCCTGAGGGGGATAATGATGACGATGTTCCAAACGTTGATACATCCTTGCCAGGTACGATGGGAAGAGCGTTCGCTAAAAAGATGATGTATTTGAAACGAAAGTCAATACATAGAGCGGAAACAAGTCTGCAAATGTCTGAATTATGATAAGCTATGTTCGACGACCAGGACCTGCATGAACAACGTAGTAGAAGAAAGGGGACATTCGGCAAGTTGTACTGATGGTGTTATGAGGGAATGTGTGCCAATGGATGTTCGAATAACTGAACCATATAACTAGTTTTACCTTATATGTATTAGTTTAAGGCTGAGGCAGCCATTGAGTGTAAAATACAACTTTTCAAAATAGACTCCTATAAGTTATCAACCATGTTTGTTAAAATATAAGGGGTTCTAAAAAGGCTCCTTTGTACATTTGCAAATGGCTGTCTGATACCAAATGGTATTCAACGTTGCCCTTCAGTACTGAATGTCTGAACATGTTGCGTCCTGTTAATGATTATGTTTTAGCCATAAAAATACATGATTAGAATTTTCTTACAATAATAACTTGTTTCACTACCCTAGCTATTAACCTCAGCATAAATACACCTACAAAGGTAAAGACAGATCGTCTTTGGTATTTAATATAACCATGGAGAGTGATGTAGTTGTATTGAGTAGGATACCATTTCGTATATTGTAGGTTTACATGACAACACAGTGAATTTCACTGGCATCAGATATCTCAAGAGTAAAAATGCTAAAAATGTTTTCAAACATTTTCCTGCCTATTTCATATTTTGTCAGAATTTTGTTTGAATGGTTTTTAATTTATGTTGTACTTATTTCTCATTACAAGCGGCAAAGTGTTCAAGAGATATTTATGTGTACTTCTATTTACGTATTTATTATGAAGTATCTACATAGCAGATGCAGTATTTGAGAAATGTGAAGAAAGTGCAGGCGTGAAGCTTATGATGTGACAGGAAAACCACACGTAATTTCTTCAAATTGTATTTTCCTTCTAATTTGTTTCTTGAACATTGTGTGTATAGCGTATGATCTCTTAAAATACGCTTATTTTAATTATGTATTGTAATTTGTAATTTTAGTTTCATTAGCTGCCCTTAGTTTTCTCTACTTTATTCCTTAACCAAGTAATTCATAAACACGTGCTTATGGTGTAGTCGGAATAGTACAATGGGTTCTTCTTCTAGTAGAGATTTCCTATGACTATGGACATTTGTCACTAATATATCCATGTACATGTTGCAATTGAGTACATGCAAACATACATGCTTGACGAGAAACTCCTAATGAGTATATACCCTTTTGTGGACTGATTCTGTGTTCTAATGGTAATTAATGAACATTAAAGTGTCAAGATGTTCGTAATGGAACACATGATGGTAAACGTTGTTTCATATTTTATATAATTCTATTGAATTACAAAAAAATTAAAAAAGCAGTTTAACGGCGTACAACCATGTGCACGTTCCTTAAAAACGAGAATATGTTTCTTCTGAAAATGGATTCTATTTATTGTACGTTTATTGGTTTCTTCAACATTCTATAGTTACAGTTCTATGTTTGTATGCCATCGTTGTTTGTAAAATGTTATTTCTTTGAACAAATGTAGTTTTACCCCAGTTAATGTTGACATTAATATATGAATTTGTACCTGTCAAAATTGCATATTGTTGGGGGTTAATACAGATTGTCTATAACACAGTTGAGTATATACTGGGTTGGTAGATGCATTGGTCTATGTTAATAGCTAGCTTGCTTCTTGGATTGGTAATTCGTCAACAGCAAGGTGTGATCCCTTACCGAAACAGATGCCCCATGTGCCTGTGTTGTCGCCAAGAGGCTAGTATACACAGCACGTACCACAGGAATCTGTTTTTGGCACCTGCATCGCACTTTTCACACAAGTTCTTGTCTCAAGGTTATTTTGCTTCTCATATATAATTGGAGAAGGAACATGTCTTGAGGCGTTCATTGTTTTGTTAACAAATAGATAAAATGCGAGTGATTCCGTGGCATTTGATAGGCTAACCAAGCAAAGAATTTTTTTATGTTTCCATAAACCGAAAAAGAGTTAGGTCACGCCTACTAACTGACTACTGCTTTCTGATTTGCTGATACTAGAATGGGCGGGGCTTGTGCTGCATTTTTCTCTGAACAATGTCACTGATTATGTATTTTTGTTTACGGGTTTTTTGTGTGTTAATGATCAAATACACAAGCTGTAAAAGCTACTGTTGTTGGCGTATTTTTTAAGATGATTTACTAGCTTTTGAATCAATATATGCGCACCCGTATACAAAGAGGATTTTTGTCTGAAGGAGCAGTCATCACGGATATGGTCTTGCAGTGAGTCACAGGGCACCACTCGTCCCAACGATCGCCGTTGTGTGATGACAACTCTTCCAGTGCCCTTGTCGCTCGCACATATTAGTAACCATCACGATACACGTGTCATATCAGTTGCTGAAATAGACAGCAAAACGTTTCTGTTCATACCTTTGGGATGAAAAATTATTGTATTGTCGTGACCGCCATTTTATGTGACGACGTGACTTTGTTAAAAAGAATTCCACGCTATTTACACACTGTGAAATGAAATCTAAAAAAATAAGTTGATCAAATTGATTCAATTCTTGCCAAAAAATTCACAAAATATTTCTGGTTTGATACTATACTCTTCTTTACTTCGTATATACAGTGAAACCCGGTTAATCCTGACATTCTCGTTCCTAGTTTGTCCAACTTAACAAATATCGTTAATTATTCATTGGAATAACGGAGGTTTACTTTATGACAGGGTGTCCCGACTAACGGGGATCTCCTGCACCGCTGTGTGTCATACTAACAGGGGTTTACTGAATGACAAAGTGTCTGGCTGGGGGTTTGCATGACAGGGTGTCCCAACTAACGGGGCTCTCCTGCACCGCAGTGTGTTCCTTCTAACAGGGGTTTACTGAATGACAAGTGTCTGGCTCGGGGTTTGCATGACAGGGTGTCCCAACTAACGGGGATTACGGTATGACAGGGTGTCCCAAATAAAGGCCGGAGGTTTACTGTTTGACAGAATATCCTAACTAACGGGGTTTACTGTGTGACAGGGTGTCCAAACTAACGGGATTTACGGTATGACAAGGTGTCCCAGCTAATGGGGTTTGCTGTATGACAAGTTGTCTCAACTAACGGGGTTGACTGTATGACATGGTGTCCCAACTAATGGGGTTTACTGTATGACAGGGTGTTTATCCAACGGGGATCTTCTGCATGACAGGGACCTCTTACTAACAGGGGTTAACTGAATGACAAAGTGTCTGAACGGGGATTAACTTGTTTGACAGAGTGTCCAAACTAACGGGGTTTGCTATAAGACAGGGTGTTCCAACCAACGGGGTTTGCTGTACGACAGTGTGTCCCAACTAATGGGGTTTGCTATAAGACAGGGTGTTCCAACTAACGGGGTTTGCTATAAGACATGGTGTCCCAACTAACGGGGTTTGCTATAAGACAGGGTGTCCCGACTAACGGGGTTTGCTATAAGACAGGGTGTTCCAACTAACGGGGTTTGCTATAAGACAGGTTGTTCCAACAAACGGGGTTTGCTTTACGACAGTGTGTCCTAACTAACGGGGTTTACTGTAAGACAGGGTGTTCCAACTAACGGGGTTTACTGTGTGACATGGTGTTCCGACTAACGGGGTTTGCTGTACGACAGTGTGTCCCAACTTACGGGGTTTACTGTATGACAGGGTGTTTCATCCAACGGGGATCTTCTGCATGACAGGGACCTCTTACTAACAGGGGTTAACTGAATGACAAAGTGTCTGAACGGGGATTAACTTGTTTGACAGAGTGTCCAAACTAACGGGGTTTGCTATAAGACAGGGTGTTCCAACCAACGGGGTTTGCTGTACGACAGTGTGTCCCAACTAATGGGGTTTGCTATAAGACAGGGTGTTCCAACTAACGGGGTTTGCTATAAGACATGGTGTCCCAACTAACGGGGTTTGCTATAAGACAGGGTGTCCCGACTAACGGGGTTTGCTATAAGACAGGGTGTTCCAACTAACGGGGTTTGCTATAAGACAGGTTGTTCCAACAAACGGGGTTTGCTTTACGACAGTGTGTCCTAACTAACGGGGTTTACTGTAAGACAGGGTGTTCCAACTAACGGGGTTTACTGTGTGACATGGTGTTCCGACTAACGGGGTTTGCTGTACGACAGTGTGTCCCAACTTACGGGGTTTACTGTATGACATGGTGTCCCAACTAACGGGGTTTGCTATAAGACAGTGTGTTCCAACTAACGGGGTTTGCTGTACGACAGAGTATTCCAACTTACGGGGTTTGCTGAATGTCAAATGAGATATTCTTTAACGAATAATAATCTTCTTTCCAGATACACCTTTCACATTTCATGTACAGAGTACATGCTTCCACAGCCAATGAGTTTTAGCAGGACCTTCTGTCAAATAGATAGGCGAATTCATCGGACCCTCACAACATAAGGCAGTAGAATACTTTCATGTGAAAAGTTGGCTCCACACCATTCGATCGGTCCTGGCGTTACAATACGGTGCATCGCCTTTGTTTCCTCTGTACAAGCAGCTTATAGCTCTCTGCTTCTTCTATCTGAAAAGAAAACGGTAGGATAAATCCCACGGAACAGTTTCATGTACATGTATGTCACGTTTCAATGTTTCATTCCAACATTCGCGAAAAGAGCGATGGGGAAGTCTTGGCCCAGCTTCACAAAGCGACCGTAGCAGTGACACCGTCGTAACTGCCTTACTTATACATTACCGTAGTCGCGGAGCTACGGTCGCTTTGGAAAATAGGCCCCTGGCGGGTGAAGCGTTGGCTTTACGCCGAATGACTGGGTTTGATTCCGCACATGGGTATAATGGATGATCTTAATGCCATCTCACAAGTAACTGTTACTTAATGTTGTCGCTTTGTCTTTGTAAAAGGAATGAACTGTACATGTTCAAAAAGTAGTCTATATCAATGGCGCGTTTTTTAGCAGGTATTTAAGTCATTGTTAGCAATGTTCCATCAATATTACGACGTGAGGGATGTGAATTAGGCTTTACACATTTGGTAAATATATAGAACCCGGGCCTACGGCGTGACGACCGAACATGTTAACCACTATAGGTTACACCCGCGAACATCCGGGTTACAATAGGTGTTCAGCCACGTACACATGCATTCACGTCGCTATGCAAGTTTGTTTTTAAATCGTAAACGAGACGCTAACTCCAATTCACCTCTGATGAAGCATTTGTATTCCATTGTTACATACCGCTGCATTGATGCACTCCTCAACTCCCGTGTTGTTGATGCTGCTGGTCTCGTAATATCTACATCCTAGCACCTTGACCATAGCCGCCCCTTCATCATACGATACCGTGTCCTCACAAGTCTCTCTCAGATCTGCAAATATTCTCATTGCCACTGATCTGATTCCACACCAAGACGATCTTAATATGTGTTACAATACTAGAGTCCAAGGCAACACAGGGGCGTATTTATATGTGTGTATTTTAGATACAACCAAATCGGTGATTGATCACTATTCATGTCTACAAGGGGGGCACGGGTGGCCCAGTTGTCTAAGGCGCCGCGATTCGCTGTGCAGAGTTGCGTCCCTTGGGCGAGCCAGAAACCGATAATTTTGGGTTCGAATCCCGGTTCGCCCCGATTACGTTTCTAGGTTTGTCAGCACCATACACGTGCTCGTTGGTTTCACTTCGGGCTTTCCTCCCCCATTAAGCTGACACGCGGTGATATAACTGGAATACTGTTAAAAGCGGCGTTAAACACAACTCACTCACTCATGTCTACAACGTACTGTTGTATATTGACCCCTTCAAAAACTAGGCTTCCACCATGGTACATTACTACACTGATCCAGATAGGTTAGAACGAACCAGCTGGTCCATGTCGACACCTCTGGTCCAATTCCCACAAAGGATACAACGTAAAGCTCATGTGTGGTAGCCACAGACAATGCAACTCACGCAATATTCATCCTAGAGAAACAAAAGGTTTTTATAATTTCTCCATTGCTGATTGTTTTATGCCGTCTTTAAAAATGATTTGTTCCAGAAAACAGATGAAAAAATCTCTTTGCCACGAGTTATACAAAATAAATATTAACTAATATAATTCGGCTTCACCTTTAAGAGAAAAAAATGGAAGTCTTGAAGAGTAATTAACATATTCTGCCTCTCCTCCCCCTCGACCCTCCCCCCTCCCCGTCCCCGCTCCCAGTATAATAGAACTAATTTCGGTCCCTACAAATATTTACCTTGGGGAAATACATCATATCACATCACACACAGACTTGGTATCACCTATTACCTAGGGGAAGTACATCATATCACATCACACACAGACTTGGTATCTCCTCTAACCAAGGGGAAATACATCATATCACATCACACACAGACTTGGTATCTCCTCTAACCAAGGGGAAATACATCATATCACATCACACACAGACTTGGTATCTCATCTAACCAAGGGGAAATACATCATATCGCATCACACACAGACTTGGTATCACCTGTTACCTTGGGGAAATACATCATATCACATCACACACAGACTTGGTATCACCTCTTACCTAGGGGAAATACATCATATAACATCACACACAGACTTGGTATCTCCTGTTACCTGGGGGAAATACATCATATCACATCACACACAGACTTGGTATCACCTCTTACCTAGGGGAAATACATCATATCACATCACACACAGACTTGGTATCTCCTGTTACCTGGGGGAAGTACATCATATCACACCCGGACAGACTTGGTATCTCCTCTAACCAAGGGGAATACATCATATCACATCACACACAGACTTGGTATCACCTGTTACCTAGGGGAAATACATCATATCACATCACACACAGACTTGGTACCACCTGTTACCTGGGGGAAATAAATCATATCACATCACACACAGACTTGGTATCTCCTCTAACCAAGGGGAAATACATCATATCACATCACACACAGACTTGGTATCTCATCTAACCAAGGGGAAATACATCATATCACATCACACACAGACTTGGTATCACCTGTTACCTGGGGGAAATACATCATATCACATCACACACAGACTTGGTATCACCTCTTACCTAGGGGAAGTACATCATATCACACCCGGACAGACTTGGTATCTCCTCTAACCAAGGGGAATACATCATATCACATCACACACAGACTTGGTATCACCTGTTACCTAGGGGAAATACATCATATCACATCACACACAGACTTGGTACCACCTGTTACCTGGGGGAAATAAATCATATCACATCACACACAGACTTGGTATCTCCTCTAACCAAGGGGAAATACATCATATCACATCACACACAGACTTGGTATCTCCTCTAACCAAGGGGAAATACATCATATCACATCACACACAGACTTGGTATCTCCTCTAACCAAGGGGAAGTACATCTTATCACATCACACACAGACCTGGTATCACCTCTTACCTGGGGGAAATACATCATATCACATCACACACAGACCTGGTATCACCTCTTACCTAGAGGAAGTACATCATATCACACCACACAGACCTGGTATCACCTCTTACCTAGGAGAAATACATCATATCACATCACACACAGAGTTAGCATCATCTCTTACCTAGGGGAAATACATCATATCACACCACACAGACCTGGTATCACCTCTTACCTAGGAGAAATACATCATATAACATCACACACAGACATCTTATCACTTGTTACCTAGGAGAAATACATCATATCACACCACACAGACCTGGTATCACCTCTTACCTGGGGGAAGTACATCATATAACATCACACACAGACATCTTATCACTTGTTACCTAGGGGAAATACATCATATCACACCACACAGACCTGTTATCACCTCTTACCTAGGAGAAGTACATCATATCACATCACACACAAACCTGGTATCACCTCTTACCTAGGGGAAGTACATCATATCACACCACACAGACCTGGTATCACCTCTTACCTAGGGGAAATACATCATATCACATCACACACAGAGTTAGCATCATCTCTTACCTAGGGGAAATACATCATATCACACCACACAGACCTGGTATCACCTCTTACCTAGGGGAAATACATCATATCACATCACACACAGAGTTAGCATCATCTCTTACCTAGGAGAAGTACATCATATAACATCACACACAAACTTGGTATCACCTGTTACCTAGGAGAAGTACATCATTTAACATCACACACAGAGATAGCATCACCTGTTTTACATGCAACAAGAAGCTGGGGTACACGAGGACAGTGTAACAGCACTTCTTCAAAATACTTGGTTTGAATCAGTTCCAGTGATTCTTTCTTCTCCACTGAAAAACACAGTAACATCACCTCAGCATTTGGGTAGGCCAATGGTCGCAGGCGGTCATACTCATCCTGTTGGCGAATTGAAAAGACACTATATGTCATTATGTATAGATCTCAGTATAGAGGATGCATTAACGACGAGGCTGTCCTGCGTCCGTAGAATGAGCGAGGGAGTTGGGTTAAACGCCTCTTTGAACAGATTTTCATATATGTTACAGCTTGCCAGTTTGATGTTGAAGGAAAGATGGGCGTGATGCAGGTTTTAAAAATTTGCCATTTTGGTGAAACCCATGAGCACGGGTATGGTGCTGACAAATCTAGAAGGGAAAAACTGGATTCGAACCCACGATCACAGGTTTCTGGTATGACCAAGGGACGCATCTCTGCATAGCGAATTGCGGCGCCTTAGAAAACTTGACCACCCATGCCCCGAGTCCATGCTTGTGAAACACTTAGAGAAAAAAATTGCTCAATAGATTTTACAATTATTACCCCTGATCCAGTTTCCAGTAGGTTGATGGTGTAGAGTCTGCCATTCTTTGTGATTGTCTTATTCTTCATTTGTCCCATCTGCAGCAGATCGCAAGGCAGATATCCAAGAACGTAGAACGACCCCAGACTGGATTTTCCCACAAACTTGTCCCCCACAAGTACCATCCTCACGCACACCGGTCGGTCCTTCGGCATTGTGTCTCTGTGTCTGGGAACAACCAACACACAGTTATCATTTAAACCTATGTTTTATAAAGCTTTAAGTAATAAAAGGCTTCAACAGGCTGACAAGCAGTACTCTTTCACAATAACGGAGTCCAGAATGTGCCACAGGGAAGTAACACCAATTTGTGTATTAAAAAATTATGATATCAAAGCACACCTTCACCTGATGAAGGAGCAATAAAATAGCTCTGAAACGTCGTGACAAAGAATAAAACGAAGTTTTATCCATAAGTGTCATGTATTCATCATTATTCGTGGATGTAAACATGTAAAACAGATTTTAACTTAGGATCCGTTCCACAAAGTGATCAAGCGTTAAGACGATCGTAAACCCCATACTTTATCGTAGATTTATGGCAGTCGTAACACTACGAAGGGCATGGCCCAGGATCCCGTTCGACATATGCCCTAAGATGATCGTGACTCCCATGCTTTAACATAGACTTACGTCAGTCGTAGCGCTAATATCTCTTTGTGAACAGAACCAATCAGGGCCCTGTATGTCATTGCGGCGTTTCAGATCACATGGAAAGGAGCATGCTACAACCTCGCGATGAACCACACCGCCGTAATATCGATTATTCACATCGCATAGAAGTAAACACTGATGCAGTGCCTTAGATGTTCCCCGTAACAAAATATAATGACAGATACAAATGAAGTTCGTCTAAGCAAAGCAATGGGATGAAAGGATTTATATACAGTACTAATTGGTTGGTTTTTTGGAATGTTTGATGTGATAGTTTGATAAGGTAGTGTACGGTTCCGTTTAACTTGCAACGTTTTGGTGTGATTACTTCCGGTTTAGATTTGAAGTATTGTGAAAGCTTTTTACTATGTCCAACCCAACATCTTGCATATAATCATGCAACCATATTTTTAAGGCTAATAATAGACAATTGTGTTAATAAGTTGCATGATATACCATCTTCTCGAGACAAGGCAGTTAACTGACCGTAAAAGTCCCGTTTCTACCCTAGAAAAACTAGGCTGAATTTTCCAGGTTTCACCGTAGCGCCACCAGTGGCTATTACGAGTTATGTCCCTTCTATGTCCCTCCTATTGACCGATCAGATTCCACCTCTCCTATCATTTACACTTGCGTCAAACAAAATGGCAGCGCCCAATCAATACTATCTGAGATTATCAAGATCTATATTGTAAAATAATGGGTCTTACCTCGCGAAGTGCATGTAATCACGTGAGCAGCTTGATTAAAAACATGAAAAGATTTGGAAAATATCTGTCGACGCCCAGTTGACGGTGCACATCATTTGCAAATCCTGCAGTTTGCGAACCGGATGTCGATTTCGTTAAGCGATTTTGATTGGATTATGCATAGACTCGTTAGTCCAGCCAAAATTAAATTCCATAATTCCAGTCTAGACTGGTCGTTTTCAGTCAGTTAACTCCCTTGCCTCGGGAAGATGATGATATACAGACCGTATAGGAAAAAAACTGACGAAGAAATAAACCACATGTAACAGAAACCCACAGTGAAAACGGTATGGATACATTAAATACAGTGAACAACTTGGATCAATACTGTTGTCAACTTTGCACACTGACCAAACACCATACATGTAATAATGAAGACAAACATTGATAAGGCTCTAATACAAAACCCTTTGTTTTACATGTGGTATGAAGACATGTGTTTATATCTTTAAAATACATGTGGGGGACATTTCCAAAGTTGAACCATCAGTGAGTCAAAAATTATGTCTCGTGCAGTTTTCTATTTTGATTGTACCATATGTTCTCGCGTTTTTTTAGGTGAGTAATTGACTCGCCTTTGCATGTGTTTGTGATGGGGTGACACCGGTGGGGCAATATACGTTCACCTTGCTTTCTGATAGTGATTTATAAACACATGCTCATGATATAGTCGGGATCGTACAATCGACCCTACCTTCAGCAGATATTTCTGGTGTATATGGACAGGTTATTGTTGTTTTTAATTTAATTAATTATCTAATTAAATTCTTATTTATTGAAGCCTGGTATTTACACTTGTTGAACAATCTGTTGAAATACCCGTGTGACGAGTGAGAAGGATTGTTGAGTAGGCTTTAAGTGCTTCACTGAACTGACACCGCATGAGAGCTTGACCTAAATTCATGTTGGTATTTCATAGCTCGGATGTTATAGCAACCTATACTTGTCCTTGGACTCAGCCTGAATAGCACACTCTCCGTACATAAGTACTACGTGATATAAATCTACAGCCAAGGGAGGTAATCGTTCTTACCGACAAAGCGGTTTGTCAAAAAATATAGCGTCGGGAAATGTAGCAAAACAACACAAACGATTTTACCCTGAATAAATATATTTAAGAAACATTAAATATGCAAAATCGCGTTTTATATCAGTAACTACATGTATATGAAAAATGTCAATTTTAAATAAACCAATATATTTTCATTTACCACTGTGTATTTTAGAAAGACCATGCTAAATTTAACCATCACACAACTAAAAGAGCTCCACGGATTAACCCCGCAGGGTATAATAATTTCATGGACGCCAAGCCTCTACAGCGGTGGCGTGATAAGTAGCTACTTTCTTTATCACGGTACTCACATTGTGTTGGAGATTAAGTCCAAGCAGCATTAGGCAGATGTCATGTTAAGTTTACACGAGACTGTATCGGTGTACTTGACCCTCGTCTTGTCCGCATCACCGGACACTCATATTTCCGGTTCCTGCACACAGCTATCTGTAATATCGAAGTGGTTGTGGCTGTTGTTGTAACAGTAGCGATATTATAATTCTTACTAAATGCTGTGGTCCAAAATATGTGTGTCCTTTTGTATCACGTGAAGGAGAAGAATACCCCGATAAGGTACTCTGACAAATATACTCGGGTGGCCCAATCGCATAAAGCGCCGCAGAAGGCAGAGTTACGTCCCTTGGGCACGCCAGAAAGCTATGGTCGTGGGTTCTAATCCCGGTTCGTTCCAATTATGTTTCTAGGTTTGTCAGCACAATACCCCTGCTCGAGGGTTTCACAAAACTTCTAAGAACGCGAACTGTTCTCGTTATATTTGTTTGTTAGTTGTTTAACGCCGCAGCTATATGACGATGGCCTGTAAATAATCGAGTCTGGACCAGATAATCCAGTAAATGACCCACCATAACTACAATTACGACATTTTACCAACAAAAAGATCTTAATGTAAATTATCAGGTTTATTACGAACATACATATACGTACTTAAAATCAGAAAGGAATTGCCATGACAAAGCAGTCGTGGATAACACGTGGATATGTGGGGCATGTCAATGGCAAAGACGATGTTTGATAATCCACCCACGTTATCCTTGCGCATTTTGAGCCTCATTAACCAAAACACGCATAATACAGGCTAACATCACATACACGTACGCGCATACAGGCACACATCACATGCACTCACACTCATACAGGCATACACAATATGCACACACAGCACATCGCACATATAATCACGCAGGCACTCATATATACTCAACCATCACGCAGGCATACAGGACATGCGCGGACATAGACATGCATCACGTGCACTCCCACATTACATGAATTCACACACAGAGGCTTGAAGCATACAGTCACACATGCACACCGAAACATACCACATACACTCACACTGTCTCACAACAGATCATGTCATAGGCACATGCACGCTCACAGGCATAAATCACTTACACTCACACAAACACTCACCCACAACGTATACAGTCAAACATCACATACACACGTACACACTACGTTCACTCACACAAACACTGACACACAACGTAAAGAGTCAAACATATACACACATCACACTACGCACACACACATATACACTGACACACGATATACACTCAAACATCATATACACTCACACAGACACACTACGTTCACTCACGCATACACACTGACACATGATATACACTCAAACATCACATACACTCACACATACACACTGACACAACATAAAGAGTCAAACATATACACACACACACATACACACACCCTGACAAACGATATACACTCAAACATCACATACACTCACACATACACACTGACACAAAATAAAGAGTCAAACATATACATACACATCACACTACGCAAACACACACACACTGACAAACGATATACACTCAAACATCACAAACACTCACACATACACACTACGTAAACTCACACATACACACTGACACACGACATATATACTCAAACAGCACTTACACTCAAGGCGACACACATCGCATATACTCACGCAGCACATAAACACATAAATACTAAAATGAATATTGCAATATGGAATTATTGACCAGGGTACCGTTTCACAAAGCAGTCGTAAATTTACGCGCTCGTAAATTTTACGCTATATTTGCGCAATGTTTACGCCATAGTCTAAGACTGTTTCACAAAGCTACACTAAAACTGGCGTAACCTCGGCCAACTTACACGCACGTAAAAAAATACGACTGGAGCTCTTTCCCTTTGTGAGGTAGGAAAATCCGCACTAGAGTTGTCTACCGTTGACTTACGACTGCTTTGTGAAACGGTACCCAGATACAATAGAATGAGTAAATGTTCGCCAGTCAAACATATCACAGCGTACCACAGCGTGGCAACAAAAGGCTCAGGAAGGCTCACCTCTTGAAAGTACAACTCATAAATATATCAGCATTCATTTTTTTGTTAATAGTTCTGATGTGCTTCTTGTTGTTGAGAAATGCGAGGACACATTAGCAGAGGGGCAATCAACACGTCATCATACAGTCATGTTCAGAACGCCATGTGTCAACATGTCAAGAAAACATTAAGCATACCACCACCTCTTCTCGAGGCAAGGTAGTTCACTGACTGTAAAAGTCAAGTTTCTACCCTTGCCGAACTAAGCTGGAATTTCTGGACTCGATTGCAGCGTCCCCAGTGACTATTAAGGGTAATGTCCCTTCTTTGGCCCTCCTATTGACCAATGTGATTCCACCTCTAATGTCACTTGCATTTGCTTCAAACAAAATGGTGGTGCCCAATCAAGACGATCTGATCGATAATCAAGATCTATATTGTAATTAAACGGTTCTTACTTCGAGAAGTGCATCAAATCACGTGGGAACCTTGATTAAGAAAATGAAGAGATTTGGAAAATATATGTTTACGCTTAATTGACGGTACACATGTTTAGCAAAACCTGTAATCGAACCGGATGTCGATTCGATTTTGATTGGACTATCCATAGACTCGTTAGTCCCTCCAAAATATAACTCCATAATTCCAGCCTAGTTCGGCAAGGGTGAAAACTCCCTTGCCTCGGGAAGATGACCACCAAGGAAGGTTTTGGGACGCCTCCGTCACAGTTACACCCGAATAAGGCACGTTGTTCGTGTGTACCAATTCCTATCCGAGCCCTACCAACGCTTCCCTTGGATACCGGTTTTCCCTTGAAAATGTTATGCACACGAATAGCATCAGCTTTTTATCATGCAAGAATCCGATTGTAAAACTGTTTCACATGACTGAACATGTTCCTCCAAGATCGGTCACCTTCTTCTCATACTCCTCCACCTCGATGATGTAGGCCACCGGCGGCCATCGGTTCTCCTCCACGTACACCTCGTTGTCGCCTTTCAACATGATGAACTCTGGCCTCTTGGAGAACGCTATGTAGTTGGACGAGATGAAGTGCAGGCACCATTTGGACAGCTGCGCAGCGTTGTGGCGCTACAGAAAAACATAACAAGAGAGCAATGTACGTATACGACAGGGCAACCAAGAATGAGCTACAAATATATACCATAAAGGGAATGAAGACGTTATGGCGATACGATAACCTAAAATGCCTGAAGATATTTCATGAGCGGTTAGTGAAACTTGATATTGGTACAAATGGAAGCATTTTTGAAAATGTCATATGATAGGTCCCTTAATCTTGATTTCTAATGATAACCTTTGAAACCGTGTAAAAATATTTTTTTTAAATGATGAAGGTACCATATGCAAAGGAGTGAGTGAGTGAGTTTGGTTTTACGCCGTTTTTAACAGTATTCCAGTTATCACGTCATGTCAGCATCATGCGGGAGAAAAGTAACGTGCAGGTATGGTGCAGACAAACCTAGAAACATAATCGGGGCGAAACGGGGTTCGAACCCACAATCATAGGTTGCTGATGTCCCCAAGGGACGCAACTCTGTACAGCGAGTGCCCTGACCTGATATACACATGAATTTAGATTTATAATGGCGCTATCGTGATGATGTTTAGTATCCTTACCTGTGCTGTCAGCAGGAGTCCGATGACGTCAATGTCGGACTTCTCGATGTTCTTGGTACAGCTCCGGTCAACTTCCTTGGTGATGTACAACTCACACAGGTTCAAAAGGCGAGGTTGACAGTATTCATCCGCCAGGACTAATATCCCGACCGCATCACCACCTTCAATCGGGGCGTGGTCCGTGTAGAGATACTCCAATAACGCGAGGAAACACTCACAGCTTGTGTTTTGAATCTTTAGCTGGAAGAGTTACACATTGTTCTGTCATGAACATGGTCTGATTACGTTTCAAGAGCAGACATGACACATACATAGAGAGGACATACGTTGTTGAACGAGTGCTTTGGCTTTTACGCCGCGTTTAATTGTATTCCAGTTATATCACGGCAAGTAAGCTTTATGTGGGTGGAAAGCCTGAAGTGATATAGTTCTCAGACGTTAACCACTTTAGTGAAACCCACGAGCGCGGGTATGGTGCTGATAAACCTAGAAACATAATCGGGGCGAACCGGGATAGGTTCATGGCGCGCCCAGGACCCGTGTACAGGTTTGAATAATGACAATTTGCTACTGAGGGCTTACATTTTTATACGTTTGATTAAAAACGATCTAAAAAGGTACCTTCAATAAACTACTTGGCATCAATAAACAACAACTGTCCATTCCGAGTTTATCACTTTGTCACTAATCGTCCTTAAAGGTAGCTGCCTGATTGGCATGATGTCACAATCTTGTACACCTCCATACAAGTTGGCTGGTCGGCCTGCATTAATACCAACATGAAATCCGTAATCCGCTGGCAAACACAATATAGATCACATGTTGCTACACAAACTAACTTCAGCTCATAAATAAACGGATCCACAAAGTTCGAACCACCACCACCACCATGCTGGGGCATACCTTGCACATTCCCGACTGAAAAGCCTCCATGAAAGCACCTCCAAACATGGCGGCCATGACATCACATCGAGACACGAGGACAACCTTGTGAGCGTACACCTCGATCCCTGAAACAGATGAAATCTCAAGACTCACACAGTTTTCAGCACGGAAAAGATTCAAGGTTACAAACCATTTGAACCAATTAAAGACACGTTGTCCTGCCTCGGCGTGAGTACGGGGGTGTTCATGCGATTGTAAAGCATCTAAACCCTTTACAGTACCACAACAACTTCTATGAACTAGCTAATAGTTTTTACTGCCATCTATTTCATGTGAACAGAATGAAGTCATGCTAAGACAACCAGTTAGAATACATTTACCGTCCAAAACACAGTCTCCTACCAAGGTAACAATGCCCTTGAACCAATAACAAACACGGTTTCCATGCGTCTTTCCCGTTGGTGGGCAATGCAGATGACTTTAACATTACACTTTACACTCATTTCAGTATTACAATGACCTTGGTGATGCTGGTTACATTTTTTGCTTCAAACTAATAGCTTGTTAATACTCAGATGTAAGAGTGAGTGACGTTATATCACGGCGTATCAGCTTAATGTGGGAGGAAAGCCCCAAGTGATGCAGGTCTCAGACGTTTACCACTTCGGTGAAACCCACGAGCACGGGAATGGTGCTGACAAACCTAGAAACATAATCGGGGCGAACCGGGATTCGAACCCACAATCATAGGTTTCTGGCGTGCCCAAGGGACGCAACTCTGCACAGCGAATCGGGGCGCCTTAGACGACTGGGCCCCCCGTGCCCCTCAGATGTAGGAAGAACACCAATACCTTTACCTAATTATTGCGCAGGAATTAAATAAATAAATGATATCAAGAGATTCCCTTAAGCAGCCTGATGACAATGGTCTATCAAACATCCTTACCTCCAATGTCGAAAACGACATCAGCTTCCTCTGGCTTGTTGAAGTACAGTTCCTTCACCTTGGCCGCAGTCTCGTCGTTGAGGAAGGTGCCGATGCTGGGGTTGAGGACCTCTTCTTTGTTCAGCACGTTGTGGCAAATCGTCACCAGCTGGGGAAGTCGGAAGATCTTGGCCACCCTGATGAGGTCTTGAAGACATTGTTCACTGACGTCATCCGGCAGTCGGGGAGTTCCTGAAAAACAGATAGAGTTCCTGAAAAACAGATAGACTGTGTTCTCATGGGTTCCTGTAAACATTTACACCTGATATTTTACTTTCTAGACCAAGTGTTTGGCAATTATTGTAAAACAGAACGTTTGTCAATGGTAACATGATGCTTTCTAACAAATGAAGGAGAAGTTAGTGGTTGGAAGTGTATTATTTGTTTGCGGTTTTAGCAATTTAATATCTCTCGATAGGGTTTCATAAAGGGACGTGACCCGGACCTAATGTTTAACAAGTAGGCACAGGAACAACGGGCTCCATCAATATTACGATGAGAGAGACGTTTTACCAATTGTACCTAAGTGGGGAATAGAACCCGGGCCTACGGCGTGACGAATAAACTTATTAACCACTATAGGTTACATCCGTGAAGATCCGGGAAGGTCTTCAGCAACCCATGCTTGTCGTAATTGGCAACTATGTTTGTCGGAAGAGGTGACTAACGGAATCGGGTGGTCAGACTCGCTGACTAGATTGATGCATGCCATCATATCCCAACTACGTAGATCGATGTCCTTGCTATCAACCACTAGTTCGCCTGGACGAACACGACTGTTTACCGGAACGCGATCTAAGACGACCGAAACTTAATGCCTTAACATAGATTCACGACAATTCTGAAGCTAAGATCGCTTTGTGAAACTGGGCCCATGTCGCTTTGTGATATCTGGAAGGTTTCTAACTAAAGTGTGACATATTATTCACTCACTCACTGTGTCAGGTCTCAGTTCACACAGAACATGGCGGCAACGAAGTATGCGTACCCGTATAGAGGAACTCCAGCACGTGTGTGAATGTGGCGGCAGTGATGTCAGCGCTGAGCTGAATAGTCACGTGACCTGGCTTTGTCTTGCAGTCTGTGTCGGACACAAAGGTGATGCCCTCCACCTTGCCAGAGTTGAGGTCCTCCCGGCTCATGGTCTCCGTTTCCTTGATCTTAGTCAGCTGGTTGGTCTGAACAAAACACGTAGTTGTGAATATTTGAACACTGTTTGAAGGGCATCTCAAAAGAACATATCTCTCCTTCTTTTCTTTGTCGGGATTCGTCGCCTAAAAACAACCGGGACTGATTCCCACAATTGGTAAATTGTATGTAGTCCATATTTGATGTTCCCCACGATGATATTGCTTGAATACTCCTAATCGCGACCTAAACTCACACTCAATTAGTCAATCGTGTCTCTATCAAGACTGTAAATGAGACTTCTTTATATAGTACTTATGCTAGTTGTTACTATAGAATACACATACACTCTACATCAAAAGCATATGTTTGTTGTTTCGTTGATTTGTTGTTTAACGCCGCACTATTTCAGCTATATGACGGCGATCTGATCTAGTCTGGGCCGGACAATCTAGTGATTGAGATCATGAGCAACGATACACGCTATTGGGATACGACCAAGTCAGAAAGCCTGACCACCCAATCCCGTTAGTTGCCTTTTACGGCGACATGGGTTGCTGGAGACATATTCTAACCCGGATCTTCACGGGTTCAAAAGAATATGTCAATTAGTGGGAAGGGCGATATTACATCAGCACCACAATGAACCATTACCTTTTTAGTAAATGGCAGCTGCAGGATTTGGGCGAAGAACTTTGAGGCTGAGGACAACAGGAGCTTGTGGGCGTCCAGTTGATGCCTGTCCCCCAGGAGGAAGGTGACGTCCGAGAACTTTGGGTCCTCCAGGAGTTGGTACCAGTGTTCAGCAAACTTGGACGTCTCTATCTCCGTCCACGGGGCCCGGCCTATAATAGTAGCACGATGATTGATACGAATAACTCAAGCATTCACAATATTGATTTTAAGTTTACAAATACTAATCATTATATCACACGGCTTTGCAGTGACAGTCATTGTAAAAGCACTAAAACGAATTCATCTGTCTAATCTGTAAAATCAGGATGCCAGTGGTCTATGGCAGCGCAATAATCCGTGTAGATTTCCCGCCGTTAGCAGTGCCAGGATCACTGACAGTGGATTTGAATCTCAAAATCGCCGTGATTTTGACCTTTTCCCTGTTAGACTTTACCTGCAATAGTATCAAGACAATAAAAAAAACGAACATTGACAACAGTGATTTTTTCACCACTACTATTTTCCCGAGGCAAGGCCGTTAACTGACTTTAAAAGTCCTGTTTCCACCCTTGGCAAACTAAGCTGGAATTCCGGAGTTACATTCTGTCTGGACTAACAAGTCTATACATGGTCAAATCAAAATCGGGTAACGACCGAGACATCTGAGTTCGAAAACAACATGGTTTCAATGTGCAGATTTGCAGGATTTGCAAAGCATGTGTACCCCCAACTGGGCGTCGACAGATATTTTGCAAATCTTTTAATGTTTTGAAGTAAGGTGCCCAAGTGATGTGATGCACTTTGCGAGGTAAGACCCGTTTTATTACAATAAAGAGCTTAATTATCGGTCAGATCGTCTTGACATGGCGCCGCCATTTTGTTTGAAGCAAATGCCAGCGATATGAGAGATGGAATCTGATTGGTCAATAGGAGGGACACATAAGGGATATAACTCGTAAAAGCCACTGGTGGCGCTACGATCGAGCCCAGAAATTCCAGCGTAGTTCGGCAAGGGTGGAATAGTCAGTTAACGTCCTTGCCTCAGGAAGATTGACAATGTTGATCAAGCCGTTTAATCAATATCATTCGGTTAAAGGGAGATAATTAACAGAGAGGATAGTCTTCGTAAATTATGTCCATTCCACATCCAGCTCCATCACATACCAACACCCAGTGTTACTGAACACTGTTCTAGCCAGTCGTATTCATCTTCTAGTGTATCTAGAGTAGTAGTGTGTACATACCTGCAGGAGGCATCACCGGGGGCAGAGGCATAGGTTTCTTGAATCTTCCAAAGATGTTGAACGTCTTCGGTACCGAAGGCTTATTCAATCCTAATTTGATCTGAAAGAGTGACATGTTCCTTAAACAACAATTACATGCAATAGAACAATAGCTATTAATCGGGGGCTTTGATCCACGATCTGGACTCATCTTCAGTCAAGGTCTAGACATTGTAGCACGTGTACTGTGTGAGACATTGTTTCTGTTTTATCTGGATAATTGTTAACTGCTCGACTGATAAACAATGAAATTTGAGCTAGCAGACAAAGTGGCTTTTCGAGAACACCTGGTGTCATCATTGATTTAATAATCCCTTAATATATACGACTCAAAAGAAGTTAAGGAACACCTGATTCTTTCATATTACTATAGTTAATCTATCATGCCATGGCAGATTAACCTTACCAATATGAAAGAATCGGGTGATCCTTAACTTCTTTTGAGTAGTTTATTACTAATTTGACTTTTACGCCCAATGGAATCTATTTCGGCGGATAAACGAGACTGGTTATTCTCTGGCGTTGACTTTTTATATTTAAAGCTTTTTAAATCAATTGGCCTGAGCCTTGTGCTCATAATAATACGCACTCTATGTTATTTTCTTATAAACTTTTGATATAAACACGTGGTCCAGGTGAAAGGCGCTACAAAATGCCTTGTTGGAATAGAAGAATTCACTTCGGCGTTTGGGTTTTCTCATTTATTCATGTATAATTATTTCTTGAAGCTTCAGAAAAGGTTACTTACGGCTCCCTCAAAACATTGCTTCACTCCTGTAAAGGCCAGAGAACTTGTTTCAAAATACGTCATTCCAAGTGACGCAGCCAATGCTGCGCCTTCGTTGAATGCTACCGTGGTCTTATCCCCGTCTCCTCGACGCAAATCTGAAACACAAATTAGATGAAAGGCAATGAAAATAAGGAAAGTCATGTGAGGAAGATGACAGTCAAATGAATTTAGAAGCTATTATTTAACTAATATCAATAGCGACGTGATACCTGTGTTTCCAGATGTGTTACATTTGAACCCCATGGCATCATGGCACAGAAAGCCATCTTCAGTGTTTGTGTGTGGTGTAAACACTTCTTACAAGCAATATTACATGGTTTGAAACCCGTGAAGATAAGGGTTAGAATTGGTCTTCACCATGCTTGTCGTTTAAGGTGACTTATGGGTTCGGGTGGTTAGGTTCGCTGACTTAAGTGATGCAAGTCATCGTATCCCAATTGCGTAGATCGATTCTCATGATGCCAATCACTGGACTGTCTGGCCCTGACATATTATCTACAGACCGCCATAATATAGCTAGAATATTGCCGAGTGTGGCGTTTAACAACACAAACAAACAAAACAAACAAACTTTGTTTACTGGTTTAGTATCGATTAAAGTCCTTTATCGAAAAACACAAACAGGTCCAATGACATCATGTCAAATTGTTAACAATCTGTTAACATAGTATGAACAAGAAATGTTCTTTAAAACTTGAATCGTTTCAACATTTGCCAGTGACAAAACCCCTTAGTTTGGAACTGAGTTATAATGTACCAAGACCCCTGCTAACCTGTCTTGCAGCCGACGATTACTTTTGGCGTGTTCGGGCAGTGGTGCTGTACTTCAGGGTACCACTTCTCACGGATGTTCTCGAAGGAGTCTCTGTTCTTGATATCAAAACACACGAGGAACACGTCGGTCTGGGGGTAGGACAAGGGGCGGAGCCGGTCATAATCCTCCTGGAGATATAAGCAGAAACAAAACTTCTTTTAGGATTATTTTTTTTAAAAACAAAGGACATTTAATCGCCATCTAATATTCGGGCTTTGAAGAAGGCAGTTTCTCCGTGAATGGAACCCGTACTGAGTGTAGGAGGTGATTAAATGGATCGGGTGGTCAGGCTTGGTGACTTGATTGCTAATGTGTCATCATCACCCGACGGTGTGGGACGTTGGTCATAATATCAATCACTGATTTTAACCCGCGAAGTTCCTAGTTAAAATTGATCTTCCGCAACCCATGCTTGTCATAAGTGGCGCCTAACGGGATCGGGGGATCAGGTTCGCTGATATGGTTGATGCATGTCCTCGTATCTCAATTTCGTAGATCGATGCTCATGATGTCAATCACCGGATTGTCTGGTCCAGAATATATTATTTACAGACCACCGTCATATATGCTGCGTTAGCCAACACAAAAGCTGTCACTGATTCCTCTTATCAAGGCGTAACTATTTACAGAACGCCGTCACACAGCTGGAATAATAATGAGAGCAGCGTTTATGAACAAACATAAACACAAACAAACAAGAAGGTATTACTTCAGTCTAACTCCCATATTGTAAGGCAAGAATGCATGGTGAGTTATTTATTTTCTGGTAGGGTAGTTTGACCATTTTTTACCAAAAGTGCATTGTGATTCATTTTTAGAGGGGCGTTTTGACTAAAGGTACTGTCAATTGCTCAACGTTGTATATTATAGAAAACATGGAACCTGAGTATGTTCGCAACAGTATTAATTAAATTATGGTAATACGTAACAGAATATTTAAGAATTGACAAAATCTGAGGCAAACGATTTAAGAATTGACAAAATCGGAGGCAAAATATTCCCACGATTGTTCACACTATCAACCATTGGTCTGTCTGATGTAAACGTGTTGACATAATTCTGGTATTAATAACAGTATTGGGCCCTTTTTATGAGTATTATGATGAACATTTAAGCTGATTATGATTACTTTACCTGCCCGCCTGTGTCCCAGAGACCTAAGCGTATAATTTCACCATCAACCATGACGTTGGCGTCGTAGTTGTCAAACACCGTGGGGATGTACCCTGCCGGGTAGGAGCCTGTAGTGTATGCAATGAGAAGACAACTCTTCCCAACTCCACCGTCACCGACAACAATTAGCTTGATTTCCTTCATATTACTGTCAAAACAAGAATTTACAAACATGGAATGAACAGCAAACATAACAATTAAATGAGTGAGTATAGTTTAAAGCCGCTTTTAGCAATATTCCAGCAGCATCACAGCAAGGGCCACCAGAAATGGGCTTCACGCATTGTATGTATGTGGGGATTCGAACGCGGGCATACGACGTATTGAGCGAAACCTTAACTACGATGCTATCCCACCACCCCTAATGATTAAATTCCTGCAAGAGCATTAAAGGATTTATGCTCAAGAAACTGACTTAATTCGGGTGTTGCCCTAATGTTGCTGTAAATATATACTTCCGACACAAAAAAGGGAACTGATGAAATTATCGTGGAGGAGTAATGATGATAAATGTCTGTAAAACTAATTTCGGGGGTGTAGATCAATTTCTAGTGTGCCCACCCTGTTGGACGATGCATGCACGACACCTTGATGGCATACCGTTGTTTAACATGCGTATGGTTGCCCTTGGTATTCCGCCTGAAGAGCTACCCAAGCTGGGCCGCGTTGGCTGGTGCTGGCGTACACTCTCCGCCCGAGAACATCCCACAGATGCTCTTTCATGGACATGTCGGGGGTATTCCGATTCTCGCCGGAGATAATCGGTGACGACCTCGTCGCGATGTGGTCTGACATTGTCATCTTGCAGTTTCTGCCGATAATTCTAGCGAATGGAACAACGATAGGATGCAAAATTTTGTGAACATGTTGTTGGCCAGTCAAATGTCCATTCACAATAACCAAATTAGTTCGCCCTGTCAAGTGTGATACCACCCCACACCATGACACTACAAACCCTAACCGATCATGGTCACGAACTGTTGCCCTGGCGTACCGCTCGACGCTACCTCGCCAACAACGTTTTCTGCCATTTGTGAATCGAAGGGAAACCTTGAGTCGTATGTTAACACGGTGTAACGCCATTGGCGCACATCCCGCCCCTGGTGTTGCCTAGGCAACCAAAATCTTTGTCGTCCATGGTAAACTGTTAGGGTCACATCCTTCACAGGAGGTCTTGCTTTCAGGGGACTGCACAGAGCCGGTTTTTAACGGTAGATGTTGACATTCGCCTTCCTGTTATTGTACAGCATTCTCTATTGATAACAGGAGCAGAATTGAATGTTTTGGTTTGCGGAATTGGTGTATTGAGACGATATTGTATATGTGTCATTTTTAAGGCTTGCCACGGCAGTGTCTCATTGCAGTCCTACCTGTTTAACCATACTTGTCCCTCAGAAATTACACTTTGTTTGCTAAACATTCATGCAACTTGGGAAATTGACGCCATCCACATACCACTGTCGTGCCCATACTTGCGTCTATTCATTGAGATACTGTCTCGGAGCCTTTTTCAAGAGTGTGCTGAGCTCATTTCATTAGAGCTCGTGAGTTCACTTGGGTTTCTGTGCGAACGTGCATCACGTGCTGTTTATGATCACATGGTGCGCTCAGATGCAACGCCACTGTATTGTAAATGTACATCTGAACGATAGCTACATTCAAATCATAAGTTCCCTTATTTTTTGTCGGTAGTAATATATATACATAGGGCCGTAAAAGGTGACTATGCTTGTCACGATTAACGGGATCGGGAGGCGACTAAAGGGATCGGGTGGTCAGGCTCTCTTACTTGGTTTGATGCATGTTTTCAAGCACTGGATTGTTTTGATTGACTCGATTATTTACAGACCGCCGTCGTATAGCTGGAATATTGGTGACTGCGGCGTTAAATAACAAACAAATAGATACTAACTTATATACATATACATGTATTACGATAGGTGTTCCAAACAAGACCGTCTGGTAAGCGAGGTTTCCGTGCTTACAAGGTCTAGACTGGCTAACAAGTTATTACTCTTTACATATTTTGTGCTATATTTGTTCCTATGTCATAGCTGTACTTAGGTAATATGACATCAGAATGTAAACAGAATTATGTTGATAGCATCCTACTGGGCAGAACACCTATGTCTGACATTGAACTGAATTAACCAGATCGGAGACCAAACAAATCAAACGTAGATAGACATGCGTGTAAACATGAAATGTACTTACGAGTAATGTCTCCGAACACCGTATCTCACTGCGAAATTTAAGAAACACAGCAGGTTGACGTATACTGCCTATATGAACCAGCGATATGAGTTAAAAATGCCAGCCAATCGTTTTGGCGTCTCCTGTTACTATATTTAGATTCTATTTGTGGACATTCGTCAGAGGAAGTAGGTGGCGCTGTTAGCTGTCATGGCCGCCTCCTTGTGGCAGTTTGACATCGAAATCTCTGGAAAACAGTATAAAGCTGCCCAGAATCAATATGACATGTTTGGTCGTTGAAACCATGCGTGCAGAACTGACACCGCTGTCTCAGGCTAATTTGCATACCTAGTGACCTCTTGATTGTAAACAAACGCGCTTATTTTGAAATCAGAGCAGACTGGCCTAATGCAAGCCTTCCAGTGCGCTTTGACACATTGTTTGGCCTAATTTGTGGGTATGTTTCTACAACAACAGCGAAGAGAATGATAATATATCTTTGTTCATCTTTACACATCAAAGTGACCATACCGCTAGCTCTCCATAGGGATCTCCAAGAGCCGTACAGCCAATGTGAACAAAGGATAAATTCGCAAGCGTAAACATTTTACACGTTGAAGGACATTTTCTCAGTGAAAGTTAACCATTTCATACCATATGTTTATCTACATGTGTAGACTTTTCAAAAATGAAACGGATGAAAAACACAGGTAATTTCTTTAATGCACTGTAAGATGTGACATCTGACATCGTCACATGTCGCTGGTCTGTGGCAGAGGTACTTGGAACTCTGGGTAGGAGAGTGGGGAATATCATCAATGTCACGGGAACTGCACTGGCGACAATATTTTCTTTCACTCTCTCCTCAATGGATTCATGTCATCTTAAGGAAATGAAACTATTCTTCCTGTTTTTGAACACTGAACATTGTATGAAGACGACAATAACTGTACATTCACATTAATTGATGAATAGATGACAGATAGGTGCCTGGACATGTTAATCCGATGCCAGTTATTGCCTTTCAACTACAACAGGGAATGTCAAATCTAGATCTACTCCGCATGCAGCCAGCTGCAGATCGCTATCCGGTCCGTAGCTCTGTATATCGATCCTGCTGCACTTGTCCCAAACAAACATCTCGGTGCCGGTGAATCACTTGCCAAATAAGAGCGATTCGTTTAGTTTGTTGTTTAACGCCGCACTCCGCAATATTACAGTTATAACGATGAGTACTGACCATACAATCCAGTGATTGATATGTGAGCAACCATCCGCGACTTCGGGATACATGACACGTCATCTACCAAGTCACCGAGTCTGGCCATCCGATCCTGTTGGTCTCCTCTTACGACCATTATACCTTGCTGGGGACCTATTCTATCCAGACCGCCTCCGTGGTCTAGTGGTAGAGCGTCCGCCCGGAGAGCGGAAGGTCCGGGGTTCAATCCCCGGCCGCGTCATACCAAAAGACGTTCAAAGATGGTACTTGTTGTTACCCTGTCTGGCGCTCGGCATTAAGGAGCTAAAACAAGGACTGGTCTGTTCAGAGTCAGTATACTGTGTCTGAGTGGGGTATTCATGTTACACTGCGGCATGGTATCTCAGTGGGCTAGCAGTATAAATCAGCATCAGTCCGGACTAGAACAAGCAGCCACACACAATGCTCTTCCACTAGATCACGGAGGCGGTCTTTTCGTGGTGTTGTTAAACACACTCTTACAGCAAAGATAAATAGAAATGTTTTCTGGTGTTGCCAATGTGATCATTTCAGCAATTATCAATTGTTCTCTTGTTTCGTTCAACAATCCATCTTTTGTAAAACCTTTAAATCCCGACTGTACATTATTAAGGATTTGTAAACTACATTATAAGTATGACTCCGCTACACTTCTCCGGGCGGACGCTCTACCACTACACCACTGAAGCGGTCCATTTCATGATCGAATAACTAAAGTATTATGAAAGAATCGAGTAGACCTTAAAGTAGTATCCATGTATGTAGGTAGCCATGTTTATATACAACAGGATATATCAGTCATGGATATGGCAGGCATTGTGTATTAATTTTCTCAAACGCGAGGAAAGTCTGCGCATACATGTGGTCACCTGTTTTGATCCAAGATGTCTGACGGCCGAAATTCTTATAACGAACTACGGTTACAACAAACTCGCAATAGTGGTCCCTTTGAGTTCGTTATAACCGTAGTTTCACTCTCATGCACTCGCACAGGCAAAGAGCACAACTGAAACTTTAAAATGAACATTTCAATAACGACAGAATTACTCCTGGGAACAGCATATCGCCCCAGGTTACAATGTTACAGTTATGTCACAGCTACTTCAAAGCTTTTCCACACGGCACTGCTACAGCACAGATCTGCTTCCGAATCATATCCATCTTCCCGAGGCAAGATAGTTAACTGACTATAAAAGTCCAGTTTCCACCCTTGGCGAACTAGGTTGGAATTCCTGGGCTCGATCGTAGCTCCACCAGTGGCTATTACCAGTTATGTCCCTTCCACCCTCACGTGAGCACCTTGATTTAAAACATGAAAAGATTTGGAAAATAACTGTTGATATCGAGTTGGCGGTGCACATGCATTGCAAATCCTGCAATCGACCGAAATCTGCACGACAGTTTACGAACCGGATTTCGATTTCGGTGCGCCAATTTGATTGGACTATGAACAAACTCGTTAGTCCAGCCAAAATTTAACATTACTCCATAATACCAGCCTAGTTCGGCAAGATTGGAAACTGGACTTTTATAGTCAGTTAACTCTCTTACCTCGGGAAGATGAATCATATCACACCTATGTCACAGTTATAAAACATATATTTCACAGCATGTCTGGTGTCCCCCACCGTGATATTGCTGGCATATTGCTAGAAGTAGTATAAAACAATACTCAGTCGCTCAATTTCACTGTTATTTTACAGTCATATAAAACCTATTTTTACAGTCATATCACAGCTATTTCACAGTCATATCACAGCTATTTCACAGTCATATCACAACTATTTTATAGTTTCGTACATCCGCATAATGAACGTGTAGTAATTCCTATCCGGGTACTGCAGTGCGTCACCTGATAGGACATTTCCCGTGTGATGCACACGATCAGCATAAAAATCCAATGATGAGTCTGTTTATGAAATTGTTCACATGACTGAACATGTTCTTCTTAGTTTGGACACCTTCTTCTCATACTTCTCCAGTTCTTTGAGGTAGGCCACTGGCGGCCATCGGTTCTCCTCCACGTATACCTTGTTGTCGCCTTTCAACATGATGAACTCTGACCTCTTGGAGAACGCTATGTAGTTGGACGAGATGAAGTGCAGGCACCATTTAGACAGCTGCGCGGCGTTGTGGCGCTACAAAAAACCCGTAACAAGCAAGCAGAGGTAAGGCTACCAAAAACCGGCTGCATATATTTACAAGAAGGGAATCGAACCCGGGTCTTTGCCATGCCGGACAAATAGTAGACTGTGCTACCCAACTGCCCACGTCCTTGATCAATTTCTCTGTGTTTACTGGTGAAGACTTTCGGGTTTTCTGAAAGTTGAAACGACGTAAAAGTTAAGTAACTGAGTCTCACGATAGCGTTATCTTCATACTGAATATAACCCTACCTGTGATGTCAGTAGGAGGCCGATGACGTCAATGTCGGACTTCTTGATGTTCTTGGTACAGCTCCGGTCAACTTCCTTGGTGATGTATAACTCACACAGGTTCACGAGGCGAGGTTGACAGTATTCATCCGCCAGGACTAATATCCCGACCGCATCACCACCTTCAATCGGGGCGTGGTCTGTGTAGATATACTCCAATAACGCAAGCAAACACTCGTAGCTTGTGTTTGGAATCTTCACCTGGAACAAAACCAGTGAATTTCTAAATTTCATCTTCTAACAATCAATATATATTTTCTAATATATCATTTCTTTATCCTTTTACCACTTAAGGGAACTGAAGAGCTTTCACATTACACAAATGTACGACCCATTTCTCTTCACAAATGTTCTATGAGAATAGATTATATAAAATCACGACCCATGAAGATCTAGACGGAGAACAGGTTTCAGCAACGCATACTTTCAAAAAGAAGCGTCTATGCTTGTCGTAAGATGCGACTAAAGGGATCGGGTGGTCAGGTTCGCTGACTTGGTTGATGCATGTCATCGTATGCCAGTTGCGTAGAGCGATGCTCATGATGTAAATCCCTCGATTGTCTGGTTCAGACTCGAATATTTACAGACGGCCGTCATATAGCTGGACTATTGCTGAGTGCGGCGTTAAACAACAAACAAACAAATAATTTATATATAAAAAATCTATAAAATCACACTTTGTCCACTGAGTGTTTGTTTACGTACAAATCAATAATTATATTACCGTGCCGACTTTACAGATTAATAATAAATATTCACGATGATTTGCAGATGCGAGGACATACCTTGCACATTCCCGACTGAAAAGCCTCCATGAAGGCACCTCCAAACATGGCGGCCATGACGTCACATCGAGACATGAGGACTACCTTGTGTGCGTACACCTCGAAACCTGAATCAGATGACCTCGGACTCACAAAGTATCCAGCACGAAACAGACCATCAAAGTTACATAATCGTTTAAACACAAGCAGACATAGTATCATGAGCTTCCAAAAACATTGAAATTACAATAGGGTAGTGCCCGCCTTTACCTCCAATGTCGAAAACCACATCAGCTTCCTCCGGTTGGTTGAAGTACAGCTCCTTCATCTTGGCCGCCGTCTCGTCGTTGAGGAAGGTGCTGATTGTGGAATTAAGGATATCCTCGTCGTTCAACACGTTGCGGCAAATCGTTACCAGCTGGGGATATCTGAATATCTTGGCCACCCTGATGAGGTCTTCAAGGTGTTCATCACTGACATTATCGGACAGTCGGGGAGTTCCTGTAAAACCAGAAAGGAAATGTTCTCATGGACTCCTGTAAACGTGCGCCTGCTATTTTCTGAGATGGAATTCACAGAGACTCGAACTAGCAACCAGCAACTACTCAATATGTGGAAAAAACACGGTATTTCCTTCTGACTGCATGACCTCGGAAGTTCCACGACATACAAAGGCCATGTAACTCCGACACGTAACATTATTTTTGTCAGGAGAAAGGCCCCCTTTATCCTAATCCAGGTCGAAAACTCTAAACCCTAAGACCGAGTGGTTACAAAGTCTGACCTGGCTAACTGTTTGCCATCTTACCCCGATGATATGGGCCGTTGCTTGTGCTATAAAGCAGCTGTTTGCTTGACCTGGACTCGATTTTGCAAAGACCATTTATACAGCTTTGAACTACTGCATAAAACTTCATACACTAACTCGACTTCGTGCTATTTAACACAGAAAAGGGCGGGGAAACAAATGCCTACCCGTATAGAGGAACTCCAGCACGTGTGTGAATGTGGCGGCAGTGATGTCAGCGCTGAGCTGAATAATGACGTGACCTGGCTTTGTCTTACAGTCTGTGTCGGACACAAAGGTGATGCCCTCCACCTTGCCAGAGTTGAGGTCCTCCCGGGTCATGGCCTCTGTCCCCTTGACATTTGCCAGCTGGTTGGTCTGAACAAAAATCGTAGTTTGAATATTTGAACACTGTTTGAAGGGCATCTCAAAAGAACATATCTCTCCGTTTCATTGTCCGGACTCGTCACCTAAAAACAACCGGGATCAGTTGAGGTCATCCCGGGTTATGACCTCTGTCTCCTTGACCTTTGTCAGCCGCTTGGCCTGAATAAAAACACTACCTGTTGAATATTTAGATACAAAACACAGATGAAAGGTCACATATCTGCGTCTTTGGTGGAGCATGGGTTATTAAAGAGGATAGACTCGTACAATGTGTAAAACCCATCTCTCCCGTCGTAATGTTGCCTGAATATTGATAAAGTCTGCTTATATATCACTCATGCACCTTTAGCAAAACTGTGTATCAAGGTATTCCGTAATGTTACCATAACGTTTGTTTTTACCAGAAAAATACATTCTGAAAACCATCGAGATGGCCAATTATTGGCAATGAAACATCACAACGACGCATTACCTTTCTCGTCACTGGCAGCTGCAGGATTTGGGCGAAGAACTTTGAGGCTGAGGACAACAGGAGCTTGTGGGCGTCCAGTTGATGCCTGTCCCCCAGGAGGAAGGTGACGTCCGAGAACTTGGGGTACTCCAGGAGTTGGTACCAGTGTTCAGCAAACTTGGACGCCTCTATCTCCGGCAACGGGGCTGGCTCTACAGTGGCATCATGGTGATTATTTACAAATACCTGACGCATGGAAGATATTAACTATAAAGTAATACTTCACGATGCCAGACATCGGTCAAACGGTAGTTTGAATCCATTAGTTACACATGTTGAGTGAAGTCAATCATTTTAATATCAACACCGAGATGTGCCCTGAACGTGAGTTCGAATTTTAGATTATGATTCTTAGTTTATAAGCACCATAACCGCACGTGTGGATTTTGGCAACGTAGTATATGATGCACATCTTAGATCTGCTTCAGAAGATAACTGAAAATCCGTCAAACGGAGATAAATCCAACTCACTCATTCATTCACTCGTTCCCTCAAAGAAAGTTAATTAACAGACGGCGATCTCATGAAATAAAGTCGTACAGATATCTCATACACTGCTGTATTAGTGTCCCCGTGAAGATTCCGGGCTAGAATAGGTCTTAAGGAACCCATGCTTGCCGTAACAGGCGACTATGCATGTCGTAAAAGGCGACTAAAGGGATCGGGTGGTCAGGCTCGCTGACTTAGATTGATGCATGTCATCGATCCCAATTGCGTGGATCGATGCTCATGATATCAATCACTGGATTGTCTGGTCCAACTGTATTAGTGAGTACAGTGTCTACAATGTAATTTCGGCTATTTTTAAGTTACTGTTTGTGTAGTAGAGTGTACATACCTGCAGGTGGCTTTGCTGGAGGAAGCGGCAGGGGATTCTTAAATTTTTTTGACCTGTCTCGCTTCTTCCTGGCTTCATCATACTTAAATCCAAGTTTGACCTGAAAGGTATCCATGCATCATTCACCAGTGACATACAAGACAATCCATCATTTCAGTCCGGTCACAATTATTTGTTACAGTATATTGTACAATCAAAATATCTCGGGATCCGGGGATAATACAATGCATCTGAGGTTGGGTGGGGACTGCATATATCTAATGAAAGGTAAGAAAACGTACTTACGGCTCCCTCGAAACATTGCTGAAAACCTGTCATAGCTTGGGCACTTGTTTCAAAGTAATTCGCTCCCAATGACCAAGCTAATGCTGAGCCTTCTTTGTAGGACACTTCTGTCTTGTCACCGACACCATCACGCAAGTCTGGAATAACAATGTACATTACACTACGGTTATGACGAACTTAAAGGGATCACTAATTTTAGTTCGTTATAACCGTTGTTCATAATGAGCATATTTGCAGCATATACTAGTATACAGCACATGGTCAGGACAAAAAAATAAGTTTGTTATATCCGTCAGTTCGTCATAAGCGTGTTCGTTATAAACGTAGTTTACTGTATATAAGTTGTCGGCTTACCTCGAGGGGAATATGGTTTGACGGACCCTCTGTGCCTTCAGCGAATTTATCTTACAGCCATGTTTTCATTTATCACAATTTGATCATGATTGAAATCGTTTGTTTGTCGCCATAATGCCACACAACAATGTGTTTAGGTTTAGCTCCGGCGCATTGAGTACATCTAAATCTGCGTTATTATACATATCGGGACGCCGTTGTACGGAGCTTGAATGGCAAAATGCCTACGGACCCGTGGTTGATATTGTGAGCAACGAAACGAAGACTCACAACCAACAGAGTCACAGAGCCTGACCACCCGAATCAATAGGTCACCTTGTACAACACATGTTGCTGGTGGTCAAACACTGACCTACAGAGGGCGGTAGTGCTCTACCTCTGACCACCCGAATCAATACGTCGCCGTGTACAACACTCGCCTGTCTTGCAGCCGACGATTACTCTTGCCTTATAAGGGCAATGGAGATCTACTTCCGGGTACCACTTCTTACGGATGTTCTTGAAGGAGTCTCTGTTCGTGACATCAAAACACACGAGGAACACATCGGCCTGGGGGTAGGACAAGGGGCGGAGCCGGTCATAATCCTCCTGGAGATATAAGCAGAAACAAAACTTCTTTTAGGATTATTTTTTTTAAAAACAAAGGACATGTAATCGCCATCTAATATTCGGGCTTTGAAGAAGGCAGTTTCTCCGTGAATGGAACCCGTACTGAGTGTAAGAGGTGATTAAATGGATCGGGTGGTCAGGCTTGGTGACTTGATTGCTAATGTGTCATCGTCACCCGACGGCGTGGGACGTTGGTCATAATGAAGGTGTTCATGACCGCTACATTAATACTGTTACGGTTTTATGATAAACACTTTCTCTTAAGGAGCTCACGCCACCACTACCACTCAACCCCCCCCCCCCCCCCCACACACACACACACCCACACACCCACACACACACCCGACCCCACCCCCACCCCCTCTTCCGGAATGGAGCCTGTGCTGAACGCAATTAGAAGACAAGTCTTCCCAACTGCTTCGTCACCGACAGCCACCAGTTTGAAAGTTGTCATTAAGCTGTCAATACTAGAGTTTAGTAAACTAAACGAGGAAAGGAAAGCATACACTTGAAAATAGGATTTGACCAACAACAGTACACTTACGGTCCCAAACTTAAAATGATACCTGTGTCAAATATATTGCCATGGGATAACCATGTCTACATATCAACATAACATGTGTACCTTGAGGCTTTATCTCACAACGCTCTTCCACACTGATTCAAAGCTGAAATAACATACCGGGTGGATATAATACCTTTATAAACCAGCGATATGACTTATGAATACACGTCAATCGCGGTCCTGGTTCCTGTTACTATGTTTAGATATTATTTGCGAACATTCATGAAAGAAAGTAGATGACGCAGTAAACTGTCATGGCCGACACCTTGACGTTTAACAATGAAACCTTAATAACACAGTTCGAGGCTGTACAATAGTGAGTTCAGAATTAGGGACCTACCATTTTATATACCCTGAAGTGTCTGTAGGGGGTGAGTGTCTGGGATTTTATCCAAAACAAATTATCATGGGAAAAGCTTTAAAGAGTGAGTGCGTGATTGAATGTATTTTTACGCCGCTTTTAGCATTATTTCAGCAATATCATGGCGGGGGGGGGGGGGGGGGCACTCGTGAAGAGCAACCGGGTTGGAATATGTCCACAGCACCCCATTGCTGGTCGTAAGAGGCGATCAAAGTGGGCAGCCCGTTTGCCGTGGGTTGCGTCCCTGTGTCGGCGGAGGACGGGAGTCTGGTAGTTGAGGGCACTGGTTCCTGGAACTGTGTTCCTTTGCCCAACACACTACTTCGACCCTTACTTCGCCTAGACGGGTGGTAAGATGGGCCCGGTCTTATCAATCGGCTGGTCATGCCAGGCCCTGTGCGTAATATTGTATATGCACACCTGTGTTGTATGATAATGTATATTTTGGTCTTGGCCGTGCATTATTTGTATGAATTCTCAATTTTGGATTGAATAAATTGCCTAGAGTCTTACGCCAGAAGGCGGTGGCTCAAGGGCCAATCTGGTGATGTTGACCTCTGTATTCTGTATGTCTCCAGTTTCTTGTTATGGACTGAACCTGCCTGGCACTACATCTGGTAGATAAATATAGCTATTCAAGTCATATTTGCTGGAGTATAACATCCCTGTATCCCTGGTGTTTGCATCCTGGATATCCGGTGCAATATAACACTGTCCTTGTTGACAGTCGATGGTGGGTGGGGAGCAGGGATGCTGAAACTTATACTTACAACATGTCTCTAAATCTGCACTCTGGTTCTTCAAATACAAACAAGCGTAGGCATACAGATTCTGTCTCGTCTGATGAAGATGTCTCTCCACAAGTGGCCGATTCTTGGCCTAGGTTCATCGTCATTTTATCCGCTGATGGCACTCCTTTAAAGCTCAATCCTTTTGTCATCTCCAAGGGAATCCAAAGTACCTGTGGGGAAGTCAAGAATGTCACACGTCTTCGTTCTGGCTCAATCCTTGTTAATGTACACGGAGACAACAATCCGTTAATTTGCTATCTCCAGCAGTTTGTTAACACAAAGGTTGTTGTCTCAGTGCACAAGACACTGAATTCTTGCAGAGGTATTTTGAGAGATCGCGCTCGCTGTCTGTCAGACATGGCAGAAGAGGACATAGCAGATGAATTAAAAAATCAAGGCGTCACCGCAGTTAAGCGTTTTACCAGGAAAACACAGGAAGGAACTATTGTTAACACCCAGACTTATCTGTTCACTTTTTCAATGTCCACTATTCCAAAATCAATTAAAGCTGGCTACTTTAACATCGGAGTTGAGGTTTATATCCCAAATCCACTCCGGTGTTACAATTGTCAAAAGTTCGGCCATGGAGCTAAATTTTGTTCTACTAAGGCACGATGTTTCCGTTGCAGTGGAACTCATGAGAGTTCAGACTGCACAAATGAAATCAAATGTGCCAACTGCAACGGAAAGCACTTGTCCTCATCCAAATCCTGTCCTGTATTTGAGCAGGAAACTAAAATCTTGAAACTCAAATGTACAAACAACATTTCCTACACAGATGCCAACAAATTACTCCTTCCATCGCAAACTTCTACCAGTACTTATTCAGCTGCTGTGTCTTCTCCTACTCCAGCTGTCACATTTCAACGTCCTCCACACAAACTGATATCTCGTGGATACAGGATAAACAAATTACTATTGAGGAGACCAGTAAGACATCTCGAAATGACCCATCCAAAGCAAAATCAGCTTCTCAAACAGAGACTCTCTCACCAGAACCTACTACAACTATTCGTTCAGAACCAGACACCGTAATTGAAACTGTTCAGGGCAAAGCCCACATATCAAGGATGAACAAAAAACAATCGAAGAAGAAACGCAAGCCAATCTTTCTCCTACAACAACTATTGAGGTTCATAATCCTTTTGAACCTCTGGAGATGGAGGTTAGTCACTCAGTCCCAGCTCATGGGAATGGACCTCCCTCCCGCTCACGATCTCCAGTTGAGCCGCCGTGAGTAGCTCTTCTCACATTATCCAATGGAATTGCAGAGGACTAAGGAACAACTTAAATGATTTACAATTATTAATTCAGGATTATCAACCATCAGCACTGTGCTTACAAGAGACGTACTTAAAAAATACTGATTTAATTGACATCAGACAGTATGATTCGTATCATTTCTATTCACCTCCAGCTGCTAAAGTCACTGGAGGCTCTTCTGTCGTGGTGAGGCAGGGTATTATACATAGCCTTGTTCCTCTTAATACGCCACTTCAAGCTGTTGCTGTTCGGTTAACTTTAAACTTTGTTTTCACGTTATGTTCTCTTTATGTACCTCCATCTTCGACTCTTCAAATAATTGATCTTCAAGCCCTATATGACCAGCTCACCAAGCCCTGTATCATCATGGGAGATCTCAATGGGCATAATCCACTTTGGGGTGGTACTGCTACAAACCATAAAGGGAAAATATTAGAAGACTTTATTTCGAACAATGACATGTATTTTTAATGATAACTCTAAAACTTATTTACATCCCGGTACAGGCACATATTCATCTCTTGATTTATCACTCACAAACTCTGAACTATTAAATGAATTTGAATGGTCAGTCCACGGCGACCTCTGTGGAAGTGACCATTTCCCGACTATTCTTCAAAACATAACTCCATCTGATGTTCCTCCATCATCAAGATGGAACTTCAGTAAAGCTGATTGGTCGTTGTTCGAATTACTCTGTGAAAACAAGTTACATCCTGGTCGTTTTATTGATGTTCCTGATTCAATACAAATGTTTTCTGATGAACTAGGGGCGGTCGGGTAGCCTAGTGGTTAAAGCGTTCGCTCGTCACTCAGAAGACCCGGGTTCGATTCCCGACATGGGTACAATATGTGAAGCCCATTTCTGGTGTCCCCCGCCGTGATATTGCTGGAATATTGCTAAAAGCGGCGTAAAACCATACTCACTCACTCACTCACTCTGATGAACTAAATCACATAGCTGATGAATTTATTCCTAAGTCCTCTGCTAATCCACACATCCGTAAACCATAGTTTAATGATACTTGCGAACAAGCTAGGAAGGCACGGAAGAAAGCTGAAAAGTATTTCCGTCACCATCCTATGGTACATAATTTAAATAAATTCAAAATTGTAAATGCTAAAGCACGGCGTACGTTTAGGCAAAATAAACGCATGTCTTGGCAAGCTTATGTTTCAAAAATAAATTCACGTACGCCAATGTCGAAGGTCTGGAACATGATTAAAAAAATCAAAGGTAAGGGATCTAAATCTGGTATCCACCATCTTCAAAATGGGAATGAATTATTAACTGATAAATCAGATATTGCTAATAAACTGGGTGAAACTTTGGCTAAACATTCTTCCTCATCAAATTATGTACCTCAGTTCCAAAAATACCAAAAACAGCAGGAAAAGAAACCTATTAATTTTAATTCAGATAATGGGGAAGATTACAATGAAATATTTTCTATTCATGAACTACATACTGCCCTTGGACAAGCTCATGATACTGCTACTGGAGCTGATAACATACATTATCAACTCCTGAAGCACTTACCAGAATCATGTTTACTATCTCTGTTAAATATTTTTGATAAAATCTGGACGACAGGAAGTTTACCACCTTCATGGCGTGCGGCTATTGTTGTTCCAATACCTAAACCAGGACGTGATCACACCGATCCATCAAATTATCGTCCAATTTCATTGACAAGCTGCGTTTGCAAAACCATGGAACGCATGATAAACAATCGACTTGTTTGGTACTTAGAAACCAATAATCTCATGACCAATATACAATGTGGTTTCCGTAAAAACAGAAGTACTATCGATCATTTAGTACGTTTAGAATCATTCGTTAAAAATGCCATAATAAACAAACAACATGCAGTGTCTATCTTTTTCGATCTCGAAAAAGCATATGACACTACATGGAAACATGGTATTTTAAAAGATTTACATAATTTTGGATTGCGAGGTCGTTTGCCTCAGTTTATATCCAACTTTTTAACAGACAGAAAATTTCAGGTCCGCGTGGGTTCCACTCTGTCTGATCATTATAATCAGGATCAGGGTGTCCCTCAAGGCAGTATTTTGTCGGTCACATTATTCAGCATAAAGATAAATAGTTTATCAAAAGTTTTAACTGATTCGATCGACGGATCACTTTTTGTGGATGATTTTCACATTTCCTGTCGTGGTAAAAATATGCATACTATTGAAAGGCAACTTCAATTATGCTTAAATAAAATTCATAAATGATCTCTTGAAAATGGTTTCAAGTTTTCAAAAGCTAAAACAAACTGCATTCATTTTTGTAGAAAGTATAAACCGCATAAGGACCCTGATATAGTTTTAGATGGTGTTCCTATCAAAGTTGTAAAAGAGGCCAAGTCTTTTGGTATTATTTTCGACCAGCACATGACCTTTCTGCCACATATTAATTATATAAAGACTAAATGCCTGAAAGCATTGGATTTATTAAAAGTAGTTTCAAATTCAAAATGGGGAGGGGATCAGAAAACCCTCCTCCAACTATACAGAACGCTTATCCGCTCTAAACTTGATTACGGCTCCATTATCTATGGTGGAGCATGTAAAAGTAATTTGGAAAAACTTGATTCTATTCATCATCAGGGCCTGAGGCTTTGCCTTGGAGCGTTTAGAACGTCACGGTTCATAGCCTGTATCTGGAAGCTGATGAACCATCACTTCAACAACGTCGTATAAAGTTATCTTTACAGTACATTTCTAAATTGCATTCTAATAACTCCAATCCAGCCTTCGGTTGTGTTTTTACTCCCCTCTATGAAGAACTCTACAATAAAAAAATCAAGTCTTACTCCACCCCTTGGAATAAGAATAAAACATCATATTTCAGCTGCTAAAATACATCTTGACAATATAGCTCCCACAGAACTTTTGTCTTCCCCGCCATGGCAATTGGTAATGCCAGAGGTGGATCTATCCTTAACTAAATTCAGGAAATCGGAAACAAATCAGCTTATTTATCAACAAGCAAATATGATACTTATAAATCTATATTTACCGATGGATCTAAGGATGGTGACGCAGTTGCCAGCGCCACCATCATTGGATCCAGGACTATATCTTCAAGACTTCCAGATAACTGTTCCATTTTTACAGCCGAATCAAAGGCCATATTAACAGCATTAGAGTACATAAGTAAACATTCCAAACATAAGCAATATATTATATTTTCAGATTCTCTTTCTTGTCTTCAGGCAATTAAAAATCAGTCTTGTAAGCATCCACTTTTAATTGAAATTATTGAATTATTAAATGTTCTTGCTACTGGCCAGTGCGACATCGTTTTTTGTTGGTTACCCAGCCATGTTGGTATTGTTGGGAACACAATGGCCGATGCTGCTGCAAAAGCAGCACTCAACAAATCTGTGACACCACTTCTTATACCCTATAGTGATTATAAACCTGTTATTAGATCTTACATCCGAGATCTAATGCAGAAGAAGTGGGACACCCAAGTAGACAATAAATTACATGAAATTAAACCCACTACTGGTTACACCTACTTGGGTTGTCAGTCCAGATTTGAAGAGGTCGTATTAAGACGATGTCGTATTGGCCACAGCAGATATACGCACGAATATTTATTAAAAGGTGAGGATCCTGCGTTTTGCATCCCTTGTGATGAAAGAATGACGGTCAAGCATGTCCTGCTTGACTGTGTTGATTTTTCCATCACAAGGGATAAATATTTCAAGATTACATCTATGAAGGATCTTTTTAATATCAGTTCTCATTTAGTTATTGGTTTTTTAAAAGAAATTGAATTGTTCCATAAATTTTGATTAATATGTTGTGTATATAATATAGTGTTTTATAATTGGCAGAATAAATGTGATAACTGAGATTGATAGTGGCTGTATCCTCGAAGGGGGTTGAAGTAATGTAAAATTATTGTCCCCTGGAGAGGGTATGTAAGACCACGTCTTTCAAAGTAGATTTATTCTTACGATATCTTTTAACCGTAGAATATATGTTGTTTTAATTTGGCTAAATGAGTTAATAATTGCCAACACCTGAAGGGATGATGTAAATCCAGCTGGGGTCCATGCAGGTAGCAAATGTACTATAAGTCCCCATGGTCCCCAGTATGGTGATCTACCTTCAGTTGTTGGAGATCATAGCCTGTTTTTATAATGTATTGTTATGTATCGTAATATCAATTTTATGATTCCATACTAGTTTTAAATATTTCTCTGTGATAAATCTAGTTATTTTACTGCCCATCGTTGGCAGGTTTTTATGTACGTTTTCAAAGTATTTATAATATTTAACCTTTGATAGTCACGATATGGCTGAAATATTGCCGATGTGACTTAAAACTTAACTCACTCACTCACTCATGGCGGGGGACACCTGAAATGGGCTTCACACATTGTACCCATGTCGGGAATCGAACCCGGGTTCTTGGCGTGACGAGGGAACGCCTTACAAACTAGGCTACCCGACCGCCCCAAAGCTTTAAAGAAATAATTGTGCTGTTAAATTGTTTTTGTCTACCACAAAGAATATATTGTTCTTAGGTGTGTGTTTTAGTCAATGTGTAGGCTCGTAGTTTTTCTGAAAGTAAAATATCCGGTTTTGCAGGTGTAGCTAAAAAAATATCTAGTCTCCACATAAAATATTTCATTTATTGAATTTTGAATCAGTATGCTTTTCAAGACTTTTAGGCCCACGATGACATATTATACCAATGTCAGATAATAACTGTAGTATAATATATTTTACACATTAGTATACTTTAGACTAAATTAAATATTGGAGCGTGTTTAGTTCAGGTGATTAATATAAGTTATCTATCTGTATAGTATAGTGTTCATGCATGTTTGTGTGTGTAATTCAGATACATTCAAGTTTGTTTACGACACACGAGAAAGTAATCACATGTCAAATTTATAAGGTATTAATTATATGAATAGGCGTAATGCGTTAGGGTTTAGGTCATATTCTGCAACTTGTCACGTCAACAGACTCAATCATCACATTCGCACTTATCAATGTGAGGAATCGAACCGGGGTCTTCGTCGTGAGAATGAAACGCTATACTACTCCAAGGTCCCGCCAAATACAAGACGAAGGGACAGAGTTATGTCCCTTCAATAGTGGTTGAATCAACGGTGTTTTGTATCTAAATATTAAAGAAAAGGCGCTTTTCTTTTCAGACCAACAAGCTGGCAAAGGTCAAGGGGCAAGGCCATGAGCCGAGAGGACCTCAACTCGGGCAAGGTGGAGGGCATCACCTTTCTGTCCGACACAGACTGCAAGACAAAGCCAGGTCACGTGACTACTCAACTCAGCGCTGACATCACTTCCGCCACATTCACACAGGTGCTGGAGTTCCTCTATACGGGTATGCATTGGTTTCCCCGTGAGAATTAGAACCTGGGTGATTGGATAAAGGTAATCTTGTTTTATGGAGCAACGAATCTAAACCTTGGGTATACAATGACAGACACTCAACCATATCCCTCCATTTTAACAACGATCCTTGTTCTGATTACTTCTTATGAGTGAGTTGGTTTTAGAGGCGACTAACGGGATCGGGTGGTCAGACTCGCTGACGTGGCTGATGCATGTCATCGTTTGTTTTTGTCTGGTCCAGACTTGATTATCTACAGACCGCCGTCATATAGCTGGAATATTGCTGAGTGCGGCGTTAAACAACAAACAAACAAATCAATGTATTACAAAACATGCGGACCTATTATTGGGCTAATAGGTTACACAACACCTCGTGATTATTTATTCATGTTTATTGCGACTATATACATGTATATATGTAACTAGGGTAAAATACAACAGTTAACACATACTTTGAGCATAGAATACATCGTGTGCCAACACCTTAATACGTATCTATATTATCCAAGTGAGTGATTGAGTTGGGTTGACCATCGCATTCAACAGTATTTCAGATATATATCGGCGTGTCAACTTGATGTGGGAGAAAAATATGAAGTGGCGCCATAAGTTTACCGCTTTTGAGATACCCACGAGCACGGGTATGGTGTCGACAAACCTAGAAACATAATCAAGGGGAATAGTGGATTCGAACCCAAGATCATAGGTTTCTTGCTCTGTGGCGTCTTGAAAGCCCTGTCATCATTGTACCCGGCTCTTATGCTGTGGACCTGGGGACCAATTCTCACACACGATCATAGGTTTCTGAGATGCCTTTGTGACATAGGTTTCTGCACATGGAATTGTCGCGCCTAAGGCGCAATATACGAACAGAAATCACAACTCATTAGGACATTGGGTGACATTACTCAAAGCAACCATATCAGAGCCATATTTCAGCTTTCAATCCAAAGTTTCAACACCCGTGACAACTGTTGAAAATACGTCATGTGTCGGCATTCGTGACCAACTCGTGTTATTCCGGGACAAGCCGAATAGCTTCGTGATGGTCACGGAAAGGGACGAGCGGTGACGAAGGTGGGGAACAGGTGGTTTTTCTGCCTCTTCGTGCTGAATGTGTTTCACGCAAACCAAACCGAGGCTGACAAAACAATCGCTTCCCATGACGTCAAGTGATGAAAGTAATTTCCGGGTGATTACTCTGGCAGCTCAAGCTTCTTGTGACGTCAGAGTCTGTTTATGAAATTGTTCACATGACTGAACATGTTCCTCCTAGTTTGGACACCTTCTTCTCATACTCATCCACTTCGTTGAGGTAGGCCGCTGGCGGCCATCGGTTCTCTTCCACGTACACCTCGTTATCGCCTTTTAACATGATAAACTCTGACCTCTGGGAGAACGCTATGTAGTTGGACGAGATGAAGTGCAGGCACCATTTGGACAGCTGCGCAGCGTTGTGGAGCTACAATAACATATAGATGCCTACAGTTAGTTAACGATTAGTTAAACATAAAAAGTACCTGACATAACCCGGGTCTTCGCCATGACGAGTGAAAATGTTATCCTCTATGTTACTCGATCGCCCATATTGAATGATTAGTTTGGTTAAACGCCTCTTAAACAGTATTTCCGTTGTCTCCGCTGTCAGCTTCTTGTACTCGACGTGATGCAGGTCTAAGACGGGAAACACACAAGAAATCGACATGGTGCTGACAAACCAAGAAACATAATCAGGGTGAATTTTGGATTCGAACCAACAATCATTGGTTTCTGTCACGCCTGAGACGCAAGTTTTAACCGCAGATCGCAGTAGTGCCTTAGTAAGCTGGGTCTCCTGTACCGTAAGACCCGTGAAGGTCCGGGGTAGAATAGGTCTTCAGCAACCCATGCTTGCTGTAAAAGGCGACTATGCTTGTCGTAAGAGGCGACTAACGGGATCGGGTGGTCAGGCTCGCTGACATGGTTAATGCCTGTCATTTGATCCCTCTGGCGTGGATCGATGCTCGTGATGTCAATCACTGGATTGTCCTGTCCAGACTCCATTACTTACATACCGCCGTCATATAGCTGGAATATTGCTGAGTCCGGTTAATGAATAAACAAACAAACAAATCGTCCCAAATAAGTAAAAGAATGTAGTTTTATGATCGCACAATCGTGATGATTTTTAGAATTCCTACCTGTGCTGTCAGCAGGAGTCCGATGACGTCAATGTCGGACTTCTCGATGTTCTTGGTACAGCTCCGGTCAACTTCCTTGGTGATGTACAACTCACACAGGTTCACGAGGCGAGGTTGACAGTATTCATCCGCCAGGACTAATATCCCGACCGCATCACCACCTTCAATCGGGGCGTGGTCTGTGTAGATATACTCCAATAACGCGAGGAAACACTCGTAGCTTGTGTTTGGAATCTTCACCTGGAACAAAACCAGTGAATTTCTAAATTTCATCTTCTAACAATCAATATATATTTTCTAAGGTTGTGTTTTGAACTTTCAGCTGGAAGAAAATAGTTACCCATTGTTATGTTTCAAGAGCATGTACATGGCATATCCCAACTTCGGCTATACGTTTAGGCGTGTTTGAATAATATACATTTTTATAGGGTGATAGCAAATATAATTTCTACCAGATTTCACATTTAAAGTCAAAGCACAAGACAAGCTGTGTCTATCTCCAAATACCCTTTCAATATACACAATACTTGATCCATAAAATTATATAACCATACATAGTTTACTTACAGAAATTGTGACTCTTTAGGTGTATGTTTACAACTATACAATTGTCTCCACACATGGAATACCACTTTGACACTCTACGTGATTCATGACAAATCACGTGTTAATCACTAAATCTATATATGAACATACAGTCGAACTCCTTTGTCTCAAACTCGGTGGTGTCGAATCGTTAGTGTACGTTTCCATCATTAATACATCTATATGCGAATACGGGGCGGTGGGGTAGCCTTGTGGTTAAGGCGTTGGCTCGTCACGCTGAAGACCCGGGTTCGATTCCCCACATGGGTACAATGTGTGAAGCCCGATTTACGTGTTCCGTCGTGATATTGTTTCAATATTGCTAAAAGCGGCGTAAAACTATACTTACTCACTGACTGTTTGCGAATACGAGTTACGCAGCTGATGTAAACACAACGTTCAAAAAACCACAATCAAGCGAGAACATACCTTGCACATTCCAGACTGAAAAGCCTCAATGAAAGTACCGCCAAACATGGCGGCCATGACGTCACATCGAGACATGAGGACAACCTTGTGCGCGTACACCTCGATCCCTGGAACAGATGAGATCTCAAGACTCACTAAGTTTTCAGCACGAAAAAGATTCAAGGTTACAAATCATTTGAACCAATAAAAGGCACGTTTTCCTGCCTCGGCGTGAAGATGGGGGTGTTCATGCGATTCTAAAGCATTTCAACTACTATGAACTAGCTAATAGGTTTTACTGCCATCTATTTCATTTGAACAGAATGAAGCTAAGTCATGCCAAGAATACATTTACCGTCCAAAGCAGTACAGAAATACAACAATAATATACAGGTCTAAAGTTATACATGTTCGTTACATTTTGCAATGGATTATTTCTCGTTCTCACCTCCAATGTCGAAAACGACATCAGCTGCATCTGGTTGGTTGAAATAGAGCTCCTTCATCTTGGCCGCCGTCTCGTCGTTGAGGAAGGTGCCGATGCTTGGGTTGAGGAAGTCTTCCTCGTTCAACACGTTGCGGCAAATCGTCACCAGCTTGGGAAGTTTAAAGATCTTGGCCACCCTGATGAGGTCTAACAGGCGGTCATCACTGACGTCATCCGGCAGCCGGGCAGTTCCTGAAAATGCAGAAAGAGTGGATCATGCGGTGTACATCTTTAATATCTGATGCTAGTTTGGTAATAATGGGTCCCCGGGTCCCACAGCTTGTCATTAGAACCGCTGGCAAGGATGGCAGTGTTTTCTAGACGCCACAGTTCGTTCTGGAGAATCACGTGACTACAGAGTGCCAGAAACCTGTGATCGTGGGGTCGAATGTCAGATTCTTCCTGAATATGTTTCCAGGTTTCTCAGCACCATGCTCGATCCAACTCGTGGGTTTCGCCAAGGTGTTTGTTTATTTGCTGTTTAATGCCACACACAGCAATAGTCAAGCTATATGACGGCGATCTGTAAATAATCGAGTATGGACAAGACATCCAGGGACTGAGATCATGAGCATCGATCCACGCAATTGGGAAACGATGACATGCATCAACCTAGTCAGCGAGTCTGATCACCCGATCCCTTTAATCGCCTCGTACGACAAGCACAGTCGCCTTTTACGTCAAACGGAGGTTGCTGAAGACCTATTCTACCCCGGATCTTCACGGATCTATGTCACTTCTTACTTGACACGCCGTAAATAACCGAAATACAGTTGAAAGCAGCGTTAAAACCAACTCAGTCATCAGAAGCAATCAGAAGGATCGTTCTTAAAATGGCAGGACATGGTTGAGTGTCAGTCTTTGTGTACCAAAGGTATAGATCGTTTCTTGTACGATTAGCTGGTTTGACTGGCCCGAACCAATCTCATTAAAATCAGATCTTAGTTCTCGCTACAGCTAAACAAAGATCTGAGGACATCCCATTACGGGTCACGTCAGACCGACCTTGCGCGAACTTTGACCGACCAATGGAATGACCAATCAGAAGGCAGCTTTCTCGTCCTTTACGGCACTAATTTCAAATTGACGACTACGCTTCGAAACATATTTTGACAAATTCTCGATTACAAATTTGAAACCTGAACAAAAGAACATTCTGGAATGGCCAATAGATGGTCTAGATTGTATGAATTCACTCGTTAAACCTGTAACTATCGTTCGGAGTTAAAATTTTCGAGGTTGCATGATTAGAAATCCCATTCCGACTGTCACTTTCATAATCTGGTAAGCGATGCTCTGATTGGTCGGATGAAAGGTCGTTCTGACGTGACCCCTCATATCTTTGTTTAGCGGTAGCGAGAACTGAGGTCTGATTTTAAAGAGATTGGGCCCGAACAGTCTCGATAAAGCTGTTATATTACTGATTGCTCCATAAAACAAGATTACCTTTATCCAATCACCCAGGTACAAATTCTCTCATGAAAAGACGGGGAAAACAATGCCTACCCGTATAGAGGAACTCCAGCACGTGTGTGAATGTGGTTGCAGGGATGTCAGCGCTGAGCTGAATAGTCACGTGACCTGGCTTTGTCTTACAGTCTGTGTCGAACACAAAGGTGATGCCCTCCACCTTGCCAGAGTTGAGGTCCTCTCGGGTCATGGCCTCTGTCCCCTTGACCTTTGCCAGTTGGTTGGTCTGAAAAGAAAAGCGCCTTTTCTTTAATATTTAGATACAAAACACCAAAGCACCAAAACATTCAAAGCACTACTGAAGAGACATAACTCTGCCCCTTCGCATTGTATTTGGCGGGACCTTGGGTGGTATTGCGATTCATCCTCCGGTTCGATCCTTCACGTGGATACATTGGTGTCCCCGGCGTGATATTGCTTGAGTTTTGCTAAAGGCTGTTTATACCCATACACACTCAAACAATCTTTGAGCAAGACTATAACAGGTTACTTTGTAAGTTCATCCCAGGAGGATCAGGGTTAGAATTGGTCTTCCGCAACCCATGCTTGTCATAAGAGGCGACTTGCGGGATCGGGGGATCAGGCTAGCATGTTATCGCATCAGATTGCTTTGAACGATGCTCATGATGTCAATCACTGGATTTGGTCCAGATTCGATTATTTACATATCACCATCACATAGTAAGCTTGAATATTTCTGAGTGCAGCGTTAAACAACAAACAAACTCAGAAAAGGTCAGACCACACATGTATATCAAGCTTCTCGGGTACGAGAGTGAGAAGGGTCTGTTCTTGGAAATGGTATCAGACATTAGAACCACACAGGGTATGCATTCAACTACACAATGAACCATTACCTTTCTAGTAAATGGCAGCTGCAGGATTTGGGCGAAGAACTTTGAGGCTGAGGACAACAGGAGCTTGTGGGCGTCCAGTTCATGCCTGTCCCCCAGGAGGAAGGTGACGTCCGAGAGCTTGGGGTCCTCCAGGAGCTGGTACCAGTCTTCAGCAAACTTGGACGTCTCTATATCCGTCCACGGGGCCAGGCCTACAATATTTCAAGCTGGTTATGCGGTTACGAATATCAATACACCGAGCTCTTATACTTGTTATTTTACAATATTGTTATATTTCATATTTAATTTTCTGTCACTGGTCAAACGGTTTTTTTAAATCCAGGATACGCTGATTGTGCGATGAAATTTCATATTCGCCCTCTTTATAAGAGTTTGTTAGCACGACACCCATGCTCGTGGGTTTCACCAAAGTATATACGCCTGAGACCTGCTTCACGTCGGGATTCCATTATTATGTTTATACCTACTGAACTCATGTTCAAGCGGCGTTCGGCCAGTGAAGATCCGGGGTAGAATAGGTCTTCAGCAAACCATGCTTGCTGGAAAAGGCGACTATCCTTGTCGTAAGAGGCGACTAACGGGATCAGGTGGTCAGGCCCGCTGACTTGGTTGATGCATGTCATCGTATCCCAATTGCGTAGGTCGATGCTCATGATGTCAATCATGGATTGTCTGGTCCAGGCTCGATTATTTACAGACAGCTGTCATATAGCTGGGATAGTGTTGAGTGTGGCGTTAAAAAGCAAACAAACAAACAAATCAAACGCCGTTCAACCCGACTCATCCACTCGCGTTGTTCATTCAAAGGGAGATAACTAATAGCGGACCGTCTAAACACAAACACTGCACTTTTCTTTATGATTTCAATGTTAAAAACCTTTTCCGGATATTGTTAGGTTACTATTTGAGTGGTTGAGATCACATACCTGCCGGCGGCATGACTGGTGGGAGAGGCATTGGTTTCTTGGATCTCCCGAACATCATTCGCTTCGGGGCAGCAGGTCGGTTCAATGCAAATCTGATCTGAAAAAAGGTATATACCCATTATACACCAATCTCACTAATAACACTCCTGTCGTGTAAGATCTATGATATTATGTCCAAGCGATTATCATACGAACTCTGGTTCGAAATGCTGGCATACATATTTAGTGAAGCGTCAGTAAAAGGTCACTTACGGCTCCCTCTAAACACTCCTTCAGCCCCGTCAAAGCCAGAGCACTAGTGTCAAAGTACTGCATTCCAAGTGACTTAGCTAATGCTGAGCCTTCTTCATAGGACACTGCTGTCTTATCTTCGACGCCTCGACGTAAATCTGAAATACGACATACGGAACTACGAGATTTTGATAATATTTGACAAAGTAAATAAAAGTAAATAAAACGTTGACCACTATGGTGACTCTAACGAGGGATATATGGTTCAGACAAACCAAAAATCTTATCACGGCGAATAAGGGATTCAAAGCCACGATCATACATTTCTGGCAGGTCTAATGGACGCAACTATGCAAAACGAATTGGGTGCCTTATAAAATGACAACTGGGCCACTTGTGTCCCAATTACCCTTATACTTCTGTGTTTTACAAATTGGTAAATATCTAAATTATGCATTCATTCGGGTTTTACTCCAAAATCAAGCTAACACGCCGTAACTGACAAACCATTAAATGACGTTAAACAAACTCACTCTCACACTAAAAGTGTGAGTAAATATCAGATATTATTAAAAACATAAAGTTGGTGGATCGTCAAGTAGTCAGGGAAAATGTATGAGAACCTATATTACTGACCTGTCTTGCAGCCGACGATTACTTTTGGCGTGTTCGGGCAGTGGTGCTGTACTTCAGGGTACCACTTCTCACGGATGTTCTCGAAGGAGTCTCTGTTCTTTATATCAAAACACACCAGGAACACGTCGGTCCGAAAGTAGGACTGGGGGCGGATCCGGTCATAGTCCTCCTGGAGAATGATTTATATAAAATAACACTTATAACATTGCTTACTTCAAAACAGAAAACATACCGTATTTCCTCCATCAAGAACCCGGGTCCATATTATTTCAGGTTTTCCTGTTTCGCCCTTTTTTCTTACTGGTGCATGTTTTACAAAGTGTTGGAGACTACTGATGCATTTTCTCTGAATGAATACGCTATTTTTTTTACTTAATACTTTTTATTTATATCAACACTTTCAGCATTCAACAATCTTTGACGGGTCCAAAATATAGATCTATTAAGTCACAAGCGCGATGATGTAACTATGATATCGCTAACTGTGCCACTGCTAAATTTATACGCAGTTGTCAAATATTAAGGAATTGCGTGCATATTTGATGCTTTTAAAATGGGAAGATGATGAGTGAATGTTGTTTGATGGCTCAGTCAACGCCACTGCAATCTCATTAAAATCAGATCTTAGTTCTCGCTACCGCTAACTAAGATCTGATTTTAAAGTGATTGACACCATTGTATCTATATCACGGCAAATAATCGAGTCTAGGCCAGAAAAAAACCCTTTAAAATATGAAGAAAATAAATGATAAACAGACGCGCAAATTCATTGAGTTACAGATGATCATGCTTGATTACTTTACCTGCCCGGCAGTGTCCCACAGACCCAGGTTTATAGGCTTGCCGTCGACCATGACGTACGAGCTGTAGTTGTCAAACACCGTCGGGACGTACTCACTCGGGAAATTCCCCGTAGTGTAAGTAATGAAAAGACAACTCTTCCCAACTCCACCGTCACCGACAACTACAAGTTTGATATTCTGCATTTTACTGCAAAAACAACATAGAGGAAATAGTAAAGGTAACAGTTAAAACAAGACAAGACAATTATATCCATTCTATCATTGAATAATCAAGAAAGATAGAAATATAAATAATAGAAATACTAGCATTATGACTAACTTGATCGGGTGGTCAGGCTCGCTGACTTAGTTGATGCATGTCAACGTATCCCATTTGCTTACATTGATGCACATGATGTCAATCACTGGATTGTCTGATCCAGACTCGATCATTTACAGGCCACCGTCACACAGCTGGACTATTGCTCAATGCGGCGTTAAACAACAAACAAACAAACACTGCCAAAAAAATCACAGAGAAGCAAGGATGTCTATCATTAAACTGATAAATCTCAACAAACTTGCTTCGTAAATATAATGCACATGATATAGTATGTGTTAACATCACATATACTTACGAGGTTATATCTCCCAGCACCATATCACACTGATTCAAAGCTGTAGTAACATATGAGGTAGATATAATACCTTTATAAACCCGCGATATGAGTTAAAAATACCATCCAATCGTGTTGGAGTCTCCTGTTACTAAATTTAGATTCTATTTGCGGACATTCGTCAAAGGAAGTAGATGGCGCTGTAACCTGTCATGGCCGCCTCCTAGTGTAAAGTTTGACATTGAACCCTTCGCTGAACAGTTTGTGGCTGCACAGTATTCAGTATGGCATCATTGGTCGTTGAAAACATGCAGGCCGAACTAGGGGGTACGATCCAATATTTTCTTAATTGAATTTTTATCATGCGATGGTTGGTGTGGTAAAAAACAATAACGAAAAGGAGAATATTTCGTCGGTTGCGCACACCCCAAAGCTTGGGGACCGAAACATGCCATGTTGGCGTGATTTCCTTTCATTAAATCTTCCCCCCGCACATTTCCCGTCATCTTACACAAGTTGGGAAAATAAAAAGAACTCAGTTTTTTAACGCTAAAGATTTCCGAATGGAATTCTTGTTGCCAACTTGAACCTTTTATCAATGCAATTGGCATCTACTAGTAGAGTTGTCACCTCCGATCTCTCCTCTCCTATGACTGTTTTATTATTTTATCCTTATTAACTTAGAAATGTCACCAAAACATTGGCTATGACAGCTGTAAATCTCAGAAACCAGTGTGATGCTGAGCCATTAGAATTGAAAGTAATTAAATATTGGATTAGACTTACATGTAAGCCACATTATCACTACCCTTATCAGAGTTACTGGTTGCTGGTATCTTTAATGAGTAATGGAAAACACACATGAGCATCAGATGTCTGAACACTATTATTTTCTTGTCGTTTTTCCTATGTTTGGGTTTTCGGCCTACCTTTAGAATACAGTACCACAAACTTTTCAAACACGTGACATTACCCTATGATGTAATTTGTAGTTTCTTGTTGCAAGTCACACCGGCGAAACAATTCCCTGTGACGCCAGGGGTCATCAAGTGTGCATAAGCTCCTCCCAGTGATCTATCATCTCTACACGCAACACCCTATAACATATGATTTTGCAGATGTAGCTGATAAAATATCTAGTCTCCACATAATATATTTCATTTATGAATATTTATTTGTGTGTGTGTGTTGAATTTTGAATCAGTATACTTTTCAAGACTTTTAGGCGCACGAAGACACATATCATACCAATGTAAGATAGTAACTGTAGAATAATACATTTTATATATTAGTATACTTTAGGCTAAATTAAATATTGGTACGTGTTTAGTGCAGTTTAGGTGATTAATATAAGTTATCTCTCTATATCATATAGTGTTCATACATGCATGTTTGTGTGTATAATTCAGATACATTTAATTTTGTTTAAGACACACGAGAACGTAATGTCATATTAATAAGGAATTAATATAATATGAATAGGCGTAATGCGTTAGGGTTTAGTTACCTGATATTCTGCAACCAATTGTCACGTCAACAGACTCGATCATCCTATTCGCACGTGTCTCCGCGAGCTGGAGTTCCTCTATACGGGTATGCATTGGTTTCCACGTCATTTCATGTGAGAATTTGTACCTGGGTGATTGGATAAGGTAATTTTGTTTTATGGAGAAATCAGCAGTATGATAACTTTATCGAGACTGTTCGGGCGAGGCAAACCAGTCGATCGCACTAGGAACGATCTATAAAAAATGACAGACACTCAGCCGTGTCCCGCCATTTTAACAACGATCCTTGTTCTGATTGCTTCTCATGAGTGAGTTGGTTTTAACGCTGCTTTCATCAGTATTTCAGTTATATCACTGCCTGTCAGCTTGATGTAGGAGACAATTAAGAAGTGACAGACCTTTGAAGATCCGGGGAGGAATAGGTCTTCAGCAACCCATGCTTGCCGTAAATGGTGACTGTGCCTTTCGTAAAAGGCGACTAACGGGATCGGGTGGTCAGACTCGCTGACGTGGCTGATGCATGTCATCGTTGGTTTTTGTCTGGTCCAGACTCGATTATTTACAGGCCACGGTCATATAGCTGAAATATTGCTGAGTGCGGCGTTAAACAACAAACAAACAAATCAATGCATTACAAAACATGCGGACCTATTATTGGGCTAATAGGTTACACAACACCTCGTGATTATTTATTCATGTTTATTGCGACTATATACATGTATATATGTAACTAGGGTAAAATACAACAGTTAACACATACTTTGAGCATAGAATACATCGTGTGCCAACACCTTAATACGTATCTATATTATCCAAGTGAGTGATTGAGTTGGGTTGACCATCGCATTCAACAGTATTTCAGATATATATCGGCGTGTCAACTTGATGTGGGAGAAAAATATGAAGTGGCGCCATACGTTTACCGCTTTTGAAATACCCACGAGCACTGGTATGGTGTCGACAAACCTAGAAACATAATCAAGGGGAATATTGGATTCGAACCCAAGATCATAGGTTTCTGGCTCTGTGGCGTCCTGAAAGCCCTGTCATCCTTATACCCGGCTCTTATGCTGTGGACCTGGGGACTTTTTTATCACACACGATCATAGGTTTCTGAGATGCCTTTGTGACATAGGTTTCTGCACATGGAATTGTCGCGCCTAAGGCGCAATATACGAACAGAAATCACAACTCACTAGGACATTGGGTGACATTACTCAAAGCAACCATATCACAGCCATATTACAGCTTTCAATCCAAAGTTTCAACACCCGTGACAACTGTTAAAAAAACTATATGTGAATATTTACTACTCAAAAGAAGTTAAACAACACCCACTTTTTGTCATGTCATAACAGATCAACTTTAGTCATTTGAACAAATGGCATGTTCTTTAACTTCTTTTGAGTGGTGCATTAGTTTTGTCAGTTGAAAAAGGACTTTCTCGCGATGGTGTCAAAAACTGTGAGAACAGCTGCACTGATGCAACCACCAGGTTTGTAAATGCCACTAATAATAAGTTCTCTACATGTCAACATGTCGCTGGAACATGACGCGATCCAATTGGGTCGGCATTCGTGACCAACTCGTGTTATTCCGGGACAAGCCGAATAGCTTCGTGATGGTCACGGAAAGGGACGAGCGGTGACGAAGGTGATGAACAGGTGGCTTTTCTGCCTCTTCGTGATGCACGTGTTTCACACAAACCAAACCGAGGCTGACAAAACAATCGCTTCCCATGACGTCAAGTGATGAAAGTAATTTCCGCGTGATTACTCTGGCAGCTCAAGCTTCTTGTGACGTCAGAGTCTGTTTATGAAATTGTTCACATGACTGAACATGTTCCTCCTAGTTTGGACACCTTCTTCTCATACTCATCCACTTCGTTGAGGTAGGCCACTGGCGGCCATCGGTTCTCTTCCACGTACACCTCGTTATCGCCTTTCAACATGATAAACTCTGACCTCTGGGAGAACGCTATGTAGTTGGACGAGATGAAGTGCAGGCACCATTTGGACAGCTGCGCGGCGTTGTGGAGCTACAATAACATATAGATGCCTACAGTTAGTTAACGATTAGTTAAACATAAAAAGTACCTGACATAACCCGGGTCTTTGCCATGACGAGTGAAAATGATATCCTCTATGTTACTGGATCGCCCATAGTGAATGATTAGTTTGATTAAACGCCTCTTAAACAGTATTTCCGTTGTCTCCGCTGTCAGCTTCTTGTACTCGACGTGATGCAGGTCTAAGACGGGAAACACACAAGAAATCGACATGGTGCTGACAAACCAAGAAACATAATCAGGGTGAATTTTGGATTCGAACCAATAATCATTGGTTTCTGTCACGCCTGAGACGCAAGTTTTAACCGCAGATTGCAGTAGTGCCTTAATAAGCTGGGTCTCCTGTACCGTAAGACTCGTGAAGATCCGGGGTGGAATAGGTCTTCAGCAACCCATGCTTGCTGTAAAAGGCGACTATGCTTGTCGTAAGAGGCGACTCACGGGATCGGGTGGTCAGGCTCGCTGACTTGGTAGATGCCTGTCATTTGATCCCTCTTGCGTGGATCGATGCTCGTGATGTCAATCACTGGATTGTTCTGTCCAGACTCGATTACTTACATACCGCCGTCATATTGCTGGAATATTGCTGAGTGCGGTTAATGAATAAACAAACAAACAAATCGTCCCAAATAAGTAAAAGAATGTAGTTTTATGATCGCACAATCGTGATGATTTTTAGAATTCCTACCTGTGCTGTCAGCAGGAGTCCGATGACGTCAATGTCGGACTTCTCGATGTTCTTGGTACAGCTCCGGTCAACTTCCTTGGTGATGTATAACTCACACAGGTTCACGAGGCGAGGTTGACAGTATTCATCCGCCAGGACTAATATCCCGACCGCATCACCACCTTCAATCGGGGCGTGGTCTGTGTAGATATACTCCAATAACGCGAGGAAACACTCGCAGGTTGTGTTTTGAACTTTCAGCTGGAAGAAAAGTTACCCATTGTTATGTTTCAAGAGCATATACATGGCATATCCCAACTTCGGCTATACGTTTAGGCGTGTTGGAATAATATACATTTTTATAGGGTGATAGCAAATAAAATTTCTACCAGATTTCACATTTAAAATCAAAGCACAAGACAAGCTGTGTCTATCTCCAAATATCCTTTCAATATACACAAATACTTGATCCATAAAATTGTATAACCATATATAATTTACTTACAGAAAACGTGACTCTTTAGGTGTATGTTTACAACAATACAATTGTCTCCACACATGGAATACGACTTTGACACTCTACGTGATTCATGACAAATCACGTGTTAATCACTAAATCTATATATGAACATACAGTCGAACTCCTTTGTCTCAAACTCGGTTGTGTCGAATCGTTAGTGTACGTTTCCATCATTAATCTGTATATACATTCTATATGCGAATACGGGGCGGTGGGGTAGCCTTGTGGTTAAGGCTTTGGCTCGTCACGCTGAAGACCCGGGTTCGATTCCCCACATGGGTACAATGTGTGAAGCCCGATTTACGTGTTCCATCGTGATATTGCTTGAATATTGCTAAAAGCGGCGTAAAACCATACTTACTCACTGACTGTTTGCGAATACGAGTTACGCAGCTGATGTAAACACAACGTTCGAAAAACCACAATCAAGCGAGAACATACCTTGCACATTCCAGACTGAAAAGCCTCAATGAAAGTACCGCCAAACATGGCGGCCATGACGTCACATCGAGACATGAGGACAACCTTGTGCGCGTACACCTCGATCCCTGGAACAGATGATATCTCAAGACTCACTAAGTTTTCAGCACGAAAAAGATTCAAGGTTACAAATCATTGGAACCAATAAAAGGCACGTTTTCCTGCCTCGGCGTGAAGACGGGGGTGTTCATGCGATTCTAAAGCATTTCAACTACTATGAACTAGCTAATAGGTTTTACTGCCATCTATTTCATTTGAACAGAATGAAGCTAAGTCATGCCAAGAATACATTTACCGTCCAAAGCAGTACAGAAATACAACAATAATATACAGGTCTAAAGTTATACATGTTCGTTACATTTTGCAATGGATTATTTCTCGTTCTCACCTCCAATGTCGAAAACGACATCAGCTGCATCTGGTTGGTTGAAATAGAGCTCCTTCATCTTGGCCGCCGTCTCGTCGTTGAGGAAGGTGCCGATGCTTGGGTTGAGGAAGTCTTCCTCGTTCAACACGTTGCGGCAAATCGTCACCAGCTGGGGAAGTTTAAAGATCTTGGCCACCCTGATGAGGTCTTCCAGGCGGTCATCACTGACGTCATCCGGCAGCCGGGGAGTTCCTGAAAAACCAGAAAGAGTGGTTCATGTGGTGTACATCTTTAATATCTGGCGCTAGTTTGGTAATAATGGGTCCCCGGGTCCCACAGCTTGTCATTAGAACCGCTGGCAATGATGGCAGGGTTTTCTAGACGCCACAGTTCGTTCTTGAGAATCACGTGACTACAGAGTGCCAGAAACCTATGATCGTGGGGTCGAATGTCAGATTCTTCCTGAATATGTTTCCAGGTTTCTCAGCACCATGCTCGATCCAACTCGTGGGTTTCGCCAAGGTGTTTGTTTATTTGCTGTTTAATGCCACACACAGCAATAGTCAAGCTATATGACGGCGATCTGTAAATAATCGAGTATGGACAAGACATCCAGGGATTGAGATCATGAGCATCGATCCACGCAATTGGGAAACGATGACATGCATCAACCTAGTCAGCGAGTCTGATCACCCGATCCCTTTAATCGCCTCGTACGACAAGCACAGTCGCCTTTTACGTCGGTTGCTGTAGACCTATTCTACCCCGGATCTTCACGGATCTATGTCACTTCTTACTTGACACGCCGTAATATAACCGAAATACAGTTGAAAGCAGCGTTAAAACCAACTCAGTCATCAGAAGCAATCAGAAGGATCGTTCTTATAATGGCAGGACATGGTTGAGTGTCAGTCTTTGTGTACCAAAGGTAAAGATCGTTTCTGGTACGATCAGCTGGTTTGCCTGGCCCGAACCAATCTCATTAAAATCAGATCTTAGTTCTCGCTACAGCTAAACAAAGATCTGAGGACATCCCATTACGGGTCACGTCAGACCGACCTTGCGCGAACTTTGACCGACCAATGGAATGACCAATCAGAAGGCAGCTTTTTCGTCCTTTACGGCACTAATTTCAAATTGACGACTACGCTTCGAAACATATTTTGACAAATTCTCGATTACAAATTTGAAACCTGAACAAAAGAACATTCTGGAATGGCCAAAAGATGGTCCAGATTGTATGAATTCACTCGTTAAACCTGTAACTATCGTTCGGAGTTAAAGTTTTCGAGGTTGCATGATTAGAAATCCCATTCCGACTGTCACTTTCATAATCTGGTAAGCGATGCTCTGATTGGTTGGATGAAAGGTTGTTCTGACGTGACCCCTCATATCTTTGTTTAGCGGTAGCGAGAACTGAGGTCTGATTTTAATGAGATTGGGCCCGAACAGTCTCGATAAAGCTGTTATATTACTGATTGCTCCATAAAACAAGATTACCTTTATCCAATCACCCAGGTACAAATTCTCTCATGAAAAGACGGGGAAAACAATGCCTACCCGTATAGAGGAACTCCAGCACGTGTGTGAATGTGGCTGCAGGGATGTCAGCGCTGAGCTGAATAGTCACGTGACCTGGCTTTGTCTTACAGTCTGTGTCGGACACAAAGGTGATGCCCTCCACCTTGCCAGAGTTGAGGTCCTCTCGGGTCATGGCCTCTGTCCCCTTGACCTTTGCCAGCTGGTTGGTCTGAAAAGAAAAGCGCCTTTTCTTTAATATTTAGATACAAAACATCAAAGCACCAAAACATTCAAAGCACTACTGAAGAGACATAACTCTGCCCCTTCACATTGTATTTGGCGGGACCTTGGGTGGTATTGCGGTTCATCCTCCGGTTCGATCCTTCACGTGGATACATTGGTGTCCCCGGCGTGATATTGCTTGAGTTTTGCTAAAGGCTGTTTATACCCATACACACTCAAATAATCTTTGAGCAAGACTATAACAGGTTACTTTGTAAGTTCATCCCAGGAGGATCAGGGTTAGAATTGGTCTTCCGCAACCCATGCTTGTCATAAGAGGCGACTTGCGGGATCGGGGGATCAGGCTAGCATGTTATCGCATCAGATTGCTTTGAACGATGCTCATGATGTCAATCACTGGATTTGGTCCAGATTCGATTATTTACATATCACCATCACATAGTAAGCGTTAAACAACAAACAAACTCAGAAAAGGTCAGACCACACATGTATATCAAGCTTCTCGGGTACGAGAGTGAGAAGGGTCTGTTCTTGGAAATGGTATCAGACATTAGAACCAGGGTATGCATTCAACTACACAATGAACCATTACCTTTCTAGTAAATGGCAGCTGCAGGATTTGGGCGAAGAACTTTGAGGCTGAGGACAACAGGAGCTTGTGGGCGTCCAGTTCATGCCTGTCCCCCAGGAGGAAGGTGACGTCCGAGAGCTTGGGGTCCTCCAGGAGCTGGTACCAGTCTTCAGCAAACTTGGACGTCTCTATCTCCGTCCACGGGGCCAGGCCTACAATGTTTCAAGCTGGTTATGCGGTTACGAATATCAATACACCGAGCTCTTATACTTGTTATTTTACAATATTGTTATATTTCATATTTATTTTTCTGTCACTGGTCAAACGGTTTTTTAAATCCAGGATACGCTGATTGTGCGATGAAATTTCATATTCGCCCTCATTATAAGAGTTTGTTAGCAGGACACCCATGCTCGTGGGTTTCACCAAAGTATATACGCCTGAGACCTGCTTCACGTCGCAAAAAGCAAACAAACAAACAAATCAAACGCCGTTCAACCCAACTGACTCATCCACTCGCGTTGTTCATTCAAAGGGAGATAACTAATAGCGGACCGTCTAAACACAAACACTGCACTTTTCTTTATGATTTCAATGTTAATCGACCGCCTCCGTGGTCTTGTGGTAGAGCGTCCGCCCGGAGAGCGGAAGGTCCAGGGTTCGATCCCGGGCCGCGTCATACAAAAAGACGTTAAAAGATTGTACTTGTTGTTACCCTGTCTGGCGCTCGGCATTAAGGGGCTAAAACAAGGACTGGTCGGCTCGGAGTCAGTATACTGTGTCTGAGCGGGGTATTCATGTTAAACTGCGGCATGGTATCTCAGTGAGCTAGCACTATAAATCGGCATCAGTCCGGACTAGTACAAGCAGCCACACACACACATACACGTGCATGCACGTCGCTATATAAGTGCAATAATCTTGGACGCGACGTTAAACTCAATTTCACCTCACCTCACCTCAATGTTAATCAACCTTTTCCGGATATTGTTAGGTTACTATTTGAGTGGTTGAGATTACATACCTGCCGGCGGCATGACTGGTGGGAGAGGCATTGGTTTCTTGGATCTCCCGAACATCATTCGCTTCGGGTCGGCGGGTCGGTTCAATGCAAATCTGATCTGAAAAAAAGGTATATACCCATTATACACCAATCTCACTAATAACACTCCAGTCGTGTAAGATCTATGATATTATGTCCAAGCGATTATCATACGAACTCTGGTTCGAAATGCTGGCATACATATTTAGTGAAGCGTCAGTAAAAGGTCACTTACGGCTCCCTCTAAACACTCCTTCAGCCCCGTCAAAGCCAGAGCACTAGTGTCAAAGTACTGCATTCCAAGTGACTTAGCTAATGCTGAGCCTTCTTCATAGGACACTGCTGTCTTATCTTTGACGCCTCGACGTAAATCTGAAATACGACATACGGAACTACGAGATTTTGATAATATTTGACAAAGATGGTGTTCAGGTAAAATAAAACGTTGACCACTATGGTGACACCAACGAGGGATATATGGTTCAGACAAACCAAAAATCTTATCACGGCGAATAAGGGATTCAAAGCCACGATCATACATTTCTGGCAGGTCTAATGGACGCAACTATGCAAAACGAATTGGATGCCTTATAAAATGACAACTGGGCCACTTGTGTCCCGATTACCCATATACTTCTGTGTTTTACAAATTGGTAAATATCTAAATTATGCATTCATTCGGGTTTTACTCCAAAATCAAGCTAACACGCCGTAACTGACAAACCATTAAATGACGTTAAACAAATTCACTCTCACACTAAAAGTGTGAGTAAATATCAGATATTATTAAAAACATAAAGTTGGTGGATCGTCAAGTAGTCAGGGAAAATGTATGAGAACCTATATTACTGACCTGTCTTGCAGCCGACGATTACTTTTGGCGTGTTCGGGCAGTGATGCTGTACTTCAGGGTACCACTTCTCACGGATGTTCTCGAAGGAGTCTCTGTTCTTGATATCGAAACACATGAGGAACACGTCGGTCTGGGGGTAGGACAGGGGACGGAGCCGGTCGTAGTCCTCCTGGGGAATGAAATATATAAGATCACACTTATAACATTGCTTACTTCAAAACAGAATACATACCGTATTTCCTCCATCAAGCACCCGGGTCCATATTATTTCAGGTTTTCCTGTTTCGCCCTTTATTCTTACTGGTGCATGTTTTACAAAATGTTGGAGACTACTGATGTATTTTCTCTGAATGAATACGCTATCTTTTTTTTATTAGTACTTATTATTTATATCAACACTTTCAGCATTCAACAATCTTTGACAGGTCCAAAATATAGATCTATTAAGTCACAAGCGCGATGATGTAACTATGATATCGCTAAATGTGCCACTGCTAAATTTATACGCAGTTGTCAAATATTTAGGAATTGCGTGCATATTTGATGCTTTTAAAATGTGAAGATGATGAGTGAATGTTGTTTGATGGCTCAGTCAACGCCATTGCAATCACATTAAAATCAGAGCTTAGTTCTCGCTACCGCTAACTAAGATCTGATTTTAAAGTGATTGAAACCATTGTATCTATATCACGGCAAATAATCGAGTCTAGGCCAGAAAAAAACCCTTTAAAATATGAAGAAAATAAATGATAAACAGACGCGCAAATTCATTGAGTTACAGAAGATCATGCTTGATTACTTTACCTGCCCGGCAGTGTCCCACAGACCCAGGTTTATAGGCTTGCCGTCGACCATGACGTTGGAGCTGTAGTTGTCAAACACCGTCGGGACGTACTCACTCGGGAAATTCCCCGTAGTGTAAGCAATGAAAAGACAACTCTTCCCAACTCCACCGTCACCGACAACAACAAGTTTGATATTCTGCATTTTACTGCAAAAACAACATAGAGGAAATAGTAAAGGTAACAGTTAAAACAAAACAAGACAATTATATCCATTCTATCATTGAATAATCAAGAAAGATATAAATATAAATGATAAATATACTATTATTATGACTAACTTGATCGGGTGGTCAGGCTCGCTGACTTAGTTTATGCATGTCAACGTATCCCAATTGCTTACATTGATGCACATGATGTCAATCACTGGATTGTCTGATCCAGCCTCGATCATTTACAGGCCACCGTCACACAGCTAGACTATTGCTCAATACGGCGTTAAACAACAAACAAACAAACATTGCCAAAAAAATCACATATTCCTCAAATGATAATTATATATACATTCCCTTTTTACTTGCGACAACACAACTTAGATAACATATTATTTTAATATAATATTGAAAATGGAATGCTACAGTTTTGCTAATATTCTGCAGAGAAGCAAGGATGTCTATCATTAAACTGATAAATCTCAACAAACTTGCTTCGAAAATATAATACACATGATATAGTAGGTGTTAACATCACATATACTTACGAGGTTATATCTCCCAGCACCATATCACACTGATTCAAAGCTGTAGTAACATATGAGGTAGATATAATACCTTTATAAACCCGCGATATGAGTTAAAAATACCATCCAATCGTGTTGGAGTCTCCTGTTACTAAATTTAGATTCTATTTGCGGACATTCGTCAAAGGAAGTAGATGGCGCTGTAACCTGTCATGGCCGCCTCCTAGTGTAAAGTTTGACATTGAACCCTTCGCTGAACAGTTTGTGGCTGTACAGTATTCAGTATGGCATCATTGGTCGTTGAAACCATGCAGGCCGAACTAGGGGGTACGATCCAATATTTTCTTAATTGAATTTTTATCAGTGCGATGGTTGGTGTGGTAAAAAACAATAACGAAAAGGAGAATATTTCGTCGGTTGCGCACACCCCAATGCTGGGGGCCCGAAGCATGCCCTGTCGGCGTGATTTCCTTTCATTAAAATCTTCCCCGCGCACATTTCCCGTCATCTTACACAAGTTGGGAAAATAAAAAGAACTCAGTTTTTTAACGCTAAAGATTTCCGAGTGAGCGACAATAACTGTAGGCATACATTCAGTTTGTGTTTGCGAGGAATGACCAGCTGATCGATGAACATGATGAAAGGCATTTATTTCGGTTCCATGTTGTACTGGAACAAGGGGATGGAATTCTTGTTGCCAACTTGAACCTTTTATCAATGCAATTGGCATCTACTAGTAGAGTTGTCACCTCTGATCTCTTCTCTCCTATGATTTTTTTATTATTTTATCCTTATTAACTTAGAAATGTCACCAAAACATTGGCTATGACATCTGTTAATCTCAGAAACCAGTGTGATGCTGAGCCATTAGAATTGAAAGTAATTAAATATTGGATTAAACTTACATGTAAGCCACATTATCACTACCCTTATCAGAGTTACCAGTTGCTAGTATCTTTAATGAGTAATGGCAAACACACATGGGCATCAGATGTCAGAACACTATTATTTTCTTGTCGTGTTTCCTGTTTGGATTTCCGGCCTACCTTTAGAATACAGTACCACAAACTTTTCAAACACGTGACATTACCCTATAATGTAATTTGTAGTTTCTTGTTGCAAGTCACACCGGCGAAACAATGCCCTGTGACGTCAGGGGTCATCAAGTGTGCATAAGCTCCTCCAAGTGATCTATCATCTCTACACGCAGTGTCATTGAATACGCCTAGCAGTGTTGAGAGTTTTGAATATTTGTTTACTAAATATAGCCTGGGGTAGCGCATTTTTTAGCAAGCGCTAGTTTACGAAAGCACTTTTATTTTTTGTATATTTTTTATTTCATTTTTCTCGTAATTCAAGTGGCTAAAATTGTTATAAATGGGAACAAATATACATATACTTTTTTTTGTTCATTAATTTTCATTATCATGCACAAGAATGCAGTTTATTAGGGATATTATATTGGCGCCGAACACATCCTAATGTCGCCAGTGTTAGGGTAGGTTACCCCGAACTCTATCCTAAGCCCTTGGATCACCTTTACGATCAATCACCCCTTTACGATCATTAGGGTTGGATACCTGTTTAGTGGCTATTAGATTTCCCAAACTCTATTTTTTAGCCCTTGGATCCCCTTTAAGATCAATCATCCCTTTACGATCATTAGGGTCAGGTAGATCTACCCATTTAGTGGCTATTATAGATTCTATAGGGGCTCCTAATATTCTTCGCACAAAAACGTCAAGTAAAAAGGATGAAATGGTTTTGAGTCGAATGCTTTGGCTACTGGAAACTGTCCTGGAACATTCACACAAGCCACTTTCACCCGCTACATTTTTTCAGTACTAATTCAAAAGCGAACTCACCATTGTGTCGTCACTAGCCATGCCCATGCCTCCCTCGTTCCTTACTCTTATCCACATCATGCTTACAGTGTTCCCTACCACACTTTTCTGTCACAAAATCCACCCGACGAATTATTGAATACCATGTCATTCATGCGTACTTGCGAGTTCAACGTCTGACGCCTGCAGCCGTTTTCAGTTCACACCATATCGGATCATTCCTCGCCACTCAGTATCTTGTAGATTACGGAATGGGACGAATGTGCCAAATGGCATCATTCATAAGTGTCTGTAGACTAAAGTCACGAGACACCATGCCTACCCGTAACCTTCATAAGTGTCCGTCACCTATTTGACCCTTTTCGTTTAGTTATATAACGTTGTAGGCATGACCAGGTAAATTAGCCAGTAACCATCTTTATCAAACATATTTTCTATAATATTTCAAAGAGTGGTTAATTTGGCAAATGCCCTGTCAGTCACGTGACTACCAACTTTATTCTGTTCACTGAATTGTACTCTGGGCCCCAAGGCCGAAATACTGAATAGACATGTCTTGTTACAGCCACAGAACCCTGGCCTGACAATGCAGCTCTTTTCCAGCCATATCAAGGTAACTCTAGTTTTGCTCATTTTTTATAGTCTTAGTCTTATTTGGGTAAGATTATTTATCATCCAAAACTGGCTCCCACAGGAGATATCGCTTGGGTGAGATCAACTGTAGATATCGCTGCAATGAAATTGCATCACAATGCTATGCAGACCATTGTGATGTCACTGCTTACCATGACGTCACAATCAAATGACATCACTAATGGCTTTGCTACTGAAGCTGAAAGCAGTACTTTTTACACTTAAGACACTGCTAATTACTGTCTACAAACTGAAAAAGTTGGAAGAATGATGTTGGATGATAAATAAAATCTCACCATCGTTGTCTTTTGATATCAAATATATGAACACTCAATAAAAGTGGCCAAAATCCTCTGCAAGCCTCGGAATGTTTCTCTTTTATTAACCCATGTTGATATATTTGATATCAAAAGACACTCGGGTGAGATTCTCTATATTAACCATGTACACAATTTGTTTAGCGTTGATCCGTTCTGAATACATACACTGAAACACCATTAACTTTAAGTTATACCGACCATCAGAAATATATCAAAATTTATCAAGTAATATTTCAAGTTATTCATACTTCAAGACAAGCTGAATGGTTATGTCACATCATGATCAGATATAGATATGTAAACATGTTCGAGTTAATGGAATTCATGTTAACAAGGTCTTTCTGTAGGTATCAGAGCTAACTTGTTACTCTTGAGATCACCTCTGTGATTTAATCAGGTAATGGATAAGAGCATCTGCCCAGTATGGCCCAGAGAGTAGAAGGACAGGGGTTCAATTCCAAAAGAAGCCAAAGATGGTACTTGTTGTTACCCTGCCTGCTGCTCAGTACTGAGGGGATTAATTAAGGTCTGGGCGACGCAGTGTACTGTTACTGAGTGGGGTATCCATGTTAAACTGGACTAGTACAAGCAGACACACGCACATCGCAATGCAAGTGTAATAATCTTGAACACAATATTATTACCCATTTCACATCACATGAGACCGCCTCCATGGTCTAGTGGTAGAGCGTCCGCCGGGAGAGCGGAAGGTCCGGGGTTCAATCCCCGGCCACGTCATACCAAAAGATGTTAAAAGATGGTACTTGTTGTTACCCTGTCTGGCGCTCAGCATTAAGGGGCTAAAACAAGGACAGGTCGGCTCTGAGTCAGTATACTGTGTCTGAGTGGGGTATTCATGTTAAACTGCGGCATGGTATCTCAGTGAGCTAGCACTATAAATCGGCATCAGTCCGGACTAGTACAAGCAGCCACACACACACACGTACATGCACGTCGCTATATAAGTGCAATAATCTTGGATGCGACGTTAAACCCCATTTCACCTCACCTCACCTCACCTCATCTCACCTCACCTCACCTCACCTCACCTCACCTCACCTCACCTCACAAGAAATGTGTCCTCAGTAATCAGAATCAGAGTTTCATCATCTACACATACATATTTAAAGTACATGTTAAAGTATCACCCTGTCTTGGATTAGATTGAGTGTGCTGGATATTATGACCTATATTTATTCTATTCATCATGATTCATGGAGTGAACATATGATATGTCGACAGAATTCTCAATTTAGTTGCAGTTATTCTGCAAATATGTAAAATAAGCTAGCTCATGCAATGACAAATAATGTATCATGTACCAAATCATGTATCAGTCTCAGATGAACCCTGTGATGAAATTATCAAAATTCTGCTGTAAAATTATCAAAATCTGCTTCTAAAAGTCTGTGGTAAAAACACCCTTCCCCTCAACAATTAATACAAACTCATTTTTGTTTGTTTAAAAAATTTAATCTCTTGCATTAAGACATGTTAAGACATTAAATGATACAAACAAATATGCATAGAGTCACTATATATTTATGATGAGATGTAAACATAGTTTATGTAGTCATACCACAAGAACATTTGGGTTGAAAGTGAGAATTAATTTTTTCAAATGCTGTCTTATTGTAGGATTAAATTGCATGTTTGAATTGCATGTTAAATTTTTGGGCACCATTCGAGTGCAAAAAGCTTGAAAATAATTAAAATTAGTGTATTGATTGATAAGAAAGGCAAATTCTGCAATGTTCTTGCAATTCAGCAGGAAGTTATGTTTTCTGCAAATCTCTCCGCTAACACGGAATCGCAGAATTCATCTAGCACTGCTCGATGCAATATGAACTTGCTACTGTAACTAGATATTTTTCTGTCTAGTTGAACAAATCACTTTTCCTGACTATGCCCAGTGTCTGGGTGTGAAGACATTTCTCCACATGTGCGGACTCAACTTCAATGTGGAGCTACGGACTAATGCGGAGGAGATGTCTCCCTCAGGTAACTATATCCACTGTTCCTCGTTATAATTTGTAGCCACCAGCGGGACACATAAAACCCTGGTACCCCTCATTATCCTGCTACAACAAATATATCTTACCCACATGTTTTAATTTGACATTGTAAAAAATTCAAACAAATGCAAAACTGAAAACAGCTGTTCATTTGACAATATTTGAGCTGAGGTTAACTTGTGCTATGTCACGAGACTATCATTGACTTGGAAAAAGCGTGCAGCTATTTGCATTGAAGTAGGGTATAAGGGATTTATTATGCATCTCAGAAATCCATGTGCAGCCAAACTTGCTCATGGCGGGGTATAAGGGATTTGTTCACCCACTGGGAAGTTTATTTCCCTCCAGGGAGGGATATATAATATTTAATCAAGAACACATTGACCTATCAGATCTCATCATTCTGATATGGAGGTATGATAATAAGAGTTGTTCAGGACGAGGAGATGTCTCCCTCAGGTAACTATCCCCACTGTTCACATTCAGGAGTGTTCCACATGAGTAGATGGTGCTTGTTGTTACCTTGCCTTGTGCTTAGCATTAAGAGTATTATACAAAGATCGGTCAGCTTTGAGTAGACTAATCTCTGAGTGGGTATTCATGTTAAACTAGGGGGGCGTGGTTGGCCCAGTCGTCTAAGGTGCCGCAATTCGCTGTGCACATTTGCATCCCTTGGACATGCCAGAAATCTTTGATTGTGGGTTCGAATCCGGGTTCGCCCCGATTTTGTTTCCAGGTTTGTCGGCACCATACCGGCGCTCGTGGGTTTCACCGAAGTGGTAAACGTCTAAGACCTGCATCACTTTAAGCTTTCCTCACACATTGAGCTGACACGCTGTGATATAACTGGAATACTGTTAAAAGCGGCGTTAAATCCAACTCACTCACTAATGTTAAACTATGGCATTTTATCTCTGTGGGCTATCTTTATAAAACAGGCATAAGTCCGGACTAGTACAAGCAGCCACACACACATGATTCCATGTCGCAATATAAATACAATTATCTTCATAATATTGATTAGTCCTTAGATATCAGTCTCAACATTGTTACACTTGATACAGAGTTAGCTGGATCTCTGTTATGTTCAGGCAGCATGCATGGTCCTGTCATCTCCTGCACTGTGAGTAACATCCCTTTGGCATGCCAGGATGTCATGATCGTTGGTTTAAATCCCAGACTGCATTGATTCTTACCATTGGTTTGTCAGCATCATACCCTTTTTCATGTGTTTTACTTAAGTGGTAAATGTCTAAGACCTGCATCCCTTCGGGCTGTCCAGACGCATTTAGCTCACAATCACATGCCATGATATAACTGAAATAATGTTCAAAGCGGTGTAAAACACAACTCACTCATTCACAAATATGTTGAACAGGTAAAGTTCCCTTCATCCGTGTTGGAGCCTTCCTTGTGTCGGAGCTGGACCCCATCGTAGCTTTTGTCAACACAAGGGTTGGTAGAACAGTGCTTTCTTACATGTTTAGGACAAAATATATTTAGAAAAATAATATGCTTATTATGATGGTTATACATTTAAAATGTTTACTATATAATGATTTTGAGGCCCCATTCCTGACCTTTTTTATATTCATTTTGACAACCAGGAAAACAAAAATATCAAACAAAAGTATCTGATTTTGATTATATTTGAGTATCTTGATAACTGCATGATATATATTCTTTATGAATTCTTCAAAGTAAATCTGATGATGGTAACATGGTTATCATTGGAAGGTTTTAGACATTTTGCCTATTTGAAATTGGCGTTCAAATAATTTTCAATCTTCCCGATTTTGACATAACAGAAACTACCGGTATATGTACAAACCAATAATATTTTAAGGATGACTTTACCCACAATACCTTGTGGGGATTTTGCATTAGATCAGGCAACAGATGCTTGTTGTATATGGAGGTGTCTTGGATCAGGTTGTTAGGTTTGATGACTTTGATGATTGGTTGTCACATTACGTTGCTCATAATGTCAGTCACTGTTTCTTCTGGTCCACACTTGAGTATTTACAGACAAGCATTATATGGCTGGAATATTACTGAGTGCAATATTACTATAGATAAAACAACATAAAACAGTAAAATCAATAACATGTTGTTGTTTTTTCATTTTTTTGTCCACATGTAAGTTGGAAAAACAATAATAATGAATGTTTAATAATCAAGGAGCAAAATTATTAAATTCAAACTTATATTTGTCTTATTTTAGGGATTCCAGTTAAGCAGTCATCTTGATGAACAAGAGAAGGCGGAGATGCGAGCATACATGGCTCTGGTTGACAACCTGCTGGTAAATGCTGAGGTTAGTACAGGCATGTGTCTGTGGGGTTTCCGGGGATAAATAGGTCGCCAGTTCCCCATTGTTGTTGTGAGAGTCGACTAACACAGATATTGTGTAGTCTTGTGTGGCACATGTAAAATGTTGTTCATGCTATCAACCACTAGTATATATTACCCTGTAAACACCCTGGTTTGATTATTTACAAGCTGCCGTTCTGAAGTATTGCTGACTTCCGAGTAACAACATATGCTTAATTTTTCAAAGGTTTGAAAAAACAACATCTGATTGGCTCAAGAACCCATATACCCTTCATATAGATAGACGGTCAAAGGTCATTCAGGGTGAACCTGACAAGACATCATGTCATTGTCTATGAATATGTCCTCATATCTTAATTCAGAGAGACATATGTAAGTAAAAGACCTGGGTGCCATTGTACAACGCGATCTTAGCGTTAAGGTGATCATATCTCCCATATCTTAACTTAGACTTCCGACAGTCGTAGCGCTAAGGTTTTGTACAACAAGGCCCTGATTTCAGTCAGATTGTGTTCAGTCAGTTGAATGCTGGGAAATTTGTTAGTAAGCCAAGGGAGGTAACTCTAATTATTGTTCAACACTGAATTATTTACATGTGAATGGCAAGTAAATGATCATGTGTTTGTTTTCATTTTCACACAAACAGAGCAGTATTGATTGTAACTGGTTGTATTGTTACTTGCAATCAGCCCATGTGATGCATTGACGTTCAATCAATTATCACCCCCCTGATGATAACTGTCTGCATTTCAGTTACACCTGGCCTGGTGTGATCAGCAGGTGTCAGAAGAGGTATGTACTCCCTAGCTCTGATCATACAATCCAAAAGTTTTGTTTTTCATGTGAGTGAAAGTATTACCGATGTGATAAGCCAATCCAATAAATTTGGTATCATGATCCAATATATGTGCAGTGGGGTCACCTAGGAGCAACGACTTTCAAGCTCCATACATCGATGCAATGTCTTCTTTCTTATTAAACTATTGACTAACATAACACTCCCAATGTGCTTGGATAGGGGTTTCCCAAAGCTTCACCATGTCTCTGTAGACCAACTTGGCTGCAAGTCATGTGGCAGTCTATGATAAATGGGGCAGGTCACTCACAGATTGTATTCATACACAGCTTCTAAAGCTACTTCACGGGGTGTCTTAAACATCAATTATTGTAAAAATGACATTAGATGAGATATTGTTACCTGCATGTCTCTGTATTGTAAATGTCATATATTCATGATATTAGGAATGAAAAATATGTATTGTGTTCACAATACAGTTTTTATTCTTAATACTGTAAATCTTGATATTAACGCGAGTGTGAATTAAATGCGAAAAATGCGAGTGGTCTTTGCTCGCATTATTAAACATCACATTTATGTCAACAATAAGACATTTTGGATAGCAGAAATACCAACTTAGACATACGCTGAAAACAAACAACTTTATATTCCACATCATTGTTTATTGAGCAGCACTTGTTATAAGTATATAATACTGTCATTCAAATACTAATTACATCCTGTGAATTGTCACTCCTTTGGTCAAGACAAGCGTTCTACTCACTCATGTCATCACTGATCACACCTGCAAGTCCAGACAGACGCCACTCAACACGGTGTCTTTGCTCTTTGCGACTGCATCAAAGGCCGACACGAGCCAGCGCGCACGTATTGTTTTAGCTGAAGTACTCTACTCAGCGCTAATAAGTGGTGCTATTTGGTGTGTGATTGGATTAATGTAAGGTTGGATTAAGGTGAGGATTCTCCTGTTAACCTGAGTGACAGAGGACATTTTGTTCAGATATAAATCCACTGATGCCCAACCCACGCCCAAATTTTCCATATTATTGAGTATTTTATTACCACCCACACCCCCCCAGCCAAACCCCCCACCCCACGCAGCTTTATTAGATTAGTCCTGTAAAAGTTACATTTTTTGGGGTCGCACTTCTTTATTTATTTATTACGCTTTTTTTCTCCCAATAGTATAAAGTGCTTCCCCGTGTGCGAAATACGCTTTAGTCGGAAAGCGCACGTTAAATCTCATAGTTATCTATCTATCGAGGAGGGGGTGTCGTATTCATATTGAGTCGCATTATTGGCTAGGGGCCAGAGGTCGCATTCTTTTGGAGATGCATTAATTTCACGTTTTACAGTATGCGATATTTACAATACAGAATTACAGAAACGCACTCACTTTACAATCTCAATGTCTGTTTTTCATATATCTTTTATAACAGATATTGTTATGTAACAAGAGATAAGTATTGCCAGGTGTCTTACTGAAAGAAAGGCTTGAAATTATAATTCATAAATGATTGAAGATAAAATTATTCACTGTCAGTGGTCCCTGACCAGACAGGATGGCCAATCAGTAAAAATCCCCGAAAGATATTTGAGACATGTATATATTTAAATATATTCAGACTGAGAATCACTCTTTATTATTTAGGACATGATCATAAAGTTTCAACACTTTCAGATCGGTTCCTATGGAAACTGTTGGTATGGCTAGTTCTGGGTTATAACAAGTGATGTGTCATTGTACCTCAACAATGTGTATTATTGCTTAAGCTACAGAACACTTGTAACAAATGTTATATTTGGGATATCACTAATATACTGACCAATGTAAAGTGTTTAACCATTCTCACTCATGTTGGATGTCTAGGTAAGCAAGCCCCGGTATGGGTGTATGCATCCATGGCCCCTCAATCGCCTCCTGCCATTCAAGAAGCAGAGGGACGTCAGGGCTCGACTCAGCAGTGTGGGATGGGGCAAGAAGACCGTGGATGAGGTAAGAAATGGCTTGTTATCTCCAACTCGAATTTTCTAGTTTTAGTGGTTGATACTTGATAACTTGACAGGCCATGATGATGTTATTTTTTTCTGGCTAAATTGCAAATTATGGACACCCCATCTCCTTGCTTGTCCACTGACCCTAACCAGAGCTCCAGATAACTTTTTGAGCAATTGAGTTTTTACTCTAGGGTTTCTATTTTAATTGGGTTATTACAAATATTTTTTCACTCATCTATTCATAACTCTATTGGGTTTTCCCCCAAAAGAGTGAACATTTTATGATTTAAAAAAAAATGAAATAATGTTTTAGATGTATATAACCATGATAACTGTTCTAAATATATGGGCTTGACTCGGAAAGTAAATTAGCCTGAATTGTGTTTCAGAAATTAGCCCCCTTGTACGCATGCTGAAAAATCTTCATTGGCTATTTACGCACGCAGTTTTTATACATTTGAGTTTTTCATTTAATGCATACGTTTCTGTATGCAAGTTAATTGAAAGTAATTGGGTTTTGAATATTTTTGGGGGTATTTTACGCAAATACGCTGCTTATCTGTAGCTCTGCTATTGCAAATTATGGACATCCCATCTCCGTGCTTGTCCACTGACCCTTATCCTGCTGGATTGTGTATGACCTTGGTGATATTGTGATGAGGTGTACAGAACATGTCTGTTTGTTGCTTTGCTTTCAGCCATTCAACAAGTACTGTAAATCTTGAAAATAATGCATCTCAAAATTAATACAACTGCTGACCCCGAGCCAAAATGTGACTCAATATCAATGCGACTGCCCCCTTCCCATACCCTGTGGAACGATACATATCCTTACCTTAATCCAATCAAACACAAATAGCACCACTCGTTAGTGCTGAGTAGGTGGGCACAGGTGGCCCAGTCCTCTAAAGCGCTGCGATTCGCTTTGCAGAGTTGCGTCCCTTGGGCACGCCAGAAACCTATAATTGTGGGTTCGAATCCCGGTTCGCCCTGATTATGTTTCTAGGTTTGTCAGCACCATACCTGTGCTCGTGGGTTTCACCAAAGTGGTAAATGTCTGAGACCTGCATCACTTTGGGCTTTCCTCCCACATTGAGCTGACCCGCCATGATATAACTGGAATACAGTTAAAAGCGGCCTTAAACCCAACTCACTCACTAGTGCTGAGTAGAGCACTTCCGTAAAAACAATGAACAGTGTTTTCCTAAAAAGAACACACAGTTTATATGTTTATTCTGTTGATTTGCATTTCTGGAAGTTCAAAGGCAATAAAATATTTGAACCAACAACAGTCCACTGATTAGTATGCGGAGAAGGTGTCAACAACCTTGAACATATGACAAGACAAAGACTGAGGAGTGTGATGTAGCCTATTGGTGCACGTTGGCTCATGTCGGCCTCTGACAGAGTGTTGTGTGGGTGGCGTCTGTCTGGACTGCTGGAGTGGTCAATTATGCCTAGTTTGACAGGAGTGGGTAGAACTCTTGACCACAGCAGTGATAACTCACCAGATGGCTATTGTGTAATTCCTATTTGAATGACATTGTTATATACTTGTTTATGTTTATGTTCAAGTATATCCGCTATCCAAAGTGTGTAGTGAGGCCGTCTTATTATTGATTGTCATTTGGAGACATAAGTGCCATGTTAATTAATGCGAGCAAAGACCCCTCACATTTATTGCACTTAATTTGTGCTCAAGTTAATTTCAAGATTTACAGTATACCTGTAGTAAAACTCACCCTTGGGAATTCCGGGTTATAAGTTGTCCTCAGGAACATGTGCTTGTCATGAGCATATGATGAGGGGCCACTTAATACATCAGGTGGTCAGACGCAGTATTTTGTTTGTTTTTTGGTTGTTTAGCGCTGCACTCAGCAATATTCCAGCTATAGGACGGTGGTCTGTAAATAATCGAGTCTACTAGACAATCCAGTGGTTGACATCATGAGAATCAATCAACACAATTGGGACCTATTCTAACCCGGACTTGGTTGATGCTTGTCATCATTTCCGAATTGAATAGATTGATGCTCATCATGTCAATCACTGGATTGTCAGTTCCAGACTTGATTATTTACAGACTGCAGTCATACATCTGGAATATTTCTGAGTTCGGCGTTAAAAAATAAACAAACTGTAATAAAACATATGCATGATTCTAAAAGAACTTGAAACTACACAAGACAGTGAATTTCTAACTAGGGCATGAGGTACAGATACCCTCCACAGCACACCTGTATTCTTGTTCATACACGACATCATGAAGACACACAGTAACCATGGTAACAATGATGCACTGATAATACCTTGTTGTATGTCCAAGGAGATATAAGGGATCAGGTGGCAGCCTCAGTAAATAAATTAACATTCTGTGGATTTCTCTGTAGAAACTTCTGAAGTTTGTTTTACTTGTTCGTCTATACCCCTGACCTACTGATCGAATATTATATTCAGGAAAATATTGGTGAGCTACAGAATGTTTAACATGTCAGTCTAAACACATCTGCTGTTACCTAGGATAATGTAAAGTTGAATGCTAGGGAAGATTACTCATTGTGAAGTATTTACTATGCATGCTAAAGATGGTGAAAATACACTTTTTCTCTATGTTTGTATGTCCATTGATATTTTTATACGTCATCAGCATGAGCCTTTGGACAATTGCAGTGTATGCAAAGTTCAACCAGCTGTTTCACGCTATGTTGCCCTTCGTCTGACAGTCATTCCTATGTCAGTACTGTGTTATTTCCCAATGAAGATCTGGGTTAGAATTGGTCTTCCAACAACCCATGCTTGTCACAAGAGGCGAAACCCGTGAAGATTCCTGGATAGAATAGGTCTTCAGCAACCCATACTTGCCATAAAAGGCGACTATGCTTGTCGTAAAAGGAGACTAACGGGATCGGGTGGTTAGTCTCGCTGACTTGGTTGATGCATGTCATCGATCCCAATTGCGTGGATTGATGCTCATGCTGTCAATCACTGGATTATCTGGTCCAGACTCGATTATTTACAGACCGCCGTCATATAGCTGGAATATTGCTGAGTGCGGCGTTAAACAACAAACAAACAAACAAACACAAGAGGCAACTTACAGGATCTGGTGGGCGGTCGGGTAGCCTAGTGGTTAAAGCGTTTGCTCGTCACGCCGAAGACCCGGGTTCGATTCCCGACATGGGTACAATGTGTGAAGCCCATTACTGGTGTCCCCCGCCGTAATATTGCTGGAATATTGCTTAAAGCGGCGCAAAGCCTCACTCACTCACTCACTGCAGGATCTGGTGGTCAGGCTTGGTCGGTGCATGACATCATATCCCAGTTGCGTAGAACAATGGTCAAGATGTCAATCACTGGATTGTCTGGTCCAAACTTGAGTATTTACAGACCGAAGTCATATACCCGTAATATTGCTGAGTGAGGCATTAAACAACATACAGTAAAACAAACTGTGTTATTATATCTGCAGGTGTGTGACGACGTTAGAACCTGCTGTCAAGCACTCTCAGAACGTCTGGATAAAAAGGCTTACTTCTTTGGAGACAAGTAAATATCTACTATTTGTGTAATCCTCAGGACCATTGTCACAATCTTACCTTGAAATTTAATACATAGAATTAAAATGCTTGTCAATTGACCAAATAAAAACGAGGATCTTTATTCAGTTCTTTTGACAAGATTACTCTTTTATAAGGTCTCCTATGCTTTTCATTACAACAAATAAATGCATTGTTAAAAATGAAGATTTATTTGGACAAGATAGAGTAGTCATCAAATAAGATACATTCAAGCTATTTTAATTTTATTTTGTCATTGGGGCTGGTCAGTCATATCTGTGAAACCAATATAGTTTTTTAAATATGTCAACATAATATGACCACTTTTCTTCCATTGTAAGTTGTATGTACCTGTTTGCAGACCAACGGAACTGGATGCCCAGGTGTTTGGCCACCTGTTCACGATCCTGACCACTGCACTTCCTGTGAGAAGATTTGCCGAGGTTATCGAAGAATACAAGAATCTAACCACATTCTGTCAGCGGATAGATGAAAAGGTCTTCAAGAAGGCAGGACACACGTTTTGACAATACAGTCTTCCCCATTCCACCTGAAACCATTGTTCATTGTGTGACTAGATCCATGCCGTCTGGACATATCCATGGACGTGTTATTTGTTGGTATAAACATGATGGGAATGTGCTTCTTTGTTAATTTGTGTGGAGGATAAGACACGTATCAGAAGATTTGTTTTGAAATGTATTTTTTCTGACTTATAAACCGAGAAATAACGATCAAATGTCAGAATAAATTGAGAATATATACATCTTAAAACAAGTGAAAGAGCACCCACAATTGGAAAGCTGTGTTGAAATACCTACCAGTCATGACAGATTTACAGTCATAGGAAAAAATCAGGTGTTCTCTGACTTCTTTTGAGTTTTATATGTCAAGTTTCCAGCAAACAAATACTTGACTTGTTTGTCCCCTATACAGCAGTAGACTCAACTGGCGCCTGAGTGACACATAAAATACAAGCTTCCTTTGACAACAGTGAGCACGCTGCCAGAATGGAGGACAATTAGAACGTGGAGGAAACCATTCAGATGTGATAGCACATTTCAGTTTATGATAAAATGCTACTTTGTTGCTTGATTCAAATAGTAATTTCTATGGCTTAAAAAAATTTAAAAATTGGTTCGCAGGCAATGGCTTTTGAAAACATAGTGCAGGCTGGAACAGTGTGTGTTTTTATGTTTTTAGGTTGTACAAACTAGTATGTAACCAAATAAACAGTTGTGTACAGTCAACCTCTTTGATGTACTGGAATACAATATTTTATTACTGTTCGACAACCAGTGTGTACATAATGCATGCATACAATGAGCTTTGATTTTATTTCCCAAAGCAAAGACATTATCATGAGCACACAACACCAGAAGAAGCATGTCAACAAATCCGGACAGAAGTAGGCAAGTTAGTGCGGTTGTTACACTGTCTGGCTATAAAAGTGTTCATCGTGTATCTGGACTTAAATTTGTAGCATTTCCCTGCTGGGGTCTTATGTTCAAGATGTGGAATATTAAAGGATTTTCGTTTTTGTTAAAAGTGGAAATAAAAACGACTTTGTGATGATGCGGACGGTGCCTGAGAACCAAGACTATTATTGTTTTTAGCTTAAAATCACCAAAGCATTACTTCAAAAACATTTCCATCTATTCATAAGTCCTCAGCTGCTGAGTTGGTCATGAGCTACAGTCAGTGCCAAAATAGCATGCAGTGTTTCATTGGTACCTTAGTTGCTATGGCAATACATCAGTTGTGAGTTCCAGTATCAGTAATCAACATCAATGCCACCCTACACAATTCAGATAAAATGAAGAAGTACTTGTAATCATTACGCAACTTTACCAGTCATTCTCATCCAAAAAACATCTTGTCTGACCAGTCATGTCCATATTCATGCAGAACTCATTGATAATCACATCAGAAGTCGGAACCAAGGACAAAGCAAACATGTCAATATTGCATGGTAAAATAAATTGTAGAAATGTAAAGGACTTCATCATAGGATAGTAAGGGGATTGTAATACAGGTACGACTGTTGCGTTAGGGCATGGACACTTAATACTTTATACATGGACACTCTATATTTAGGGTCCATGGTTGGGGCAATCATGTTTGGGAACTAATGCTCCAATAACATCCCAAATATTACACAGTTTAAATCAGTGTAAGCAGACAATACTGCTTCAATGGGACAATCAATGACAAGGTTGGCCTTACTCTTTTCTTCAACGGGGCGGTCGGGTAGCCTAGTGGTTAAAGCGTTAGCTCGTCACGCCGAAGACCCGGGTTTTGATTCCCGACATGGGTACAATGTGTGAAGCCCATTTCTGGTGTCCCCTGCCGTGATATTGCTGGAATATTGCTAAAAGGGGCGTAAAACCATACTCACTCACACACTCACTTTTCTTCAACATTTCCCCGGCACCCTGTGACATAATACCAGTCAAAGCGACATGAAATGTCAACACCCTCATTCACTCAGTTATTATATTTTTCAGGTTTAAGATAAGATTGAATAAGATATATATTCATAGTTATAGCATGTTTCCAGTAAATTTCCAGCATCTAATTCTTGAAACTGAGTCTTCATAACGATCTGAAATTCATAGAAAATAAAGGACGATTACTTTAAAGTATTGTCTTATTTTTGGACATATTTTACAAAAGATATATCCAATGAGATATTATTATACAATGTATTCCCATGTTTCACCTTTTGAGGATGATATTTGATGTGTTTTGTTATGTGGATATACAAGCATGGCTTACTGTATGTACAGTCAGTGAATGTACCATGAGGAGACAACTCTTCATGTACTGCTATCAACTTATCTCCCTTGTAAAAATTCCTGTGAATGGATTTCAGTTTGTCTGTCCTTCAGTAAGTACAAAGCATTCCTTGTTAATGTCATATGAACAGATGGACATGGTTTTGAATGTAGTGCGTTTGATATGTGTGTCAGTAGTTGAAAGGGGAATGGTTACAGGAAATATCATGGAAAAATAAAGAATTTGATTTTCATTGTCTTGCCATTATTTGTTTTGTAAGAAAAGTATTTTTTTTGTCATGATTCCATGACAAAGCTGACCCTATGGTAAAAAAGTGAAAGATATGTACAAACATAAGCAGTATTAAATACTACCAAACACAATTTTGTTCGATTGGAAAAATATTTTATGACAAATAGTGTAAAAAAAACATAAAAACATTTCATCAATATGAATTGGTCAGCTATCTTATTTGTCTGCAACAGGAACTCTTTTGGGACAATAGTTTTATTTCTTCAGTATACATGGTAAAGCAGCAAGCATCTCCAGCAGTGCAGCGGAGGGCTACTTTAATCATGTTGTTGTTGACCGCCTCCGTGGTCTAGTGGTAGAGCATCCACCCGGAGAGAGGAAGGTCCGGGGTTCGATTCCCGGCCGCGTCATACTAAAAGACGTTAAAAGATAGTACTTGTTACCCTGTCTGGTGCTCGGCATTAAGGGGATAAAACAAGTACTGGTCGGCTCGGAGTCAGTATACAGTGTCTGAGTGGGGTATTCATGTTAAACTGCGGCATGGTATCTCAGTGAGCTAGCTCTATAAATCAGCATCAGTCCGGACTAGTACAAGCAGCCACACACACACACACATGCATGCACGTCGCTATATAAGTGCAATAATCTTTGACACGACGTTACACCCAATTTCACCTCGCCTCACCTCACCTTAATCATGTTGTTAATAAGTTCAATAAGTATGTTTGGTAGTCAAAAAATATTTCTGAGTTTAATTCCTTACATGGCTGCATAGTGCACTAAATTAATACATCTGATACACACACACGCTCCTTGTTATTTTCCTTTTCAATGAGAACAAGATGCTCATGTCTACTCATGTAGGTACTGTCTGCTGTTCTTTAGAACCAATTGTGCTGTTTCTGCATAAACAAAGGCTTGTAAGCAGTGTGTCATTCTCTAATTTATCAATATTACAAATACATGTTCTCAGTCTTCCTTTATTCAGTCATCACCCCAGCAATGTGTAGACATGTGTTTAGCTGGTAACCTTATACACAACCCATAGGTACTTCTCTGTAGGGATTCTGGGGCAGAGTGCCTACTTGTACGTCCCAAATAATCCATCCTGACGATGATGTGGATCTTTCCTCATGCTAACAACCAGGTTTATCTAGCCCTAGCTTTCATCCAAACCTGATGATGTGATCTTTCCTCATGCTAGCCGTGGATCGATGCTCATCATATCAATCACTGGATTGTCTGGTCCAGACTTGATTATTTACAGACCGCTGTCATATAGCTGGAATATTGCTGAGTGTGGCGTTAAACAACAAACAAACAAACCTCATGCTAACAACCTGGTTTTCTAGTCCTGGCTTTCATCCAAACCTGATGATGTGGATCTTTCATCATGTTAACATCCACTGGTGTGTTTTGTCCAGACCTCACTATTTACATACTTGACATACTACTCTTATAATACGACTGCAGTAGAAGAATAAATATATCCACTTCTCTCACAGGCACTGGTGCAAACATACATCAGCACTTTGTACAGGGGAAAATTGTTCATAGGCTTTCGTCTGAATTCAACAAGAAAACTCTTTTCTTTCTTTTTTAAATATATATCTTTATTTCCATCACCAAGAGACATTCCTCCTATTTTGACACAAGAGCTAACTGACAATCACAATTCTGAGTAAACATTACTATTTACAACAAAATACATAGATATACATACTGATGTAAACAAATGCTGCCGCAAGAACAGCCATCCCCGATCCTCCCCCGAAAGAGACCCCGGTGCCAAAAGTGATTCCAGTGGGCTTAAAACAGTGGTGAAAACCATGTGAATGGATCACTAACAAGCAGTCATGACACCAGGCATTTATGAAGAGGTGAGGTGAAATTGGGTTTAACGTCGCGTCCAAGATTATTGCACTTATATAGCGACGTGCATGCACGTGTGTTTGTGGCTGCTTGTACTAGTCCGGACTGATGCCAATTTATAGTGCTAGCTCACTGAGATACCATGCCGCAGTTTAACATGAATACCCCTCTCAGACACAGTATACTGACTCAGAGCCGACCAGTCCTTGTTTTAGCCCCTTAATGTTGAGCGTCAGACAGGGTAACAACAAGTACCATCTTTTAACGTCTTTTGGTATGAAGCGGCCGGGGATCGAACCCCGGACCTTCCGCTCTCTGGGCGGACGCTCTACCACAAGACCACGGAGGCGGCACATTTATGAAGAGACTCAGTTGAGTAAATACACATACACCTGAGGGGAAGAAACAAGGGAACAGCTCAGTGGACAAGAACATCTTCAGTCATATGTATATAGAGAATCTCACCCGAGTGTCTTTTGATATCAAATATATCAACACGAGTTGATAAAAGTGGAAATATTCCGAGGTTTGCCGAGGATTTTTGCCACTTTTATCAACAAGTGTTGATATATTTGATATCAAAAGACACGAGGGTGAGATTTTATTTATCATCCAACATCATTCTTCCAACTTTTTCAATTTGTAGACAGTAATTAGTAGTGTCTTCAGTGTAAAAAGTACTGCTAACAGCTTCAGTAGCAGAGCCATTAGTGATGTCATTTGATTGTGATGTCATGGTAACCAGTGATGTCACAATGGTCTGCAAAGCATTGTGATGTAATTTCATTGCAGCGATATCTACAGTGTAGATATTGCTTGATCTAATCCAAGCCATATCTCCTGTGGGAGCCAGTTTTGGATGATAAACATGTATATACTGATGGAAAGAAATAAGGGAACAGCTGTGTAAACAAGAATCAGCCACATACACTTTCAGTGAAACCTTGTTTATCCAGAAACCTCTCATGGACGCTCTTTTTGGGGAATGCAATATATAACTGAAGGCACATTACTCACGATTGGATTATCTTGAAATCTGGATGATTTCCCTGGATTAGCATACAGAAACACAGAACTTGACTATACTGATGAAAAGGAATACTTCTAATATTGAACAAAAAACTTGTAACTTAAACATGTGTCATTTCTTGAAACCTGAAACAAAGACTTACAATCTGACTCAGAGGTTGTTATTGCCATTTGAAACCACTGATTGAGAAAACAGAACTTTCAAAGCCATTGTAGAATGTTTGCGAACATCTTTCAAGTTGACAAATTTGTTTCAATTGAGTTGCTTGTCAATCCCTTTGATGGTTAAATATGCATGTTCGTTTGTTGTTTAATGCCGCAATATTGCAGCTATATGACAGCAATCTGTAAATAATCAAGTTTGGATCAGACAATCCAAGGATTGACATCATGAGCATTGATCTACGCATCTGGGATACGATGACATGCATTAAACAAGGCAGCAAGCCTAACCACCTGTTCACATTAGACACAGCTTACGACAAACATGGGTTGCTGAAGACCAATAAAAACTAACGTCAATCTTCACGGGTGCTTGAATATGGTTCCAATGCAAGCAAGTGAATTGAAAATATTTCCATGTATTGATGCTGTTTTTGTACACATAAGACATAAAACTGAAAAGGAAAAAATGCTACAAAAAACATCATCAAAGAATAACAATATTCTGATTATTGGAAGATACTACAGTTCGTGTACATAAAAAACAACTGAAAAAGAATACCTCAGAATGAGAACATATGACAGATAACATCATCATAACATAACAAAACTCTGATTATTGGAAGATATATCATATTTAGCCTAACCACAGCTAACTATTGTTATCACTAGTCAACTCTCTGTCAATGCAGGTGTTCATGGACGACTACATGGCCCTGTAAGCAGGAGAGAGCATTTGTTTTGGGACCAGGCCATAATCTGATGTGTCTTTCATTCGTCCAATCCACCAGCCTTGCTTGTCATATTCCCGGCTGATGATGTGAATGATGTCCGCCACTTTGAAGGACAGCTCGGCCTCAGAGTCGGCCTTATTTGGCCACTTTCCGTAATACATATTCTCAAAGTCCTCATCTGGGTTGACGATGATCCTGATGGGTAGGCGTGGCTGCTCCTGTGGTTTGGCAGGAGTCTTGGTCTGAGAGACCGCTTGTTTGGAAACGGTCGAGATCTTGGGGATAGGTTGTTTCGGGATAGCGGGTGGAGGCATGGACGGAAGCTGTGGGGTCCTGGCATCATCGTACATCCCCTTAGAGCCATCATCAAGACACTCATAATTCTCAGTCCCTGGGATGGCAGCCGATGCGTCGTCGTATTGTTGGTTGTAGTAGTTGGAGGCCTCGCTGAAGTATTCATAGGTGTCATCTGAAAGTAGGTGTCATTCATATGATATCATGATATGAGAAATCATACACAGCATACAGTGGGCTGGTGATCGATATCAGTTGTCATACAAATATCTTGTATACCGTATTCGACGTAACATTAAAGCGCCTCGCTCTAATAAGCGCCCATGGTGATATTTGCTTATATATTGGCTAGTGAACAATCCCAGTTAGCACCTCTTCCAATTTAGCAATGTACACAAGACTTATTTATTCGTGTATGATACGCACTCTTGTGTTATATGCACCCTTAATTATGGGCAATTAAATTCTGGAAAAATATATCTGTCGTGTATAATACGCACAGACTTTTCTTTTGTATCATTTCAGGTACATAAACCTAGAAATTAAAGATCTTTCAACTCACAACTTTTTCACCAAAATTGTATTCTAATAAGAGCCCCATATTTCTAATTTTGTGTGCGTCCTGGGCGCTTATTTCGTCTAATACGGTTTATTGAAATATACTGAAGGAGAAACCGACCAATTCAGAGGAAGCACACTTGCTGCATTCAAAATACAAACAACATAGCAACAAAATAGTTTGTGTGAAATGATATGTCATGTAGGGCTGGGACGAGTCCAAATTTACTACCCGGGTACCCACCCCTCTATTACCCGACCCTACCCGGGTACCCACTGTAGGTCTCAAGAGATGTCTCAAAATGTCCAAATGGGAACATTTTTAGCATAGCCCTGGCAAAACGTATTTAGA